TTTAACAGTGTACCTTCCTGTATTTGTAACGTAATGCTTAAGCAGAATATGATCAATTCAGTTTAACACTTCTCACAATCTTGTAAACTGTGTGTATGATACTAAAAGCTTCATTACTTGACTGGGTGATGGATAAAGCGTACTCAATCCTAGGATATACAGACTAAATTTTGAATTAGCTTTTATCTATACTAATATTATAAAGAGGTAAAGTCTGTAAGTTTGTGACGTTGTAGAGGGTAATCTCAGGATCTACTGAACTGATTTAGATGAAATTTGGTTAGAAGATTGTTTGAGACCCTGGGAAGGACATAGGATGCTTTTTTTACCGGAAATCATCCCTTAAGGGGGTGAAAATGGGGATGAAAGTTTGTATGGGGAATCAAGCTAGGAACTAAGTAGACAAGCTAAGTCGCTAGTTGAATATAATCTGAAAAGTGCAGAGTGCTTAGTTGAAATTGTATATTTTTTTGATTTTAACTCTTGCAAGTAAAGGACTAATTTCACCAGACTCTCAATTTTGAAAGCTTCACCTTTGTTCCAGAGTAAAAAAACATTGTCTGTGTAGGCAATACATTTGTATTATGCAGTAATCGAACCCGCAGTACCCCACAAAATATGTAGTAGGCATTTCACTGTGCAATGATGTTTTATTAAATTGAACAATTACATACAAAATATATGTTGCTCAATCTTCCTGTGATGAAAAATTACAGTTTCATCAGAATCGTTTGTAAGGTTTTGTGTAATTTATGCATATGTATTTCATTCATTACCATTTATAAAAGTATATGGATAAGTATAATTTAAGTGAAATGAAAAAAAACCTATCTGTCTGATAGTCTGGTTATGGGAATGGTATAATCTATACTAATATTATAAAGAGGCAGTGTGTTTGTTTCTTTGTTTGTTTGTTTGTTTGTTTGTTTGTTTGTTTGTTTGTTTGTTTGTTTGTTTGTTTGTTTGTTTGAACGCGCTAATTTCAGGAACACCTAATCCGATTTGAAAAATTCTTTTTGCATTAGATAGACCATTTATTGCGGAAGAATAATAAGAAGAAGAAGATATAGAAATATTAAATTCTTTAACGCGAAGCGTCGAGTAATAATAATATCCTATTTGAAGATACAGGGTTACTAATGACTGGGATTAAAATACAAAAGCCCGGTAATCTCACAACGCGTTTTAAATGCGTAGTACCTTGCCCCCTGATCCCTAGCATTATATAGAGCGCGCGCTCACTAATCAATCACCGGTGGACGTCGATCATCTATCTAGTCGTCATTGCCAAGGACGCCGTCGGTCATCGGTCCGGTTGCGCAACCGCTCTTGCGCCACTGCTAACCGGACCGAACTAAAAATTACTTTATTATGCGTCTATGTGGTACTAACGGATTGTACTAGAAAAGTTATTTAACATTACTTTTCAACTAAAAAGGTTCCTTAAAAGATATTATTATAAATAAAAAAATTTAAAAACCTTCTACGCAAATTAATTGTCATTTAACAATTACACTGGCACGCGTGAAGCACTTAATCGAGTAATCATACGCCACAATGCCTTACATCATTTTGGAAAAGAGCTGATACTCTTACACTGCTGGACCGATATTAACCAAACATAGCTAAGAACTACCGCACGCAAGGAAACTGGCTTTCAAATGAAAAAACCGCATCGAAATCGGTCCATCCGATAGATGTGAGACTTTTTTGTAATTGAAATGGGACCAACTTTGTATAAAAGAAAAAAAGTTCATAAATTCTATACATCAATAGCTACTTCTTGGCTCTATAGCGCTTAATAATGCCGTTGTCATTTATCAGACGCCACGTTTTATATGGAAAAATGAACGTTTTATCGGTCGCTCGCATATTCATAAAACTGACGGGCGACCATAAATACTCGTTGCTGGCAACCAATTGAACGCGTGAAGCGTCTATGCGATATATTAGTCGCACGCATTCCTTTGTGACGCAAGATTGAAGTGAAGGCACTAAATTATCCTCATAACTTTAGTTTTACTAAAATGATATATTGTTCCTTTGCTATTGTGTCGCTTATGAGATCGATAATATGAGTTTTATATACAGGATGTTCTATAAAAACGTGAATGTATTTATATTTTTTGTTTTTTGTCTTAACAATAAGTCCTGACATGAAGTACAAATGTTATCTATCTTACTGATATTATAAATGTTTAAATGCTTGGATGTTTGTTACTCAATCACGCCAGAACGGATGCAGCATGAAATTTGGCACAGAGATAGATTACAGTTTGGAATAGCGCATAGGTTACTTTTTATTCCGGAAAAATGTACGGTTCCCGTGGGATATATTTGTTTTTTTTTTTATTTGTTACATATAAAATCGTATTAACCTTGATATCTATACCTTGAGTGTTCACTTAAATAGTCTATACTTAATTATATTAAATAAGTCCGCTTAGCAGCACGTCGTTTCCAATCACCGTGTCGGCAAGTTTTTTGGCGTCAATCGGCCAGCTGGCGGCAGGTGCGTCGGTTTCGTCGAAAATAACCCCCTCCAGACCTGCGCTTGCGCATCTGCACTTTTTACAAGATAACGATTAACTGCAATCAGGAGTCGTTTGTGGATTAAAATTTTTAATGTCATAAATTGTTAGCAAAAAGTTTATTCTCGTGATTTGCAAGATGTTGATGAGTTCGAGAAAGTACTTATCACTACGTGTTACTATTCATATGTATTTTTACTAACTTTGTATGTTCGAAATAAAAACTGGCTGAATACTTATTACTTAAAAGTTTTTAAATTGAATTATGTTCATTAAGATTTTTTGTTTTCTATTACACTTGTTTTTTTTAATCAGTGTAAAACTTATTTCTACTAACATTTACTATTAAAAGACTGGCTTTCATGGAATCCCGCATAATTTAGCTACGAAATCAGCAAAATTATGTGCCTTTTATAAAGTTCACGTCTAAGAAACATTTAACTGACATTACACCATACGATAAGAAGTCGTAATATGGCGTTGTTTGAGACACGACTAAAAGTAATAAGGACCATTGTAAAGTGTGAGAGCACACTTACATTTAAACAAAGTTTTCTGAACAAACATCGTGTTCAAAGGATTGACCTACTTACCTTTGTTGAGACGCCGCGTTAGTGAACCGTATTGATCTTTGCATGCCTTTTGCACTCTTAAGTGATTCCACTTCTTCCTTTCATACCTTCGTTTTGTAACATGTATCTTGCTAATATATATTTATACTTAGATCACCTCTTTTTTCATTCATCAGATATAACGTCTTGATATGAAAAAGTAAATAAACACATATTGATGCTGAATTGTTGCATTTTTATATTACGTCAGGCAATATTTAATATTTGAAAGATAATTTTTATCTGATTTGATTTACTATCTTATCAAAAAACTCACGGATGGCGACACAAAAGCTTATTAGTAACGAGGTGGTATTTTAAATCAAGCCTCGATTGAACGGTTAGGTATACAGGGTCATTTTTAATTTACTAAAAACCTTTTGGAGATACACTATTTACAACATAACAACAACATCTGTAAGAAAAAAAATAATATATCTCAAATTTAACAAAAATAAAAATATTTTATTGCACCTTCTAAACGGTAACAGTCCAGCATTAGTAAAAGAAAGAGCGTGTCCGGTGGAGGAGGGATGGAGGGGTGTAAGAAGCCGCGCTTACTTATTTAAACTTGGCCAGATGATAGAATTTTAAAGTTTAGAAGGTGCAAAAAAAGTATTTTTATTTTTGTATGAAAATAAAAATTTAAGAAATATTTTTTTTTCTTGTTACAGGTGTTGTTGTTATTATTTAAATAGTATATTCCCAAAAGGTTTTCAGTAAATTAAAAATGACCCTGTACATAATATAATGAATGCCTATTTATCTAATTTGTAATGTATGTTTTTGTATTACCTACTAAGTTATTAACATTCGATTGGCACAGTGGGTGACCGATGCCCACAAAATATCGCGACCACCTCAGCTGCTTAGCTATTAAAATTCAAATGCACCGAGTTTATTCATTTCACGCAGACTCTGGCGCTAGATTGATAATAGATTGGCTTTGCGTGTTTTCCGTTGGCCAGAAATGTTCGACATTCATCATTACGTAGGTACCTATATTGCTATGTGCAACTACACCAGGTTTTAAGATGTAGGTGCGTTTGTATTTCTTTTAAAGATCTTTTGTTATATATCTAACCAATTGCAATGAAATTTTACGTAAATAGAGATGGATTAAAATACGGACCAGTAATATGTGCTATTTTATATATATTACTAGTTTATAAGAAAATTGTATGCAGCGTTAAAGAAGAAAAATAACACTTGCATTCTTGCCATGACTCGAATTCGAGTGATTTAGGCTATTTATCTCACTGTAACAGGTGCAGCCAAAGGACATAGGCTAGTGTAATAGAGATAATTAAAGTTGTATCAATGAAAATATCATAAACAACATGAATATAGTGACTAGTTACATATTAATTCCTATGGCTACAATAACTCAATAACACCGTTTAGTCCAGCTAAGTATTAATCCAGAGTCGGCAATGCACAATACATCACGAGCGCCGTTATGATCTCGTCGACAGCGCGCTTAGGGCTGGCGCCTGCCGGCTAACACGCAGATTTATGCTCCACTCGAAATTAGTACGGAAACTAACAAATTTACTTCTACTTTAGACTAAATAGTTAGCTTATTTGCTATTTGATCATTCTAATGTGAAGTGAAGTGAGCTCCCATCGCTCCTATCATAAGGATTACCGATTACGGATCTCAGCATTTTGGCATTTTTTTAATATTTGATTCAACGAAATGAACTAAGTCGTATACTTTACAATGTGTGTAATGTCGTATGTATAATTTACATATTTATTATTATTACACGGTAATGCCAGATAAAGAGATATGAGTATCTTAGAATGGAATTTGTCTGGTCGAATTTTCCGCCGATATTGTCCAAGATTTAACAAAATGGCACTGACGATTCTAAATGAGTCGAATATATTTGGCCAAGATTGCTTCAAATTATCTCGCGCTGCCACTTTGGAGCGGAAAGGCAATGTGTAATATTTTTATTACTTTAGTCGAATAAAATAGACAGAAATCTTTATATCGATTTTTGAACATTGTTTATTTTAAATCTGCTTTACTAAACTTTTACCTACGTTATTTAAAATTATAAGCATTTCTCCTTCATACTGAGCCCTTTTAATCTTGGATTTGACATAACTTTTTCGTTTACCTATGTGTTAATGAGTCCTCTAAAATACTAATTTTGACGATGTTAATCAAATCGATTACAGCAAGTAAAAATATCATATTTATTTTATTATTATTATTATAAAATGTTAGAAAAATGACCACGTCTATTGTGTCTAGCAATGCAGAATGCGCATTTAGGAGCTAACGTAGTGAGAAGTCATTTAGACTACGAAACAGGAAGACTAAACGATCGTGACAAGTGTACCTTAGGTCTAATTATTCTCATTCAGGAAGACATAATTTGAATACAACATTAATATTTCTCCAGACGTCATGCGAGTGGGCTATTATCGCGACAAATGTCCCTCTAATGGTCTTTTCATGAGATGTTTATCGCGTTCAACTTGTCGACGCCGCGAAATTGCTCAATTACAAGCACTTACACATTACGCGTACTTCGAGGAAAGTCGCACTTATTAATGCTAATTTACTGGGGCTGGGCGAGTTGTAGGTCTGTTTCCAACGTAAAGTGTGTACACACTGGAGAATTTCACCAGGAGCTAAAGTGTTATTTTTGACATCGATGTAATAAACGATGAAAAGCTTATATTTGCTTTCTCTCCATCAAAACGATAATTTGTCTAGCGATATTTAATACGTACTCAAATTCTGCCTTCGAATAAACTATAAGTATGAGTGTATGTAATAAATAATATTAGGTCTATACATACAGCTTGAGAAACGCTTATTTACTAAAATTTCATAAATCCTTAATCAATTTCTCATTCTACTATTTCTATTTCCAGGGGTAAATTCGCATCAGTACGTAAAATCCGCCATCTGGTCTCCGGCGAGGAGTACGCTGCTAAATTCATCCGTAAGCGACGGCGCGCTGCCGACACCACCCGCGAGATACAGCACGAGGTGGCCGTGCTGGCCCTGTGCGCCGAGAGTAGCCGCGTCGTGAGATTACATGAGGTGGGTTGGGTGTTTGTAGTGTCGTCATAAAAAAGAAGGCGGCAACTTCTTCAAAGTTGATTTCGAGATAATTTATTCTTAGCACTACGTCAAAATTACTACTCTTTTGGCGCAGTTACGATGAAATTGGTTATGGTATCTCCAGATTGACGACGATTTGACGACACGTTTGGCTCAGTTTGTAGTGACCCTACTTGGTGTGCCAGCAGTCGCGGTTCGAGTCCCGCTGGGGGCATTCATTTGTGTGATGACGAATGTTTGTACTCCAGTCATGGGTGTTTATATTTATAATATGTATGTATTTAAAGTTATATATGTGGAGTGTATCAACTATCTGGTATCCATAACACAAGCCTCGTAGCTTATCGTGGAACTAGACGGCGCTGTGTGTTAATGTCCCAACATATTTATAAGACTGACATGAATCTGCATTTAAGTCATTTTTGTCAAAATTGTTAGTTAGGGCCTTCTTTAATATGACGACCTTATAGCTAGCTATACCCATACGTTGGGCCTTCTGAATGTCTTAATTTTATTGTTTAAGACTCTAAATAGAACACTATGAGAGTAGAGTAGTAGTAGAGAAAGAGTACTAGAGTAGACTTCTAGGCTGTATATGTAACGATAGATTTATGTAAACGTTTAAAGTACATATTTAATCAGATTACTATTATAAATATTGTGCAGTTTATATTGTGTGTACGTTTGTTACTCCTTTACGCTGAAACGGCTGGATGAATTTGGATGATATTTAGTGCACAGGTAACATCCAAGTATGAACTAGAGGAATCAGGGTTTTAGGCCCCTGGGGACTCACCCGAGTGAAGCGAGCGTAATCACTGATAGAGATATATGTACTCGTATATGTTAAAATTATAATGTCTAATAATAATGTATCATTTTTATTTTATATAAAAAAAATAGTTTTCGTAATGATTTTTTTTCATTTTGTTGTAGTAATATTGTTTTTTTTTCATAATATAATAAAAATGAAATACATATTAATATTTGAAGTATATTTAATACCTTTGGAATAAACGAAAACATGCGTACATCTTCCAGGTATACGAAACACGATCAGAAGTGGCCATAGTGCTGGAACTTTGCGCGGGAGGTGAACTACAGCGGCTCCTAGATGAAGAGGAGAGATTGTCAGAGGGCGCGGCTAGAAGGGCCCTCCGTCACGTACTAGAGGGCCTTGCCCACCTGCACGCACGTAGAGTCGCCCACCTAGACCTGAAGCCTCAGAACCTCTTGCTGTCGGCCGGAGGAGAAGAATTACTTATATGCGACTTTGGTATCAGCCGTGCGATACAACCCGGCGCTCACGTCAGAGAGATCTTGGGTACCAGGGATTATGTCGGTGAGATTTTACTATACTATGTAATAGATTTGTATATTTGTATTGTGATTTTAAAATATTTCATAAAATATGGTGTTACTTGAATCTGATACATTTTTTAATTAATTATAATTTGTCGTCATTATATTTGTCATAGATAGGTACTAAGTTAGGTACTGTTTACCAATTTCATTTTTGCGCATTGTTTTAAGAAGTCACTCTTCGTCGCTTTATTTATTCAACCTACCAATACGTATTGTAATTTACGGTTGAGTTTTTTTCCCTCTTATTTTAAAAACAAAGATTATTTATAAGATTCATTTACGTATGTAAATAAAATATGTACATTTTTTTTACTTTTTTAAAAGTAAAATGTGTATTTTGTTCATTCAGTAAATTACTTTTGATATTTATGTTGTATATTTAAAGTAAAATTTTATGATTATATAAATACTATATGTACTAGGTTTTGAAATGAATTTGTATAAGTAGAAGATCTCATTACGAAGTCATTATTGAAAATTACTCTAGAAAATGATCATTTCACCGTATCATAAACGTATGTACGACGCAAGTATTAGATATACATAAAATGTAAATGGGCCGGAGTGTGCGAGAAATGCTTTCTATACGCGCAATGTTACCACATATCTTGTAATAATTAAGATGCATCTCCAAGAGTATCCAATCCCTCGACCGTAAAATAGATAATTTTATAGTTTCCATGGAAATTACCAACTAAATGTTTTCTACATATTACTCTTATTTTGTAATAGATATATATCGGTTATGGTCTGAAAAGCAAAACCATTTTTATTGGTATACTTTAACACGTTTATCGAATTAAAGACATTTTTAACGTCTAGTATAGATTTCTCAGCAATGAGATATTTTCCCACAGTAAAAAGTATCCTATATCTTGACCCGGATGACTAACTATTATCATACCAAATTTTACTAAAAATCCCTCCAGTGGTTTTTCCGTGATGGGGTCACAGACAGACAGACAGGCAAAAATTCTAAAAACTGTAGATTAGGCCTCTGTATCGATAATAATGACTATTTCAATAAGTTTTTCCAAAAAAAAAAACAGATGCGACTCAGAATTTATTATATGTATAGATAATCGTGTCTTTGATTGTACCAATCAATAGGTGCGCGAAATAGCGTGGGTGCGTGTTGGACAGGTTCTGATGAGGTTTTCTTAAAAGTGAATGTTTTTAACGCCCTCGTTCCCACAACGATATTTTATATATGTATTGATAAAACAACGTCTCATATCCGCTGTGGACGATTCGATTCAAATTTCTTTCAAACATAAATTCTCTTTCTTCATATAATTTACTTAATATTTGCTAATGCGATGCTTGCGGAAGTTTTGTAGTTGTTGAATTGCTAATGTATCCTGAGATTCTAAGTTTTAATACAAACTTAATATGAATGTTTACAACATTGTAATTTAATGTCAACAAGTGAAATGCTTTCCCACAGATAAGCTTTAAGATTTACATATATTTAATAGATATTATTTATACTTTGTAAATAAATGGTGCTATTTATTATAGTTTATTATATATTCTTATAACATACTAAAATAGCTTATTTTCAATAAAATGGCAAAATAAATTCGAAGCATTTTTTTATTGTACTGAAAAGTAGTGTAGTTCAACAAGCCTATGTGTTAATCCATAATCTTTCTGTCCACTAAATTACATTCAAATCGGTCCAGCCATTCACCGTGGGGAGTGACAAACATACACACATACACACTTTTTCATTAATTATAGTTATTAGGAGTCTTAAGTAATTCGATGTTTACAAAAACAATTGTTATTTCCATTCTAGCGCCAGAAATATTATCCTACGAGCCGTTGTCCCTAGCAGCGGATATATGGTCGGTGGGTGTTCTAGCGTACGTACTGCTCAGTGGGTACTCGCCCTTCGCGGGAGATACCAAGCAGGAGACGTATCTGAACATAGCGCAGTGCCAGCTATCCTTCCCACGGGACTTGTTCCGCGGCGTGTCGCAACGTGCCATACAGTTTATTAAAGAGACGCTTGTCGTTGACCCCAAGTGAGTGGTAGAAATGTTATAATATGCCTTACTCATAATATTTACTCAGATTTTATAATAGCTTAAAAATAATTAATAATATCATATAAGAAAATTAGTATTCCTAAAAATCTATTAGTTATTTGGTACATATTTATTTTTCTTTTGTACTTCTATTGTAAAGAAGAATCATAATTACATTTTATAACTGAAAATATCAAATATAGCTCGCTAACAATGATTTTTTTTATAATTTCTAGGGGTCGTCTTACAGTGGAAGAGTGCCTGGAGCACCCCTGGTTGAAAGACGAAGCAGATATCCCGCGCGCGATCGTCGGCGTCGGCTTCGATGCCACCGACCTCGCTAGCGAAGACGACAGCGACGAAACGGTCAACGGAGATAATGAAGTTAACGAGATTAACGGTGTTAACGGAGTTAATGGAGTTAACGGTGTAAACGAGACTAATGGAGTTGGTTCAGTGAACGGGGTCAATGGAATAAATGTTAACGGAGTGAACGGGGTAAATGGAATTAATGGAATAAACAGACACAACGGCGTCAGCGAATGCAATGGAACAAATGGTACACATGAAGATAAAGGTAAGGGTTTTATAACGATATTATTATAGTTTACTTATAAAAAAGATGTAACAATAACTTGGACATCAAAAACGATTTTTTGATATTAATTTTGTATAATAGTGATTCTTGCCTTATAACTTCATCATATTCTATAAATTATATTAAAACTTAGTTCAATGGATCTACAATGACTTGTGTCGCACAAATATTCAATTAAAATCAATATCCAAAGATTCGTTTAAGTTATAGATAACTCACAATGTACAATCATGTATGTGTTGAGCCCTATTTAACATCCCACCGCTGGGCACGGGCTTCCCTTCAGTACGAGTGGGTTCAGGCTATAGCCCACCACACTGGCCAAGTGCGGGTTGGCGGACTTCACACGTCTTTCGAAAAGTTGTACAATCATACAATAATGTATATGTTTGTCTATTTCCCCCAGAGTACGGTGCGGAGGAAGAGCGCGACAAGCCGCTGAAGCACGCGCACGCGCGCGACGCGTCGCCGCCCTTCCCCGACGCGCCCTCCACGCCCAAGGTCAGTTTGCTTGTACGTGTTGATTGCTCGTTTGTTTGTTTATTGATTACTTACACACACACGGCTGCCAGTAGAGACAACTTATTTTATACCGCTGGATCACTCAAATTATACCAAATCAAATTTTATCATACAAATTAACAAAACGGTTGAGAAATAATCTGTGACGAATAAAAAAAATTCAATAAAAACATGTAATAACTTAAAATGAAATATACATAAAATAACCATATTTTACAATTTTCGTATCAAATTATACGATCTGGCAGCCCTGCTTACATAGTCTAGCTGTCCATACAGTTGTCTAACGAAGGCGTCTAGATTAGACGATGGTGCAGCGTGTATTTGTTTATTATTTACTCAGTCTAATTATCCTAATATTCAGTCGTCTAACGAAGGTGGTGTGCGAGTTAAGACGCGCGGGAGCGCTCCCGACTCTTATACTTAGTTTTGTATGACAGTCGGGAAACGAATTTAGGGTGGTGGAAGGCTGACCGTAACTCACCACGAGATGCCACTAATGCTTAACTTTGAAAAGTTTCGCCGTAAGTTTGTTACATTTTAAACATAACTTATCTTTTTGGATGTTTTCGCGGATTTATTTTGATTTTTGGTTCCCGACGTTTCGAATGCTTTACGGGATTCATGGTCATGGACGAGACTAAGGTTTATCAAAATAAAAATAAAGTATAGTTTTATTTTAAATGTCAAATATTCGCGTAAATCTAAGAAAATATTATTGTTAAAATGTTTTTGGACAATCTGTGCATTTGACAGCATTTCCGTTAAAATTAATAGTGCTTCGAAAGTATTGAACACAGTTTATTTCATTTCATTTCTTAGGCGACCAGCTACTTACTGTATGGATTTTTATTCTATGTTACTTATACATACATATTTGACGTTATTAGTTTTTATTTTTGTGACTCCTTTAGCGTAGTACATGCATTAATAAAAAATATGGCGTGCAAGGTATCTCAGTGGTAACATGCTTACTTGCAAATCCAAGTGCAGATGGTTCAATTCCTGGGCACCTCTGATATCTTCACTCGCGTGTGCACTGCCGCTGTGTGGTGAAAACTCTGTGTCGGAGTCTTCACAAGTACTTAACTTCACCACGCTTTCCGCTTGTGTCGTTATATATAATATATATGCATGTTGTGTCGAGATTTCGTATTTTATTTTGTTTTAGACAAAATATTTTAATATCACGTTTTTGTTGCAAAGATTTATTTTAAAATAGTTTTTTACTGACTTTTGTATAGCAATTACGTGTAAGTAATGTGCACTCGATAAGTAAAGTCTCGCGTTAGCGGTATTTAAAAATAAATAGGCTTAATCAAATAAATTTATTATAACTAGCAACTATTTTATTTTAATGATTTAAAAAAATATACATTTTATGTTCTGAGGGAAAATAGTAGTTTACTCAATTTCTGGTCCCTAGACCGTCTGTATGCAAAAAACGTAATTTCATTTTTCTTTAGCTGAGTGAGAAAAAAAAAAAAGTAAGAAAAACGTGATCTTTTGAAGACATTTGTAAGAATATTATGAACTCGCATCATAAAAGATAATTTCATTTTACATAATTAATATACGCGTTAACCTAAAAAGCTACTGACTTGTGTAAACTAATGAAATAATATTTTTGTTCTAGGTTTCAAGAAAGTCTCATCCCCACCCGCCCTCGGTACTAGCGCTGTGCAAGAAGTTCCAGCCCGACTACGAGAAGCCGGCGACGCTGCCGCACGCGGGGCACGGCGGGCACGCGGGGCACGGCGGGCACGCGGGGCACGGCGGGCACGCGGGGCACGGCGGGCACGCGGGGCACGCGGGGCACGTGGGGCACGCCGGGCACGCGGGGCACGCGGGCGAGTGCTGCGCGTGCGCGTGCCCGGCGCCGTGCCTGCGCGTGCGCGCTGCGCAGGACCGCGCCGTGCTGTGCTAGCGCGCGCTGTGCGGCCTGCGGCTGTGGCGCGCGCCGTGACCCCCGCGCGCTGTCGACGTGTGCTCGCAGTGTTGTTAAAGACTACGTTAGAAATTTGCCGGCTGCGTGGCATGTGTACGTATGTACGTGTAACATGTCCACGTCTACTACGCGGTTCCAGTGACGTGCGGCAGGTGGCGTGCACGTCTCACAAGTGAACTTTTAGTATAAATATTGTTTACAAATAAAATTGTGCAGCATGTGCTATGTACGCAGTACGTCGAGTCAAAGGCTATATTGTTCCGGAGACGCACGGTGTGTGCTATATACGTCTACAAGTTAACGTATAGTATAATGTATACAAATGTTGTTTAAAGACTACGTTGAGTTTGCCGGTTTTATAAATTGGTTTTTATGAACCCGCTAGCACAATATTGTATTGGAGGCGAGTGGTGTTATTGTTAGCGCCGGCTTGTACATAAGATTTTAGCATAGTTTCTATTGTATAGTTTAAGTAGGGACCCGATTACGTGAACTCGCAAATACGAGCTTAAATTGGCGCTAAATATTTGTTACGATGTAAGATACTTTAATGAATTTACCACATAAGTTGATGTGTTGATTTAGTTTCTCGCGTCCTTGCCGCGTGCTCGAGCAACGATGTGTTTAGTTAGTAGTCAGCGTGCGGGGAGGCGCGACGTGTTCACGGCGCGATCGCGTCCCTACGACGAAGGTACAAAACGCATAATGAAACCGTAAACAGCCTGTAAATTTGTATGCGCTCGTGCTGAAAGCGGACTGTTCAGAGCGGACTTACACAGTATGTAAGAAACGAAATTAACCACATATTATGTATTTAATATTTTCTAGTACATATATTGTTTACACGAGCCTGGATGCCTCTATTATATACAAATACAAGGATTCCCGCTTTGTGATTGTGAAAAGATTTAAATAAGGTTACACTAGTGGAGGCGCGGAGCTGTACATAGTGTGTGTGGCCGCGGTTATTTATTGTTGGCGCGCCGCGAGCGACCGCTCCTAGTTCTAAGTGTTTAGAACGTTTAAATGATAACTATAATCGTTAAAATCACCCAAACCGGGACCAAAATTTGTGTAGTCGCTGATTGCGTATCGGTATAGTTGTTGTCTGGTTGATGTACATTAAGAAATTTATCACTAAGAGTGACCGCTTTCGGTTTGTTGAATAGATAGGAAATTGTTATTAGTGGATGTTAGATGGTAGACGCGGCTGGGGCCTGAGGGCCCCCTGTTTAACCAGGAGAACCAATTTAGAAGGGTCCTGGATGACCCCAGCCGTGGCTACCAAGATGAGCTCAAATCTTGGGATTTTTAATCTTGTATAGTTTAAAAAAATCAGTGCCTTCGCACAGTCTAGGTAATTAATTACCCCTCCCATTTAACGAGTTATCATTTTAATAGCCTAGTGCTCTTTTGTTTCGTTGTGATGTTAGTATTTTCATTTTTTTTAACATTTCCCTCAACTAAACTCGATAATACTTTGTGAGAGCTGACTCATTTGTAAAAATAAATTATTGTGATACAAAATAATATGTTTTTTCTTTCTATATTACCCTATATTATATTATCTTATGTACATCAGCACATGTGAAGTGGTGTTTCACAAAATAGACAAAAATAACCTATTTATTTCATGTTATTTATTACATATATTGATCTGTTTAATATGTATTGAACATATTATAAGTTGTTCTTTTTTGTTTCTTCGTTAGCGTTCCTAGTACAATAACAAGAATCATACTTATTATAGTAAATTGAAGTATTATGTAATTTCTTTAATAAGATTTAAATTTATTAATTATTATGTTATCTTGAACAAGTGTGACTTTTTCACTTTTCAACAGACTTTCAAATCGGAGGTTTTGTTTGTAGCTTTGTCGTTATAATTATTATATATTAATTTATAATCTTGCCGAAGCAAGATTTTCAAAAATATGAAAGACTCATTTGAGTGTTCCCCTCCACGGAAATCTTTAGTAAAAGGCGAAAGATTTATACGTTTTGAAGGGAAACCAGAGATACTCGTTACCGGACTGTTCGTATTACTTATACTTTTATGAACGACAACTCGATAGCGCGATGCAGAAACACGACTGAATGGAACAGCGCCATCTAGCGGAAAGACTTGGTACTAATTTAGAGAATATAATATTTTGTTATAATTTCAATTATTTTATTTCGTGACCTCTAAGATTTAATTTTAATAAATACCAGGAATAAAGCAAGTGGTAGAGTAATTAAAACAATATGAGTTCGAATAAATTGGATTTTATTTACAAACAGTCTTGAGGCGCGTATTTCTAACACCATTATATTTATAATCAGTACAACATTGGCACACTATCTTCATACAATACTAAAATCACTTAAATGCCTTAAATTTTAAACATTTTCTATATTTCATATGTAATTTTTGCAACATTCAAACAATTTCTAGGTAAAAATTAAAACCACAACCAAATACATCACTTAAATCTTAATACACAATAAATGTATGTAAACGGGCAGTGTGTACTTAGAGTATATTATATCAGGCTGCTGGATGTCAGAACAAAACTGGAATAAGGAGAGAAAAATGCAAATGACGCATAGCATTTATTTTCAACCGATTTCTTCAAAAAGGAGGTTCTCAATTCCGCTGTATTTTTTTTAGTTAATAAATATAATTATTGTAGGTAATTATATCTTATACTCAATGTCTTGATTTTAGCCCACTTTTGCACTAACAACCTCAAATATATGTACATATTTAATTTTTATGACTCATGGTTTCCAGTCGTTAATAAAATATACAAGAATTTGTTAAAAAATATAGTTCTTAATAAAATTCTAATATGAGATGTGATGAAGCTATTAAGGAAATTACACAACCAATGAAGGTGGCATGTCCAATTTATGAACAAACCCTCTTTGAAATAAAAATTACACAAAAGGAATAAAAGTGCGAGGTTATTTGTTATTGCCTTTGATACACAATAATTGTGTTATATTTTGTTTAAATATGAAAATTGAAGTCATTTTTAAGATAGTTTTTAAATTCAAAGCAGTCTAATCCTTAGCATTATATCTTCTCCAAATTAAATATTCATACAATTGATACATAATGATAAAATTTTAAAGTTATAATGAAAAATTAAATTTATTTAAAGCATTAAACATACTTTGTTTATTTATCTATGAAAAAATGCTTAGATTCAACACAATATACATATGTTTTCTTTCCTTACATTTTTTGTTGAAAATGAAATTTTGGAATGTAAGATATTAACTTGAGAATTGTTTGGACCGATTTGACAACTTTATTAAATGTTTATAATAGTTGGAGTAAGTAGTAAATAACGGTTGGGAAACGTAGTCCTGAAAAATGGGAAGGTGCAAAAGCACTTTCCCAACACAGGCAAAACCGGTTTTTTTAGGTTATTATTCGTATGAACTAAAAAGATCACGAACAAGTTATTGATAGAAAGAAATAAAAATTTATTCTTACAAAAAATACACGCCACAGTTTGTTCATTATTACCACAAATTATAAACCACCACAAAATCAATAATCTATACAGATATATTTTTAAAGATTAAATTGTAGTGTTTGTTTGTAATTTCAAAATAAGTTTTTTACTAAATGCATATAAAATTATATACGGTACCTATAATTTATAATTTGTTAGAATTTGACGGGACTTTCAATGGCAGAAATCTGATGACTGATGTTTTATGGAGTAACTTATTTATGGCTTAGGCTGCTTTTATTTTAGTATATGGATAACAAATTTAGGGCCTTATTCAATAAAATGACAACGTATTACGTACTTAGAGACAAACCCGAGCGAAGCGACTAGCGAGGATGAATCGCTGATTATTATTATATTGTTTTATAATCTTGCCGAAGCAAGATTTTCAAAAATATGAAAGACTCATTTGAGTGTTCCCCTCCACGGAAATCTTTAGTAAAAGGCGAAAGATTTATACGTTTTGAAGGGAAACCAGAGATACCCGATACCGGACTGTTCGCATTACTTATACTTTTATGAACGACAACTCGATAGCGCGATGCAGAAACACGACTGAATGGAACAGCGCCATCTTTTGGTGGGTGTTGTAACTAAATATAAAGAACAATTTAGTTTGCAGGCATACGAAATAGATGGCGTACAAGTATAATAATATGTAGTTTAAAATTCTACTGCAATATAATTTATAAGTATATAGTTTATTTTTACTTTAGTTTTGTCATTGAAAACTATAATATTTAGAGGTGTTCTTGCTTAATATATATTTGTTAAATAAAATAACATTTAAACTTAAAAAGATAATAATATGTTGCTAGAATTTTCCTTTATTTAAAATAAGAAAGTATTAAATGACCAATAAAAATTAATACATATGTTTGAGATTGTTCCAAGTTAAATGTTATTAAAATAATAAAAAAAAGTAGGCGAGCTAAATTACATCGGTTTATAAATGAAAAAAAAAAGTAAAAAAGACCTAATATAATTAATTTTATTATTGAAAATATCACAAACCAAATAAACAAACGAAAATAATACTAAATGCAATTTTCACAACAATTTTGACTTCACCTAATTTCATACTTAAATATTACAAATTAGTCTTCCAAAGTATTTTAAGAAAATTCGAAAAAATTAAGTCTTAAAATGACTTCTTTCGAAAATATATTTAAATTATTGCTACCAACGTTTTAATACTTGAAAAATATGTAATATATCTAAAATTTATTACAAAAAGATGAAAAAAAAACACACACAAAAGAAAAGAAAGTTTATGATAGGTCATCTATATAGATAAATAAAATTGAAGTGTCTGTTTGTAATGTCAAAATAACAGCTATTTACTATGAAATTATATACGGTACTTATAAGAAAAACACAATTTTTAATTTTTTTGTCTGTCTGTCTGCTTGTCTGATGAGATTAGCCGGAAGGCTAATCTCATCAGGGACGCCCCCGAGCGAAGCGAGGGTTAGTCCCTAGTTCAAAATAAAGGTTGCTAGCGCAAAAATAACTTAAGATTGATCTAAACGAAGGCGGTTTCATAATTTACATCAAATTTTGTACATTAACACGTATCGTACGATAATATATAAATTATACTCATTCGGCTGCCACTGGGCAAATTAATTTTTCTAATGAACTTTATCAAAATCAAATTATTCATTTTTTTTCTTATTTTTCACATGTCTGTCGAAAACTTGCTAGGCTGGGTAGAAAAAAGATTGGCATAGGAAAATATCAGAGGTATATCGGGTATATCGGGATATGAACCAGCTTCATTTGGTTTTCCAAGCGAATACGTTACCACTGGGCTACTACTGCCTTCCACAATTCTTTAAGCTTTAGGCAATTTATTGCTTTTGTGTAAATGTTATCATTTTTAAAATATATTTTATAGTGTGAGCTATCGCAATATGCCCAGTTTTTTTAAAACATCAATATTCTCTTCATAAGAACCTATGAATCATAGTGCTTTGTTTTTTATTATATACATTTTAAACTTATACTTATTTTGTAATACCTTTGATTAATTCATCATCGTTTTTGTTACATATCAATGAACAAATTATCTTATATATATTTAAAAAAATAAAAGATTTTGCAAATGTTTACTTTTTTTATATAAAAATTAGCACATTTTTTTAATACACTACATATGTATTTAAAAATCTATTGAAAAGAAAAACAGATTATATTATAATTATTTGAATTAATTTGCTCTTTTTTATATTTCCTTTGAAGTAAATTAATATTTATATTTATATATTTTTTTTGTAACATAGTACTCAGTTACAACTGCACTTATAAAAAGTTGCATTAATTTAATAGCAGTCTAATTATAATTGGCTGTATGAGCGTTTGCACAATATTTGTAATTATTTATATAAAAAAAGTAAACAAAACAACTACATTTATTTTTAGGCGCAAATACAGTTTAATATCTAAAAATAGAAATAAAATCACTATAAATCCACTTTCGAAATTGATAAGAAACAAGTAAAAAGTGGCCCACAAGCATTAAATAACATATTTAGGGGACTTCGCATTCGGTGACAAGTGACGTTGACATGTCAAACGTCACTTCTAGCCGAAATGTCAACTAAAATAACTCCTCGGGTAAATAAAATAGCTGGTTTTAAATTAATTATTATTATTTACCCAGAGTAAGTCTAAATTTTAAACTTGTACTTAGTTAATTATAATTATTTATGCTTGTGGCGCCATTGAAATTTCGTCAAGCGTGAAACGTGTATAAAATATGATAGTTGCCAGTACATACAACCTATAGATTTTATTATTGATTTGGTCAACTTATAGTGTAATATCATTCAATATATTCCCAGCATTTATATTCAATGTCCGTTGACGACTGTGTTCATTTGTTTGACGTTGTTAAACTGCTCAGAGTATTCGATGTATAGGCGCTGCCATCTTTGCTGTTTTACGAGGACTGCTAACATATCTTCTAAAATATCGTGCTTTTTGATTCCCTGGAAAGTTTTTTTTTTGGAAAATATAAGTATATTTTAATTTATAAGAAACCACTCTTTATATAACTATGTAATGTAAAATTTTCAATACGGAAGAATAGTCAACATGTCAAACAAAAATATGTCCACATTAATATTCCAAGAGTATTATCAAAAATATATTTAATTAAAAAAAATATTGTCAATAATATTTTTAACGTATATGAGTAACGTAAGAAGTAATATAATAATTATACGAGTATCTATACATATGGAAGATATTTGAGAAAAACTATTATTGGAGGTCTTTATTACGCAATTGAACCCAAAACAATGATCTTTAGAATTTTTATCTACGCGTTTGTGCACGCTCATTTCAGAAACGGCTTAACCGATTTGGGTGCGGTATTCACTATTGTATTGTGGTTAGCTTCACTAAATGTTAAGTGTAAATAAAACAAATTTAGTATTTGTTCTATTTCAATCGGTTCATAAATAACAAAGTTATGTCCATTTCAAGAATCACCTAATCACTAGTTTTTTTTATAAATATAGCCGTTAAAACGAACAAAATTAAAATTATTCATCTAAAACATATTGTGTAGGTATTTATGATGACAATGATAATAAACAAACAATAAGTTTTATATGTCGCAATAATGTTTTTTATTTAACATTTTTATATGTATTGAAAATACATAGTATGTAATAAATAAAAATAATACCAACTGTGTAAATATTTATGAACAGTATTCTACAATAAGGATAAAGATTTCATTACTACAGACATAAGCATCGATGGTTCAGTGGTAGAATGCTCGCCTGCCACGCGGGCGGCCCGGGTTCGATTCCCGGTCGATGCATCTGTTTTTATGATTTTTACATTTTTAATACTTATTAATGAGGTTCGTTATTGCACGAGAAGTACATTATTGTAGAGAATATTGCGTTTTTACACATTTAACACATTTTTTTAAGTACAGTCTTATTTTATCTTGCGTAAACTAGCGGCAATTATTTCTATTTTTTTAAGACTTATTTCCTGTTTTTAACTAATATAAAAATATCAAAAAATATTGAATATAGACCATAATATCTAATTATTCCTTCCACGACCGCGGACACGCTAGATTTCTTAGAATTTTAATTAATTTCTTAGAAATTTACCTGGAGGTGTTATAAATCTGTAATTATTAATTAAATATTTTTTGGAAAATCTTATTGAAATAGTCATTATTTTCGATACAGATCGTATCTATAGTCTTTAGAATTTATGTCTGTCTGTCTGTCTGTCTGTCTGGGAATGCATCACGAGTAAACCACTGGACAGAAATTTAGAATAATGATAGCTGGTTATCCGCGTCAACATATACGATACTTTTTACTGCGAGAAAATATCACATCTCTAAGAAATCTATACTAAACGTTAAAACGTTACTAGGGACAAACCCGAGCGGAGCGAGGATGATTTGCTACAATGATGAGCTGTTTGAGATGTTACAATTCCTTAAGGCGAACATTTTTCGTTTCGTTATAACAGGTAAATTGTTTATTTATACTAAATGCTATCAATTTTAAAATTATTAAACTTTAAATATGACCATAATAACTATCTTTCTCATTCATTACTCATTTTTTGTAATAAAAAACGTTTTAAAATACAAAATTAAAGTATATTACTTCATTTTCTGAAACTATGCAATATACAAATAGTAAAAATGTCTATCAATATTGCCTCGTGCGGGAATCGAATGAGTGGCCAGCGACGACATTATTTATACATATATGTTTATATATATTTGTTAAATAAAAATAAATATTTACCAGTATCGTGTTCGGCCATTTCTTAGGCGTGGATATGCAATGACTCGGGCCGAGCATATCATCCAATATATTTCGTAACTGATCTTCTGTACCTGAAATGTTTTAAGTTAAATTTTAAGTAGGTTTTGTATAGATCAAGTAACACATTTTTTCTTCTTTTGAAGTAAAATAAAGTGTTATTATACTAGTTTTTGAAGTTATACTTCTTTTGGCACGTTTGGAAAAAAATATGAGAGTAAAATTTTTACGATGCGCGCGCACACCGACAGCCAAAAATGAACATGATGAAGTTAGCTGAAAGCGACATGATGTAGTTAGCATTCCTTTAACAAACATAGTTGTAACATAGGGAATGAAACCTTTAGCTATTTTTGTTCTGTTACGCCGAATAATTTGTCATGCAATGATGTTTCATGTGTCAAAATACAACGTAAAATCTAACCTAAAAATAGCGTATTTAAAACCCGTTTTTACTAACTTGGCCACCGCCGGTGACTAATTTTCAAGTCTGTAACGCCGGGCCCTAGTTTATTCAAACTGGTTTTATCATATTTTAAATGAAAAACAAAAGTTTTCGTATCATCATATATCATATGTATCTAAAGCAATATAAAGTGCATGACACATGATACCGTGCAGCAATATGTGGTCGAAGAGCGAGGCGAGCCAGTGGCGGTAGTCGGCGGCGAGGCGCAGGTGCAGGCACGCCGCCAGCTGCGCCTCCAGCCACGCGCGCGTCGCCGCGGACACCGGCCTCGACGGCCTGCGCGAGTTGTTGTGGGTTACATTATAACGTGATTTCCCGTGGGAAGATAAGGAATATGATAAGGAAGAGATAAATAAATAAAATAAAAAAGCATATTTCATGCAAAGTAAAGTTCCACAATGACAAATTCAAAGTTTAAGTTAAAAAATGATTGTTAGTGCTTAAGTGTCTAGGTTTTTTTAGTATATTATTATTAATAAATATTTACATATGGGAATTAGATAATCCCGCGGTAAAAAGCCTATGTCATTCTCCAGCTTAAAAAAATCTCTATACAAAAAATCACGCCAATCCTTCACTCTGGTTTCGACGTGAAAGGAGGACAAACAAACAAACTTTAACATTTATAATATATGTTAGACTGGAACTAGATATCAGGTATCGGATTTTATTTCCTTATACGGTCGGATTTAAAAATTACTATTATCTCTTTAATAAATTGCAAGAGGTACAATATTTATGAGACTGTCTATCTGTTTCGAGATAGATAAATGCGCTCAACTCTGAAATCAGAATAACTTTCCTTACTCAAAAGTCGTTTTAATAGAGTATTTGAAAGATTCTTTTCACTGACGAAGAAAGCTGTCTAGTTCTAGTACTTTGAAAAGTACTGCTTTGCCGTGACCGACAACTCAGTAGCAGAAAATATAAGTGTTTTTCGCGTTGTTCTTGTTTGTGCGCCAAAGTGCGGCATTATGCAATGAAAACAGGAGTGTATGTATGTATGTATGTATGTATGTATGTATGTATGTATGTATGTAGGTGTGCGCACCCGTGCGGCAGCGCGTGCAGCGCGTGCGCGCGCGGGCGCGCCGGCACCAGCGGCAGCGCGCCGCCGCCCGCGCGCCGCAGCGGGTCGCCCGTCGAGCACCACACTATCCTGCACACACGCACATATACATCTACAATAAAATTATGATAATAACAGACAATTTTCAAAACACAATATTATGCACAGAGGAAAAAATATTAAGAATAATATAAATTAATATGATATTTATTTTCAATTTAATGATAGAAACGGAACGCCATATAACTAAACAATAAACATGAACTTACATAAAAAGTGCAACTGTAGTACATCTTCATTTCATGTCAAACCATATAAATTTGCAATTCTTATTTCCATCATGACTATTATTTGCTACTACGTAATAATAATAAAGTAGCAAAAGTTTGACGTGTACAATCTGCCAACCCGCTTTCAACCAGCGACTTGGACTACAACCGGATCCCTCTCGCCTTGAAGTCCATGCCCATTAGGCGGACGACAAATAAGACAAAAATTACTGTTAATTTTAATCATATATCATTAAATATATTTACGATAAAATAATTTTTATTTTAAAATGGAAACTTTTTTTAACGCCATCCAAAGAACCTAATTTTAAAAGAATACCTATATAAGTAGATTATTTATTCGTATAATTATTATTCTAAGCGGATATCGAACCCCAACTTAATACATCAACAAACAAAAAAAAATTACTAAGTAAATAAAACTATATTAAATATAACTCACCATGCACACAATTTCTCGCAATAAATATAGCTTTTTCCATTGCTAAATGAGATCATTGGGTTGTTGTTATCCACGAGTGAGCAATTCGTTACTGTTACTATAAAGAAAAAAAAAGTTTTAAAGTCAAATAAAAATGTCCGAATATTTAAAAAGCTTACCTTGATCTTAAAATTAAAGTGAATATAAGAATTTTTAATTGTATTTTTTTTAATTTCACGTAAATAAATAGCAATAAACAAACTTTTTGTTTTCTTTTAATCAAAGTGATGTCGAAACAGGCAGGTTGACCGGTAGCATACTTTCACGCAAAAACTACTGAACAGATTTTAAAGAAACTTTACATTAATATCTATATTATAAATATGAAAATTTAAATGTTTGGATGTTTGTTATTCATCACACCAGAACGGCTGAACGGATCTGGATGAAATTTGGCACAAAGATAGATTATAGTCTGGAATAACACATTACTACACGCTACATTTCATCCGGGAAAAATATACGTTCCCGTGGGATAGAATAGTTTTTGTTTTGTAGCTTATACATCACAATACATAGGCGATATTTTTTAAAGAATGAATGCTAATGCTAGTAATAATAGTAAAATGATATATACCGCCGTGAGTCACAAGGTTCCTGAAGCACAGCGGCTGCAGCACGCACGTCGCCTTCGACAAGTCCCATATAGCCACTTCGGCTCCCGTCGTCACCACTGTGAGAAGATCGCCCGAGAGACTCATTTTGGCTGCTTGAGATTTTAATGCTGAAATTATAGAGAATTACGCGTTATTTTCATATTAGAAATTATATCTTTCGCTGAGGCTTTATACTATATTATATTTGAGTCTACTTGAGTTGTAAATTTTTAATCTGTTGTGAAAAATAAACTAAAAAAATATTTTAATGAAAACATATCAAAAATGGCACGGACAGTATGTCCGTGGTATATATACTTACTTGAAAATAAAGCTGCAGTGAATAGAAATAAAGATGCTATCTGTGTCCTATTGCTTTTCGAGATAGATTTTCTAACTACGCACATTTACCAATCGTTTCTAATAATTTCATATTGTGAAACTTAAGTTAAAGTAAAAATTGTAAAAATCGAATAATTTGAGCGTTTCTGATTTTTATACATTGTTTTTTTTACGAAATAGGAAATCAAATTAAAAACTATTAAACCTTACGTTCCATGTCCATTAAAAATCTTACAAACATCGTCATACAAATAGACTATAATAATACCACTACAACGCGCTACTTATTTATGTAAGTATTTCAGTTATAATTTTAAAAAGAAAATTAGGAATGAACTTCTTTTAAAAATTCAAGTTTTGTTAAATCTCTACTCTTTTACTGTATGAAACGTTGTTTGTTTGTGGAAATTTTATTGGTATATTTACTATTGTTATTGTTATTTGTTGTGTTGTAACACTAGTTAACGTACACGTGTCCTAAGAGAATCGATTATACATTAAATTCCCACGATTAAAATAATAAACATAATGTCGACACCGGGACGGGAGTGCACAGTTGCAGTTTTGAGATATTTTAATTTTTACATATTGTTTAGAGACATTCCATAAACTCAGATCGAGTAGGTTGGACATACATTTTTAATAAAATAAGTTTAATTTGTAATTTTAAAATAAATTAGTTTTTGTTTTTTTTTCGTCCTACCGACTGTAGCTGACGTAACTCATTGTATGTTTGTGTAATGATAAATAAAATAAAAATAAAAAAGTATATAGTGTAGGTACCGAGGTGCGGCAGCGCGCGCGCGGGCGGGCGCGCCAGGCGCCAGGCGTGCAGGCCGGCGTCGGCGCACGCCACGCACGCCCAGCGCGCGTCGCACGCCACGCACGTCACCGCCGACCCTGCGCACACACACATATTATCAGTATTTACTATACGACGACTTGTCTATACAGATAAATTAAATTGAAGTGTCTATTTATAATGTCAAAATAACACCTTTTTACCAGTGATGGGCCGAATGCAAGTAAAAATCCGAAAATGCCCCCGATATCCAGCTTTATTGTAAAAAGTAGCATTTATAAAAGTTGTAGATTTTTACTATTTTTCAACGCTTTGGGTCGAATGCCGAAGTTCGGCTCAAACTGCCGAAATTAGGTTTAACCGAATGTAAAACGAACTTCGGCCCATACCTACTTTTTACTAAATGCATATATGATAATTCCATATCACTCTAATACGGTATTTATAAGAAAAACACAATTTTTTAAACGTTACAAGAGCAATTTAGGCTACTTTTATTTCAGTAAAAGAATTAGGGTTCCGCTCAAAAAAACTAAAATGTACTTAGGGACTAACCCGACCGAAGGGAGAGGAAGTCGCTAGTAATTATTATTTTGTGTGTGAGATGGTGTGTTCACTGTATTTGTGTGTGCAGGGAAGCAATCAAACGTCCAAAGTCACACATATTTATCAAAGTGATTATACGTGGCTCACAAATATTCCTAGCACAATATATACTCTTATAATAAACTAGCGGCTCACCCTCACCCTGTTGGGGTGCGTCCCTATACACGCAGTATAGATTTCTCAGAAATGAGATATTTCCTCGCAATAAAAATATATTGACCCGGTTAACCAGCTATTATCATACCAAATTCCATCTAAATTTGTCCAGTGGTTTTCTCGTGATGCGTTTCCAGACAGACAGACAAAAATTCTAAAAACTATAGGTTCGATCCCTGTATCGATAACAATGATTATTTCAATATATTTTTCAAAAAATATTTATATTCTATATATAGATAATAGACAAACGAATTGGTAGGCGGCTACGGAATAACTATGGTTCGTCGGTTCGTGGCGCGATACAATTGTTATATAGGCAAAATCTATACGTCAGCACTGTTATTACAATTAATCTTAAGTATGTATGTATGTATTCAGCTATTTTCCACATACCTAAATATGTCTCCCACACCGGATCATTGGACACCGAATTATTTGGAATTAATTCTAGTCTTGACAAAGATCTGTAGAACAAGTTTGATGTTTTGTTTACAACCTGAAAATATAATAATGTATAATGACCTCCTGATTTTTTTGTATGTATGTATGTATGTATGTATGTATTATATCCAGCCCTTTTTATCGTCCCACTGCTGGGCACGGGCCTCTCTTCAATACGAGGGGGATCAGGCCAGAGTCCACTACGCTGGCCAAGTGCATGGCGCAATTCACATGTCTTTCGAAAACTTGCTAGGTTCTCTCAGACATGCAGGTTTCCTCACGATATTTCTCTTCGCCGTAAGACAAGTGGTAATAATGTTGGAAAATGATTCGCATATGAAAATATTAGAGGTGCGAGACCCGGAATTTGAACCCGCTTCACTTTAGTTACACCTGGGCCTGACCTATTTACTAGAAAAAAACTTAAATTAATTTCTAATGGTGGAATAGCAACTCAACACTTTCGGTAAGAGGTCAGGCGTAGGACCGACGGATTTACGTGTTTTCTGAGGCACTGATTCGTAACACCATCAACTTCCCAACTCCTGGCTATCACTTCGAATGTCTTAACAGAAACGCCCAACAACTATAACACTTGCCTCGGGGCGGGACTTGAACTCAAGATGTCGCGATCAGCGGCAGTATATGCCAGACTATAGACGACTGAGTTATCCAAGTAATAGATAGCTTCTATTATATAATATAAAATATAATATAAATGCACTAGTGACCTGAAGTTGGCCGCGTCTAGCCCCCAGCGGGATTCAAGCTTGCGATCGCTGGCACAACAAGTATGGTCACTACAAACTGAGCCAGACGTTTTGTCAAATAATACAAATGGAGCATTTCCACGCCAAATTGGACGGTTTCAAAAATTATTATTTTTAATTTTTTTGATAATTTGGTATTTTTAGTACATGTCAAAAGAGGCTTTCTATAAAATTTTAAGATTTTTTGATTACTGGTAGGTACTATAAAATACCAAAAACATTAATATTATAAAAAAAAAAATTTTGAAACCATCCGATTTGGCGTGGAATGCTCAAATTATACCTGTAGCCTGAAGCTGCCGGCCGCGCGCACCACGGGGCCGGCCGTGCCCAGCGCGGGCGCGGGCAGCACGTGCGCAGGGGGCCCGGCTTGCGCGGGGGGCCCGGCGTGCGCGGGGGGCCCGGCGTGCGCGGGGGGCCCGGAATGCGTGGGGGGCCCAGGAGGCGCGGGGGAGGGGGACGTGCACGGCTTCTTGGACAGCTCCTCCACTTTGGGCCCGGGGAGGGAGGCCGCTGTGCGCTTGCGCAAACGCTGGTCTAGACCACTGTGGATGTTTTATGAAAAAAAACCGATTTCAAAAAAACACTAAAAAGTAAAAAAAATAGCCGATTTGTAGTTTTCATTTACTATAGATACCTAATCAGATATTTTCGAAGTCGGTGTCAAGCGATACAAATTAAAGCTCACGATTTTTTTTAATGTTTATTGTAGACATAGTAGTAGCAACATAAGAAGAATATTTTTAAAAAAAGGTCAGTAGGTGGAAAAATCAATCATATCATTTTCTATACTTAGGGGTGGATTTCTGATAAAAAAGAATCATCGAAATCGGACTACACTGTAAAAAGTTATGCTTGGTCCAACATAAAAAAAATATACGTCTCGAATTGAGAACCTCCTCCTTTTAAAAATCTATTATACTAATATTATAAAGAGGTAAAATTTGTGAGTTGTGAGTTTGTGACGTTGTAGGGGGTGATCTCTGGATCTACAGAACCGATTTAGATGAAATTTGGTGCGAAGATAGTTTGAGACCCTGGGAAGGACATAGGATACTTTTTATCCCGAAAATCATTCCTTAAGGGGGTGAAAATGGGTATGAAAGTTTGTATGGAGAATTAAGCTAGGGACGAACCCGAGCGAAGCAAAGGTGAATCGCTAGTTTAGTATATAAAGTAATAAGATTTTTTTAATATATAAAAGTGTTTTGGTATTTCATATGTGGGTATATGTATATCTATTATACAGCTCAGATGAAATATTCAATTTAATATGCAAATTTACTTTTATTTTTAAGGCTATAAAAGTTTAAAACAAACACTTACATATCATTTCTAGTGTTGGAAGTGGCGTGGTTGCTAACGTTGGGATGTATGACGATATCATCGCGCCTCTCCACACGTATCCGAGACTTGCTCTGCGAAGATGTACTGAAGCAGCTCTCCGTGGCCGGCTGGGAGCCTAATGACTCGCTGAAAAATTAGCACAAATCTCATTATTTTTTGTTATTTATTATTTATACTAATATTATAAAGAGACTGAGTTTGTTTGTTTGTTCGTTTTAACGCGCTAATCTAAGGAAGTACTAATCGGATTTGGAAAAATTCTTTTAGAAAGAAAGATAGCCCGTTTATTGAGGAAGGCTATATGGGCTATATATCATCCCGGAAAAATGTACGGTTCCCGTGGGACAGATTTGTTTTTGTCTAGGGACGAACCCGAAGCGAAACGAGTGAGAGTCGCTAGTTATATTATATACAATCTTATTAAATTTTGTCACCAAAAAGGAGTTAAAATTTTGTTTTTAGTAACATACTCGTAACTTGTGTATTATTCTTTCGGTAAACATCTGTTCTATTGTAAAAAAGTACATGACCAAATGAATAAAAGAAGATAAACTTACAAATAAATGGTAATAGTCATATGATGGGGTTTCATTTAACTACTTCAGTGGTCTAGTGGCTAAAAAGTACAGCTATGGATCTGGAGGTCCTGGATTCGAAGCCCGAGTTGGACCAAGTATAGTTATTGAGGTTTTCTGGTAAGGAGTTGGGAATTCCGAACTAAGCGTTATTCCACCCCTATATCTCAGAGAGCAGGTAAGACTATTTGTCCTGCACCTGAACACCCATCAGTCATATTTCCTGCGCAGCTGGCTGTTCTCAGTGAGAGTGGCCGCAGTGGTCGAAATCGGCCAGGAGATCATTATTATCATTATATAACTATAATTTCAACATAACAATATCATATACACATATATCATCGCCAACTTGCTTAATCAGCCGTTTAATAAACGACCTAGCCTATTCATTAAACGCCGCCATTCAATAAAAAGTCTAGGCAGTTAATAAAACGGCTCAATAAGCTTGAGCCGTTTAAAGTTGGCTGCGACATATGTATCGCAGTGCATACTTAGCGTCGTTGCCGGAGAGCGGTATGAAGACGGGCGTGATGCGGCGCTTGCCGTCGGACGTGCGCGTCTCTATCTGGCGGTCCATGGGCCGCAGCGGCGTGCCGCCCGCCTGCGACGGCGGGTGCGCCAGCTGCAGCTGGGGATATTAAGTATTTATATATATTTTTCTTTTTGAAGTGAAAGTTCTTTAAAAACATTGTTATTTGAAACTCGATGAAATGTAAATGCGATACTAAAAATAGACAAACACATGAATACATTGCCATGTTGCCATGGTAACCGTTGTTATTGTCTGACAGTATATAATATTATATTCTATCCGTATATTATATTCTATTAATATATGATTGTAATATGCTTTACATGCCTAATTTAATTATTGATTTGTTTTAATTTAATTGCAATATTTGCCAAAGAAGTATCACTTCTACCGTAAGTGAATTGCTACACATACTTTTAAAATTTGCCTTTTTTTACATTTTTTTCTTTTAATTTATAAACACCTAAAGCATACTGAGTTTTTAATTTTGTTGTTATTTTTGAGTTTTTATTATTATACTTATTTATTGTATTATTTTGTAATAATTAGTTTTATTTATAACTTAAAAGATACTATAGATTGAAATATATTATTAGTATTATTTTTTATAAAATTTTTAAGCACCCTCTTGAGGTAAGCCTAAAATTTAAAATAGAAAAAATTAAAGTCTAAAATTTTTAAATACAAATTTAGTGTCTCATTCTGTTATGAACTCGATAAAAAAAATACGTTAATTTGCATGGTGCCAGACTATATTAATGGCTAATTGGTCTAGTATCTTTCTCACACGGCTATAAATTGGCACAAGCAGCATGGAGAAGGCAAAGCAAGATATCTGTATTTTTATATATTAATATCAATTTATCTGTATTTTTGTGTATATGTTTGTGTCAATTGTGAATGAAGTTATATATATAAAATCCTTATGGATAATCTCATATACATTTGAAAAATAATTCGGAACCCTAAGGGTACATAGGGTTTATAGTTTATACATACTTGTAGTTGTTCACTCCGTGCTGTAATTTCTCCTTTAGGCAACTCCCTTTTAGGCTCCTGTTTCTCCCGAGCGAGCAATATCTCGGGACACTCCACTAGCAATTTTGATATGTCTGTGCCAGAGTCGTTGAGGAAACATTTGCCATATCTCTTCTTGTACAGGGCATTCTGTTTTAACAATCCCATTATTAATCTATACTAATATTATAAATGTGAAAGTTTATGAGTATGTATGGATGTTTGTTACTCTTTCATGCCAGAACGGCTGAACGGATCTGGAAGAAATTTGGCACAGGGACAGATTATAGTCTGGAATAACACATAGGCTACTTTATACCGGAAAAATGTACGGTTCCCGAAGGATAATTTATTTTTGTTTTTCACTAGGGACGTACACGAGCGAGGAGTGCGGGTGAGTTGCTAGTTTTATATATATTTAGACATTTTCCTTTAAATTAGCATTATCCTATACAATGTACAAACTAACAAATACACCTTAATTGTTTTAGTACCTGTACTGTAATTTCAAATGAAATGAAATCAAAATATATTTTATTCAAATAGACTTTTACAAGTACTTTTGAATTGTCAATAAAATCAAATAAAAAAAAAATATTTCGTTACGTTTAAAATCTGAAGTTACTTTATTAGATTTATTTTTTTAGATTTTAATGTGTAGCCTAGTTCATAAAAATATTTTCTACTGCCAAAATATTTTTAAATAAAAAAAATACAAATAAAAAAAAGTCACACAAACAGACTAACTATATTATAATATATATAATAATACTTTCTTAGATTTACGCGAATGTTTGACATTATTAAATAAAACTATCTTTTCGGATTATTTCGCGGATTTATTTTGATTTTTGGTTCCCGACGTTTCGAATGCTTTACAGCATCCATGGTCACGGGAGAGACTGAGGTGTTACATGTAGGCTGTCTGTAACAACTATATCTTTAAGACATGTAACACCTCAGTCTCTCCCGTGACCATGGATGCTGTAAAGCATTCGAAACGTCGGGAACCAAAAATCAAAATAAATCCGCGAAATAATCCGAAAAGATAGTTTTATTTAATAATATATATAATAATATAATTTTATATGTACCTTTTCATCAATTGTTAGTGGTGTGCCGAGCTCCTTGTTGTTGAACTGTATGCATGCGACTGTGCCGTCTGTACTGCATGCTAGAAGATTAAAACCTGTAAAATAAAAGAAAATATTATAATATAAAAAAGAAGAATCTAAAACTTAAATCTAAAACGAAAAATTATATCTAATATGAATTTCAATTTATTATGTTTAAATAGCTATCTTATTTTAGGTTTCCTTAAAAAATAATACAAATGCAGTAGGTACATGGACAAGTAAAATGAAGCCAAAAATAACTGTACATTTTAACAAGAAGATGTACTGTTTTCTTATAGTAATTTTTCAAATGAACTCTATCAGCTTAATATTTTATAATATAAATTATAACTTTTGTAAAGCAAAAGTGTACCAAAAAGCGAAAGGAAGTTCGTTCCGACCGGGGGTCCATAGACCCCTCATTTATATTTAATTTAGATTTTTTTTAATTTGTAATAATATATTTAGCTGTTATTATTTTTACAAACTAATTTTTATTTGTAAGCTGTAATATTATGAATGTTTAAAGATTTTTTATGAATCTTTAAAGACTTTATTGATTCATAACGAAAAAGTACCTTAAGGTACTTTTTCAATCTATACATATAATAAAATTGTAACTAAGCCGAACCTGTACATTAAATATTTTTTGGGAAATCTTATTAAAATAAACATTGTTGTCGATACAGAGGCCGAATCTATAGTTTTTAGAATTTTTGTCTGTCTGTCTGTCTGTTACCGCATCACAGAAAAACCACTGGAGGGATTTTGATGATGATGAACGCGGGCGGGGCCGCGGGCAATGCTAGTATTCTATATATTGTTTTGACACACATAATATACTATTTTGTAACTGTCGTTATCACCTATAATTAAGGTACTAACTACTCTATCTGTTCTGTTTTCCGTGTATGTTGTGTTTAGTTTGTACTTTGTTGGTGGTCTAATAAATAAATAAAATAAATAATTCATATGATACGGTACTCATAATAAAAAAGAAATCTGTCTGTCTGTTAGTTCTGGCTAATTTCCGAAACGGCTAGACCGATTTTGACAGGACTTTCACTGAATGCACCCGAGCGAAGCGAAGGTATAGGAAAGAATCGCTAGTATAATGATAAAAGTTAAAATATTCCTGTAACGTTCAAATTTTACATACCATCAGAACTCCAAGACAGGTCTAGTACACTATCTTTAAACAAATTCCGGATGACCACTAAAGGTCGTTTGAGGGATGTCAACCAGATAGATAATACTTTATCTCTCGAACCGACCGCCACACAACAGTATTTCATATCATTCTTTACAAATATATTACTATTAAAACGCTGGAAACATGTAAAATATTATTAGCACACATTTTGCACATCTATACAGATAAATAAAATTGAAGTGTCTATTTGTAATGTCAAAATAACAGCTTTTTACTTAACGCATATAAAATTATACAGTACTTAAAAGTTTTAATTATTTTAAAAATTTTTAAAATTTTGTCTGTCTGTTTGTCACGGCTAATATCCGAAATGGCTGGACTGATTTTGACAAGGCTCTCACTGACAGATAGCTGATGTTATGAGGAGTAACTTAAGCTTAAGTAACTTAGGCTACTTTTATTTAAGAAAAAGAATTAGGATTCCGCTTCTTCGATCCTAGGGATGTAATTCGCTCGTAATATATAAGATATCATCTTCAATCACAAAGTATCTAAGAATACGAAAATAAAACCATATGCATATTAATATTATTTATGTATTTACTCTTTATTGTTTTTCGTGTTTTTTTTTATTTTCTTTATTATTTTTTTGCTGTCGATAGTATTTCTAGATGATTATAAAAAAAAACATGACTTACAACACAAGTAACAGCCTTATGATGTCCAACAAAATCTTTATCACGTTTCCAATTTTCCCGTTCAATAACTCGGGCAGTGGGTCCATCACCGTTCTTTGCATGAGCTGACAATACATACTGGCCATCCGGTGACCATGACAGCCGAAGAACATGGGTTGTTCCTGAAAATTCATTTTTTTTGAAACTATGGAGCATAGACAAAAAATTACCCCAATAAAAGTTAGGGTACATTAAAAAAAGTATTACTACACGAATAATCTATACAGATAAATAAAATTGAAGTGTCTGTTTGTAATGTCAAATTAACAGCTTTTCACTAAATGCGTATTAAAGTATATACGATACTTATAAGAAAAAAACAACAATTTTTAAACTTTTAATCTGACTGTTTGTTCCGGCTAATCTCCGAAACGGCTGAACCGATTTTGACGGGACTTTCACTGGCAGATAGCTAATGTTATAAGGAGTAACTTAGTCTACTTTGATTTCGGGAAAAAAATCAGGGTTTAGCGCAAAAAATGAAAACCCATGAAATTGTGACTGTAATCCGCGTACCTAGTAACTAATCGTCACTAATATAAACTAAGCCAGACATTAAAACTGTGGGCATAAAAATTTAAAATGACAGAGACAAGTCATAATCAATATAAAATGATAAATTTATAAAACAAATATTTAGTTTATAAATTAAATACTTATTCTTTTAAGTATGTGGTTGTCATGGTAGTAAGTGATATAAGTTATTCTATGAGGATAACCGTTAAATTAAACCACCAGCTCTTGAATGCTATATATTGCACAATATTCCCTCAACGAACGCGGACACGCCGGCGTTACAGTTAACAATAGATTTCTTAGACATTAAATTAATTTCTTAGAAATTTATCTGGAGGTGATGTGTAGTACACATACAGTTATCAATTAGAAGAAACAGAAGGAGTGGAAGACAGCACAGTTTATATAGATTACACACGTAATTTAAAATAGTGGAGAACAAAGAGATGTAGGCCTAGAGTCGATAGAGTGTGAGCAGACTCCGTGGCAACTCTACAATGAGTCGTCAGCCGGGCAGTTACCTCCGCCCACAAGCGATAGCTATTAACTAATATGTAATGCTAATATATTTGTCCAAGTGTACGTTGAACATTTTTATTATATAATTTTATTGAAGTGATAACGTCCTATAAATCTATGAACGCCGGCTGCACGCACGAAAAAGTGTCACGTTCCGTCCGAGCCGAGCGTGCGAGCGAGAGCGTGGAACAAACGATAGAGAGGCACGATCAGCCTAAGTTGTTACTTGTTAATAGCTCATTGTTACTTGTAATTAATCTCTATAATTTAAATAAAAAAATATTTGAATAAGCGAGTGCAAATAAATGTTAATTTATCGAAAAAAATATAATTTTTACCAAACTTTTTTGCATTATACAACATAATGATAATTCAGTGATAATAATTCAATTCAATTCATAAATTTATGTAATTTTTCATAAATGATTTCTTATGAAGTTATCACGTAATATTATCGTCCGTAAACCGATTTTACAGAAAACCATTTTTTTTTATACTTTTAATTTTAATTTAGAATTTCTATTTATATATTTAATAATTTTAATTCACACATAGTTTATATATTATTAATAATATTATCTTAATTAATAATTTGAATACATAAATAAAATATTGTTCCCCTACAAGTAAATCGCTACTAATTATTAATGCCTTATCTAGTTGAAGTAAACAAACAATCTGCTGAGTAACACAGTTTAAATATAGAAATATTGTAAAGTTCATATTTATGAAGATATAAATATATGCATAACATGGTATTTTTGTTTCATCTAAAATATACAAATAGCTCATCTACGGATATATACGGATAGAGATGCAACTGAGGAGGTTACTCGACAAGCTAGACCGCCTTCAGAATTTGTGCATCCATTTTATATATGGATTGCGCAGATCACGTAAGTACTTTCCGACGTCAACTGAAGTGGCTCCCTATTATCGTAGGAATTTTGTTTTTAATGCGCATATTGTGCGTTTTTTATAATATTTTGGAAACCTCACACTATCCCTACACCATCATTAAGTGAGCGCTTTATATTAGTTCCCTCTAGAAGCAGACCAGTGCGTTCTTGTGTCAATTTGCCCAAACTAGTGGTTCCTCACTAAAATACAATATTCTATGAAAAATCTTTTTCTGTTATGTCAGTAAGATTGTAGAAACTCACTGCCTGATTATATTTTCAAAGATGATCCTACACTCACAACATTTAAATTAGAATTTAACATCACTATTTATCAAATCAGACATAAATTATAGTATATAAGTATGTATATATATGTAAGTATATATGTAGGTATATATGTTTGTGTGTATGAATGTATAAATATATTTATTTACGTGTAATTTTTTATTTAGTTGATATATTATTACATTAACTTTATATACCATTTAATACTGTACTGTACCTACACCGCACTAACTTATTATCTCACATCTGAAGTGTATCTGGAAGAAATCTCTTAAAGAGATTATATATATATTTGGAAACATAAAGTCAACAGCTGCTGTAAAGAATTTAACCCATTAATATGTATTATGTTTGTTACTCTATTACACCAGAACGGCTGAACGGATCTGGATGAAATTTAACACAGAGATTGAGATATATATATATTATAAATTGGAATAGCACATAGGTTAATTTTAGTCCCAGCAAGATGTACAGTTTCCGTAGGATATTTGTTTGTTTTTTTTTTCACTAGGGACGAACCCGAGCAAAGCGAGGGTGAAATGCTAGTTTCTAAGTATTTTTTTATTTCTTAAAACTGACCTCCACAATTTTCAAAAGGATCAGTAATAACAGTTCTAGAAGTCCAGTCCTCTGTACTCCAAACTCGTAATGATTTGTCATCTGACTGTGATGCTAAATATGTTCCAACCTATAATTAAATTAGTATAAAATTAAATGAATTCTTTTAAATCTTTAAAAAGTAATATATATTATATTTTCAAAATTTATATTTTTAAGTAATTCGTACCATATTACAATATTTTCAAGATATAATTTAGAAAAATTAATTTATATTTATTAATTTAATGCATTTATTATTCAATTTATTATGACATGTACACATTATGTTATAAGATATTGACATTGATAAGTAATCATCCCGATTCTACATCAATAACTGTTTTTTTCTTTAAATAAATTAATGTCTTACAGGATCCCAAGCCACTCCCTTTACAAGACCGGTATGACCATTCAGAACACACACTATTTCAGGAAACTTCTCTGCATTCCATACAATAATACTGTTGTCTACACTGCAACTTGCCAACCAGTTATCTCGTGGAGACCATGCCAAATCAAGAACATCACCTAGAAACAATAATAAAAGATATTTGTTAGTAATAAAGACATAGTTAAATGTTCACTAAAACCTAATACATACTTATCAATACTAGCGACTCACCTCTCCCTAGGTATGTTCTAAATAAATATGAATAGTTATTGCGAGTGTACCTTAGTATTTAATTTTTTTTGTTTACTACAAACAAGTACAAATGCTTTATCACTCTTTATCAACTACTGTTCCACTGCACTTGAAGATTCTACCACTAATAACCTCTACAACGTTTCTTATTATTATTTAGCGTTAGTAGTAATCGTATAAGCATTGCACATTGAATTCATGTAGTAAATATCGTATTGTATAATACTCGAGAAAAAATTTTATTTTTTTATTTTACTAAAAAAGAAAAACAAATGCACTACAAAATACTAACGTTTTTCTGTAAGAAACTGCAGGAAAAAAATCTTTTTTTTGCAACTTCAGGGGATGAAATTATTTTTGTCATCTATATATTCTTTTGGCACTATTATTTATGAAGATATCGTCACTACTATCCACTACTTATCGAAATCTTAAACTAAAAAAGGACAATTTTTCAAAGTCCAATGCTAAGTACGCGTAGGCTAAGGATGACTCGATGTAGTCTAGTACTGTAGTAAAAGGTATCCTAAATGTTGACTTGAGTAATAAGTTAACACTACACAAAATTTAATTAAAATCAGTTCAGTACTTTTCGTATTAAATGCGCACAAACAGACGAACAGACAAATTTTTAATAACTATTGTTTTGGGCTCTATATTTTGTACTTACACCATATGTTACAGTCATTGTTTTTACAAAATATTTTATGTACAGATTTCACTAAGTTACTATTTTATATTATACTAGCGACTCACCCTCGCTTTGCTCGGGTTTGTCCCTAAACTTTCATACCCATTTTCACCACCTTACAGGATGATTTCCGGGATAAAAAGTATCCTATGTCCTTCCCAGGGTCTCAAACTATCTTCTTACCAAATTTCATCTATCATCTAATCGGTTTAGTAGATTCTGAGATTACCCCCTATAACCTCACAAATTCACAAACTCACAAACTTAACCTCTTTATAATATTAGTATAGATGTATAGATAGATGTACATAGGTTATGTTTTATAAGTGTAATATCTACCTCGTTAAATGTGTATTATCTACTCGAACCTAATTGTTATTTACAAGTGAGTACTTTTGATTTAAATAACTATTTCTAGTGATATTATAGTCATAAATGATCTCAATATTTCCTTGTTTATATATTTACATGACTTTATACTACACAGTTAATATTTAGGTACCTGCATGTCCTCTTAAAATTTTTAAGCATCGCCATGTCTCTGATTTGACTTTACCAAAGGTAGCTGCTGCCCCACTTAAACACCAAACCATGACCAAGGAATCATCACCACATGATGCCAAATAATGACCATTATTGCTCCACCGTACACAATTTACACAAGCTGTGAACAGATAATTATAAAAAAAAATATAAATTTCGTCGGCCTAATTCATTAACCTGCTAAGTCCATTTTTGAGCAATTTTACTTTTTATGCCGGTCATATAGAAAGGTTAGAAATATCATGCACGAAAACCTGCTTTCTGTCCAATAGCATATCTACAGAAAGAAAAACTGCTAAATCCTATAGGGGCCTCAGTTTTCGACTGAAAATGTTCACCGACTCACGTGCCTGTGGCGACGTCTTAAGTTTTATCATGATTTAGTTAAATATTTAGTTTTATTTAAATCGATTCTTATAAAACTGAATAAGGATAAATGGTTACCTTTTTTTTTATTAGAAATGGGCTCACTCTTGACCTTTATCTTAGCTCGAAGGCACAGATAAGGTCTACGATATAGCGAGTTTGCCCAGCAGAAGCCTGTTAACACGCACCTTAAATAGGTTCAGGTTATACGCACTCGGAAAAACAGACGCAGGCAGCGCATTCCACATCTTGGCTGTGCGCATTATAAAAGATGACGAATAGCGCTTAGTGCGAGTGGTCGGAATGTCAACCAAGAAAGGATGGTATCCTGCAGTCATCCGTCTGCTGTTTCCGATAGGAAGAATGGCGATGGCGGGTATGAGACTGTGGATAGCTCGTGGGCACACTCCCCGAAGTACAGTCTGTAGAAAACCGACAGACAAGCAACTTGGCGACGGTGTGCTAAGCTGTGAAGCTTAGTTATCACAAGCTTTTCGTCGCCGATTAGCTTTTTAGCTCTGCGTTCCACCGAGTCAAGAGCGGCTAGTTGGTATTTTGCAGAGCCATCCCAAAAGTGACTGCAATACTCCATGCATGATCGGACTTGAGCTTTATATAATATGCTGAGAACGCTGTCCAGGCGTGAAGTATCGCTTAACCTTGTTAAGGATGCCCAGTTTCTTGGCCGCAGTCTGTGCCTTCGACTCGATGTTGTCGCCAAAGTTAAGATTTGCACTTAACCTTATGCCGAGAAGCTCTAGACTGTCGGAAATCTCTACAGGTGTACCACGAAAAGTAGGAGTCAAGCTGAACGGACTCCTTTTTGCGGAAAATAGACAGGCTTGCGTTTTGGCGGCGTTGAAGTCGACCAGATTGTCATCACCCCATTGTGAGACAAGACTTAAGGTCGCATTTGTACGCTCTACCATGGCCTCTCTCAAAGTACTTAATTAATACCCCTACGTCCCTTGCACGTGGGCACATAGCGCCTCTATGACTGTGCTGTCATCTGGCATATGCAACAATACCTGTTGAAAGTGAGGTTCATTGATGTGTAGCAGGAAAAAGTCGCAGATGGAGAACAGACCCCTGTGGACACTTCCGGCATCAATAGCCATTAGATCGGAGGAGCAGCCCGTCAACGACGACTAGCTGATCGACCGTTCGGTTAGGAAATCTGATACCAGTCGCAGAAGTCGGAAGGAATGCCGTAAGCAGGAAGCTTGCTCAGTAGACTTGCGTGCCAAACCCTATCAAACGCCCTTCGAGATATCGAGTGAAACTGCTAGAGCTTCACCAACCACGGTTTTCGATGGCCTCACCCCAGTACCTGTGTAAGATACACAAGAAGGTCCCCTGTAGACCGTCCCTGCGGAAGCCATATTGATGGTCGCTAAGGAGAATCATTAGCTTCAAGGTATGTCATCAGCTTTCTGTTAAGTACCCTTTCCATAACTTTACAGAGTAGAGTAGGTAATGGCGATTGGTTCGATAGTTGTAGGGATCGGCACGACTACCCTTCTTTGTACTGGCTGAACATTGGCAAGCTTTTCAAGAATTGAGCACTGTGCTAGTTTGGAGAGAGAGGCGATACAAGCGAGTCAGCACAGGAGACAACTCCGGCGCACAATTCCTTAGGACTCTTGCAGGTATACCGTCAGGTCCACTGGCCTTAATCACGTCAAGATTTTGCAGTATTCTACGATCTCTTTCGTGTGGATTGCAATCTTGGGCATCGTAGAATCACAGTGGGGGAAGAGTTTGGTGGATGTTTTGGATCCAGCATCTAGACGCGAATTGCTCGCGAACAGAGTTGCAAGTAAATTGCTTTCTCTAACCGCGGAGTGAGCCAGTGACAGTGACCCATCTGGTTTCTGCAAGGGAGGTAAAGAGGGACGGCAGAAGAAAATTGGACTCGATAGCCTTGGACAGGGACCAGAATTACTTACTACCAGGAGGGTAGGAAGCAAGTCTGGCTCCTATACGACTGACATGGTCAAAACGTGCCCTACGGAGAACCCTATTGCTAGCAACACACAGACTTGGTAGCAACATTATAAGCTCTTTTCTTCGCACGAACCCTCCGAGTTCTGACTTTGCGATCACGAGCCAAAACCCAGGACCGGTAGGCGGCCTCTTTTCGCGCCTCAGCACGAGCACAGTCGCCATTATACCAGTGGGCTTGGCTTTGTGGGCCCAGCGGGATGTCGGAGAACGAATGAAGTATTCCATTCCCTGCCGTATCACATCGACAACCGCATCAGCTAAGCACGAGAGGTCGGTCGAAGAAAAGCACACTTGCCTGCAAACGGGAAAGATGCAAAAAAAAAAAAAATGCCCGCAACTCAATCCCAGTCAGCTGACTCGTATCGCCCAATACTCTCCTCGTGCCCACTGGGCAGTTTAACCGGAGGAGAGAAGATCGTACGGACTTCACCAGAATTGTGATCAGACGATCCAAAAGGGGATGATACCGAAAATTGAGTGCCTGTTCCGGTTCTGTTGTCAGCAGAAGATCCAAGCAATTGCGTGTATGTCCGTCCACATACGGTTCCCGCGTCGCAAACTTGGGCCAGCTGAGTGAGATCTAGCGATAGCGCAAATTTGCGCGCCTCTCTCCCAGCCAATATGGTCAGTGAAATTTGTAGGGGAACAACCACTCTTTGTGGTGGGCATTAAAGTCCCCCCAAGAAAGAAAAAACCAGTATGTGCCAACGGGTACCGTTGTTGGGCTTTATCAGCCATCTCAGACAGGTGTTCAAAGAGCCTGGTCGTCTCCTGGTCTCCGCTGTACGCGATCGATAGACACAGGCATAGAGGGTAGACTCCACGCCAGTGTCCAACAAAATCCACAAAGTCGAGAATCCTGAACCCTCAAAGCAACGGAGACGCCGACAGCAAATATCGTCACGGATATACACACAGACCCCAGCATGCGATTGATTTCAACTTTATCAAGCTATTAAAATCATAGAAAAACATCGGAAATTCAATATACCATTGTACCTCGCCTTCGTCGATTATTCAAAAGCGTTTTATAGCATATTACATGATGCTGTTTTTAATGCTCTTCATTGCCAAAAAATAGATTTACCTACATAAAGATGCTCCGAAGTATATACGCCAATAGCACAGACAGCATCAAAACATACACGATCGGGCCTTCTTTCAATACATATTCAAAAAGGTGTTAAGCAAGGAGATCCGCTTTCACCTATACTTTTTACGAGCGCATTAGAAGATTTAAAAAAAAGTGGCATCTAGCTGGGAACGCGGAGGCATTGACGTCGGTGGAACGCAGTTAACTAAACTTCGCTTTGCTGACGCCATTGTCTTATTTTCTTTAACAGCGAAAGGACTGGAGCTCATGTTACAACATAGTGATGTAAGTCTTGAGGTTGGACTGAAGATGAATATATCAAAGACCAAGCTGATGTGTAATAGCACCCAGAGGCGGCTAAAAGTGAACGGAGAGGAAGTACACTATGTTCAAGAGTATATCTATTTGGGCCAGATAGTTTCTTTTTATTCCAGACAAGACAAATACCTATCAAGAAGAATTGAAAATGCCTGGAGGAGCTACTGGTTCATGAAAGATTTTATGAAGGGTGACCTTCCATTATCACTGAAGTGACAACTTATGGACATGTGCGTACTTCCCATACTTACATACGGAGCTCAGACTTGGTCTTTGACAGACACTCAGAGTTTGCCAACATGCAATGAAACATAGCATTTTAGACGTTAAATTGACTGATAAAGTTCGAAACGTTAAACTACGCTCCAAAACGCAAATCACTGACGTGGCTCTAAAAGCCAGAAAACTTAAATGGGACTGGGCAGGCCATATTTGCCGTATGCCTGCAGAACTGTGGGCCAAAGTCACCACAAAGTGGAACCCTGAGATTGGGAGGCGGCGTCGCGGGAAACCATGAACTAGATGTAGTCAGATGAATTGGACAAATTCGATCCATATTAGCCTATTCTTGCGCAAGACCGCACAACTTGGAAACATAGAGGGTAGGCTTTGTCCCAGTAGTGGATGATGTAGGCTAACATTAACAACTTTATATTTTACCAAAGTTTCAGACTAAATTGACTAATTTTTGAGAGTTTGAATTGTTAATTTAAAGTATTTAGAATATTGTTTATTTTTCATTTTCAAATATAAATTTGATTAATATACTATTTAATTGAATTAATTTCATTAAAAAAGTCTTAACTAATTTACATTCCATATTCATCCTTAACCAAATTGGAACTTCACAATAAAAGGCTAAGAAATTATTTTCTTTAATTTACTGAGCTGTGCATAAGATGTGCAACTATTATCACTTTCAAAATATCAAGGAAACTTATAGGAACCAATGGTATTTTCAGAATTTTGATTAGTAAAAATAAAATGATATAATTCAGTTTTTTCTTCGTCCTGTAAACTATGCAGAATGGCACTTAGCAGGTTAACGAATTAAGCCGGTGATTTAATTATAATAAAAACTTTCTACAGTATAAGTTATATCTATGCAAACATATGCATAGATTGAGGAACCTGGAGTGAAGGATAATATTGAAAATATAGGCAAGATATACATTTTCTCAAAACTTTTAGAAACACAGGCATTATCTCTTAGAATAGTATTTTATGATATTTCAAATGCATAAAAACTAATTCACTATCAGAATACAACAAATGTTTACTTCAATTTAAAGAAATATGTATCTTATTACAATAGATCAAAAATTAAAGTCTAACCTAGATGATTATCCATTTGACATAGCATTTTAGGTACATTCGGGTCCAATTCAACTTCTTCATATAAGACAGAGTTTAAGTTCCAAACCACAACTGTTCCACCCTGCCCTCCAGTAGCAAACCGATTGCCCTGCGGATGGATATCCACAGAAAATATTGCTTTTTCTGAAAAAAAAAATTAGATTATCTTTTAAATTATTCAATATACCAATCAATCTTTAATGATCGCAGTTCAACTTACCATCATGATTTACCCAGTTGGGCTTACAGAGCTTCATTTACAAAGATTTTAATTAATTTAATCCGTAAACAAATAATTCGTATGTTTTCTCTTTAATGACATTTACTTCGTTTATTGAATATTGACACTGACTAGGGTCTCCGTAGGGTTTACATTCTCTTTGCTGACTAGTGACTACCGAATGGCCTTCGGCGAATGCACAATGCACATTGCTGATTGCACTAGCTATGCAGTGTTGCCAACACTCTTTAAAGAAAACGCGCTAAATTGACTTCAAAAAAGTATATAGATTAGGACATTTTTCGAAAAAAAAGCGCTAAATTATAAAAACAATTAAAAACATTTGTAACCTCAAAAGTTACATCAAAAGACAAAAATTATCTACAAATTTAATATCTGATATTCTTCATTGGCAGAAACTAATTGTTCTTCTTGTACTATTTGGTGGTACTTACATAGGTTTGATCATGACTTACATTTTCTATGACGAATCTAACCTGAACATTATGTACCAGAGGTACAAAACCTTATGAAAAAAATTTAAACCCATAAAATTGTGTTTGCGCTCTCTGTATGTTCTTGGCTGTGTTTTTGGGCAGCAAATGAGGTCAGTAATCGTTTCTAATCCTTAAAAACACGGAGTATAATGGTTTTTTATTTATTTATGAGGCTCTGGATGCTTGTTGTTTTATTTATTTTGAACAATTACGTTCCGTTACAAGTTTTTTTAAAGAAGAGAAATATTATTTAAAAAGCGCTAGATTGGGCGCTAAGCGCTAGATTTTTTTTGGGCGCTACCAGAGCCAAAAAGCGTTAGATCTAGCACTGAAAGCGCTAAGTTGGCATCACTTAATTGCACCCACCGGGCATTTGGTAACAGGGCTGCCAGAAGACAGTCGTTGATTTACCCGACCAATCCACCGCCGGCGCCAACCACAAGCAGAACACCCGAAAATAGTTTTTTTAAAGTAATTTATTCAAGTTTTATATAGAATGAAAGAAAGTACTAATGTTACAAAAAGAAGTCATTGTAATCAGTTCTCAATTAAACAGCTTTAAATTATTAAATCAAACTTTAAAAAAACTTAAAATATCAAATTTTTCAGTTAAAATCCAAAACTAAAATACCTTTTTTTTAATGTTGGGAAGTGGATTTACGCACTAAATGTGGGACTTACCGGCGAAGCCAGTACTACCCACTAAAACCCAACAAAGCCTTCCCCCGTCTTAATGGGGCGTCGCAGGATCGCTTACGCATTCAACTACGACGTCACGACGGCAGGTCTGCCGAAGCAGACCACAACAACCACGGGTGCTCCAAGGTCCACTTTGCTATCAGAGAAGTACCAGGAGCAACCCGCATGGTACACCGCCCTCCTAAGAGGGCCACCTCCCACCGCCTACCGAAGTGGGCCACCTCCCTGTGCGTTTCTTGACTTCGCGCCCGGCTGTATTGCCGGGTACTACTGAGCCCCCCTACCACGACAAGGTGAACGCACGTTGGGGGGGAAACTAAATTACCTGCTTTGACCCCGCTCAATTTAAAATACCCGTCAATATCAAAAATCGCCTAAAATTACCCGAAAAGCGGGTAATTTTAACTAAATTTGCCAAATGGCAGCGCCGTTCGATAAAGACAATGCACAGACTAACAAAACTCCAAAGATTTACCATTTTATGGAGAATAAAAATGATTTTTTGTTATTACAATATACCAAGAATAAATCTTGTAAAAATAACAAAACTTGTAAAGTAAATATTTTCCTCAAAAATTTTTTGTTTACGTTAGACGTTACGATTTCCGAAAATTGTTTTTTTTTATTTAAATCTTCTAATACTTGAAGAATACGTTATTTTATGATCATATTAATATGCGTCTTTTTATTATTAATCTATGTACCTATCTTTATCTATAGCCTGTGTCTACGTGACAGATTTATTCCGTCATCCATGACAACAGACGTCAGACAAAAACGATTAGCAAATAATTTCAATTTGAAAATTGATGTTTCACGTATTTTCAACTTAAAATTCGTCTGATTGTGCTTTATTTGAATATATATTTTTTGAAGTTTCGGCATGAGAGGAGCTGATACTCTTATACCAGCCCGGTTTTTATCCCTTTTGGGACATTTTTGTGTGTTAGTAACTTTGTTATGGGAGAGCCAGAAGAGTGTTCGTCATTGTTTGCCAAACCAGTACCACGACAGTCATTTCCAGATATATTACAGCCGGTGAGTTAATAAAGCATATATACAATTATTATTGCAAATTTACCTAAATACTTACTACTTTTATTCAGTATTTCAAATATGCTGCTACTTTTGTGTCATGTTTTATTGAAATAAAATTTACATCATAGCGCCTGGTGCAATGCAGTATTTTTTAATGAAATTTCTAGCCGTTATTAAATTAATTGATCAGATATAATTAAAAAAAATCAAGAATGCCTTTATTATTTGTTATTTGTTTGCTTATGACTATACAAATTATTTAAAGTGATACTTTAAAATAAAGTTCTCAAATAAAATTAATTTTGAATGAAACATTACTTGATAGTTGATACTCCAAAAATATGAATACTTGTCACAAACTTTCAAAATACTTATGTTGTGTATAATGTTGTGTATGTTTTAAATTGTGTTCTCAAAATTTTCAACATTTAAAAAGTGTTACTATACATGGTACTAATTAGCACTTAGTGACTTTATACGGCTCCTACTGTATTACACACCTATTATTATTACCTACTATACTTTGAGTGTACTAATAAAATTTTACATTAATACAATAATGTAAACAAGCTTTTGCTTCACTGACATCTGGCATAAACAAGTTTCAATTGAGTTTATAGTAAATGTTTATAGTTCATGTGTTTGGTTAAGTGATTGTGAATTGTATAAGAATATAGGGTTGGTACAATTCTTTTTCAATAATATTGGCGATAGTAAGATTTATTATGTTTTTTTTTATTTATTAGTATTTTTCTCATGTTAAGCATCATTACAGTAAATATAATATTGTACATGACTTATATCCCAGACTGTTTTACATGACTTGAGCCATAATTCTAAAAAAAACATATTGAAAAGTATTTTAAGTTTTATTTATATTTTAAATAAGTAATTTCCATAAAGTTCAATGAAGCAACAGAGAAAGAAAATGTTAAAGTACTAGATATATTAATAAAGAGAATGCATTTACTATGTTGTATTTTATAGATAACTGTCTTGTTATTCATTTAATAATAGTTAAGTCAATGATTACTGATAACATTGTATTGCTAAGATTTCCTGTAGAATTGAAATTTTAATTCAAACGTGGGATATTATGTTTGTATATTACAATACATTAGATTATTAGTTACTAGCGACTCACCTACTTCGACAAAAAGAAACCTATCTCGTGAGAACCGTACATTTCTAGGATAAAAAGTACCCAATGTGCTATTCCATACTATTATCTATAGCTGTGCCAAATTTCATCCAGATCCGTTCAGATGGTTTGGTGTGAAAGAGTAACAAACATCCATCTATCCTCACAAACTTTCACATTTGTAATATTAGTAAGGACTACATTTTTATAGTTGTCTGCCCTTTGGGATAATTGGGGTACCTTTTGTATTTTATAATTAAATTGATTGATATATTAAAACAATTAAAAAAGTGTTTGTGATGCATATCTACAACATTTCACTAGTGTTCCTTTATCACATGTATATAAGTAAATTCAATATTATATATTTATATTAAACAAAATAAACAAGTACTATTATGACTTATAATTATTTAATGACTAAAGTACTGATATTAAATCTTCATAGTAAGTATATTGAGATATATCATTCTTTTTAAGTCATAATTTGTATACTTTGTTAAATAAAGTATAAATAAAAACCACTGTAGAATAATGTAATAATACCCTTTGAACCTAGCCCTCAAAATCCACTATGATCTGATTTAATTTATAAGTTTACTAAACGAGGTATTAAGAGTGCCAGATCGCCGTTACGATGTTAGTGTGGCTGCACGCTTGGACTGGTCGGCCGACAGTCACGTGACCAATTGAATCACCATAACCAAATTGTCGGAAAACATCTCCGCTTATTTTTAACTTCGGTTGTGATGTTGCTATAGCAAAATATAATCGAAATTTTCAATATATAATTTAACATTTATGGGCTAGCGAAGTATGCGTTTTTTTTTATTTTTGTTTATGCTATTTTTATAACTTTACGATAGGTACTGATTACAACCTTTGTACGGTTCAAGGTGAGTAAGTAATAGCCACTAACAGTACTAACTAGTAATAGCACTTGTATTCTGTAGTACTATAGTATTACGAATTCTCTTAGCGATTTGATAAATATTTCGAAGTAAAAACTATTTTTTATTATTATTAATAATCAAAATACACTTATTTTGATTATTTTGAATATATTACATGTTTTAAATTAGTGAACTAGACAAAAAATAATAAGTCGCGCACGCGCTTTATATGAGGTTACGTTACACCTGCGCGTGCGCATACACGCGTACAGTAGTGTAAGTGTGCACCGTCAACCGTGCGGTAAAATCATAGATTATGTATCTATTCGTAGTTTAATATTATTTATGTTAGTCTGCCTCTAAGTATATGCGATAGTTAGACGCAGCAAAAACAATGGCCGTGGAAAAGAGAGAGCAGGTCAGTCGCTTTTCCTTATATATTTTCTTTTCTATAAAATTACGGGAATTTAGTGTGATAATTTATAAAAATGCTCATTGCAATTTTTTTTTTAAATTATAATAGGTATTCATTGTTTTAAATAAGTAAAAGCTTTAATGATTGAAGATCTTTTATTTGTTATTTAAATTAAGAGTTATTTTAAAACAAATTGATAATTAACATTTCTCATTAATTAACGTTAATAGAAGTCGGTATATTAGTTCAATGAGTACAAAATATGTAAGTTTTGAACATTGTATGAAAATTGTAGAAAACATAGGTACACAGTTACTTTACGTACTCGTATCTACGAACTTTTTTGTTTAATATTAAAATGAACAAAAAATATAAAATTTTATACGAAATTAAGGAACATAATGATGAAAACAAATATATTTTTGGATATTTTTCTTACTTCACTAAAAAAATAAAGATAATTATTGTTAATTCCTATTAGACATTGTTAAATATAAAAATAATGTAATGTAACGTAAAAATAATTTAGCATCTCGTTTCATAGAAGTTTTGGCGATCTATTAATAAAAAACATACATATTTTTTATGATTTTTGTTTATATGGAGAGTTAAAAATTTGCAGTTAAATATTTTTTACTATTTTATTTAGTGGTACATGTAAATACATATAATTCTAATATTATAAAGAGGAAAAATTTGTTTGTTTGTACCGAATAGGCTCCGAAAATACTGAACCGATTTAGATGAAAGGCTGGGGAGGAAATAGGATAGTTTTTATCCCGGATATCATCCCTTGAGGGGGCTAAAATGGGGATGAAAGTTTGTATGGGGAAGCAACCTAGGGACGAACCCGAGCGAAGCCACGGTGAGTCGTTATTTCATAATAATATAGACGAATACTAGGATAAGAATAACAGAAGTTTATATGTTTTATGAAGCTATAATTCACGCCAGTAAAAATGTGTCTTACCGTAAAGCGTAAATAAATCAATTACACTATCGTGTAAGAAAATGGAATTTAATAAATGGCCGCAATTTTCTTTTACTTTTGTAAATATATATAGATTAGTGATGAAACGAATAGTTGTTTGGCCGGATAACGGATACCAGATATCCGGCAATCTTTAAGGCCGGATGGCCGGATCTCCGGCGGCCGGATAATATTAGTCGGCTGTCAATATACAAATGTTGCGATCAACTCTTGATATTAAGAATTTAGGCTTGAACTCGTGATAGTAAGAATTTAGGCTTATTCGGAATAACTGAGTGTACAAGATAATTTTATTTTATTGCCTTTACAAGATAATTTACCTCACAGATTTATGTGTATTATTTACTTATTGAATAGTTACCGGATGTCCGATTCATCTCTAAATTATAGATGTAAGGAGTAGTACAAAGGAAGTTCATCATCCGCTTCACCATATAACATTACTTCCTCTTAATGCTTTCTGCTCTAATTGCAAAAATATTGTCCTCTGGCCAGATTTTAGTGTTGCTTAGACTAGCTATTTACATGAGAGATACTATAGATCAGGAGTTCCCAACCAGGGGGTCGTAGCAGGGGAGAGAGTTTATTTTGTATAACTTAAAATTAAACACAAATCGTTAAAATAATGTGTGTTTTGTTATAGTAAAAAAAATAAAAGGGGGTAATAGTAAAAAAAATATTTTTTATAATTCGGGGAAACAAAACAAAGGTTGGGAAACTCTGTTATAGATAGTACGTAAGTGTATGCACAGACGCTCATACATCCTATCCTATTCTATTTACTAATAGCCCCTCCCTGTATCTTTAACCAGGTAGGAATAAAAATCTATTTGTGTAACATAAATTATCTACGCGAAAATCGAACCCGCGATAAAAGTAAAATTATACTGTAGTTTATACTTAATCAAAAACATGTGTCGATATTGTATATACGTACGTACGTACATGGCAAAACAAGTTAGTTATAAGTTGTCATTACAGATTGGTGGCAGGTCTCGCATCATCGATTGCTCTGGTGGTGGTTGAGTTCACAACATTCATATTTGGCCTTACCATGTTCTCTCCATCTGTTACTTTAACCTGTATCCTTTTGTGATTTGTGCTTTAATAACTTATCATCTGTCATTTTACACACCTATTTTTAGCGATTTTGAAACTCACCGGACGATTGACTAACGTGTCGTGTAACGTCGGCACAAAGCTTGTGATTTGTATATAATATGTTATTATTTATTAAAACAAGAAATTGAATGGCTAAAGATTTTTTTAAATGCTTCACAGCACCTTCTGTAGATACTAAATTCAAAGCTGTAAAAAGGGAGTGAAAGATTTTGTGTTACGATGTCTTCCAGTAGTTTTTCTGTGATGCGGTAACAGACAGACAGACAGACAAAACTTCTAAAAACTATATATTCGGCCTCTGTATCGATAATAATGTTTATTTCAATAAGATCTTCCAACAAAATATTTAATGTACAGATTCGGCTTAGTTAGAATTTTATTATATATATATACCTAGAAGAGTAGCATGAAAGAGTTTTATATATATGTTTTATAGAAGCAAATAGGCGTTATCTGTTGTTTATTATTCAATGATTATATTAATCAATGCTTAAGCTAAAAGACTAAGTATAAATAAATGTCTTAATACAGCTTTATAACATCTTTATACAATCCGCTCCTCCGACCTGAGGATTAGTATAATATTTTAATGTTAGAGTTATTTTTCATCGCAAATTGCACCATAAAATAGTTTCTGTCGGTCAATTCAGTGATATGAATAATCAATTAAACACACAAAACATTGGGACCCCATTCTGATAAGTTAGGGTTGTAGAAATGTCCCCCCCAACGTGCGTTCACCTTGTCGTGGTGGGGGGGCTCAGTAGTGTACTCGCGAAGCCAAGAAACGCACAGGGAGGTGGCCCGCTTCGGTGGGCGGTGGGAGGTGGCCTTCTTCGGAGGGTGGTGTACCATGCGGGTTGCTCCTGGTACTTCTCTGATAGCAGAGTGGACCGTGGAGCAACCCCATGGTTGTTGTGGTCTGCTTCGGCAGACCTGCCGTCGGGGTGTCGTAGTTGAATGCGTAAGCGATCCTGCGACGCCCCATTAAGACGGGGGAAGGTTTTGTTGGGTTTTAGTGGGTAGTACTGGCTTTGCCGGTGAGTCCCACACTTCGTGCGTAAATGCATTTCCCAACGTTAAAAAAAAAAAAAAAAAAAAAAAAAAAAAAAAAAAAAAAAAAAAAAAAAAAAAAAAAAAAAAAAAAAAAAAAAGGTTGTAGAAATGTGTTTTTTTAAATTGAATTTCAGATTTTTTTAACTTACTATGTAAAAAAATATAGATAATGCTTATAATGATAATCTTTCATGCACTGAAATGAAACCTGATTTATAAAGTAAAACAATTGAACTATATATTTTATTTTAACAACTGTAATTTTTTATTTGTACGTGTTGTATCCACGAAGATATTTAATCCACGAAGAACCTTTATGTCGATGACGATAAAATTAAAGCTTGGTGTCGTTGACCTGCACACAAAGTATGGGAGTCTGTTAGTTTATTTTTTGTGCGGCCCTATCATTCGTTAGAGGAAGTGACGAAACCCACATGCATGCTAATTAACTCGATATTGGTGACGTTGTAATATTTAATTAGGTTCGATGGTTAAAGTTTTAAATGCGAAACTGTGTTCGTAAAAAGCAATAAAGGGACAGATCAATATGGTTATATGATTTTGTAACAGATATAATTTAATAGAGTAGGCATAGACACAGGCATTAGGCTTAATATCCAGGTGCATCATATTCATATTATAGTTTTTGGAATTTTTGTCTGTATGTTTGTCTGTCTGTCTGGGAACGCATCACGAGAAAACCACTGGGCAGAATTGGATGAAATTTTTTATAGTGATAGCTGGTTATCGGGGTCAACATATAGAATGCTTTTTACTGCGGGAAAATATCTCATCTCTGAGAAATCTATACTAACCGTTAATTATGGAGTTATATCATGGAGTTAAATATATTTTTCAAACATAAACGCAACTATAATCACTATCATGCTATCAACTTGTGTATATATGTAATTATAAAAATAAGCTCCTTAACTGTACTTCAGCTATTGCAGGACATGGCTCCGCTTCGATCGTGCTAACATATTTCATTATCGACCATTGGATTTGTGATTGGTTTTGGCCAATATTTTTCTTTTGCTCAGTTTTGCCGTCTACTCTAGATATAATCGCGGCTGTAATAACTTTGTGCTCAACTAAATGGTGACGAACCTTGATTTCATGTATTTTCAATCACTTTTAAGTAGGCTTCATAATTTTTCTTAATTTACTAAGATATTTGTTCCATAAAAGGGAAAGGATGGTCACGTTTTCCTTATAAATTTTCTTGATCGATCTTTTATAATAAATTGTTCTAAGATTTGTTTTTTAATGTTTCGCATATTATAGTTAATTTTTTGTTACGTGCTTGTGTATATAATTCCAATATGGTTCTAAATGTACATATATTTGTTTGTGAAAGTGAAATGAACTATGGGATTTTGTGTCTTAGTTTTATTTTGAACAAACGATAACGATAATTTCTATTTAATTAGAATATATTTTACTTTAAATATGACATTGTCGAAGATCATTATAGATTTATTCGTAAGTGTACCATATTTTTAGAGTGATACGCTTTTAAAACACTCGGTTTTATTGTGCACTTGCATTTTTAATTTAAAACTAATATATTATAATAGATAAAAGATCGATATATAAATAAATTGATAAAAAATTGTTTTAGGTAGCCAATGAACACCAACATTTGACGCAGACTCACGAATGCAAAGCAGGATGGTCATTCTATTTGGTGTTAGCCGGTGTGATTACCACAATCGGATCTTCCCTGCCTGTTGGCTTCAACATTGGTGTTGTGAATACACCAGCTGAGGTAATATAAACTATGAAATTATAATAATTAATTATTATTAGTAATTTTTATTTGTGTTTAATATATTAGAAGTTTATTATGTACAAGCGGTACTCGCGGCTTCGCCCACGTTTAAACTTTCGATCGCTACCAAACTTCACAGGATCACCCGCTGGGCTTATCTGAAGGTTGCTTGAAAATTTCATCAAAAACGCTCCAGCCGTTTTGGAGTCAATAGGCAACATATATATATATATATATATATATATATATATATACTAGCGGACCCGACAGACGTTGTCCTGTCTACACGTCTTTAATTTGAAAATTTCAAACTTTTTTTAATAATTTTTGATGAAAATTATTATTCAAATTGTGAATCTAAACCATTCTCAGATCCCCTTGAACACACACAAAAAATTTCATCAAAATCGGTCCAGTCGTTTGAGAGAAGTTCAGTGACATACACACTCACAGAAGAATTATATATATAAAGATATTATACAGATGTTATGTTGGTATAACTATTCCATTTAAGATGGTAGAGGTGTTTTACGCCCGCCTTGGCATAAAAAAACATAATTATCTATAACTTATGACAAAAAACTATGGATATTTTTTTAATTTATTACTTTAATTTTCATTAAATATTTTTTTTTTTATTAATTATTTACTAATTAAATTTAATTTTGCAAGAGAGATTTAAAGGAGGCAAGAATTTGTATATGTAAAAAACATGATAAGAGTCACGTATGATTAATATTTGTTTCAGCTCATAAAGAGATTTTGTAACGAAAGCTTCATCAGCAGATACGACTTACCATTAGACCAGACATGGCTCAACGTACTCTGGTCTTCAATTGTGTCAATATTTATAGTCGGAGGATGTACTGGTTCCATACTTGGCTCGGTTTTAGCTGACAGGCTTGGAAGGTAAACAATTGTGTGTTTTAAAATCTTACTAAAACTATAAATGTGAAGGTTTAGATGGATGTTTGGATGTTTGTTACTCAATCACGCCAGAACGGCTGAACCGATCTGGATGTTTGGCACAGAGACAGATTATAGTCTGGAATAACACAAAGGCTAATTTTTATCCCGAAAAAATGTACGGTTTCCGTCTGTTACATTTGTTTTTGTTTTTCTAGGGCTATATAAATAAAAAAAAAAATAGTAAAGATAGTAGCATTACAATATCCGCAGGGGTGTTGCAGTGAATGCGAAAGCGATCCTGCACGCCCCATTGCACTGCGGCGAAGGGTTCCGCTGTGGGTTTTAGTGAGTAGGAGTCTCACAGTACCCTGCCCATGACGGCGGCAGGGTCCCCATGATGGGTTTCCCCAGCGAAAACAAAAAAAAAAAAAAAAAGCATTACAATATGGAAAGAAATCTATTAGACGTTGTTTTGAAGTTTTACATTTGTTAAAATCATTTTATAAGTCGTTTAAACTACGAAGTTCTAATATATATATTTTTTTACTTTAGATGCAAATTTATACATATAGTAAATTAACATTAAATTCCAAAAATAATATTTTGTGGGCGACCATGCGGCAATATTCGCAGTTAGAATGTTATTGTTATTGACACATGTCGTTACCAACTATTTGTGGTTCACTTTGATCTGTTTACATATTCAGATATTGTATTCAGCTCTTTTTAGCGTCCCATTCTTGGCCACTGGGTCTCCCTTCAATATGAGGGGTATCAAGCAATAGTCCACCACTCTGGTCAAGTGCGGGTTGGTGGATTTCACATGCCTTTCTAAAACATTTAAACATATAGGCAAACCTTATAAAAAGAGCAGATATAGCTTTAGTATTATATATTCCAAATGTCTTCTAAACATGTTTAATTATACATATACTAAAGTTCTAACCGAGTCGAATCTGTACATTCAATATTTTTTGAAAATCTAATTGAAATAGTCATTATTATCGATAGAGAGGTCGAACGTCTGGAAACGCATCACGAGAAAACCACTGGACAGATTTTGATGAAATTTGGTATAATGATAGCTGGTTATCCGGGTCAACATATACGATACTTTTGACTGCGGGAAAATATCTCATCTCTGAGAAATCTATACTAACTATCAAATTGTTCCTAGGGACTAACCCGAGCGAAGCGAGGGTGAGTCTCTACTATATACATTATACTTATATCTAATATTATACATTTCGTCGATTTAACAAGAGCTTATAAGGAGGGATATATGTATTTTTTTCATTTTCAGTACTATAACTCGATCATTTAATCTGTTAATCCAATACTTAGTCTTAATTGTATTGGTTTATTGTCAAAAGTGACATTTAGACCCCTCTTTTCTATACGATTTTCTATATAGCAAGGTTCGTGTGATACTGATAGGTAGATACTAGATATTATATACAAATGCTGGCACTGGCTACGCAGTCCGTATTATTTATTTTACATTGCTAATGTTTTCGCAATGATAGGAGTATTTAAATTCAAGGATAATAGGTTCCGACTTAGTATTTTCTGGCGCAAAATTTATTTATTTACTATTTATGTGGTTGCAGGTTTGATTCCCCGATGATAAAATGTCAATAGATATATGTCAATGTTTTTTTTATTTCTCAACTCTCCTTAGTAATATTAGAAATGATAAGTGTATTTGTTTGTTCTATTTTTGCTCAGTAATGTAGTTACGGATGTAATTCATATGAGGTTAGTATAGTTTATGAAGGCTGGTATAGAAATAATTTTTAACACCCTTTTAACGTTAAAAAACGTATTTATGAACAAACCGTAATACAATAATTAATTTATCTTGAGTGAATATTATAAATATTTTTCCAGAAAAAGAGCAACAATCTTAACAAATATACTGTCGATAGCTGGTGCGATCCTATTCTTGCTTAGTCGCGCCGCTAACTCTGTAGAGATGCTTTTGATTGGACGGTTGCTTGTCGGTTTGTCAGGAGGTAAGCAAATAGCAATTATAGCTCGTGCAGATAAAGAATGTGATTGTAAATGGCGTCCCTTATATTTTCTTTCACACTAGAATACAACACCTGTATCAGTAAAAAATGGTTCTGTATATTATATATTCAAGATTAATAAAATAAAAGTTATAAATGAATCTTAAGAAAAAAAAGTAACATATTTTTAACCGGATTCAAAGAAAGGAGGAGGTCCTTAATTCGACTGTATATTTTTTTTTAATTTATAACTTCCAGATAGGTAATATCTAAAACTAGCATAAATATTAATTAATAAATATTGCGTATAACAGAGCATTGTATGTAAATATACCCCTATAAAACGTACTTGTTTTATTATAATTACTGAATTAAATTTTTAAAGCGTTATTCCCAAAATAAATAGATGTCGCTTAAACTATATTAATACTGACCGTAAACTCGGTCTATGATTCGCCGAATCTAATTCCATTCTTTATTTGCAATGCTAATATGTATTATTAAACCATAAAAGTTATAGTTCTGCATTGAAAAATAACGATTAATTTCATACTGTAGTATAAATCTTGCTGTGATGAAATGAAATTTAAATCTCAAGAACCAAAATTGAAACCAATAAAATTAATTGAAGCAAATTTGGAAAAACTTACAAATGTCGCAAATGACCAATTTATGACAGATATCGATAAAATATTAAATGAGCCTAATCCACTTGTCAAGTACGATTCACATTATCCTATACTTACATACTGTATAATTGTTTTCATTTTAATTTTTATATGTTTTAAAATTTATCAGAAATTTGGCAATTGTTTTAACTTTAAATCAAAAGATATTAGAAATCCCGATGCAACAATCGGACCTAGTCAGGAAACAGAGGAAATACCAGTTCCAAGACTCAGGATAATTGCCTGAAACTTAGCATTAAAATGTAAGTTTCCTCTTATCGGGGGGGCTGTTACATCCCTGTACTGTAGGGATTAATAATGAGTAAGTGCTTCATCAGCATCTTTAACTCCATAGATTTATCCCATAGTAAAGTTCAAGCTCAGTTCGGATCTGATCGCGGAACCATTAACACTTGCCGAATTTCTCACGTCTAAGTTGTCCTACATTAATTATATTATAAATTAATTAGTGTTAATAAATAAATTCTTTTTTAAAAAGATTTTAATTTTTCCAATGATAACAGGTCGCATCGTAAAATATCATTCTCATAACTTTTTCCCTAATGCGCCTAAAGTGGGCGTATAACTTCCAAAAAATTATAAATGCATGTAAAAAAATTTTTGATTAATTTTTTCAAACTTCATATATAAAGACGCTCATATATACAATACATATCATATTCTTGCTTCATAATTATTTATTTATTTTTAATTACATATTATTTTCAGGTCTTACAACTAGTATAGTGCCAATGTACCTAACGGAATTGTCACCGTTAGCGCTCACCGGCGCGATGGGGGTCGCGTGCCCCATGGGGGTTAATGTGGGTGTGTTAGTGGGGCAGGTCATGGGGCTGGACTTTCTATTAGGTAAGTTAGATATGAATTAATATTATAAAAAAAATATAAAATAATATTCTAATAAATAAATAGATTATAAGAAAAAAGCAATTTAAAGTTTAGAAGTTATAATATTTTTATTGAGATGTAAAGTATGCAGTAAAAAGTTACTATGTAGATTTTTGGACAATCCTCCTTCTTTCCCGGTATGTCATGGATAACTAACTATTCTTTTAGCTTTGGGCATAGATAAAAAAGTATTTTTACCAACATCCGTTGAGTATTTGTAAAAACCAGTGGTTGGGAATGCTATTACCATAGACATAGATTTGTTACAAATACAAAACAAAAACGAAAATAGAAAAATTGTGACATTTCACATTCTCTGTTCTTTTTCTGAATCTTTCATATTTAAACATACATAAGTGATGTCATTGCAGGTGGTGAAAACGATTGGCCCTACCTCCTCTCAGTGTATGCGATACTAGTCATTATATGCACGCCCGTCCTCTTCATACTGCCAGAAAGTCCCAAGTACCTCTATGTTGTTAAGAGAAATGAAATTGCTGCCATAAAAGGTTTGTATTCAATAATCTATGAATGTTCATATTTAAACGCTAGTGGCTTGCCCTCGTTTCACTCGGGTACGTCCTTAGGTACATTTTACGTTTTTTGAGCGGATCCCTAATTCTGTTTCTAAAATAAAAGTAGCCTAAGTTAGCCCTTACAACATCAGCTATCTGATATTGCAAGTCCGGCCAAAATCAGTTCAGCCTATTCGGAAATTTGCCGGACAGACAACAATTAAAAAAAAAAATTTTTCTTGAAAGTACTGTATATAATTTTATATGCATTTAATAAAAAGCTGTCATTTTTATGACAAACAGACACTTGATTTTTTTATCTGTATAGATGATTGCAAATCTAACAGTCATAGATTTCTTGATAAACCTTTAAACTCTTTAATAACATTTTTAATTACATATGTATGTCGTGGTTATAAATAGTATTTTGAGTGGAAGGTGTCTATTTAGATTTTAGAGAATATCGTATTCTTTGGCGCCAATGAAGTCATTCCTATATGTTTATATATATATATATATATATATATATATATATATATATATATGACATATATATTAAAAATAAAGAAAGCGGCCTCATCGCTAAGTGGACGATCTCTTCCAGGCAACCTTTGGGCAGAGAATAAGAAAAAGATCGAGAAATGATGCAATCAGAAGTTTTATAAGTTGTTTATGAGTGAAACAAATTTTACAGAACTAAGTCGTCTCCGAGGTGCACCACCAAGTGCACTAACAGATGACCTAGATTTGCTGAAAGATGAAGTGCAAGCGGAGGCCAGGAATTCTGGTGAAAATTGGAGCATGTTGAGAGTACTCCTGGACCCAAGACTGAGATTGCCTTTATTGTTGACATGTTCAATGCAAGCGGGACAACAGACCAGCGGAATAAATGCGGTAATGCTACGTAATTTAGTATAATATTGTGTAATATTTGTTTTCTGTCTAAACAATAAAGGAATTTACAAATATAATTAATTATATATACAAAACAAATGCGCACTTAATTATTACTGTACAAGTTGTGTCCGCGTGGAATATATAGTAATATAGTGGCAAGAATGTTAGCCATATTCCCTTGGTGAACGGGAATGCCGATTCTTTGGGCGAAAAACGAGCCAGCCTGTCTAAACTCTGTATTGTGATCATCGATGAAAAAAAGTACTAGATACATAATCAGCGACAAAAAATTGTCCGCACCGAATCAGCGCTCTTTTAAACATTTGAGCGCGCTTTTTTTTGTGAAAACAACTTTAAGCGTTGCGTTTAAGGTTCAATTTACATTGTTGTATATTATTTTAATTAGAATTATTGCCTAAACTCAAAAACACAATTTGGTGATTGTTTTAAGAGAACTTTTGCATTCTAGTACTTTTTTGATCAATGATTATTTTTTTTATTTTTATAATAAAACTTTAGTGGTATATTGTTCGCGAGCCCAAAATGATATCTGATAACTCCATCAACTTAGGATTGATGGGGCGCGATTGGTATCAAATAATTTGTTATTTATTAGTATAAATTTCTATTCATGCAATTACTATGATTTTTTTATTACGAAGAGGACTTGAAGTGAAAGTGCGAGAACAGATAGACTTATAATTAATTAATGTCCGACCGAAATGAGTTTTTATAATTGAGAACGCAACTGGAAATTTTCTCATAATGACACCTTTAATCATTATAAGTTTTACAATAGAGTAAAAATTATTTAAGTTACCATAAAATGTGTTTTCGCATGAGCAACGCTCATAGTACGTTTTTTTTCTAATATTTATTAGGGAATTTTCCATAATAATTTTTTTTTGAAGTTATACTTCTTTTGGGACGTTTGGAAAAAAATATGAGAGTAAAATTTTTACTATGCGCGCGCACACCGACAGTCAAAAAGCGACATAATAAAGTTAGATGATAACTGTTTGTTGCCATGGTAACCGTTGTTATTGTCTGAGAAATGATATTATAACCTTTCCTATAATGATATTTTATAAATATGTGATTGCAATATGCCTAATATGCCTATTTAACTATTTTATTAATTTATCATTCCTATTACAAACGAAGAGTTGTGACTTACTGGATGAAATCTTTAGCTATTTTTGTTCTGTTACGCCAAAGAATTATAACTTCTTACGTGCGTACATAAGTACACACACACACACTCACACATATTTTTTTTTATATATTTGGCAATTCATCCACTCAAGCTCTTTCCTCTTTCTCCACACAGGTGTTCTACTACTCGCAAACGATATTCAAGCAGGCGGGTCTGTCGGAGCTGCAGGCGCAGTACGCGACGATCTCGTGCGGCGCCATCAACGTGTGCACCGCCGCGCTCATGCTGCGCCTGCTGCCGCGCCGCGGCCGCCGCGCGCTGCTGCTGGCCTCCGTGCTGGCCGCCGCCCTGCTGCTGGCGGGACTCGCTGTGGCTATGAGTTTTATTGTAAGTTTTTTTTTTTTTATTGGCTCTTCGTAGTGGTTGCTACTGTGAAACTGGCTGGCCTAGCTGTAGCTATGAGTTTTATAGCTTTATTTAAAATATCTACTTTTTGCATAATTTTAAGAACTAGGTTATTGACGATCGATACTGAGTAATCACTCACTGAATTTGCGAAATTATTTTTTTAAAGTTTTTTTTGGGTAATGAGATTAGCAGTAATGATAGTGTATGTGTGGGTTGTCACAATAAAAAGAGCTTAAAGGGTTTATAGCTGAAAATATTTAATACAGTGTTAAATAAAATTATAATAAGTCAACTGAATAGTGAAAATACTTTTACCATAATGAAATAGTACATGTTATTTATCATATTATTTTTAGAAATATAGTCTACATTTATAGTTTAATATGGCAATATTTTTTTTATTTTTTTTCAGAATGCTGTGTCATGGATGCCATACGTATGTATGGTGGCAGTGCTGTCGTATGTTCTAGTCTATGGGTTTGGACTCGGGCCTATACCTTATTTTATTGCCTCAGGTATTTATTATATTAATTTTTAATGGTTTTAGTTCTTAATCTGTTTTATTTTATATGAAAGAAATAATTATAACATGTTTAGTGTAATACTATAAACGAAAGTTGAAAATTATTATCAAAAAATATATTTTAATTAGTATCTAAGAGTACATTCCAATAATATGGAAAAATCTTATGAACAAAAAATCTAGTAATGTAATTAAAATTATTATTAAATTAAATTTTGGAATAAGTGATACGAGTGGGTCGGCGAAAGTAGTATTATAATATGAAATAAATTTTAATGTTGTACCAACTTTATAAAAGGAGGAGGTTCTACATACTGCATTATATGTATGTATGTATTTTTTTTTTTCAGAAATGTTCGAAGTATCACCACGGCCGGCCGGTATGGCGTGGGGTTCTCTGGCTAACTGGGCCGGGAACTTTTTAGTAGGCATGTGTTTCCCTCTGCTGAGGGATACTATTGGACCCTACTCCTTCTTAATCTTCTCAGTGGTCACTGCCTGTCTGTTTTGCTTCCAAAAGTGAGTATTTTTTTGGTTAAGATGTTTGGATGTTTGTTACTACATTACGCCTGAATTTTTAAACCTTATGACTTTTAAAGATAAAATTTTTGCACACAAATACGATTGTATGGTCTCTGAACTAATAATCTTTAACTTTTATTATGGTACTTAATGCGTTCTCGTAACGTAACTCAAATTTAGTGTTTTATTTTTGTTGTAAACGTGTCAATACAATTTATTCAATATTTTTGTAAAAAACAAAATGATGTAAAACCTTCCTCTCAAAAGCAGAAAGTACCATCTTTGAATATTGTAATAATATTATAAATGAGAAAGTTTAGTTAAATGTTGAAGATAAAAATAGTGCCTGTGTTTAGCTCAATCGATTCGATTTGAAAGTTTTTTTTTAATTTAAATTATAATTATATTAATGTTTAATTTATGCAATCTATTTAAATTTCTTATATATAAATAGAAATAAACAAACAAATTTGTTTTTCCAACAGATCCTACTTCCCCGAAACTCGAGGCAAAACACCCACTCAAGTGACGGAGCTCTGCAGTCGCGGGTTCCAGTCCCGGCCGCTGCAGCGCGCGCCGCCCGCCATGTGACGTACCGTGGAGTCACTTATATTTATGAAAATATACTTTGCCAAACAACATTGATATATAAAAACATAGATACACATACACATGTCACGTTAAGTCAAATCAAAGAATAAAATTAAAAAATGGAAAGTTCATTATGTCAAAACACAAATTCGAACTTACGCACACCACATTAAGTATTTTATTTAAACGAAACAATGCGTTTCGATTTTGTCATCGGAAAAGCAATGAACAAAAGTGATTTGAAAAAAGCGCAATTCAATTTCGAATTGTGCGCTTCTTTTTGAGGACACTTTTGAAACGATAATTGTTTATCTTTAGTTTTTGTATATTAGTTCCAAACAGTTATACTTTAAATCACAGCTGGGTTTTCTAGTAATGTCTTGAAGATTGATTTTGTAACAGTTTCAGCGCTTAATATCTAATATTAAATCTTAAAACACCGCACTTTTATGGCACATGGAACATATTATATAATAAGTACGTGTTACAAAAGAGCCTTATAGTTTGACGTATGTATATATGAATGTGTGATATACATATTGTTCATCCATCCATATACATACTAATATTATAAATGTGAAAGTTTGTGAGGATGTTTGGATGTTTGTTATTCAATCACGCCAAAACGGCTGAACGTATCTGGATGAAATTTGGCACATATATAGATTATAGTCTGGAATAACATATAGATTGACGCAGTCTTTTCTGTATAGAATTTTTTGTTCCATATAAGCTGTGTTATTGGTTTTTTTTTATTTTTTCAAAAGTCGAGTTATTTAGATTTAGTAATTTTTTTAAAAAGTATACAGTTTAATATTTTTGAATTTCTTCATCCAATCGATATCCAGTTGAAATATTTACTCTGTATATTCCGTTCTGAAATTAATTCAAGGCTTATTTTTTTTTCTAAGTCATTAATATGTCTGTACTCAATTACAATACTAAAGCTTAGTATAATCTTTAACAGAACAAAATGGATTATTAGCAGATTTTATAAAAGACGTTATATATACTCATTTTCCGTTTTGAAAAATTATTTAAGACACATTTTTCTTCTCAAAATACAATACTATTTCGTTTTAAAGTTAAAAATCAAATTTCTAAGTACAAACATTAGATATAACCTACATTTCAATACAATGAGGGCTTGAATTCGCCGCGAGAGGCGCTAGTGTAGAGTGAGGTCTCTTGCACTGTCAAATGACACGATGTTTACTGCTTGCGAGCTTTTATCGCGGATATTTATGAATTATTCATGATTATTGTACACATTGTGTCATTTCTGATTAATTCTAGCAGACACGATGTGGCACAAATGCTATTGGTTTAAAAGTAGAGTTAAGAAAAAGTCGATATTTTATTTATTTGGTTATTATTAATTATTTAAAATCCTGATAGAACTGTTTTAGCGCTAACAATTATGATTATTATATTAAATTTATTGTTTCTGCTACATTATCAAATACTTTTTACCTTACTCGCAAGTGGCGCCAACTGGTGCCATCAGAAAGGATAGTTCTCTTTCATTCTCGATGTTTCGAATATTGACTCGAATAAATTAAATGTATAAGCTAAAAAAAATCTTATTATATAGGTTAAATAAATTGTAAATAAATATATTTTGGACACGTCACAGCCGATGAGTACTTAAAAAGCACTGTTTTACATTTTTATACATCAAGTTGGATTAGAAGTTTGTGATAAGTTAGTATAAGTATTAAGTAATTTATATACAAGGAAGGGTGTTTGTTCTGGAGTACACCTCCAGATATCATCATATCAAGATAAGTGGAGATTGTAGCAAAAAAAGCAAAAAATATACTATTTTCTCTATATTTTTTAAACGTCATTATACAACGTCTAATTAGCATCATTATTGTGTGATGTAAATGCGGAAATATAAGAAAATAAAATTAAGTATTTTTCCAAATAATGATAATATGATCGAGTTTGAAAATTAAATGGAATTATTACTATACTAATTAGTACATAACCTAGTATTCAGAGTATTCAGCTTTTTTTAACATCCCACTGCTGGGCACGGGGTTTCTCTCAATGCTAGAAGGAACAGGTTATAGTCCACCACGCTGAAGTGCGTGGCGGAGAGAACTTGCTAGGTTATCTCAGACATGCAGGTTTCCTCGAGATGTTTTTCTCCACCGTAAGACAAGTGGTAATCAAGTTGGAAATGATTCACATATGAAAATATCAGGTGCGAGATTATTTGGGATTCCTAATCGGGATTAAATCACGGTTGGATCAAAAAACTTAGTTTAGCGAGCGCGTTACCCCTGGGCTACCACTGTCTACACTTACTATCAAAAATTAGCCTATTTATCCAGACTAGCCTCTAATAAAAATTTATGGGAATATGTAAAACATGATAATTCGCTGACCTAAAATAAATACCGCTTAGTTTATAGTTTCAGAGCGTTACGGTTATTCTATTAAAGTACCGCGTACACTCATTGTTCGACTGAAAGTGTACACATTGGTGTCAGACGTTCACTTTTCCCGGCCTTTTATATTGTTTTTTACCACTTGTTAAATTCAAAATGAATGAGTTTGAAAGTATTCGTGGGTATAAATGAAATTCACTTTAAAAAAATATTTTAATCTATACATATAATAATATCGTAACTAAGCCGAATCTGTACATTATATATTTTTTGGAAAATCTTATTGAAATAGACTTTATTATCGATACAGAGGCCAAATCTATAGTTTTTAGAATTTTTGTCTGTCTGTCTGTTACCGCATCACGGAAAAACCACTGGAGGGATTTGGATGAAATTTGGTATGATGATAGCTGGTTATCCGGGTCAACATATAGGATACTTTTTACCGCGGGAAAATATCTCATTTCTGAGAAAAAATACAAAAACTACAATGTAAGAGTATACTAATATGTAAATCCTAAGAATTTGGTTTTTGGTCATCAGAACGCGGGCGGAGCCGCGGCAATGCTAGTCTTCAATATGTAGTTATATCGTCCGCATAATACCTACTATCGCAAGCGCAAAGGAGGGTTATTTTATTTTGAAACATTGAGTTTTTGTATATTAATGATTTCCAAGATGTTTTTAAAGTCAGTGTGGTCCTATTGGATTTTTTTAATGTATTTAAAGACATTGTAAAGCGAAGCGTTGATTATGTTCTGTATTTAAAGCATAATTTACATCTATTATGTATTATATGGTGACAGTTTTAGTTTTAAGTTAAGAATTCAAAAATTATTTTATAATATTGCTTTTTAGATTTAGTTGTGTTCATATGAAAGATTTATTTAATAAATGCTCAATACATATTTTTTTCTTTTATTTTTACTTTTAAATGTCTTTTTAAGACAGAAACAAAGCAAAAAAAAAACAAATTAATATTTTAGATGTTTTATTAACAAATTATAAAATTACATAATAAGTCAAATATTCTTGATAATAATAAAATTTCTTAGTATTTGGCAGTAATAATAACTTGGGAATGTTCTTTCACTTAATATTTATATTTCAATTATTACTTACAATATAAAAAAAAAACAACAAACACTAATGTCATCGCTTACCGATACATTGATCTTATAATAAAAAAAATATACATTATAATAATGCCAGGGACAATTATATTTACCTATATAAACTGAAATATAAATCACATAATATTATATAGTTCGCATTATTTTCAGGATCTAAACCTATACGTCATAAATTTACCATTTACGGAAATCGAATCTGCAATTCCTGCAACTAATCCCGTACTATTTATTTGCCATAAAAATTTCACGTAGACGTACGTAATATATACATACTATATTTTTTTAGCTTTTTTAAATAAAGCTTATTAATTATAATAAATCATTTATTATCTTCTAAAGTACCCTTCTAATATCTTCAACTGGTCCCAACAAACGAGCAAAAGCACAGTATGTGGACCGAGTCTTAAATAATTAGCTCCTACACCCTTGTAGAAGGCAGATGCTCCTTCAGCCTTTAACATTTTGAAAAAGCAATCTGTCATGCCACGATACAGCTTGCCTCGGTTATTGGCGTCCACAGCTGGAAAATAAATAAATAAATATCGTTCAAAAATATATTTTCATATAACTAGCGAACCCGGTAGGCAGATGTAGTCTTGCCAGAACCTGGATGAGGTGGGAAATAAAAAAAAAAAGATGGTTTTCTAAACGTACAGTACATTTCTGCCTCGCCATGAAAGGTATTTGCCATATTAGACTTATAGTATATTTTTATACTGATTAGGTGAATGGTAATACTTTTTAACCGACTTCCAAAAAGGAGGAGGTTCTCAATTCTTCGGAATTTTTTTGTCCTATATTTTATTTGAATTTAGAATAATATAACCCTTACCTCATATGAACTTTCATAAATAAAAAATCTACTTACGTTGGTTAGACAGTCTTGTAGCAATAACATCGAATGGGTTGAGACAAAACGTCATAACAATGCCACCTAAATTGGCGCCCATAAAGGACAAAAGTAATGGCGATTGTATATATCCTTTATTTTGGAGCCATTCTTTGGCGTATGTAAAACTGACCATTTGAGAGCCACTACCCACCGCCCCTCGTGGGATTTGAGGACCCACTCCTCGAAAAAGACCTGGAAATAGAGATTTCATAGCTTAATTAAAAACGTTATCTTTAAAGTATAAATATCTAAAATCTAAGTTATCACATGGGAATACTTGTACCAACCAAGTAAAACTTGTACTTTTGATATGTTGAAAAATAAATACTTTTTCATTTTCTCGAAAATATTGGCTAAATAAAAAATATTTTAATTTTTACTGCTAGTGATAAACGAGGGATTTTATATATAAAAGATTTTATAATTTACAAATTGGATCTTTTTTTTTGTTAAACATTCTGAAAATTTAGTATTATTCTGATTGCTAGTACTAAAAAGTTCTGAGAACAAAATATATAAAAAGCTATTTAATTATATTAATATTCTTGATCGATTAACAAGAGATCTAATTATTGGATAAATTTAATAATTTGAATTTTTTATCTATAATAATAATTTACCTTTAACCCCTTCCATTTTATAAATATCACGCAACGCATTAAATGTCCCGCTGTGTTTATGTTGATGTCCTACAGCTATTGTTTTAGTGGCTTGAGCCTGTAATCTAGTCTTTACGAGAAAGAACGGTGTTCCAGCGATAGAACCTAATGCTCCCCCCACACCTGCTGCGATAGCGCCACGTACGAAAGATGTACGGCCGTCGACTATAGTCAAACCACGACGTTCCGATATACGGTAAACTCCTAATCTGTAATATAATTTTTAGTACAACACAAACGAAATGAAAGCAAAAGATTTATTTATCTTTTACAGAGCTAGTTCATGCTTTTATAAATTATTGAATTTAGAATATATAACTAAGATATATATATATATAAAATAATTACACAAACGAATTAATAATAATTAAAGTGGAAATGGCGTCCCATTGCACCAATATAGCAACTTTTTGAAGAATTTACACTTATATAGCCAAATAATACGATATATATAAATATAAAGTAAGAACATTTCTTACCTAAACGTGTTCAAAAAGAATTGAAACCCTAGCATAGCAGGAAGGCCATTTTGCAAGGCAATGAGTCCTTCCGTTCTAGCCACCACATACAGAGCGTGGGGAACATTTTTATAATACACCGCGTGTTTTCCTTTAGCTGCTAATTCCCCTTGCAATTGAAGACGAGTTTTGACGACTTCTATTGGATTTGTAAATATCGTGGCAAACATGGCGGAAGTGCCGCCCATCGCCATGTCTATGATGTCACGTGTGATGCCATCTTTGGATTTTACCGCCATTTTTATTCAGGTCTGCTGAAAGTTAATTAAAATTCGTTTTTATTTATTATTTTTGTTTTTTAGGCATATGACCAATGTAGAAAGTCTCACTTGATTTCGGTTCTCGAAATCGTTACTCATAATGGGGTAAAACCAAGAAGCATTAGGCGCTGCTCGCTAACACTCATTACTTTCAATGCAGCCAAAAGCCTGATCTCTTTTATATAGTTTTTTTTCTTTCAAATATCCAATGAAAATTGTAATTTATTAAATAAAAAAACTTTAATATTAAACAACATTTATTCACATTTATTATACTTAATTTGGTAACAGGATTATAACTTAAATAACACAAGGTAATAAAAATACTGTATCTACTTTGATATAAACACTACAGCACAGCCAAAAAAAAGGCAACATATTAATAAAATATGAACTAATAAAACAATAGCAATAAACCAATCTTATTTAAATATAATAAAATTTAATAATTATTAATCTCATGTAACTTGATCGATAATACAATAACAACACACAGATATATCTAAACTAAAAATGCCTGTTATTCCTTACACTGGATTATAAAAATACTGATTTTGAAATAAAATATTTAATAACTAAAAGGAAAAGTGTTTCAATCATTTAAATCTTTCATTCAATAATATGTTATACTTAAAAGTTGTAATATTATCGAACCAGTAATAATCACAAATATCATAATTTATTAACATACTAGCGACTCACCCTCGCTCCGCTCGGGTTCGTCGCTGGGGTGGGCTCTGGCAGGACCACCCTTATCCTTATCACTTAGGGGTATGGAAAATAGATAGTAGCCGATTCTCAGACCTACTGAATACGCATATAAAATTTGGTAAAAATCGGTAAAGCCGTTTCGGAGGAGTACGGTGACTAACATTGTGACATGGAAATTTTATATATTAGATAATTGCACGATTTAAAATTTAGCAGGTAAATAAAACTACTTATACGTCTATAAAAATAGCGCTTATTACGTAAGCAATAAAGGTTATTTTGAAGTAGCTTGAGTATTATAAGAAGTTATTATATCTATAAAATTATATGGTAAACAGAAAAAACTTCAAATATGTATAGGTGTTTTAAGAAGACCTCTATAAGATATTGTTAGATAATGTATCCAAAAATAACGTACACAGTGAGTAATCTTGCCATAGCAATACTTAGAGATTCATTTTAGATTCAACAACGATCTTACTAATTCCTATAAAAGATTCAATATAATATACACAAAATTCAAAAGAATCAAACTTTTAAGTACTTAAATATTATCATAAATTAAAAATATTACACCTAGCATTTGCAATAATTTTTTTTTTCACAAGTAGATTAGGGCAAACATTTCATTTTAATATATATTTTTTTATAATTTTGTAAAAAAAGAATAACGGTAATTAAATTTCGACATAAACATAGATTAAATAATATTTTAACACTCACGTCTTTCACACTATTGCACTATTTCATACAGCCACGTTGAATATAAGTTGTACAAGTATTACTAATTTACATTATTATTGAGTTGCCTCAAATTAATGTTATGATTTTCTCATTAATAATCTGTTTTCGTTAATATTATCGTCAATTAAAAATTCTGTTAATTATTATGTATATTGGATTGTATATTAAATATCTGTTATGAAACTTACTAATTATCTAGTCAATAAAGTAATGAGTTTTTCAAATATCAGTCATATCGGAGCCTATTTGGGAGCATTACGTTTGGTTGCTGAGGATTTTATATATCCTAGTTAAGGTTCCACTGCTACTTTAGTTTATTATAATATGGTTTTTATTTTGAATTTTAAAAGTAAGAATCAACGCAGTAATAATATGAGTTAATAAATATATTATCATCTTATGATGTAATATAAATAAATATAGTTACCACTGGTCTTTTAAGATGTGTAATTAACTTGGCTCACTTCGAATTATAACAAGTCACGTTTTTTTAACAACCATTGCAAATATTTTTTGAATCTTGCAAATATATATTATGTTATCTATATATACTTTGACAAAAAAACACTTTTAGCGACATCTATCGCTACTAAAACCACACTTTTCAACCGACTTCCAAAAAGAAGGAAGTTCTCAATTCGGTTGTATTTTTTTTATAATACTACATTTTTAAAGTCGTCGTTTTTTGTAAATCTTTAAGCATATCCCAAAATACTAGTAAAAGGACGGTATGTGGTGCTTGGCGAAAGTACGAAGGACCTATGCCCTTATAAAAAGCTAAGAGACCCTCTGTTTTAGTTATTTTTCGTGCACAATCCATTATTCCACTGTAGAGTACGCCGCGACCATTTGCATCGACACCTGGAAAGAAAATATATTTTTTTTTTCTAAGGCACTAATCAACTTTAAATTATAGGTAATTTGTCTACAAAAAATAAACCTTTCACCAGCAAGCATAACTGAATTTTGTTAGTTGGGCAAGATTCGTCTGCCTATAAAAATAAAAAAAATAAAAAATCTGAAAATTAGTTTAATTTACCTTGATTATAGAGACGCGTCATGATAACGTCCATTGGCGTGAGAGTGACCGTTTTCACAATAGCACCCACGTTGCTTGCTAAGAAGGCCGAGAGATATTTTGACTGCTGGAATAGGTTGTTGTTGTCCATCCATTCCTTGCAACTAAAAACAAAAATCATTTAATAAATTAATTTGATTTAAAAAATCGTTAGCACTTTCAACACGGTACAACAAACAGGTGAGAGTAGGAAAAGAAGAGTTTCTATCATATTATCATAAATCTATACATATAATAAAATTCTAACCGAGTCGAATCTGTACATTAAATAATTTTGGACAATCTTATATATTGAAATATTCATTATTATCGATACAGAGGCAGAATCTATAGTCGCTTTGTGAGCTGCTAGTATTGTTATATTTAAGATGAACGTGGATTAAATTTCGAGCATAATTGTCCGACCCTTCGGTTAGAGTGCCAATGTCACTGAGAGAGAAAAGAAAGAGAAAGAGATGGCTAATCTTGCAGATATTATAGGGCACAAGTATGTGCGAACAGACGAGAATTAACTATCGATATCACCAGTGATCAAGCAGGTCTTGCACCGTCAACTTCATGATTATTGGCTTTCATTGAGAAATATCTTAGAAGAAAAACCCTATAACTATTTCGTTCGATCCGGGATTTGAATCCAGAATCTCTGCCGTACAATATACGTATACACTAGATAACTTACATGATCATTATTTATCATATAACTATTTTAATCATAATGATCATTTATTTTAATCATAATGATTATTTTGCGTAAAATTTCTATTTCTTTACTTATTTATTGTTTAATTCTTATCGCAAGCTATTATAAGACGGAGGAGTCTAATGCAATTTCATTACAACATTACAAATATGAACAGCGATAACTTTATTTATTAACTGGTACGTCATTCCCATTTATCTTGAATTATCACTTTTATAAGTTAAAGTGTACTACAATACTTTTGTAAGTGGTTTCGCATGCGTCGAATCTATACGTTAAATATTTTTTGGAAAATTTAATTGAACTAGTCATTATTATCGATCCGAGGTCGAATATAGATTCGGAATGTTATGTATATGTTCGGAAACAAAAATTCTGAAAACGACCGATTTTTGTCTGTCTGTCTGTCTGGGAACGCATCAGCAGAAAACCAATGGACATATTTTGATGATATTTGGTATGATGATAGACGGTTATCCGGGTCAACATATAGGATACTTTTTACTGCGGAAAAATATCTCATCTTAGAGAAATCTCTACTAAACGTTAAAACGTAACGTTTTTATTGTTGTCGTTGTTTCAGCAAAAATACACTTTACTAGATTTTTAATAAGAATTATAACTTAATTTTTCCTACTAAATACTACTACTAGTAGGTATCAATCGTATTCATATGGTATCGACAATAATACGTCTACATGTCACGCCCCCAAAAATTATTCCAATCGTGTAGTAACATACGCAATATTTATCAAATGTCGTCGTCAATTCGGTGACGGGTCAATATCTAAGAATAGACCTACAAAACTAAACATACAATATATATAAACTATAAAGATATATTGTTAGGTAAAATTAGTAATATGTTTATTGTATACTTACACAGTATATGATGCAATTTGTGATGCTGAACCAATAGAATTCCTAATCATCATGCCATGGGCTCCTCTCCAAAGGCCAAAAAAGCCATTTTTGTTATATATTTTGGATAAGGCATATAATGTACCGGGGTGGCCATGCTGAGTTCCAACAGCAATCTTTCTAGATGAATATGACATCAACTGTGTTTTAATTAATTGTAAGGGACTTCCAACTAATCCACCGCACATACCAGCAATAGATCCAAAGAAGAGACTGTTGATAAACTTAGTATTCTTTTTCTCATCTCGCAATAGACCATAGTTGTCGGCTTGTTGGTATATGCCTAACCTAAAATGTTTAATGTTTTCTTTTAATCATTCACAGAAATAATAATTTATACATTTTATTCATATATGAAATAACCAATAAGCTATTTTTTATAAGGCAGAAAATAATATATTTAGATCAGCAACCATTTTATTTCTCTGATTTTTGGGTATCAAGGCTTTTGCTTTAAATGAAATAGAGGTAGTATTAAAGCAAAAATTAAAATATGAAAGCTACCAAAGCACAATTCATTACATAATATCATATAAAGCTTACCGTACACCATTAACAACAAGCTGAAACCATAGGGCAGGTACTAAGCCTTTTTGCAATGCAGAAACTCCGTCATGTTTCACTATAGTGTACATGGCATGTGGTATATTCTTATAGTACACAGCATGTTGGCCTTTCGCACGGAGCTCACCTTGCAATTGCATTCGTGTTTTGACAACGTCAAATGGGTTGCTAAAGAACCCAGCTCCAACGCCTGCTAGGCCTCCCACAAGGAAATCCATCGTACTATGAATTAATACATTATAATATTTTACCATATGATAATGGTCATATATCACACTCTAAATATGTATTTTTGGGTAAAAATATTTTGGGACGACAGGTGTTGGAGAATTAATTTTTTAAATATGTAACTAGCAACCTAGATACTTTAGTTTTCAGGCGTAATTTATATTTTCTATAATATCATTAATCACAATGTACAAGTAGGTAATTTGCTGAATTTTTATTTAACATTTAATAATTAAAATAAATAAATAAATATTTAAATTTCTCATATTATAGTTAAATCAAGTAGAAGAAAATGAATAGGATTGACATACATAAGTAATACTAATTAAAACAAATAATAGTAGGTAAAATATTGCCTACAAATATAATATATATAAATATAATATAATTGTCTAAGATATTTTTATACTCTAAAAGACTACTGACATTTGATACACACCTTACTTTAATTTCAATCATCTATATATATAAAAGAAAGTCGTGTTAGTTACTTCGCTTATAACTCAAGAACGGCTGAACCGATTTAGCTGAAAATTGGCAGGGAGGTAGTTTAGAGCCAGGAGAAGGACATAGGATACTTTTTATCCCGTTCGACCGCGTTCAAATTTTTATGATATTTTAATTTTTGGATTTCTCTTAGTCCGGAATAGGTAAGTATTAAAACATATAATTAAAATGTGAGAAAGAAAGATTTTTTTTTTTATATCTATTTAAAACGTACCTAGCGACGAACCCGAGCGAAGCGAGGGTGAGCCGCTAGTTTTAAATAAAATTGGTAAATGCACTTTAAAAATTAAATGTTAGCAACGTCTGTAAGCTCTCAGTATAGAACTTATAAGTAATTAATCCTCATTATATCAGTAATGACGTAAAATAAAAATATGTGAGATAAAATTAACTACTAAATTAACAACAACTTTAAACGTAAACAATTACTGATAGTGGTTCAAATGGAAAACTGTATGGACTTACCTGATAAGAGATCATGTAATTCAAGTCATCTGCCTGATTTTAATACTGATATTAAGGTTAGCATCATGTGTTCGTGCTACTGGAGAATTCCACACATTTTTGTTTCGTAACAAATTCTTCAAATCCCTTAGGCCATGGCACACCGTCAAAACTGCCAGTGCTGACAGCTGACAGTGACAATGCGCGAAATCAGCTGATTAAAAATGTGTTTGGAAATACAAAAAAATAATATTATGTACAACTGGTTGAAAAAATAATCATTTTACTTGTCTTTTACCTTATGTCATAAATTATTATCAGTATTCTAAATTTTTGTGCGTATATTTATTAAATTTTAGTATAGAGATCATGAAAATAATAACTTTATCTTTAATGTAGATGTATTAGTTATGAGAAAAGTATAAGTTAAAATAAAAAAAATAGAAATGGCTGTTTCAAATGCAATGTTTCTTTTTGAGGTCGTAGTAGAAAGCGTTAAAAGTTTGGTCGAAAGTCGTCATTTTATTATTAAAAGTGATTTTGCTGATATATTCTCTCTAGAACTTAAAGATCCTAAGCAAATGCACATTGTTATACCAGAACCTCCACCTCTTCCACCGGAACCACCTGGTAAAAAAGGCAAAAAGAAACCGCCAAAACCAAAAAAAGGTAAAAAAGGGAAAGTAGAAGAGCCACCTCCTGAACCAGTTATACAATCAGGGCAGTCTGTATTGTTTTCCAGCAATGCTGAATTTTTAATTCAAAGTATGAAGAAGTATCCACTAGAGTTATCACTATGGAGTAAAGAAGATAACGCAATATTCATTGGCTCTGCTCAAATTCCTTGGGATCCAGGTTTTTATACGTTTTTAGAAAGAATATTGAATTGTGAAGAACCAACTTCAATGACTTTAAAGGAAGAATACAATGTCTTTCAAGAGGGTACTGCTAAACTAATGGCAAAAATAGGAATTCAAGTGAAACTGACTTATTTGACGGACCGAGTTACTACAGCTTTCCGTACTCTTTCAGAAGATCCGTCTGTACGAAAAGTTATGTATACCGGCATTAATTCTAAAACAACATCTTACATGTGTACATTGAAAACAACTGATGAAGTTTTTGAAAAAAATTGTAACAAAATTGCAAATAATTTTGTAGTAGACAAACCCAAACCTAACAAAATAGTTTATGCGGATTATAAAAATGCACCCGGGGCTAATCTTACGTTCTTTAACGAAGGTGACTATTGTTGTATGAATAGTGCCGATAAACCACCAGAATCTACGTATAAAGCACCTCAGACTTGCCCCAGTATTGACCATATAATTGATTATGTAAGGAAAATTATATTGTCTTGTAATGACAATATGAGAATGCTAACACCTCGCCCTACGATACGGCCTAGAATTAAAGCAACAGATATTGACAGGCTCTGTTATTGTAAAGAAACTAATTGGCCAGAGGGACAGTTTTCTGAAAGATTTAAAAACGAAGCGCAATCTGAACCATGTCCAATTTGCATTAATGCTGGAAAGAAACCTGATGGTTCTCGCGGAGTAACTTTTGACATTGCTAACATAAGAGGACCATGCGGAAGGGCTGATTGTAGAATAGCTAGAGATATGAGGGCTTACATTGAAAATCTTGTCGATGAAGATAATAAAGTAATCGATATCGACGCCATTATTGGTCCTTGCGGTAGTAATGAATGTAGAATAGCTGAAAAAATTCAAGAATTTCTCCGCCATGAAGGTGTTTTCAGTCAAGGCTCTACATTAGAAGGCTTATCTACACAATGTGCATGTATAAAACAAATGCAAGATGCTCTAAGAAAAGATGAATCATGTAATTCCTCTTGTGATAAAGATTGTGCAGATAGCGATAGTGAGGGCAGTAAATGTGAAGGAAAAACGTGTCCGTATAATAAAAGGGAACCAAAAGAAAAACCAGTTTATAATGTTTTCTACTTTACAGTAGAACATGATTTTGAAAAAGAGAGTACCGGTACATCATCACCTACCGATACTGATAAGTCATCTAAGTTTCGATACTGCTCTACAGACTGCCCAAGCACGAAGCCTTCGGAAAAAAACACTTGTACTAAAAGCGCTTGCTCTAACTTAACAGAAAAGGTAGACGCTAACGACGAAAATTTAGCTTGCCAAGATCCGACATGTCCTAGACAGAAAAACTTTCCGCCTAGTCCGGCTGATAGCGACATTGTCATTCGATTTGATGATATACATAACCCTTGCTGTGTTAAAACATGTGATGTTGCTGAAAAGGTAAAGGAAATAATAGTTGATGGACTATCCAGTAAGAAAAAGAAAACTGAAGATGATGATCCATGCTACTGTGATTGTGAATGTACTTTCAAATTCTCCAAGAATACAACCTATTGTGCGGTTTGTGGAGGCTATGAATGTTTAGGAGATGATTTAAAAGAAATGCCTGAATATGCTAAACCTCATCCATGTCCTGTATATCATAAGTTATATGATAAAAAATATATAAAAGTTCAAAGTCCCTGGCCAGAGGAAGAAGAAACTAAAAAACAACCAGATACTATAAGCAATAAGAGTTCCCGTACTACTGGTTCTAAGCTTGGGCAAACTGATCATAGGAGATTAACAGTATCTCGTTCTATAAAAAGTTTCTCAGATAAGGTAATTCATAAAAAAAATATGGAAAAAGGCGATGGACAAAAGGTAAAGAAAGTAGTGCAAGAAAAGAAAAAAATTGGGAAATTTACTGCCAATGTCGAGGAAATGCGTATGTTTAATTAAATATTATTTTTATAAGTAAATATTATTATTTAATTATCTTGTAGCTTGAATGGCCGTCATTTTTGAAATTATATAGTAATTTTTTTATGGATCGGACAAGAAAAGATTATCATTATTTAGTTTATGAATTTCGTCACTGTATATCATTAACATGTATGCTAATATGTTTCAGCATTACCACAAGTTGAAAAGAAAATAGAGTCAAAGTATCCTTATCCACCTGTACCTAAGAATATGGGTTGGAATTGGACTGCCGAAGATATTCCGGGAATGAAGGTTAAATAAATTAAAACACCAATAATATAATATTTAAAATTATAATTAAAACAATTTTATATTAAAACAATTGGATATAGGCAATGAAAATAATTAAATTGATTCATGGATTTTCTAGAGTAAACTATAGTGGCTTATCAAACAGCGATTATTTATTTTTAACGATTCTAATTTAGTTAAATTTCATGGCTGCACAAAGTAGGTATCTTTTTTCTTATTTTTTTTACTTTTATTTAAAGGAGCTTATTTCGCGTAAAAGTTTCGTTGTAACTGATTATTAGAAAAATGCGCGACATGAGCATCACGTGCATTTTTTTATTTCTAAAAATGGTAAGCCTTTTTATTTTAATTATTTTAATTGCAATAAAAAACCGCAATCTACATTTAATGGGCTAATTATATAGTTAATCTTTTTATTCTAGGTATACTTACGAGTACGTACCGAAAAATAGCTTATTTGATTGTAGTAAGTTTAATCAATTTTGTACCAAAACGTCATTTAACCCAACCATATAGGTTAATGTAACTTAATATTAAGTTAATAAGTAATGTTAAATATTTCAGAGTAAAAAAATCTTTAAATTTTTAATTATACTATACATATTTATGATATATCCATTTTGCAGGAAAAGAAGATTAAACTTTACATTTGGCAGCACCGGCTTAAACTGTACAAACTAAAAACTTTTTTATCATTTTATATGAAAGCTAAATAACAAGGAATTGAATTGAATTATATTACATGAAACATTGAAATTATAGTTATTATAAAAATAATTAAATAAATATCATAAGCAATAAAGTTTCTATTATTTTATCAAATATCCAATATACATATGTGTGATATATTAGATGTTTTTTTATTAAATTGTATTTAAAGCTACTTTTGTGTGTTACAGCCCCGGCCAAAATGGAAGCCAGGTGCAGCAAATAAAATTTTAGTTCGACGATATAGAGCGATAAGGGAAGGTGTAGATATTATAGCAAAAAAGAAACGTGCCATGATGCAGCGAAAAAAGAAAATCGAAATGAAACCTACATTAGTTGTTAAAAAGCAAAATGGCGAATATTCCGTTCAAATGGAAGTTTTCAAGAAGTATTCTAAAGAACGGCTTTTATTTCAGTATCCTTATGATGAAAAGCCCCCTTTGATTTATACAATAGGTAAGACAGAAGAGGAGAAACGAAAAATCCAAAAACAGCGTGAAAGGAGGGAACGGAGAGAGACGAGAAGAAAAAGTCGCTTATTACAATCTACTTTTAGAGATAGATGTCAAGAAATTTGTTTGAAAGCGTATAATCAGGCTATAGGCATCTTGCCTTTACCTAATCCTAACGATCCAGCGTGTCCTTGTCAAACTGACGCCATCCAAACTATTACTCCTCCAATAGACTCCTGCTCTTGTTCTGATGAAGAGACAATATCCAGCAGTGACACTGACAATGATGAGTGGACCATTGAATTTACTCCACCCGCGGCTCGATGGGACGTTAAAGCTAAACACCCGCCTGTCTTAGCCGAAAATGAAAGTCAATACAATTATTTAGATTATAAAGTTAAATTACTTGATAAGCAGGGAAATCCAGTACCTAGATTCTTTAAAGGTCCCGATGGAAAACAAGAATGTAGTGACCTCGGTGGTTTCTGGGGTCCTGATCATATTTGGATGGAAATTAATAAAGATGGTTACATAGGTCCTGATGAAAGATGGGTACCGATGAACTTTATAGGACCTGACGGCATGTTTTATTCTGCCGAAGAAGGATTTTTCACAGATAATTCAGGTCAAACTTTAAAAATTGGTGTCGATGGTTATGTAGATAAAGAAGGAAAGTGGGCGTGGTATTCCAAGAACAAAGGCAAAACTTCAAAATCAAAATCAACACTTACTGTTACGACAACGCATACTAAAACAAGAGTAACTGAACCAAAATCTGGGAGTGTTAGTAAGAGCAATGGTAAAGGAAAATCAGAACATATGAAAGCTAAAAACGATAAAATATCACAATCGATACCAAAAACGGGCGTCGATAAAAGAAAAATGAAAACAGCTGTTTCTTCATCTAACAAAGCTAAGAATCCTTTGGTTATGAGTGTTTCACTAAATTATGATAGGAACCATTCACCAAAGTCAACATGCGTCAAGATTCCACCAGATACGAAGAAAAATACAAGGTATAAGGAAGTTATAGATGAGTTTCAAATGTTTGGTGATATGCCACAACTTAATCTAAATGTTAAAACTAATAGAGCTTCGAACACGTCTAAAAAGAATCTATCTCCATTTTTAATGTGTAAGAAAATGTTCAAGAAAACAAATGAATTATGTAATGTTATTTGTGAAGACAAAAATAACACGTCTTTTCGATCAGAAGGCCTTATATTTAGTTGAGGGCTATTTAAACAAAAATATTTAATAGCTATAAATTACCTTCATTATTTTAATTAGCTATCTAGAAATGTCAATCTTTTTTATCGTTTCTTTATTTAGAGTGAATATTAAGAAAATTGGTCTGTGGTCATTTTGATAAATATATGTTATAAGAATTATTTTTTTAAATATACAATTCGATTTTATTTACATTATCCATCATTGAAAACTAGTATTTATAAAAACTATAAGAAGCTGCTTTCGATAAGGATATTCCCTATTTTGTTGTTTCAATATTTCTGACTTTATGAAAGAATTAAAACATGGAACATGGAATGAACTCAGACTTATTCCTTGTTTAGCTAAAGTCGTTAAACGTTCATTTGGTCGTTTATTTTTCGCGCTTTTTAACCTAAAATACGTTTTATATCCCTGTCCATCCACAGCCAAAATTCCTTTGTCTGAAGGCAAAGTGTGATGACACTTGCTTTTTGTATCGAAGCCACTCCTATGATAAATATTCTTTTGACTTAGCTTCGTTTTCTTTGTAGATGGTAAATGAAATATTGTCTTTGGCTGTGGTATATTAACATCTTCTCCACGTGCTAACATATTCTCTAGAGTTGAAATTAGTAATTTTCTATCTCCACCATGACCTACAATTCCTAATTTTGACAAATGTTTAGGTGATACATCACCAAAACAACTCCAACTGGCGTCGGATTTTTCATATTTTTTATCAACTATTTTTTCTTTTTTACTATCCTTACCGCTACGTAGATTTCTTTTGACTGGACCTGTTTCTTTAGGGTCATATTTCCATCTGTTTTGACTATCAATATAACCGTCTCCGTGTGATAATTATTGTTTTATGCAGAATGCGAGATATCGTACATTTTTTGTTGATCCGGTGATAAAAATCAACTAAAAATGCTATCATATCTAAAATTTTATGTAGTTTAAGATAAGTACGATTATACTATTGGCATAGAAAAAAGTATTGAAATTGTTTATTGATACTGTCCAAGTGTCATGAAATGTTTAAAAAAATAATTTAAAATTTAAAAATTTTTACATAATTGTTTTTGGCTGTCATGTAAATTACAAGTTATATATATATTTTAAATAAATCTATAAATTTTAAGTACTTAAATGTAATTTTAGCGGAAAATTATACTTTAAGAGAAACTTTCAACATGGCTCTTTCGGATTCAATGTTTTTATTTGAGATAACTATAAAAGATTTGAAAACCTACAAGAGATGTAATGAGTTTAAAGTGACAGCTGAATTTGCAGATGTTTTTAAAATATACTTTAATAATCCAATCTTAAATTCTGCTTCCAAGAAGGTAAGACAAATGAAACTAAGGGAAAAATATAAAGTGAGGATGAGTAATATTCGAAGTAGGAATCGAATATTAGACGTTAAGTCGTTAAATATTCATTCAATACTGGCAGCGCAGAAGCCTTCTTTTTTAATTTCACATATGAAGCAACATCCTCTAGAAATATCTGTTTTTAGTAAAACCAGTCCCTCCTATAAGTTAGGGTCGTCGCTTATACCGTGGAGTAAGTGTTTTGGTAACTATATACGTAATATTAATAAAAATAAAGGAAATTCACTCGTACACGCACAAGGAACATATAATATTTACGGTGAGACTAATATGAAACGGGTCGCTACAATAGACATGTCTATAAAGTTATTATATTTGGGCGAAAAACAGTCAAACCAGTTAAGATCTAGATCTTCAGATATTCCAAACACCTTTATGTACACTCAGATTGATTCAAAAGCTTTATTGGTAAAAAGTACAGATAAATACTCTGAAAGTGAAAGATTACATGCGAATTCAATTTTTAGCAATAACAACTATCAACTGTTAAAAAATATTATTAATAATGATCGAACTAATAAAGGTATTTCAAATGAATATTTAAAAAGAACATTAAATACAAAAAGCGATTCGAATATAGTCTCTAGCAAGCGTAAAATTATTACGAAATCTTTGTCATTTTCATCTATTTATTGCAATCGAAATAATATTTTACGTTACATATTCGGAGATTTAGAGGGATCCTATAGAAATAAAATTTATTATGTGGGCTATTTTACTGTTGAGAAAGATAATACAGATACAGATTCCCCTAAAGTATCTAAAGTTGAAAGTTCACATAAGTCTAATGCATCGAGAAAGAAATTTAAATTTAAGAGATGTGATAGTGAATGCCAGGGAAAGAGACAAACGTCTGAAAGCGCCTATTCTTTAGATCTGTCTGAAGGGGGTGCTCAGATCAGTGTGACGAAATGTAAAGAAGTTGATTGTAATGATAGAGCTCACAGGAAGTTACCAACGCCACCTGATGATAGGGTACTTTTAGATATCTCAAATATTAAAAAAGACTGCTGTATAAATGAGCAAATTACAGAAAAAGTTATCGGCGGTGTAACAACTAAAATGCAGATTGGTGAAGGTCCTTGTTACTGTACTTGTGAATGTACATTTGGATTTATGAAAAAAACAACATACTGTACAGTTTGTGGCGGGTATGAAGTAGCAGGTGAAGAACTGGCTCGGAAACCAGCGATCGAAATGCCTATACCTTGTCCTTTTTTTCACAAGCTTGTAGATAAAAGCAAATTAAAAACGTGGAGTACTTCCGGCAGTGAGAGTAAAAAGAAGGGTGAAGATTCAAAGTCTACAAAAGTTAATTCATTTCAAAAAGCGGCGGCGTCTGATAAACGTTTAATAGTAAGCGAGAAAAAAAGCGTTGAATCCGAAAAAGACTCTAAAAAAGGCAAGAAGAAAATAAGGGATGATAGATTTAAATTTAATTACGGCTATAAAGGTATACGTACGTATTTGTTACACATCTTCTTAAATAGTAAATACTGTATTTATATAGAAAATATACTGTTCGCGCAAAATTTAAATGCATTAGAGTGAAGTTGTCCTTTGCATTGCTCAATTAGTAGGTACTATCGAGTATTAATTTATTGCATTATATTTTTAAATAATACTTTTGCTTACAAGATATTCTCTTTAAATAAACATATACCCTCTATTACACTCAGTTGTGTACGATGAGTTTTGCGCGAATTGAAAGAAAAACCTATTGATTAAAATATTTAAAATACTAATTGAAATCCTTTTTAATACCTGTAGCCCCTCAAATAGGACACAGTAGATGTGTGTTACCGTGTTCCGGTATTCTAGACAATGTCCCTAAGAACATGGGATGGCTTTGGACTGCTGAAAACATTCCAGGAATGAAGGTATATCCTACAAATTTTAAATAGGGTCTGTTTTTTGTATAGAAACGAATTTTTTTTATTTGTTTTATTTTTTATAGTTCCGACCTCTGTGGAAACCGGGTGCAACCAGTAAACATGTAGTAAGACTATTAAAGATAGCCAGAAATCCGGGTGAAGTTATATCTAAAAAGAAACGCAAAGATACGGGCAAGGAGAAACGTCCCCTGAAACGTCCTTTACTTGTGATACATAAAAAGGACGGCGAGTATACTGTAACTATGGAAACGATGAAGAATTATTCAAAACCAAGAGCACTTAATCAGCATCCTTATGAGGATAAGCCCGTTGTGACTTACACGATAGGTAGAACAGAGGAGGAAAATCGTGAACGTCTTAAAAAGAAGGAGCGTGCACGAAGACGACTTGAGAGAGCGCAACGACACTTTATACAGGATACTTTTAGAGATATGTGTAATGAAATCTGTATGAAAACATACCAACAAGCCCTTGGTATATTACCCGAAACTGAAGATCCTGCATGTTTGTGTTATCCTGCTTTACCAACATCAAAAACAACAAACACGAATGTTTCTTGTTCTTGTTCGGAAGATAACTCTTCACTTGGCTCTGACACTGATTCCGATGAATGGATTGTAGAATTTACACCACCAAATGCTACTTTTGACCCCACTTATAAAGGGAAGAAAATATTTAAAGTTGATAACGGAACACAGTATACATACCTTGATTACAGAGTTAAGCTTGTCGACAGATTTGGAAATCCTGTTCCAAGATTCTTTAAAGGGCCAGATGGAAAACAGCAATGCAGTGATTTAGGTGGTTTTTGGAGTCCAGATAATAAGTGGCTAGAAATTAATGTTGATGGATATATAGCTCAAGATGGTAGATGGGCACCGAATATTTTTATTGGGCCAAGCGGAGAACATGTGGATGCTGAAGCGGGGAAATTTCAGGCTACAAATGGTAAATGGCTGATTGTTGGAGTTGACGGTTATATTGATAGTCAAAACAGATGGAAATATTACCCTAAAGAAACAGGTCCAGTCAAAAGAAATCTACGTAGCGGTATGGATAGTAAAAAAGAAAAAATAGTTGATAAAAAATATGAAAAATCCGACGCCAGTTGGAGTTGTTTTGGTGATGTATCACCTAAACATTTGTCAAAATTAGGAATTGTAGGTCATGGTGGAGATAGAAAATTACTAATTTCAACTCTAGAGAATATGTTAGCACGTGGAGAAGATGTTAATATACCACAGCCAAAGACAATATTTCATTTACCATCTACAAAGAAAACGGAGCTAAGTCAAAAGAATATTTATCATAGGAGTGGCTTCGATACAAAACGCAAGTGTCACCACTCCTTGCTTTCAGACAAAGGAATTGTGGCTGTGGATGGACAGGGATATAAAACGTATTTTAGGTTAAAAAGCACTAAAAATAAACGACCAAATGAACGTTTAACGACTTTAGCTAAACAAGGAATAAGTCTGAGTTCATTCCATGTTCCATGTTTTAATTCTTTCATAAATTCAGAAATAATGAAACAACAAAATAGGGAACGACTGTTAGCACTTGCGAGTAGAAATATTTCGACGCAAATTTCCTAATGTTCCTAGTGTCCATATGTGATTTTTTAGTTCGTAGTAAGAGTTTGTGATGTATTTACGAGTCGTAATGTTGTAAGTGAAATTTGTTTTTTGGTAATGCGCTAAGTTAAATTTTGCAACGTTAAATATTTTTAAGAAACTAAACATACAAGATTTCGTATCAAAATAAATTAAATTTATTATTTATTTTTACTAATTGTTTTTCTATAGGAACTTAATGTTGACTTTAAAAACAAATGCAAGAGTAAGGTACATATTTTTTTTTTAAATAAAACAATATGTAATTTTAGCAACATAATTTATTCGCCATAAATAACATTAATTTTATTTTTAGGTACATCAAGGGTGGAAGCCAGGGGCTGTATCCAAGAAGTTACTGCGAGTGCTGAACAAAGCTAAATTAAGAAAATCGAAAGTAGAATCAATCAAGCCGATGAGACGGTTCAAGAAACAAGTCGATGACAAACCCACGCTTATAGTATGTAAAAGAAACGGGACATACCATATAGAAATGCAAGCCACAAATAGCAAAGAAGATAGCAATGGCGCTTACAAACCTTTGCTATACAAGATAGAATCAACAAATAATAAGGCAAAAATTCGACAAAAGGAAATGTTACGAAAGCGGCTAATAAGAGGTGCAGTAAAAGAGATTTGGTCTGATCCTTATCATCCAGAATTATGTGAACAGATTTGTTTGAAATCTTATGATGAAGAGGCGATTGGAGTATTCCCAAAAGAAGAATGTGAAGATGAAGAAGGGCCTTGTGACATTTCATGTTATGAAGAAGACGATATCAGTTCTTTTGAGATAGATTGGGAAATTCATTTTACACCACCGTTAATGTGTTATCAGGCTTCTCAGCAAAGAAAGTTAAAGTCAATGGTGGTATGACTGTAAAGGTCATAAAATATTCTTATATTGAGTCAGCTATATTGTATACGAACTAAAAATGTTATCAAAATTTGATGCTCTTAGCAACTTTGTTATAATATTATTTCATGAAAATTTATTTAAATGCTGTATCCGGTGAAGTCTTAAATACCTTTATGTTTTTAATTATGGATGGTATTAAATAAAAGAAATTAAATATTAGCTTTTTTTATTACTCATCAATACGTTAAGCATATCCCATATAACCAGAGATAACGTGGTATGTGGCGCTATTCTGAGGTAAAGCGGGCCTATTCCTTTATATAGACCATGTAAACCTTCAGTTTTGTAGATCTTGCTAATACAGTCAAATACTCCTTTGTAGAGAAGTTCACCTTTTGATGCAGGACCTATGTAAATAGAAAAACATTAAAACATCAGGCTTATATTAAATTAATAAAAAATATATAATTATATAGTAAGTGGTAAAATTACAAGTCAGGAAGCCGAGTATTTTCCTATTAATATATACATACATATACTTATTAACATATCTATATTAATTTATTTATCTAGTACGTAAGTGTTAATTTGAATCTGTCATATACAGAAATTGATTTTTTTATATAAGTATTAGTATTTCTAAGTGAATTTAATGTAGATTTACCGAATGTGTATTGTTTTGATTGTTGGATTTTGTTTTGCTAACTTATGAAGTTTTTTTTTCATTCTTCATGTTTCTGACGTAGTTCCATCAAAAATCGATCGGTAGCCTTTTCAATGGTTCTTTGCAAGTGTCGTTATAAATTACAGTAAAGTTTAATCTATACATGTAATAAAAATTTAACTAAGCCGAATCTGTACATTAAATATTTGAAATTACATTATTATCGATACAGAGACCGAATTTATAGTTTTTAGAATTTTTGTTTGTCTGTCGGTCTGTCTGCCTGTCCGTTACCGCATCATGGAAAAACCACTGGACGGATTTTGATGCAATTTAGTATGATGATAGCTGGTTACCCGGGTCAACATATATAATACTTTTTACTACCAGATATATTATAAATATCTTATCTCTTAAAACTCTATACTAAACGTTAAAACGTAAGCAGGGACCACACACTAATATAAATACAGACCTGTGTCTTCCTGTCTCAAAAGCTTTTTACAATGATGATAATGACAAAGACACATTTTATATCTATACAAGCACATACCATGAATGGAATTCGAACTCACGACCACAGCTTTACTTATAAAGAATTTTTACATACAACAAATGAATTTCAATAGTACATTAAACAAAATTTGCCGTTAGCACTATAATTATTACATAGTGTTATTACAAAAAGCTCAAGGCAAAATAGAACAAGCATTATGAACCCGATACGTAATAGTGACAATAAAAAGGTATGGTATGTTTAATTAAATGTAACAAAGAATGTATGTACCACATAATGGATATTCATATTTTATTGTTGAAGTTATACTTCTTTTGGTACGTTAGGAAATAATTATGACAGTAAAATTTCAACAATGAGCGCGCACACCGACAACCAAAATGATGAAGTTAGCTGCATTCCTTTTACAAACAGAGAGTTGTGACATACTGGATGAAATCTTTAGCAATTTTTGTTCTGTTACGCCAAAGAAGTATAACTTCTTACGTGCACACACACGTTTTTTATGAGTATATGTATGTACGAAAACGCGTATATTGCTTTGCTTTCTTTAACGGTATGTGGTTGCAGATCCGGAAGCCTTGGGTTCGAGTCCCGGCCCGGACCAAGTTTTGTTACTTAGTTTTTCTGTTAAGAAATTCTCAGTAACAACTTTGTGTTGGGAAGTTGGCGGGATTTATCTTCGTACATCGGAGAGCACAAAGCCGCCAGTCCTGCGCCTGAACTTTCTCCGGTCCATTGTTGTCCCAATGGTATTTGAGAGTCTAAAGAATAGAGAGTGCACTTGTATCTGCGTGTAAGCTTGTGCACTATAATATCCCCTGCGCCGTTGTCTAGTCTTAGTGAGACTGGCCGAATATGAAAAAGGTAAAATTTTAACGGAAAATGAATTAACATTTACCCTGATTATAAATCCGTGTATTGATTAGGTCCAGAGGCGTCTCCAGGAAAACAATTATCATCCCACACGGTACACTCACGATGAACGAGAGTGCAACCGGTGAGTTCTCGAAATAGCCCTTCTCAAGCAGGGCGTGTTTCATTCTGCAATGGTTGATGTCATGATTGACAAATGATAGAATTGAATTAAAATAATTAATCATCATATACCTATTTTTCGGTGGGTACTTGATAAATATCCGTTGTAAGATTAGTGATGGGAAAAATGAATTAAATATAAAGTTATAATATAATTTTTTTTTAAATGTTCATCGATTTGTGTGAAAATCGATAAAATCTGAAGTATCTTAGCTATGACTGACATGGATTGAGACGAACTTTATTCTCAAGCATGGGCAATGGGCGTGATAGGTTTGACTCCAAAAATACGTTTAAAGCTACACAAATATCGTTCAAATTGTGCACTAAATACTTCTGTCTACTTCACCTAATAGACTCTATTACCTTGGTTAAAAAGTCGTACTGCGACGACGTCAAGGGGGCATATCACTAGCGCTACCATGATACCACTCATACAGCTCGCGGTGAAAGCGAGGCCGATAGGAGATTGTTCACATATCCCATAAGACAGCAATGTTTCTTTTGAACTGCAGGGTAAAAATTTATTTGGCAATTTCAAACCTGTATGTGTGTATGTCTTTATTAAAGCTCTGTGTAATTAAGGAATCAGAGCTTGTGCATGCTTTTCATTTGGTTGGCCAATATTTGGTCATATCGACTTTACATCCCATCGGAGTCGGAGAGTGATATTTGTGCTCTATAATAATATCTCCTGCACATTCACATGGCTAGTCTCAGTGGGGTTGGAATCCGAAATCGGTTACATTTGGCATTACTATTTGGTATAAATAATTGTTTATCATTTTTCCTTATGTGTTTTTCAATTTCATTGCCCAATTTGTAAACGATTTGTATGGAATTTGTATGACACACATGTTTTATTAATTCAATATAATGGGAAGGCATAGTAATGATTGCCTACTAAAAATTAAACCCGTACGAAGATGAAATCTTAAAATTTTTATGTACTTTATTGAATTTTCTATTTATTTATCATCCTGTATTAAATAAATATCATCGATATATTTAACATTATTGTAAAAAAAACTTACGTAGAGAAAGTTGTTAGTTGAGCAGCACTGCCTATAGCTATCCTGGTGCACGATGCATGTACGCCGGCGAAGAATCCTTTGATGCCTTCTATTCTATATATTTTTAAAAATCCGTCTACCATTCCTAGATAGGGTAAAAAAAATTTTTAATGCCCGAGTGGTAGCACAATCAATATGTATACACAGGCTTAATTATTGATTAACAATTGTTAAAAAGTAGTTGTAAAGTTGTAAAGTTGTAAAGTTGTAAAGTTGTTGTGTTTAAAAGTATCTTATATAGGGTAGCTTGATTCCCAATACAAACTTTCATCCCCATTTTTACCCCTTTAAGGGATGATTTCTGGGATAAAAAGTATCCTATGTCCTTCCCAGGCTCTCAAGTTATCTTCTTACCAAATTTCATCTAAATCAGTTCAGTAGATCCAGAGACCCCCTACAAACTCACAATCTCACAAACTTTACTTCTTTACAATATTAGTATAGATTAAGGATATTTTTATCCCTGGAAAAAAGTACAATTCGTACAGGATGGAAGTTTTATAACATTTTTTGGTAAGAGGCTTAGTAAAATCCTGTTCAACATAAAGCAACGGTGGGTGGTTACTCACAAGTATTATGATATACCTTTATATGCATGCTGTCTGCCCACTGCTATGCTAGGATGAGCTGCAGCCTGTATTCTAGTCTTCAGTAAAGATGCTGGGTTAGCGGCTATTCCACTCATAACCCCACTCAAACTCGACCCCAATATAGTTTTGTGTAAACTAATGTCCCCGTCTTTTGTCTTCATCCAACCCTTAACTTCAGCTATATGGTACGTACCTAATCTGTCCAATAACATATTTTATTGTATTCCATACATATAATAAAATTCTAACTAAGCCGAATCTGTACATTAAATATTTTTTGGAAAATCTAATTGAAATAGACATTACTTATTATGGATACAGAGTCCAAATCTATAGTTTTTAGAATTTTTGTCTCTCTGTCTGTCCGTCTGTCTGTTACCGCATCACGAGAAAACCACTGAACAGATTTTGATGAAACTTGGTATGATGATAGCTGGTTATCCGGGTCAACATATAGGATACTTTTTACCGCGGAAAAATATCTCACTTTTGGAAAAAAATACAAACACTGTATTGTAAGAGTATACCAATATGTAAAACCTAAGAATTTGGTTTTTGGTCATCAGAACGCGGGCAGCGCCGCGGGCAATGCTAGTCTTTCATATGTTGGGTTTGTAAATTATGGTGCAGAATAAATTTTATTTTACTGTTCTATCAATATTTTCTAGTACATATTTTTTCCATATTTTACGTATATTATATTATACTTTATCCCATTTATCCTTATTACATTTATTTATACTTTATCCTAGGTCGAACCTGCTTTAAACTAGATAACATATATATGTCACCATATTATTTCTATATAGAAAGATGGTTATTACCTCACAGAATTCATGCAGAAACCGAAAACCATAGCTGGCGCGAGACCCTTTTGGAGAGCGAAAGCTCCATCATTTTTGGCTATCACGTACATTGCGTGGAAAATACCTCTATATTTTGTTTTTGTGTCAGTTCGGGCTCGTAACTCCCCTTGTAATTGTAACCTTGTTTTTACAACGTCCATAGGATTTGTGAATATAGTAGCGCCCGCGCCGGCGAGTCCGCCGATTATATAGTCCATGTTTAGTGGCCTGTTGAAGATATCATTTATTTGTCAAAAAAATCTATACATATAATAAAATTGTAACTAAGCCGAATCTGTACATTAAATATTTTTTGGAAAACCTTATTGAAGTAAACATTATTATCGATACAGAGGCCGAATCTATAGTTTTTAAGATTTTTGTCTGTCTGTCTGTCTGTTACCGCATCACAGAAAAACCACTGGAGGGATTTTGATGAAATTTGGTATGGTGATAGCTGGTTATCCAGGTCAACATATAGGGTACATTTTACCGCAGGAAAATATCTCATTTCTGAGAAAACAATACAAAAACTGCAATGAGTATACTAATATGTAAAACCTAATCATTTGATTTTTAGTCATCTGAAAGCGGGCGGAGCCGCGGGCAATGCTAGTAATATATAAAATGTGTTTAGAGGATATTTATGAATAGAGATGTACCTAAAACAAGGCTACAGGCTTGAGCTTTACGGTTTGCGCGTCCTTATAAAAGGTTGGAGCATATTCATTGGTAGTGGGATAATGAAAATACATGCGGAGATTAGATATGCAGCTTTAAAATGTGTTTTTTTTTAATATTAAAGCAAAGGAATTATTTAAATAATTAAGATTTAGGATTAAGAATGAATATCCCAAAAGAGTAGATGCTGAAATTAATATTTAGCATATCTATTATCTACGTCTACCGATTTCAATGAAACTTTTGGTGGCAGACAGAGGATTTAGGCAAAAAATAAAGTCTATTTTTTATGTCTGGAAAAACTTCTACTCAGGATAGAAGAAAAACGGCTTCCATCGATTTTATCGGTCCCTATACAGGTGGGTAGAGTATTCGATTTAAATATGGAATATGCTATTTCTTATAGTGGGGAAAGTACCTAAAGAGTTCTCGCAATACTTTGATCTTCATTTGCTACTCACTAGATCTTACTACATATATGAAATTTACAGTTTAGTGCAAGTGCCGGGTAAATATTTAGGGGTGCATGCAATAAGTGTTCGGTGTAATGAATCGACGCGGTTTCATTTAATTTTAGTATATGTATAAAAATGTTTATATTGTAAAATGGTATGTTATTCTTACTGCTACATTTATTATAGCTAGGTACATATAACAAATAAGATTTGGTTTTTGAAACCGGTTTCTGTATAAGTAGTGTATATCGATAAAAAAAACAGCTTACGTTATTAAAGGATATTGTAGCCAACTAGAGAAAGAAATTTTAAATAAGACGAACATAAATCTGAAGAGATTCAGACTGGATTAAGATGATCCCCTTTCATACAAATCTACAATTTCATTGAGTAACAATTTCATTGAGTAACAATTTCATTAAATAATATTTTAAGAATATTTATATTATCTTTATTAATTTTAAATATTAGTCACTTACTATTTTGTAGCTATATAGTTTGCACACACTTTTGCACAACCCTTTAACTTCACTGCGCGAAAAATGTATAATAAAAAATACAAATTATCATTGTAATTTAAAATTTTCCCTATCTATTTGTGTTAATTTGTTTATTTTACGATACGCATTTGTCACGTTAAACACTCCATGGCCTGATTCGGTGAATACTGACGTTCGTGGCATTGAACGAGTATCACGGATGATGTAATGCAATAATGCTAAATATGTCAATATTTAACAATAATATTTTTTATTGAATGATCAACAAAAATGTGTATAAAACTATTAACGTTGTATGCAATTTTTTTACCTCGCATATTTATTTATTAATATTTTTTTTCTAGAAAGAAGAAGAAAAAGTTGTATTTCAATATTACAGCATTGGAATAGAATTTAAATATATGTATGTACTAGCTCATTTTTCTGGGATGAAAAGTAACCTGTTAGGTGCGTAAGTTGTTGTGTACTAAGCTGTATAATTTGTTAAAGTTTTTTAACTATCCCACGGGAACTCTTTAATTTTCCGGGAAAAAGTATCTAAGATGTTGCCCGTTCGTCCATACCTACGAATATGTTGTATTATCTCTTTAACTATTTGTCCAAATTATTTGCAGTAAAAGGGAAAAGTCTTTTGTTTTAAACATTTTAGACGATAAATTTACTTATTTTGATAAGAATTCATAATTGTTGATAATATGACCAATAAACATGACCTACCGATTTAAATTATTTTTATAATATAAAAATCTACTTTTTGTAACTTAAATATAAAAGTTAGACACATGCAATCGCTGACTTTTTTGTAGGCATTATTAAGCTCTACAACTTTTCTCTAGAACATAATCATATATCTCTCATCGTTAAGGCAGCGTTCGTAAGAAACGTTTTCGTTCGACCGTTTTTTCTCCGACTTACTTTGCAAATCCGACTACCATGAAAAAGCCTTTTCATTCTTTAGGTTAATATATAGCCTATGACACTCAGAAATAACGTGGCTTTCTATTGGTAAAAGAATTTTGAAAATCGGTTCAGTACATCCAGAGATTACCCCCTACAACGTCACAAACTCACAAACTCACAAACCCACAAACTCACAAGATCACAAACTTTACCTCTTTATAATATTAGTATAGATTATATATTTTTTATTTTTAGTTATTTCAATACGGATTTACAATGTTGTTCTTTGAAGTTGTGTCACTTTTGTTTGTTACAACTCTACATTTGCCAGATACTTAATATACCAAATACATATTAATATATATAATGTGCTTTAGTTATAGTAATAAAATCATTATTACTTTATATTTAGTACATTTTAGTAAATTTCTATTATCCATAGCTTCATTTTCAATACAGCCGTCCACTATGACGTAACCTAAATACAAGATTTGGCTAACGTACAAGGAAGCGTTTACGTAGCGAGTCGTCTCTATGAATGAATATCGATCGACTTTGGACTGTCTTAAAAAAATATAAAATAGACCTTATTACTGTAGTGTTATGATTTATCTAAAAAAAATTAAAAAATTCCTATTATATATATATGTATATATTTTTTAAATATTATGGCAAGTTCTTTTTAATCGAGTTTAATAGGAGATGATGTTTTTCATTTGGCTGTCTGTGCATCTGTATATTACGATATACTTATATGGCGATTATCAACCGATTGATTTATACTTACATTGAATATGTTACCCATTAAATATCTTGAGGACTGAGCTAATGGGACCAACCATTTTTTTAAGTTGTGTCAGTTTTATTTGTTACGAATTTTTAGTTTTTTTTTTAAACTCATTTTAACTTTCATGATAAAAAGTCATTATTTTATGATTGTAATATGTAAAGTCTCAACCTTGGCCTTGAATTTTATCACTCGTATTTAAGATAACACGAATCGGTACATTCTTGTAGACATAGAATTTCGTGAAGATCTTGTTATATAATAAAGAAATAAATAAATAAAAAAATATCTTGGTACATTAGCATACAGCACCATCTACAGTGTAGTTCCATGGTAAGCTACGAGGCTTGTGTTATGAATACTAGATAGTTGATGCCACATATATAACTTTAAATAAATACATATTATAAATATAAACACCCATGACTGGAGTAAAAACATTCGTGCTCATCACACAAATGAATGCCCCTAGCGGGACTCGAACCCACGACCGCTGGCACAGCAAATAACGTATGTAAAGCTAGAAAGGCAAAGTGAGCAGAATCTCTTAAAACTACATAGTTTTAAGCGATTCTGCTTAGAGCGATGTGCATAAATTAGTGCTCATTTAGTGCTAATTTAGTGCCAAATGCTAAAATTTGTTGCTCTTATATTTTTAGGTAAGCTAGCAGTGTCATAGCTAACTGCATAACACAGCGTCAAATCAATTTAGCATTAATTCAGTGCTCAATTAGTGCTGGCCATCCAAAGACAAATATAAAACTTTATAGTTTTTTTTTTATATAACAAAACTTGCTAATTTAACAGTGTGAGCAGGGAAACTAGTAAAAAAGTGACATCTGAGTCAAATTAAGAATTTTAAAAGTAATTAAAAGCAAGTTTTGTTATATAAAAATACTTTATAACTGACAAAATACAAAGAAAGTAAAATTACTTTAAAATTATACATATAACAGACTTCTACTGTTCTCTCGCTCGCTTCGTTTGGGTGTCCGCTAAAAATACAAAAACAAATTTATCTCAAAGGAACCGTATATTTTCCCGGGACTAAAGAAGCCTCTGTGTTATCTGATGTATGAGCTATCTTATTGTAAAGTTTCATTGAAATTCATTCAGTAATTTTTAGTGAACGACTAACAAACATCCACCACATCCTCACAAACTTTCACACTTATAATATTAGTATAGATACTTACCATTTTTATTTCGCACTAATCCATAGCATATTTTGGAAAAAAAATATTTTTTTTACGGAGGTAGTCTTTAAACTATTTTGTTTGAATCGAAACATTTAATCATTGATCTACTAAGGTCTTATACTTACTTCCTTTCATTTTTCTTTTCCAAGAAGCAATCAAATTAAAAAGCCTCTTTTGAACTAAACTTGACATTCAAGAGTGATTCATTGATAAGTCAGACTTTGCCAAGTCATGACTGTTGACCTTCATCACTATGATTGTTTGAGTTGGAAAATATATTATATAATAGCGGCTCACCCTCGCTTAGTTCGGGTTCGCCTCTAGGTAAACAAAAACAAACCTATCCCACGGGAATCGTACATTTTTCCGAGATAAAAAGTAGACTATGTGTTATTTTAGATTATAATCTATCTCTGTGTCAAATTTCATTCAGATCCATTCAGCCGTTCTGACGTGAAAGAGTAACAAACATCCATACTCACAAACTTTCACATTTATAATATTATAAATAGGGATACTAGTGTTGAGACGCGACTCCGCTCGACATCGCTCTTAAGGGCCGTAGTCGTGTATTAAGATAGCCTTCTTGCCATCTTTCTTATTTATTCAGAGGCTATAAATAATAAAATATTTTCCACAACGCTACTTTCAGAGATTGGCGCGAACAAACAAACAAAAAGCAAAGAAAATGATTTCTCTTAGACTCTCAGAAGTTTTCAGAAGCATGCACGTACAGTTAAAATTATCAAGTAATCATGGAGGGACATATAAAAATCAATATTAATAATGTTATCGTCTTCATCAATGACATTTGTGAACGTCATATGACAAATTACTAAAGCGAAGGTCAATTCGATCGATTCTTGTAATGGCCGATGCCCGCTACTGTCCACTACAATAATATATTATGTAGGAAAAAATAAATATTAATAAGTAAGTACTTATTAATTACTACACAATTAACACATTTCAGTTTTTAAGTAGCTACTAAATTTAAGAAGACCAGAAGAAATACTTTGTTTAGAAAATCTGTAGTGTATCTATATAGCTTTTGGATATTACAGAATATGAATATCTTTTTGATAGTTTCTTCTTCTCAGAAATAACAGAAGAACAAGAAGCAGAAGAAGTCACTAACTTTTTTATGTTGGCAAATGCATTCACGCATACCACCAGGTGGTTACGTGGGACTCACCGGTTGGAAAAGCTAGTACTACCCACTAAAACCCAACAAAACCTCCCCCGTCTTAATGGGGTATCGCAGGATCACTTACGCACTCAACCACCATATATACCGAAGCAGACCATGGGGTTGCTTCAACGGTCCACTCTGCTATCAGAGAAGCACCATGGGCAACCCGCATGGCACACCACCCACCGAGGTGCGCCACCTCCCAGTGCGTTTCTTGGCTTCGCGCCCGGCTGGATTGCCGGACGCTAATGAGCGGACGAAACGGAGACAAGGTGAACGCACATTGGGAGGGATTTCACTCACTACCTTATCTCTGTTTTACTCTTTGTACCGTTACTTCGAGTTACAAGCATTTGAAATTAATCGCTTACAATTAATTTCTTAATTCAGCATACAGTGTATCATAAACACTTGATAGTTTTCATCCCATTTAAAATGTTGCCTATACACTTGGCCACCTTAAGGCGACCTTTCAAAGAGTCTGCTTTTCATCCATACTAACCGATAATTTATAAGTTAGAAACATTCATTTGTCAGGTGCAAGGAATCTCATAGGCGAAAGTTAATCGGAAATGCAAATTATTTAACCTTTATAAAATATTCATTCGCAAGTTCGCGAGAATAATGTATACTAATAGTACTCGTAGTTTATAATAATAAAGAGAACATATTTTTTTGTTTGTTTCTTTGTACCGAATAAGCTCTGAAACTACGGGACCGATTTAGATGAAATTTAGTAAGAAGATAGTTTGAGACCCTGGGAAGGACATCAAATAGTTTTTGTCCCGGAAATTAGTCCTTAAGGGACTGAAAATGGGGATGAAAGTTTGTATGGGGAACGAACCTAGAGACGAACTCGAGCGAAACGAGCGTGAGCCACTAGTATTAATATAAAATTAAAAAAATATATTATACGATATACTTGAATACGTATCTATTATTTGTCGAATGAAGTCAACAAATGACTGAATAATCTCTACTCAATTTGAGTGTATGTATGTACGTTTTGCGTACTATTCTATTATGTTACGCGGAACCTTCACCAATTACGAATTGAATTTTTTATTTCCTATTTTATCAATACGTGTTGGGAAGCTTATTTACATTTACTTTATATTTCTTGTTCCTTTAAAGTCTTATGCACATTAGATTTACAACAATTGATTATTGGTTATATTACCTAATTTATTTATTTATTTATTTTTATTTTGATTTATGAGTCAAATAGATTATTTATTTTATGTCGTCTAAGCGTTCTTGCTGAGCTCGAATTATTTCGCTAGTAAGATATTGAATGACTCGGTCCACATGACGTGTACGATTATACATTTTAACTTACTTTTGGCACTTCAATTTTGACTAAATATATTAATTACTAGCGACTCACCCTCGCTTCGCTCGGGTTCGTCCCTGGCTTGCTTTCCGATACAAACTTTCATTCCCCATTTCACCCCCTTAAGGGATGATTTCCGGGATAAAAAGTAACCTATGTCCTTGCCAGGGTCTCAAACTATGTCCTTACCAAAATTCATTTAAATCAGTTCAGCAGATTCAGAGATTACCCCCTACAACCTCACGAACTCAAAAACTTTACCTATTTATAATATAGAGTGGAGATAGTTATTGCTTATAATATAAAAAAAATTACAATACGGTTAGAAGGTATCATCAACTTTAGTTCGGTCTTGCCTAAATTATAATATAGACTATTTTTATAATAAAATTAACTAAATAATTTTAAAAGCTTTTTTCTGTAGGATTACCTACGTGTAGGATTATTCTGAACCATTAGGTTTAGAATTGTTTTAACAGGCGCAAAACACGAATGAGTTTGAGTTATAATTATGAAATGGTATAAATGTGATTAAAATTACAAATGCTCGATCTACAGTAATCTAATATATAAATATCTCATGTCACGGTGTTTGTGGTCGCACTCTTCCGAAACGGCTCGACTAATTTTAGTGTTTTTTTTTCGTATATTTGGTGGGTATGAGAATAGGCCGTAAAGTATGTTTCATTCTTCTACCCCCACCCTCATGTTTAATCGAAATTTTAGTATTTTTGTATGAACAATATTACGAGTATATTAATACATAGTAAAACATAAAGCCAAAGAGTTTTTTTTGTTTGTTAACGCGGGCGTAGCTGCGAGTTCTCCTACCTATAAAAAATAAAGAAAATCATCGACAACATCAACTACATCAATCAACGACATCCAATCTCACTGAAACTAGCCAACTGCTGTAATAGAGCACAAGTGTATTTACAGATACAAGTGCACTCTTTATTCCTTTTTTATTTTCAAATGCCGATGGAACTATTCGACACGACCGGTGAAATACCAGGTGCAGAACCGACAGCATAATGTACGCTTTTCCAAGCACGGGAGTTAAAATACACAATTTCCCAACTCCGGGCTTAACAGAAATAAGTATTCTATTAATTACTCAATAACTAAACTCGACCCGAACCGGGACTCTAACCTAGGACCTCCAGACCTGCAGTTAGCCACTAGATCACGGAGGCAGTTAAATGATAACATATGTAGGTATACAAGAGTACTTCGATAGGCAATATCTGATAAATTCCATTTAATATAAATAAAACCTTTTTAATAAATAACACGAACGTTAGTTGACGGATAGAATTAAATAATAATAAAATATGTCAATGTCATATAATTTACAAAAAACACGCAACGTAAAAAAAATAGTATCCAAAACAATCCGTCACGTTATGGTAATCGTCAATCGCGTATATGTTAACGTGGGTACTCGTCGTATATTGTCCATCGCGGCTATCGCGCTTGAGCAGTTCGATTATTGCCCCCTCGGCACCAAGGTCGCAGGTCGGTGGCGGCTGCCATGCTGCCCGGTCCACTCGCGCCCCTCGACGCACACAAAACGCGCGCGCTAACTACTATATACGCGCCGCGAAAATTCAAATCACGGAAAAACAAAACCGCACAGTCCAGGATGCTGGAAAACGACATCACAATTAAACCAACTCTATCTCCATTCCATCCACTCCCCGCTATTGGACAGAAGAAGGAAAAGACTAAAGTTATCGTTTTTGATCTCAAAAATGATAATAACACTCTCAAATTGCAGGATGTTTTGAAGCCACTCACGCCGCTAACTATACACGGGTATCGAAAGAATACCCTGAACTGTAAAGAGATGAAACCGAATCAACTTGTAAGAGAAAATACTTACGATGTTATAGAGCCAATTTATTTGACATCAGCAAAAATAAAAAGGGACATACCGAAAAGAACAAACTCTTTGAACAATGATCCAAAATTATCACCAAAAAGTAGATTTAAAAATGCAGCATTACAAGTGGCAAAGCTTACAACTATGCCGGAAACTGGCAAGCTTTTGTGCCTTCGAGAGCGGGAAACGTTTACTATATGTTCAGATGAAAACAACTCGTGTCGATTGCAAAAGTTACCACAAAGTCCTGTGCAAAAATTGAACAAACTTTCAGAGATTTTCCAGAGTCTCGAGATGAAAGGGCGACATCGGGACAAGATGAAAAAAGAGAATAGTTGGTTTTAATATATATAGATTAAGAGAGCTTTGAAACCCTTTTTTATAAAGTGTTGTGTAAGTAAGTGAATAAGCCCTTAAAATGTTCATATATTTTTGTTAAATACACGAACTTATACGAGATATTTCTATTGCTCAAATTGCCGTGCTGCAAGCATTTGTTGTGTAATTTGATATTTTAATAAAAGTGTGTTTTTAAAAAGTCTTTTATTTAAATATACTAATGTTTATTGTAGAATTGTTGTATCTCATTGTTTATGTGTGAAAAGAAAAAGAAGTCTATACCTACTTTAACATTGACTTCGGTCCTTGACTGTAAGGTTAGCTTTGAACCTATATTTATTATAAGTATATATATTGAAGGACATTTTTTTTAATTTGAAGGATTGTAATACATATTTAATACACCAATTGTCGTTTGGTTTTTTATTTCGCGACAAAATCTTGATCAACTAATGAAATAAACAAGCTAAAGACCCAATTTAATAAAAATAAAGAATATTTTATTAATTAGTTCAAAGTAAATTTAATTTAAAATGTATTTTATACTAGAATTTATTTTTTCATTACTCATCCGTTTAAGGCATAAGTAAACAGTCATAACTGATGTAGAAATAGCGGGTGTTTAAATTATAGGCTAACCTTGACCGACGCCGATCATAGCCACCCTGTGTTTTAAATGTACGTAATAGTTTGTTATTAAATACTCTGTAGCACGTCTCGTAGCTGTAACTTATTTTTATTTAAATAGTTTACTTAAATGTTAGGATTTGTGAGTGTGCTTAATCCATACATATAATAAAATTGTAACAAAGTCGAATCTGTACATTAAATATTTTTTGGAAAATCTCATTGAAACAGACATTATTATCGATACAGAGGCCGAATCTGTCTGTCTGTTACCGCATCACAGAAAAACCACTGGAGGGATTTTGATGAAATTTGATATGGTGATAGCTGGTTATCCAGGTCAACATATAGGATACTTTTTTGATGAAAATGTCTCATTTCTGAAAAATAATACAAATCTGCAATGTATGTATGTAAAACCTAAGAATTTGGTTTTTGGTCATCTGAACGCGGGCGGAGCCGCGGGCAATACTAGTTAAATATTAAGATTGTAACTACTTAATACCTTTAGGGTTCTATCACATTCGAAGTAAAAATATTCCCATAAGGCTTTATAGGGTAACTCCTGTGACTATTATCACCTGAGGTGAACATGGAGGGATATATGGTGCCCACAGAAATCTTAATAATAAGGTAAATTATTAAGATTTCTGTGATGGTGCCTTAGTCTCTCCTTCTTAGCTGATAGGTGGTCGATATTCTGTGATGGATATTTTGATAATAAAGTGAATACACGGTGAAAGTTGATCATGATCAGTAAAAAAAGCGAAATGTGAAATTTTAAGTTACCTATTAGTTTCTGGGCCTTTGTGTCTACTATGATCTTACATCTTAAAATAAGCCGTTAAAGTCACCATATTAATATAACTAGCAGAACCCGCGGCTTCGCTCGCGCTAAAACTACAAAAAATATCTCAAAGAAAGGATCAAAAATATTTTTTTGGATTGTATTATAAAGTGTTTTCCCGTGGGAATTAGGTTAACTCCCGCGGTAAAAAGTAGCCTATGTCACTCTCCAGCCCCTCCAACTATATCCTCACAAAAAATCACGGCAATCCGTTTCGACGTGAAAGAAGAACAAACAAACAAACACACTTTGACATTTATAATATAATAGTATGGATTAGTCATATAATAAGCATGAGTAGGTTATCCATTGGTTTACTTAGAAGCCCTATTTTTTCTAAGTAAATGTAAAAATATGTTAAAATGTTGATATAAAAATTGCATTAGAACATTTAACTTTAAGTAGGTCATGTAAAGAGTGCACGGCTATGAAGCTATCGCGTGATTACAGACGGACATGACAGACAATACGCTAAAGGCACTCAACTATGGTTTTTAAATCAAAACGAATATTTGTTGCAGGCATATTTGACCAAGACAAATAATTTATTAGTAATTAAAGTTTAATTAAGGTATTATCTATTTTTTTTATGTTTTTTTGGCCAAAAACTCCGAGCGAAGCTCGGTTGCCCAGGTACTGAAATGGTTTAATTGTTCAGATCAATCCGTCGTGGTCTAGAACCTAGCGGGCTGAAATATGCACACGTACAAAATGACCGAACCGTATTCCTCTAACGATATTTTCGGCAAAAAAGGATTTTTTGACATTTTAACCCTAACATGATGTAAAGAGGTGAGGTTTGTATAAGAAACTATACTTCGCTTATCTATTATAATTGATGCATCATTTGAAATTATATTATCTTTAGATTTAGTTTAAATTTTATCATATGTAATATATAATTTATCACGGTAATGTTATGTAATATTACCGTGGTAATATGTATCTAAATATCTAGTTTTCAAATAACTAGTTTTCGCCAGCTTTCGTTGAGTTATATTAGCGTTTAAAATAGTAGTAATCAGTGAGAGCAATTGTGGTTGTCGTGGACCGAGAGGGAAATAGATAGCCTGATCATAAAATTAAGCTTAATCACAAGGTCGACTGAGAGGATGCATGGCCAGCCGGCTTTTTAGTGGGAAATCCCTACAGGCTTTCTAGGAGGTTAGTTTCCACATAACTACCTGTATGTATGCAGGTGTTATGCGTAAATGCATTTCCCAACGTTAGAACAAAAAGGGATATAAGGTCTATTCTGAGTTTTATTCAAATCAAGTTACGTCATTAGTAAAATAGGGAGCGCGTGTGGCTTACTCACAAACTTTCGCATTAATCATTTAACATAATAATAAATAATAATAGGGTTCTCTCTGAAGAGTGATGACATTATAAAAACGATAATGACCGTTTTTTTAACACGGCATCGAAACAACGGATCGATGTGATTTTTGCGTACTCAGTGAGAGTCAGGGACCATATAAGTGCGTACGTACTACGTGTGCAATCCACACATGGTAGAAGTGAAACTCAAGAACATGGCAATGTATTCTATCTCATTCGCTCGCCGGCTTAATCCTATATATTTATTTATGTGTTTGTCTCTTTTTAGTGTCGAATTTCCGTTTCATAGAGTTTCAAATCACAACGATTTTAAAGAAGTTTCACTTCAAAAAGTATCTTACTACAATTTTCTTAATGTGTTATTGTACAACAAATTGTATTTTTAATGTGTTATGTGTTTACGTAAGTTTTGCTGCTGTTAAAAACCATTATGTAAGAAAAATATATAACTAGGCTATAACAGCAAACATCGTCAGATTTCAATCACAAGCACTTTTGGACCAAAAGCTATTTTACTACAAGATGCCCTTAGTATAGTTAGTGTGTTATTGCATGTTACAAAAGCCAATTGAAAACTGAAGGACACACGGGATGTACTTATTTTCTATTTCACAATAAATATTAACTTATAATTACTCATATCTATAATAAGTATAAGAATTAGTTAATTTTATTGATATTAGAATTTAAATTAAATTTTCTCATTTATGTTGACACGTGTAGCAGCTGTAGGGCGATCGATAAAATTACAAGCAATTTAAACAGTATAGCGATGGCAGGCATATATGATTACTTTTCACATAACTAACTTATAACAAGTTGCATTTTTAATTTGTTACGTATTTGTTTTTACGTAGATAATGCTGCCTTTGAAAAAATCATATCTATATATATAAAAATCAATTTCGTCCGTTGGTCTAGCTAAAACTCAAAAACGGCTGGACCGATTTGAATAATTCTTTTTTGTTTTGTTGGGGGCGTGTCAGGTGTGATTTGAGTATAAAAAATAGAAAAAACGAAAAGTTCATAACTGCTTACTTTGTACCTATGTATATATAAAATATAGTCTATCTATTCCATACTATATTAACCGATGAATTCGAGCGAAGCGAGAGTGAGTTTCTATTGTGTAATATAATCTAAACTTCTACATGAACCTAGTTCTTATAAAACAAATTATTTCAAGGTAGACAAAAATAAAAAAAGTTCATTAGATTTTTTTAATGTTTATAATTAGATATTAAATAAATATCAATCTTAAAATCATAATTATTTTAAAAGCTACATTCCTGATAAGATACTGGATGCGGGATTGTTTTGCAGTTTTGCTATTTCTTCTTTAAACTTCGAGATTGTTTCTTTAGCCAGTTGCAACTTGTCCTTCAACTCTGATATTTCACCTCTGACCTTTCCTTGGGCTGATATTATTCTTTCCAGGGTTTTTTCTTTCTTTTCTTCAACTATAATAAAATGATTCCAATTAATATTTATTACAATTACTTTTTGCAATCTTGGTGAAACTCTGAAATCTGGTGTGGGTTGTTTTGTGCCACGGCGACGAGGGGAACGTCGTCAGGACACGAATCAGACCGCAAGGCATTCCCTCATGCAACCAGACGGGTGGGCAGGTTGCGGATAGCCCGATCCCCACAGGACAGGGATGTCCTCTAAGGACCCCGGACAAGAGGGTGGCACATGGACCAAAACCCACTCCATATGCTGTTCCTTACCTTCTCATCCATGATCCCATACAACCACAACCCCATAACCCGATCCTAACCCATCAACCCAACTTACACTAATACAGACACTCCCCAAAATATTCAATACATATACACTCCACTCTCAGACACACACTAACAACACACAAACACACAGAAACACTACAAAAGGGTGTGACTAGACTGCATTGACCCCGTATGTCAGTCTAGGGTACACTCCTGCACATGCCGTGTGCAGCGAGAGCCGAAGGCAGGGAGAAAGGAGTCCTGGAGGGTTGAGCCAAACACGGGTCGGGATAGTTACCTGTGGGAGGCAACACGCCCTCTTTGGTCCTAGATTCAGGCTACAAGGCAGCACTTGGGAATAGCCCCACCCAGTGTATTCGGCAAAACGTAACCCAACGGATACGTGGGCGAGCTTGCGAGCATCATGGGACAGGCAGACGACGGGGCTCGGGTGTTGCAGGCTATCTGGTTGGATGGCCTCCGCCTTAGCTCCGACCCGTCTCGTACTGTAACGGATCGCTTGCATGCTATATCTCGGTAGTAGGTCCTGATGATCCTGCTGCAGCTTGTGCCGGGACATCCCCAAATGTGCGGGCTCCCTGGAGGGTGGGACGCTATCGAGATGAAATTAAATACAAACAATCTATGGATACCAACAAAGATCATATCCAACCCACTACCACAAAACACACGAAGACCAACAACAAGGAAGCGGGCAATCCTGCCTCCATCAATATGACCGCATTGTTTGCAGCAATGCCACAACCACCAGCACCCTCGACTTCCTGGAGTCTCGTAGAGCCTAGGAAGAAGAAAAACAGGAAGCGGAGGGAAAGACAACGCAGGTCTAGGACCAAAGATAGACAAACAAAAGGGGGAACTGGCAACAGTGAACCCGACACAGAGGAGAGTGAGCGGTACACCACCGACGGGGACACGCCAGCTGCTGCTCCTGGAGGTACCGGGAAACCGACTGGGGGACACCAGAGCGCGGCAAAACCCACACCGGGCAATGCTGCGCCGGTGAAAGCCAGCACGGGACCCGCGGGCTCCTATCGCAGCGGCACAGGCGGGTGCCCAGCGGGGGGAGGGCGCACATCCAACCTCTCTCACAACATCAAAACAGTGGGGGGCCCGAAAACGGTCAAAGATGCTGGAGTACGCGTAGCTCCGGGTCACAAGGGCGGTCCCAGCGGCCAATCGGCCCTGGAAACTGCCCGCCCGTCGAGCTCAAGCGGAAAAAGCTCTGGCGCACAGGTCTCCTCCAAGACAAAAACCACACATAAACAAAAGGCCCCAACCAAGCAAACCCAACGCCAGCTGCTATCTAGTCGGCCACGCCTAAACAGCGGCACAAGCGAAGGGGAAACCTCGGAGGGGGGCCAAACAAACAAACCCAACAAGAGGGACCGACTAGACGACACCATCTCACCGAAGGTGTCATCGAAACGTCCCCGAACAACCCACACGAGAAGGGATGGAGAGGGTAGCTACGCACAGGCGACACTAACTCACCTGAACGTGGCTATCACCACCAACCCCCGGACAGACCTAACGGAAAAGGAAGCAACAGACATCAAAGACCAACTACAGAAGGCCATCTTCACTGTAGCTGGTAACCACAAGGGCATACCATCTAACATACCCTTCGCTCCCATATTCCTCGGCCGCACCACCTTACACGAAGGAGTGCTGAAGCTGAAGTGCAGGGACGATGAGACACTAGCCTGGCTGAAAGGGATCGTCCCGACGTTCAAGGCCCCGAGGGAAGGTTTTTGCCTCACCCTCATCGAACAACGACAGCTAAGGCCCAAAGTCAAAGCCGCCTTATACGTACCCGACTACCAAGGGGACGCAGACTTCCTTCACAAAATTTTAATGAGCCAAAATCGATACACATACGCTGTCAGCTCATGGCAGCTAATACACTACGATGTATCTATTGAGATTAGGTTAATAAACAAGACTTCTAATGAAAAGTTTATTTATATTCACACTTGCACAGTAAGTAGACACTAGACGCTTGCTTTACAAAACCGGAAGAAGGAACTAAAGTAGTGACGCCATCAGGTGTTACAATATAAAAATAAACAGGCAAACACTTATTTCATACAGCCAACTAATAAAATAAAATTTAATCCAATACTCCCACTAAATTTTATACAAAAGAAAACATTTATATTTGCCTGTTTTAAAAAAAAACTTTTATAATAATAAACAACTTACTTATTTGACAATATTTCATCTCTTAAACAAACAAATTTAATAGTAGGTAGAGCCTTTGTTAAAATATCTGCGAGTTGATGTGAACTTTGTACATACTTAATAATAATTAATTTTTCTTTGACCTTTTCTCTAATGAAATTAAATTTAACATCAATGTGTTTTGTCTTTTTATGATAAACAGGATTATTTATTAATTTGATAGCACTCTGGTTATCAATACACAGAGTTGTGCAATTTTGACTTATATCAATTTCTTTGAAAAACTGTCTTAACCATAATAGATTTTTGGCGGCTTCACACCCAGCCATAAATTCAGCTTCAGTTGTTGATAAGGCAATACAAGGTTGTTTTTGACTAGACCAAGATATAGGCCCACCATTTAACATAAAAATATAACCAGTAGTTGATTTTCTTGTATCTAAGTCCCCAGCAAAATCTGAATCTGAATATCCAATTAAGTTTTCATGACCTTGATACTTTATACATAAATCTTTAGTTTTAATAAGATATCTAATTATTCTCTTAACTTGATTTACATGATGTACACTTGGATTATTAATATATCTACTTAACATATTTACACCATATGAAATATCTGGCCTAGTTGCTGTAGATAAAAACAATAATGACCCTACGGCTTCCCTGTAAGGAAAATTAATCTGATCATTATCAATATTTTTTGTTAACTGAATATTTACATCAACCGGTGTATTACAAGGGTGTGCAGTACTCATATTAAATTTATTTATTAACTGTTCAATATATTGTTTTTGATTGATACAAACACAATCATTACTTTTTACAATTTCTAAACCAACAAAACGATTTAAAATTAACTCTTTGATATTAAATCCTTCCTTTAAGTAACTTACAATTTGATTTAATATTGCATTTGATTTAGACATAATTAAAGCATCATCTACATATAAAATTAACAAAGCTTTAATACCATTAAAGTTACCTACAAACACACAATTGTCTGCTTGTGACTGAACAAAACCAAACTTCAATAAAAAATTTGTAAATTTATGATTCCAGCATCGGGATGCTTGTTTTAAGCCATACAGGGATTTGTTTAACTTACATATTTTATTTTCTGGTGCTTTCACACCATCTGGAATTTCCATAAAAATATCCTCTTCTAACTCTCCATACAAGAAGGCAGTCTTAACATCTAATTGTTTTATATTCCAATTATATTCAGCAGAAATAGATAATAATATTCTTATTGACTCATATCTTGTAGTAGGTGAAAAAATTTCATTGTAATCTATCCCTTCTATTTGTGTGAAACCACGGGCACAAAGTCGAGCTTTATACCTTTCTACTTGACCATCTTGGTTTCTTTTAATATTAAAAACCCATTTTGATGATACAGTTCTCTGATTTTGATTATCTACAAAACTCCAGGTATTATTCGAACGATGAGCTTCTAATTCTTCATTTATGGCTTCTAGCCATAATTTACATTCTTTACTATTAATTGCTTCGTTATAAGTTGTAGGTACATCCAACTCTATTAAATTTGCCTCATAAAAATAATTATTTCTTCTTGGTCGCAAAGTTACATTTGATCTATCTATGTTAGCGAGATCAATTTCTTGTGATGGTTCATAAGTCTCATCACTGTCATCATAGGTAGTATGTGTGCTGTCATCACTTCCACAATTCTGTTCACTTGTATTATGCTCAGTGTTGTCTATCAGAACTTCAGCATTTTGTTCATCATCATCATCACATATAAAAATTTGAGCTTTATTCTGTTTTAATTCTGGACTTTTGTGTTCATTGAAAATGACATTTCTTGATATTGTAATTCTTTTGGTGGTTAAATCATACATTTTATAGTTTGTGTTATCATACCCAACTAACATCATCTTTTGACTTTTACAATCAAGCTTCTTTCTCAGCTGATCTGGCACATGAACATACCCTTCACATCCAAATACTCTGACATGATCTAAACTAGGTTTTACACCACTCCACAACTCTATAGGTGTAATATTTGGTGTCTGACTCGAGGATGTGCGATTCAATACATAAACAGCATAATTAACAGCTTCTGCCCATAGATTGAGTGGTACATTACGAGCATAAAGCATGGATCGAGCACTTTCCATTATTGTTCTAAGTTCTCTTTCTGCCCGGCCATTCTGTTCAGGTGTGTAGGGGGCAGTGAGCTCATGAGAAATACCCTCACTGTCAAGATATTCTTTAAAGTCTTTGCTTAAGTATTCTCTACCATTATCAGAGTGTAATATGCGTATACTATGTGAGAATTTGTTTTTAATCATTAAATTATATTTTTTAAAACAGTTTAACACATCACATTTATTCTTTATAAAGTACACATACCTAAAACTTGTAGCAGCATCTTTAAAGATAACAAAATATTTCATACCTTGAACAGAAGGCACACTGAGTGGTCCACAAACATCACTGTATACAACATCACCTGGTTGCTGTGGTCCCCGGTTTGATTTCTGGAATGGTTGACGAGCATGCTTGCCATAAGCACAACCCTCACATACAAATTTGTCACAGTCTGATAAGTCCACACCAGTAATCACATTGTTTTTGCACATTTTCTGTATTACTTTAACATTCAAATGTCCCAAACGTTCATGCCATGTTATAAGGTCCAATTTTTGCACTACATTACACACTGGATTTTCAATTGTTTTTATTTTTTAACTCATATAAATTGTTGTTTTGTAAAGATGCACATAGCACTATTTTATTGTCCTTGTAAATCAAAGCATCAGTATGTTTTTTTACAATATTATATCCTTGTCTTGTCACTACTCCTTCGGAGAATAGGTTTCTTCTCAATTTAGGTACATAAAGAACATTCTTCAAGATACTTGTCTCCCACTGTCCATTGACACACTTGTCTATCAAAATATTTCCTTGGCCAATCACTTCTAAAGCTTCTTGGTTTCCTAGTTTCAGTGGAGATCCTGTATACTCATACAATTCAACAAAGTTTTCACGTTTATAAGACATGTGAGCTGAGGCACCGCTGTCTAATATCCATCGTAAACCTTCATCATTATTTTTCAAATCTGTATTTGCTACATTGAAAGCTAACATATTCCTTTCGCTTTGTTGCTTATGGTTTTGTTTAGGGGCTTGACAATCTCTTGCATAATGACCACGTTTCCCACAGTTGTAACATATGAAGCGATGTGACTTTTCATTTGACTTTTCATTTAATTCATTGTGTGTTTTTATTAATGGAATGTTTCTCTTCTTTGTACTTTGTTTTGCCACTAATAAAGCAGTCTCATTCTCTTCTTCTACATTCAAGCTGGCCTCCTCATCTAACAAGCGAGCTGTTAGATTAACTATAGTTTGATTCTGAGTATCGAGTGACATCCAAGCCTGGCGTAGAGATCTGTACTTGGGAGGTAGTGTACTCAATATTTTAGTTATGATCGCAGTATCACTAATAACCTCTCCACTTTCTTTAAGTTGTTTAGCCAAACTTTCTACTTTAGCTATATGCTGAGCAATGCTATCTGCCGGTGACATTTTGTATTGATAAAAACGCTCATGTATCATCATTTTAGTCATCTCGGATTTTTGTTCATATATAGACTCAAGTTTGGTCATCACCTCAAGCGCTGATTCGCAATTTTCGATGAGTGCTATTTGATTTAAATCCATAGCCGATGTTAATATAAACATTGCCATCCCATCATCTTTGTTCCATTGAGTCGCATTTCCTTCTGGTTTTAGCGTGTAGATATCTAACCCTTTGGCACGGAGGGCACATTTTATTTGAAATTTCCACTGTTTAAAATTACTTCCATCGAATTTTTCTAGGTTCATTGTCTTTCCAAACTCCATTTTAGGTTATATGCAGCACGCGGTTTTACTGTCAAATCACACTTAGTACTTTACTGTTTTCTCTGCTCTTTGTTTATCACCAATTGTTCACTTACGTGGACCTGGGCCCATAACCTATTGAGATTAGGTTAATAAACAAGACTTCTAATGAAAAGTTTATTTATATTCACACTTGCACAGTAAGTAGACACTAGACGCTTGCTTTACAAAACCGGAAGAAGGAACTAAAGTAGTGACGCCATCAGGTGTTACAATATAAAAATAAACAGGCAAACACTTATTTCATACAGCCAACTAATAAAATAAAATTTAATCCAATAGTATCAAAAGGAGATCGTCCTGGGATGCTCCTATATCTAGGAATACCCAGAGACGAAATACCAAAACTCCTCGCAGAGGACCGGAGGGTTGCATACTCCCATGGGTCCATATACATCCGGTTCTTCACGCCTGAAGGACTCAGCGATGTACCACCGGAGGAGGAACCAAAAACGGTCGCCGACTGCAAGCCCACAGACATGGAGACAGACAAACACACCGACAGACCTCACACTGCAGTTTCAAACACACCGACAGACGTACAGACTGACAAACCCTCCCATACAGACACACCACCAAAACCCACACAAACAGACGGAACAGACGAACGCCCAACATCCCCACTCCCGACCGACAGACAAACCCCCAAACTGACAGACGAACCAGATGGACCCACCCTGACGACAAACACACACATGGATGAAGTCCTCAGTCCTCAAAACACACACCCCGCCGGCACTCCCCAGGATATGGAAGAGTGTTGACGCCTTTATCACAGGTGTCCGCCTCACCAGTGTCTTGGGAAGCACTGGTGGAGTCGGATTGATGCTATCCTAATGACACACGACAACAGACGGCATGCTGCCGTCATACAAGCCAACCTCCAGCACAGTCATCAAGCCTCGGCTCTCCTACGTAGGCATCTGGAGGTTGAGAGGGAGACCATTGCACTAATCCAGGAGCCGTGGATTAGACGCAACAGCGTCTGCGGTCTCGCACTCAATGACGGTAAGCTATTCTATCACACACCCAACGACAAACCGAGAACAGCCATTTATTGCCCGAAAGCCATAAATGCAACAATTCTAACACAATTCTGTTACAGAGACCAAACCGCTATCAGAATACAAAACGGACTGGTAAGTCCGAACTCCATCGAACCGACACCCATGATCTTGGTGTCACTATACTTGCCCATCGAAGAAAACATACCACACACAATAACAGAAGATCTAGTTCACTATTGTGAAAGCAACAAACTGGACATAATCATTGGAGTGGACTCCAATGCTCATCATACCCTATGGGGTAACACCTCCAACAACAAAAGAGGTGAGAACTTGCTTTCTTACCTAAACACCACTAACTTAACCATAATAAACAAAGGTACAGAACCGACATTTGTGACCAGCAGATTTCAGACGGTTATAGACTTAACCATAACAAATCTGAGGACTGCTGATCACATCGACGATTGGAGGGTCTCAGACGAGCCCTCACTATCGGATCATCGGCACATAAAATTCAACATTGCACTTGCAACAAAACCATCACTGAAACCCCCAAGTCTCACCAATATAAAGAGACTAAACAAAATAAAATATCGAAAGACACTAAGCAAAACACTATCCAAAGTTAACTTGGTGTCCACAAAAAACACTTTAGACATAGAGACAAACGTAACAAATCTTACAAACACAATAATATCCAGTTACAAAACTGCATGCCCGACCAAATCGGACACCAAACAACCCCCGCGAAATGAATGGTGGGACAAAGAACTCGAAAGAAAAAGACAAACACTGAGACAACAATTTAACAGAGCAAAAAACACAAGGAGAGACGAAGATTGGGCAAACTTCAAAGACACCCAATCCAAGTACAAAAAGACCCTACGACAAAAAGACAACAAATCCTGGCGCAATTTCTGTTCTAATATTGAATCAGAAAGTGCAGCCAATAGGATAAGGAAAATTATCTCCAAAGACAAGTTCTGCGCACTAGGCACAGTCAAAAAACCTGACGGAACATATACATGCTCAGACAAAGAAACAACAGAAATCCTACTGAGAACACACTTCCCAGGATGCAAGCTGGAATATAACACCATACACCAAGAACCACACAAATTCAGAACCCCAACAAATGAAGAGATACAAACGGTAAACTCGATAATCACGGACGACAAACTCAAATGGGCTATTGAGAGCTCAAAACCATTCAAATCACCGGGAACAGATAACATTTTCCCCGCACTACTACAACTAGGCTACGACCTAATAAAACCCTGGATAATAGACATATTCAAAAACTGTCTACTGCAAAAATACATACCTATTTTCTGGAGACACGTCAAAGTAGTCTTCCTACCCAAACCAGGCAAGGCAGACTACTCGCAACCCAAAGCCTTCAGGCCCATAAGCCTAACATCCTTTCTCCTGAAAACCCTAGAAAGACTCTGTGAAAGACACATCAGAGAAACCACTCTGACAACTATACCCCTTAATGAAAACCAACATGCATACACGGCAGGCAAGTCCACAGAAACAGCGCTACATCAGGTAGTAAGTACTATCGAAGTCAATTTAACAAACAAAACAAACACATTGGGAGCCTTCATAGATATTGAGGGAGCCTTTGACAAGACAACCTTCAAAAGCATAAACACAGCTCTAAACAAATACAAGATCCCCGAGATTTTAATATCGTGGATTAACGAAATGCTGAGCAAACGCATAATTCACACAGATACAAACGACAACCTCACAGGACTAGTATCCAGAGGCTGCCCACAAGGGGGTGTCCTCTCACCACTACTATGGAACCTTGTGGTAAACAGCCTCCTCAATGAGTTAAATAACAATGACATACAAGTCATTGGCTATGCAGACGACATAACCATCCTAATAAGTGGCAAAATTGAAGCCACCCTAGGAGAATTAATGCAAAGCGCCCTAAATATAGCAGAAAACTGGTGCATACAAAACGACTTATCAATCAATCCCGCAAAGACAGAACTACTGCTTTTCACAACGAAACGCAAGATCAAATTAACAAAAATGCCAACATTATTCAACGAAAAACTGAAATTATCAAATGAAGTCAAGTATTTAGGTGTAACGCTTGACAGCAAACTCAGTTGGAACACACACGTAAACAACAAAATCACCTCAAGCCACAAGATACTGAACCAATGCAGGCGCATGGTAGGGAAACAATGGGGCATTACACCTAAAACAATGCTCTGGCTCTACACCACGGTGGTACGAGCATCCCTCACCTACGCCAGTGTAGTCTGGTGGCCCAGAACAGAACTGCACACAATCCAAAACGAACTTCAAAAGTTCCAAAGAACAGCCACGTTAGCAGTAACAGGCTGCATGAAAACCGCTCCATCGGCTGCCCTAGAAATAATTCTGGGCATACCACCTCTACACATTTTTATAAAACAAGAAGCTGCCTTGTCAGCTCTAAGACTGGAATCAGTCAACTCATGGAAACGCAATCTGGGCAAACACACAAAGATCCTCGAAATCTATGAGGCAGAATTTCCACAGCTCAAATGGCCAAACGACAGAATAAGTAAAACACACATCATAGAAAAACATTATACTATAAACCCATCAGACGATGGAAATGCAGACAACAGCCCAACAACGGCACCAATCCACACCATCTACACAGACGGATCCAAATCCAAGGAAGGAGTAGGTGTAGGTGTATTCTGCCCCACTCTCAATATCAAAACCAACCACCATATGGGTATGTACAACACAGTGCTACAAGCAGAATGCGTTGGCATCACAATTGGAGCACAAGAACTACTAAATAAATCGATAAAAAATTCAATAATACACATAAAAACCGACAGCAAAACGGTTTTACAAGCACTAACCAAAAACACAACAAAATCAAAATACATATTAGAATGTCACAAAACGTTGGAACACCTTTCCCATACTAACACAGTAAAGGTTTCCTGGGTAAAGGGTCACACAAATAACAAAGGCAACTCAACTGCCGATAACCTAGCCAAACAGGCCTCTAGACTGAAAGTTCAGGGGCCAACACCTCTATCTCCAATTCCACATTGTGAATACAAAACATGGTTACGGGACTTTACCGATAACACAGTTAACACATTATGGAAGGCTAATACGGATTGCCGTCAATCAAAAGAAGCCTTCCCCACACTAAACAAACAATTAACAATGAAACTAACACGCCTAGATAGACCCAAACTAAAAACGGTGGTGGAACTGATAACAGGACACTGCCAACTCAATAAACATCTTTTTAACATAGGTCACACGGACAGCGCCCTCTGCAGAGCGTGCCTCCAAGAAGATGAAACACCAGCACACATCCTAACTGAATGTAGTGCACTGGATCAATTACGCGAAGAAAAACTCGGCCCCTATAGATCGATCCCAGAAATCTTCCAGGCCACCGGCAGCCTGCTAGACTACTGGGACGCTCTGGGATGGAAAGAATAACACACACAGCAGCACAAGCTCACGCACAACGGGCAAAAATGCCTAAGTGCGGATAAAGCCGCGTCAGAAGAAGAAGAAGAAGAAGAAGAAACTCTGAAAGCCAGAAATACTTAGCTTATTATGGTAGTATGGTATAGTCTCTTATTAGTATATTTTAACTTACAATCTGTGTCATGAGTCCACTGTGCATTAGTGATAGGCTTCACGCTGTTCAACAAATGTTGCATCAATTGAGTTGGTTCTTGAAACACAATTTCTTCATATGATTCACTCACTAGGGCTCGACCCACAGGTGGAGTACCTTCACTTACTGGTGATTGAAATAACTTAAGTATATGGTACAGTGTTACCTAGAAGCAAAAATATTTGAAACAAAAATGTAAGTATATTTTTGTATCAATTACAGAGAAACAGGAAAAAACTGCAATTTATTTTAAAGCAAATATTATGTTAACTTACAGGTCTTTCATTAGGATCATGGAAATATATTTTAATAACAATCTCAAATTCACCCCATCCAGTCTCCGTTAACTCATATGGTGGCTTAGTCACAATTCTGTTGGGATTCGCATAACTTTCATGTAATTTAAAATGGATTTTCTTTATATATGCTGACATATCTTCATTAGCATATGGCTTTACATATACCGTCCACTGATGTGTATGCCCATCTTCTTCACGTTTTTTACCAAAGTACCGTGCTATATTACCGTATACGATTGCCTTGACGATTACTAAGCCCTATAAAATATGACACTAAAATATTATATACTAATCTTATAAATACAAAGGTTTGTGAGTGAATGTTTATTTTTTCATAGTTTTGTATTGAACAGTGCGCCAAAACTACTTTTTATATAAAACCAGATTGTTATAAATATTCTTAAATATTCTTACTTCTTATAATTTTCTTAAATTTTAATATATTACCTTAACTCTACCTCCTGAATCTGGACCAAAATCAGTCGGTAAACTCATAGCTAAATCGGATTTTGAATAATTCGTATCCACAATTGCTGATAATATATTATAAACCGGCTATAGAAGTTAAACTTGTTATTTATGATACTTCTTCTCTACTTTTAAGTAACATTATTCAATCAAGCTGATTTGTTATTGATTTCGTGTAAGTCATGGATGACAAATAAAATAGATGAATTGGTGTAAGTAAACATCAACATAACCTCAATTCTCAAATAATAAATCCGAAATGTCACTTAAAATTTTGACAGTGTTTCAACCACAGATTAAATATACATATATTTTACATCGATGCATAATCGATAATTGCATATAGATAATGTAATGCTAAGACAGTGTTGTATTTTTATACATTACTATATATGTATAGGACGTTTTCCAATTACAGCACTAAAGCACATTCTGCGGCATAATGTTCAACTTCGAATTTTTCAAGTACTGCAACGCTCTGCACAATCGAGCACTTTGAAAAGTACTGCTTCGACGTGGCCAACCAACTCATTTTATATAATAATAAGTGTTTTTTTGCGTAGTTCGTGTTTGTGCGCCAAAGTGCGGCATTATGCTCTGTAATTGGAAAACAGGGAAATTGACTCAAATTATGTTATAAATAAATTTCTGTAATTTATTTTTAAATATTCTTAATTATTATCAACAGGAATATAAAAAACGTGTGTCCTTTATTTCTCCCTAAATTCTCTCTTCGTGTAATACTTAACAGGCCAGGAGTAATAGAGTCATAAGTACTGACCCTAAGTTTTACTAAAAAAAGCAGCCAGTCAAAATCCGGACTGACTGTTGGTTATAAATATTTACTAAGAGTGGGATAAATACATTTTTTATATATAAAGATATTTTCACATTAACATTTTAAGGGCATTTTTAAAGGAGATTTTAAGTAAAATGGGCGAATTATTTTTATTTATTTACATAAATAATACTAAATAGGTAACTTAATCTAACATATAATAATAATAGAAAGCAAGTGAACAATGGTCCAACAAGCCCATTCCTTATATCTAAGTAATAATTAATAAACATTTAGCTAGCTACGTCGCGGATGTTCGCGATATGAGCACATAATTAACATTAAGATTTGGGTGATCACTGGACGATCGTTGGTATCTATCTGGTCGGGGTTTCGCAACTAGGCCGTAAGAGTAAGATCACGAGCACTTTCTGTAAACTTTTATCAAAATTTATGATCTGTTTGTGGAGCTTCCACATCCGCCAGTAGGGGATCGTTTTCTTCTTCGAGCCGTGAAGATCTTGAACTATGTCTTGAGGCTGAGACTCTTTGAGTAAAGTTCAGTAGATTTGGTACAAGTGCACCGCTTGGAGTTGCTGGGGCAGATCGCGTTAGTAATTTTCTTGTACCAGGAGGAATTTTTGATAGTGGAATATATAAGCTCGATTTTCTAGTTCGTGAAGTTTTTCTAAAGAGATCGTGACGTCTTTGGCATCTTTCGTCAATTTGTCTACGGAGAGTTGACTCCCGAGATTGTGTTGGGCTTGTCGGTTGTGGAGGTGACTCGCAGCCACCTGGTGTGTCAGGTGATGTAAGAAATAGATGGCGTAGATATGCAGCCCGTTCACAATAAGATTCATCAGCGTTCGGTGAAGCTCGACGTGGTGGAGGTGACGAGCCCAGGCGGGGTTTGCAACCTCCATCGCAGTAAAGATCACAATCGATCAGCTCTAGTTCTAGATCATAGTTTGGATCCTGTAATAGATGAAAAAATTGGTCAATATATCAAATATTCATCAAATTTATGTTTTAGGAATACGGCTTTTCGTATTAGAAGTACGTAAGTAGAACAGGTTAAAAAAGTATTAATCTATATATAAATAAAAATGAACGTTTCTTTGTATGTTTGTACTATATGCATTACTGAACCATTTATCAACCATTGTAATGAAGCTTGGGTTATTTGTTCTGCGTACGCCCATGAAGGTTCATTTCCAAAAAAAGAAAAAAAATATTTCTTTATATGTTTGTCGATTTATATGTTTCTTTATGTGTTCGAAAACTATCCTAGGGACGAACACAAATGAATCGCTAATTATTATACTTATACAATTTAAGTATTAAATTTACATTTTATATTTATTTACATTATTAATTAACATAAATCATAGGCAATTAAGTACCGGTGATGTAATAAGATTCTCCCTAAAGGTGCTGTGATCTCGCGTTTGTCTCCGTGGCTCCGTTAATGAGGATAGAGAGCGCAATACCGAGCGACCACAACCCACGCCACACTCGGCGTAGTTGCTTGCACAAGAGTATGGCGGCGGGATCATAGAATTGGCCTGTTAGATATATTAAATATATTTTCACCAAGTTTAGAATTTAAGCTTAAGTTTATTGAACGCTACGGACGTGGTTCAATCCAAGATTAACATATACCAACATACCTCATTAGCGTTGCATAAGAAACTAGAATTTAAAGATTCTGCAGTGCTCGTGGCAGATAAAGAACCTGAAATTTGAATTATGTTGTTTATTGTATATATATGTCAATTATACGTACTAGAGGCAACATATGTATTTATATTTTTTTAATTTTACACAATAATTGATAATAATGATTAAATTCTCAACTAGGTTTCTACTATCAATAATACCTAATCTACAGACTAGCGGTAATTCTGGTAGATAAAACATTGCCAAAACATTGAAAAAAAAATCTTATTAACCTAAGAAGGGAAACACGTTCATAGATAAATTATAAATATACCTGGTGCGCGAATTACATAGTTTCTAAAATAGTGAACCATAAGATAGCTCCCCCCAGATTTTCCATCTCCTTCGCCACAAGTAATAACGAGTGGATAGAGGTCAGGCTTTGATGTTACCTATAAAAAGCGGTTGATATGATTATTATGAAAAATATTATACTGATGTGTTAAAATTAAAAACCTTAAAAATAAAATATTTTTTACGCAATTTTTAATTTACTTTATGTCTTAGTACTGAATTAATATAATATAAACAATACAATTTTAATAGGTAACCCAGAATTACAGAAGAGGATTTCAATTTTTTAAGATGTCTTAATCTATTTTTAGTTAATTGTAGAAAATAAATTTACTCTACTAAAGTATTTGTTTGTAGGTAGGCAAACTAAAAAAAAGTTTTTCGAAAAGAATATTATGATGAAAACGATAATATGAGTATGAGTATTTACTTCAGAATAAGGCGGTGGCGCCTGGTGTATCGAGCCGCAACGACTATACCGAGGTGGAGGGTATACGGATCCAGCTGAATCTTGCTCTGAGCGATTTCGAGGGATGCAGCAAGCAAAGGAACACATGTAAACGCCACATGGTCGCCTATAAAGCAGGCACCACACGCAGCATACTAAAATACCTACGAAAGTTCCCAGGAGAAATAACACCTGCCTGGAAATTTTTACCAAAATTACATTATTTTAATTCAACGAGGATTATAGGAGGAGAATAATAAAAGTATTTAACAGATATGTAATATAAGTAGTATTGCCTAGGTATAATAATTTAAACTTTAAATATTAATGAAAAAATATTATAATCATCTATTTATTGTTCATCAGTTATATTTCCATACCATTGTGAGTACCACAGATGATCATTGCGCGTAGTAATTGTTGCTGGTATACAGCATCCCTCGTCACAGCATTCCCAGTGCAAAGGACAAACCCGCCCGTCCAGGCAGTGGATCACAGCGGCAGACTGTTGATGTAATTTAAATTAAAGTATAGTAAATAACTAAGGAACCTAATGTTACGCTAACGTCCTAAAAAACTCATTAAGTATAGTTATTTAATGATTAAATGTTGTTATTCATGATAATTTCATAACGTTGATTGTATATGATAAATAATTATAACAAAAACAAAATACTAAACTAAATAGCATAGTAAATAAAATAGTGTAGTAAATAAAAACAATATCTTTTATATTGTTCTAAATTATAAAACTCAAAATACCTATAATAAAGTTGCTACTCATGCTTAAAAAATATTTGGGTATATACCATTGTTTTCAATTGATCACGCAGGAATAAATCCAAGAGAGATGAAGACCTGGTCAAGGATAAAAGCTTAAAATAAAAAATGAAGTATAAATAGTAATTACATATTTTATTTAAGTAACCATATTATGTATTTGAATAGAGGTCAACATAAATAATAAACGATTAATTAATTAAATAGTTATCTGTAATATACCTACTAATCAGGGTAATATTTTAATAGGACATAATTTAGTGCACGTGTGAAAAGAAACAATTATTGCATATTTCGCGGGAAATTTTCACCTGAGCCTACGGCGCAAGTTTTCTGCTGATCGATCGCGCTGTCAAAACTCGTAAGAGGCAATCAGCACAGCCATATTCATTTCATGTTTTAGAAATACAAATCTCAGTCTTAAGAGTAACCAAGGTTTAAACAATAATTCTTGTTGTTACACAGTAATGTTGGTATTAGAAAATTAGATCAGTAATATTTGAGAATCTTGGGGATAAAATTAGTAATTTGTTTAAACATTAAATAATCAGGACATTTTATTCACAATATTTTATATTCTCTCACATTTTGTAACTAACGAGCAATATGTATATAAAATACGCAGTAGATATAATAAAACGTGAAAGTATAAAAAAAACTTACAGCCGGCCTGCTTAATGTTACTCCCAACACAGAGACAATGAGGCAAAATAAATTCATGTTGGCCACAATTAGCGGAGCTGGGCACGACATGAAGAAAAAAAATGCATTTAATATACTATTTACATTATATAAAATTGAGGTGCAAAATGTAACTGCACCCTGTCACACGTTCGATAATAATGGAAAATTTATTTTTGGATCGCCATCCCCTCACCACGTATTACCCCCTTGCGGGGTCGCGTGAAACTGAATTTTCTTGTACGTCTAACCGATACCGATACAGCTACTTCATAAGAACCTCTCCGCTTTCCCTTCTAACCTCTAAATGAGTAAAAGTCTCAGAATAGTCTGACTTCCAACTATAAACTATACTATAAACTAGCTATAACTATACTATAAACTATACTATAACTACTCTACTATAAACTAGCTTTCATACATCAATTAGAACATTTCATAATAGATTTTTGCTAAGATAAGGAAAACTAATCCTAGTTGCTGAAAAGATATATATTGGAGATGCAGAACTTGTAATAAAATCTCTATATAGAATTTATCTATTCTATATTTTAATTACATTTATAGTAAACAGTATTTTATATATTAAATGAGTAGGCTTTTTTTAATAGCCGCAGAACAAACAATATAATATTCGTTGTCATATATTTTTTATATGGTAGTGTAATGTTGAGATAGAACAAGTTATGAATTTTTTATATTACTACAAGTTTATATGGGTCTAGAGTACATTGGGTAATAAAATTGGCGTCGCTCCGTCTACCAGCGTCTGTAAATCGTAGCTGCGAGCTACGTAACGCTACGCAATACGAAAGTGAATTCGATCTGCAATGTTATTACAGCACTTAACCTATTTGAAAGAGACGAAAATAAAAAATATAATCGTTAATAATGCACAGTTACATTGGGGCATAAAATTTAAGTGATTCGCACAATTTTACTTTAATTATCCGTTTACCTTAAATTTGTTGGTTCAATTCTCGTGGTGTAGCGCGTAAAATCACGATTTCTTTTTGTTTTTCTTTCTATCCAGTTTACTGCAGAAAAAATAGGTTTTTTTTTTGTATATTATCCGAAGGTACTACTGCGTGAAATAGTTAGTATCAAGCCTATATTTTTTTAAATCACTAGGGTAGTCATTTCATAAATATTTACAATTATTAGATTGCCTAATTGCTTGAAATAATATTTTTTTTACCAGTGTCAAAATTTCCTTCCAGCACTTAGTATAAAACCCCCGGAGTAACTAAATATTTGTCCCTAATAATATTTGAAATGTTTATATTTTAGACTAGCGATTCACCCTTGCTTTACTCGGGTTCGTCTCTAGATACGTTTTAACGTGTAGTATAGATTTCTCAGAGATAGATATTTTCCCGCAGTTAATCAGCTATCATCATATCAAATTTCATCAAAATCTGTCTAGTGGTTTTCTCGTGATGCGTTCTGCGTTCCCACACAGACAGGCAGACGGGCAAAAATTCTAAAGACTATAGGTTCGGACTCTGCCGATAATAATGACTATTTCAATAAGATTTTCCAAAAAATATTTAATTTGCAGATTCGACTCAGAATTTTATTATATCTATAGAAAATATTAGATAACACACATTGATATTAATGTGGCCGTGTGGCTTTTCAACGTTAAATAATTATTAATGATTTTTATTATTATATTAAAAAAAAGATATAAAAAATTATTTATATCCCACTAAGTTTCAAATCAAATTCTTGGAATTTAAATTTGTTAAGCTAGGCATTTGAAATTCGAGTTGTATGTATTTTACTCTCGACTCTGTGCGTGCCACATTTGTTTTTTTTCTTACCAAACAATATATTAATTAAAAATAATTATTCATCAAACCTACGAAATGGCCACTAGCTGCTCTTGCACACGTATCACAGCTGCCACTGTCAGTAAAAGATATCATTGTGGCTCGTCTCCCGTGATCATGGGAGCACGATGGACGCAATAAGTTAAAATGCTCATCATAATAGGTTTAGAACAAGAAAAGATAACAATTTAAAAAAAAGTGAAGCTGTGGGCGACATTTATTCTTTATAATAATATAAAAATTTGTAAGGGCATCAAAGATTTATTCGGAAATTATAGATATATTATATTAAAATATATTTACAACACAGTTTCTTAAGACTAGAGACTTGAACCAGTGCGACTGGGTCATAAAGACAAGTAAAGAGCAGAAACGTGGGCATTCACCGTAAATGCCCCTTTTTCCTTTATAAAAAAATACCGTATGTGTGCCGTCTGTTCTATAAATTCAAGATCGCTCAAGAAGCACTGGACTACCTGGTGGCGTGGTGGCGTGATAATTGGTGTAGCAGATAGAGTTCAAAATTTTATTCGCCAGATGATTTGTTGGTGTTCTATGATGGAGGACTTTTTAGGGCGTCGTGGTTGATAGCGTAAATGAATTTGTGGCGTTTCTTTTTAAAACTTTAGTTGGAATTTAATATAGTTAGTGCTGGCTTTTCTAGCTGGCGAGACTACATAACCACTTATGGTTGAATCTTGAATGGTTGTATGTGTAAATGCATTTCTGAACGATAAAAAATGGCTTTAGTCTAGTAATGGGTGGAGACTGAAGAAAAAATTTAATTTCAAATTATTGATGCTTTGTTAATGGGATGTTGTCGTAATGTTATATTGATCGATTTATGATCGATGGTTAAAGTAGAAACAATATTAATTATTAACATCACTAAATTAACAACACAATGTCAAATCTTGAGTACGTCACATTTATTTGTCATTTGTCATTTAGCAGAAAAGTCAAAATCAGTTGACAATTGGCATTTCTCTTACAAGTTACAAATGTTATTTTATTTATTAATAAATATAAATATTAAATACTTTTACTCAAAGTTATTAAAATAGGAAAATGCGTCTTCGTATTTTATTGTTTTTAACATTTATATGGAGTGCAGCGGCGTGGGATGATGATGACTTAGAAGTATTCGACGTGGTTGAAGAAGTTAACCAGAATTTTTACGAATTAATGGGAGTTCCACAGGTGAAGTAATCGGCTTTAAAATATTTGGAAATTGAATAAAGAAAAATGTTTATTTTATAAAAATAGTCAAATTAAATCGTAATATACAACTTTGAATTAAAATCTATATTTTTTTATAGGATGCATTACAATCGGAGATTAAATCAGCCTTCAAAAAGTTAACTCTTAAACTGCACCCTGATAAAAATGATGCCCCTGATGCAGACGTTCAGTTTCGAAACTTAGTGTCTGTTCATAATATTTTAAAAGACCCAGGGAAGAGGCAAAAGTAAGTGAATATAAATATTATTTATTTAAGTATCTAAAAAAATCTTTACTGTGACAAAGTAAAAAACCTAGGTCTGATCATGGACTGAATCATGTCCTGCTGGCTGTCCTGGCTCATTTTAACAATGTCGGCAAACAAATTCCTCCAACAACTTAAATTTTTCCCTCTTTCAAAAGCAAAATCCTGCTTACACAATCTTGTTTTGCCTATCCTTAATTACATAAATGCTTGCTACTTTGATGTGATGCTCTACCACTGGGCTTATATGGCCTTTTCTGTAGAATTCACTAGCAGTTAACTTATGCATTAATCCCTCCACAACCGCGGACACGCGGTTGTGTCAGTTAACAATAGATTTCTTAGAATTTTTATTAATTTCTTAAAAGTTTACCTGGAGGTGTTAAGCTAAATTAGTTTTTATTTTGCCTTACTAGAGAAAACATATTTTTACTATATAGTATCTTTTCTTTTATAGATATAATGAGGTACTTAAGAATGGTCTTCCAAATTGGCGTTCAGCAGTATATTACTATAGACATGTTAGAAAGATGGGTTTGGCAGAGGGTTCTATTATTTTGTTCATAATCATAACATTTGGGCAGTATACTGTTGGCTGGGCAGCATATGCGGAAAAGAGATTTACGGCAGTAAGTAATATAATTATACATTTAAAGGCTAAAGTAAAATTTATTTTTTTAATATTTTTATTTTCTGTTTTTGGAAAATAGTTACTAAGTTATTTTTTGGTCAATTTAAATAACAATAATATGTAATATTATTTAAAGTTATTTAATGTTTTTACTGTTATAGGAACAAATACTAAACAGCAGAGGAAAAAAACATTCAAAAAAATCTGGCTTTGATACTGGCTTAGCAGAAATATTAGATAAACTACCAAAGCCAAGTATTAAGGACACACTGCCTTTCCAAATACCGAGGGCCATTTGGTGGACTATAACTGCCATTCCACTGGGTATTATGGAGTTAAAAAAGAGAAGGAAAGAGATGGAAGAAGAGAATAAAAGGAAGAAAAAGAGGTAAGTAATTTACTTTGTTTCAATATTAATAATTATAACATGTTCATCTTTTTCTTCACCATGTCACCATGGCTTGAAAAAATAGTAAGATCAAAAATTAAATTATCTATATAATACCCAAAATTGACTGATTGATACTTAGAAAAAGTGTTGAACATAATGTATTTAATAGATACAAAAATAATACAAGGTCTGTATATTAGGATAAGGATATGCTTACATAAAGTAACCTACTATAAATGCAGATATTATAATATCCCCCTGACTCATTTTGGTTACGGCTGTCAATTTCACTGAAATTAGCCAGATTCGTGAAGATCTTAAAGTGTACAGCGTATACGCGCAACAGACACATTATTGCACTCTCTATTCCTTTTACTCTCAAAGTTTCATGGGACGATACTTTTGTCACGGCCGGTGAGAGATTTAAGGCGCAGGACCGACGCGACACGTGCTCTCTGAGGCACAGAAGTGCAAACACCGCCAACTTGCCAATTCCAGGCTACTACTGAGATACTACTATCTTAACAGAAAAACTCAGTGATTAAACTTGGCTGGACGCGGGACTTGAACTTAGGACTTCTGTATCTGCTGTACATGCTAGCTCGCACTCGGATATTAGTCAAATAATAGCAATCCAAGATATTTATTATAATGTTAGCTATCACGTCATGCCCATGTTTATCGAAAGAATTAAAATATGAGGAAAGAACTAAAAATATATTTCTATAATAATAGAGAAGAAGAAGACAAAATTCGTGCTGAACGTGAAGCGGTCGCGGCGGAGGCCCGCGCCGAGGCCAGCAGCGCGGCCCGGCGGCGCAGGGCCTTCGTGCCGCCCGCCCGGGACTGCCTGCTTGATCCTGCAGCAGAGCCTGAGGATAGTGGTCCTATAGCTGTTCCTGTGAAACCTGTGAGTTTGGTCCTTGGTTTGTTCTAAGTGTACTAGTAGGGTTTGGGTATAAGATACAGATTAATTGATAAAACTTATTGTGCAGTAATTATAAGAGTTGCCAAGTTAGCTTTTTAAATTTATTTTTGTGATTTGATATTAATATGTGATTGATTTTTATATTTTATTATATATTTTAATGCAGAATATATTTTATATTTAAAATAGAATAATATAGTGAAATATATTTTAGTCCCCACCAGTGATATCTGGTGGGCTTTGGACAGACGACGACTTGGCGGAGCTTGTCCGTCTCGTCAAAAAGTATCCCCCGGGAGCCGCAGAACGGTGGGAGAGGATAGCCGAGGCCATGGCCAGGAGTGTACCCGAAGTCACGCACATGGCCGCCAAGCTCAAAGAAAACTGCTATAAAGTACCTGGCCAAGATCAGGTGGAAGAAGCAGCGCCAGAGCCACCCAAAAAAGTAAGGATTTTGGACCTTTAAGTATACAATTTTTCCTTATTTGTTATTCCTTTCAGATTACTCAAAAAAGATATGCATATCGAAACTAATCTTCAAGCACTATTTATTATATTAAATGTTGTGTTTTCAATCACGAGATAAAATCAGTAAATTATAACCTGATTAAATAAAAGAAGTGAAACAATTGGATTAATTTAGAAATACAACTGTGTATCTTTTCCAATTTATCTTTACATAAAACGTTGAAATTTCTAAATAAATTAGTTATTTGTTTATTCAATTTGGTATGTATTGTTCTATTCAGGTCAAAACCCGTAAATCTGAAGAGACGAGCGGCGGCAACTGGTCCCAGCCGCAGCAGCGCGCGCTGGAGGCTGCCCTCGCCAAGTACCCGAAGGGCGCGCACAGCGACCGCTGGCAGAAGATAGCCAACAATGTACCGGGGAAGACGAAAGTGAGTTAATTTGTTGACGTCGGGTTGTCATCCACACATCCTAGATGTTTGGTATCCCACAAATGTACGTGTATCTCGTTCATTTCTATTCCTTATGGGCCTTTTCAAGAGTCGTGTATAAGTTAAGTCCCTTAAAAGCCGGCGATGGTTTCGCAACGCCTCTTGTTTTGCAGATCTCTATAAGCGACGATTGCTACTTACCATCAGGTGGATAGTTTGCTCGTTTGCCATTTTTAACTATAAAAAAAAAAAAATTATTTTTTTTTAGTTATTTTCTAGCAAATTACCCTCGTTTCGTTCGGGTTTGTCTCTAGTTTCTAACAAGTCAACGTCTTGTTGCTTATTCGTCCAAACGACCAATTTACCGTAAGAGATTTTAAATACATGTTTTACTTTAAAAAATTGAATAGGTGTTATTTATATATTTATGTATTTGTATATAATTCATAGAAATAAAGCTATTTTTTTAAATTGAGATAAAAACTCTCTACTGTAAAGTAAAACAAGTTTTGGTAGTTTGAACAAATGAGCACTAAGGCGACGAATATATTAAGGCAACTCAAAACCCATTTTTTCCGATTTCAATTAAAGTCATATCATTTCTGACAGTAAACACATTTTTATCGCAGTAAAAAATATCCTACAGCACAGCGGTAATGTAACTTCTTATTAATGAAGGAATTTTCAGAATCAAATCAGTACTTTCAGAGACCCCTACATACAAACTTACAACCCTAACGTCCGTATAATATTAATGTAGATTATATTTCGCCAAATATATTAATACTATTGCTAATTAATGATTTCTTTTCTTAAAGATGCATTTTCTTATATTTTAACATGACACCATACTGTTTGATAATAGTGAAAGGCATTTTGAGATAGAAGTTTGCCGCTTCACTGACTAATTTGTAAACACTCCTCGTAAGAATTACACGATACTCTCTGTATTGAAAGTTTATTATTTTATATTTCTCCAACGCCTTTTTGCTTAACCCAGATATAAAGTAACTTTTTTTTAATGTTGGGAAATGCATTTATAAAGTACCTTGTGTAACAAACAGACATACCTTGGTCATAATATAATTATTATTTAGCCGACACATTTCTGTAGTAAATGTTATTTACATAATTAATTTTTGATGTTATAAATGAGAACTTTAAAGTGTACATATAAAATTACCATTATGAAGTATGAAGAGTTAGATGTTGCCAGATTTCTAATAATTTTGCTTTGTTAGAGATTTAGTGAGTTACTTTTCGGTATAAGAACGTAAAATCATATTGATAACTAATAAGGGGAATATTCCTTGCAGAGTACAAGGTGGTGAGGTAGCGCTACGATCGTTGCAGTCTATCATTCTATATATCTATAATAAATAATGATATATTTCATTTGTTCACAATAATATTGTTTACAAATAAAAGAAATTGTTTTGGCTTTAGTTGTATAGTTTCGGTATTGGATTTGGTATTGGTTTTGGTTTCGGATGAATCTATCGGAGAAATCTCCCTCTTATAAATCCGACGCTCTCATTTTTGACCTGACCTTAAATAATTGCTTGGTCTTTTCAAGTTCTTTTGCCATCTGATCAATGCCCGATTTCACCAACATCTTATAAGTTACCAGCTACGAGTACGTATGGGATCCCTAGTAAACTAGCTAAGTTCACCTAAACTAGCCCCTAAATTAAATTTCGTTTTACCATCGTCAGAGCTCGTATTTCTAGTACCTATATTTAGGTGGCCTTTTTAAATTTAGGTGACCCCTAACTGTCGGTGAAACAGAAACTGTCCTCTAACAGCCCCCTAAACATGCTTAGGGGATCCCTTAAACTTAGGTGACGTTGGTGAAATCGGCCACAAGTCTTTTTTATCTATATACTTATTTTTATTTCCAGGAGGAATGCATGCAGAGGTGTAAATATTTATCAGAAATGTTGAAAAAGCAGAAACAGAAAGAAGAAGAACAGAATGATGGAGAGACGATCGCTGGAGGCGATCAAAGTGACGAAGTTACAACCAATGCTTAGATAGATTATACGAATTCCTAATTGTGATAGCATTTAAAGATTGTGTTGATATAAACTTAATTTTATTTATTTGTTATATAATTGTGTTTGATATAAATTGATATGTTTGTTTTTCTACTTATTTTTTTTAGTTTGAAGTAATATTTATTTATATATAATGGAATAATATATAATATTCAATAATTCAATCTACGGGTTTGGAAGTGAATAAGGATTGTTATAATATATAATAACATATTAATATTTGAAAATTCCTAAGAATATTGCTCTTCTGACTTCAAGATGTAGATGAAGTTCAGCAAATTTTCAAAGTTTGGGGAAAATACAGGAAGGTAAAAGTTTATTTTATTTAGATTTGAACATTTTGTTTCAAATTTGAGGGTATGCATAATAATTTCTTAGATTTACGCGAATATTTGAATTATTTTAATATATATTTGACATTTTAAATAAAACTATCTTTTCGGTTTTTTTGAGGGTATGATTATTGTAGCACAAATCATTTTTATAATGTAATTGTTAATAGTGGAGAAAAATCTTACATCTGTTTTTTTGGGTTTACTTTATTTCAAAATATTTTAATGTAATCATAGTATTATTATAATACCTGTTGTTTGTCTGTTACATCAAATAACCTTTGAAATCGAAATGCTAGTAGTTAGAGTATTTTTTTGCCAAAGCTGGTTTAAAGTACTTTTAGACAACCTGCGGTGAAGGTCACAATTTTTTTTTTCATAATGATTCAAAATGGGTAAAAGTCAGAACCAGACCCATTTATTATTTTAATTCAAATTATATTTTAGAAGAAGACGACAAATTACATTTTATAAGTGAGTTGATTTAAAGATTTTTAGAATGTCGATGGATAGATCATACATTAAATTGCTTATATTTTATATGTAATCAGACCTCACTGTGAATATTTTTTTTTAACCGGTACCTTATCTACACCGTGTCATTTCCATTCTTTAATGCACATAATAAATAATTGAATTGAACTACCTTGAATTTGAAATATTATTTCACGAGAGGTAAAGTTGTGTTATATTTTCTTTTTCTATTAAAAAATTTATTCAGACCAGTTCCAAAATTTGCCTTTTTACAAAAAAAAAATCGATTTCATTGGTTTATTTTATATCAAGATATTTTTATTATTTTATTTCTACAAGTTCAAAATATGCTAAATAATATATATAAATAAAGCTATATATTGTGCGGGAAAGTCACTTTGCTCTCTGTTGTGTACCAACATGACAATCGAGATTAAAAAGACCATGTAATTTATCAATATTATATTTGTTATTTACAATATAAACGATGCATCACTATCCGTCTTTTTGTTATAATACCATCCACTTATTTTAAATTATTTTTTTGTCAACGTTAATACATGTACAATGACAATTTATAAAATATATTAAAATATAACTTTTTACATACAATACTAAGTTGATTATCGATTTTTAAGCTCTTCATTCTTTTCAATTATTGTATATATGTATGTTTGTTTCTTTATTAAGTCTAATATTCGGTGGGTGGCTTGAGTTCAGGCACAGACTTCGTGATCCCGAAGCGCGTAAACATGTCGGGGATCGCATACTCGTCGGGCTCCTCGTAGTGCGGTCGCCGGGTGAACCCTGCAATGTGGTTGTTAGTGAAATAGTTGACAAAATGGACGTTTTCCAATTACAGCACTAAAGCGCATTATGCGGTATAATGCTCAATTTCGAATTTTTCAACTACAGCAACGCTCCGCACAATCGAGCACTTTGAAAAGTACTGCTTTGGCGTGACCAACCAACTCAGTAGCAGGATATTATATGAGAAGTGTTTTTTCGCATTGTGCGTGTTTGTGCGCCAAAGTGCGGTAATATACTATGTAAAAACAGAGAATACTAATCTAGTAATGGCCTGGGATGTTCAAAGAATTTGGATTGGACAGCCAATTGAATGGATTGAAAAGCGAAGAATGTATTTGTTTGCTTGAATACACGATAGATGGCGTTGATCCGCAAACTATTACAAATATTAGATTTAACTAAATATGTGTAACATACTAATCAATATATAGCAATATGTATCCTGCATTTAATTAAAGTCATTTTAGAGACTTTACACTTTTTAACAGTAATAAACAGAAAAGTGTACAAATGATATTTGTCATTAGCTAATGGTTCATATTTTAATAATCAGTGAACTTACGAGTATTTTTACCAGAATATACCATTTTGGTTTTTATTTTGTATGTATTTATTCAACCCTTTTAAACGCCCCACAATAGTGGGGCCCGTGCCCAATAGGGCACGGGCCTCCCTTCAATATTTTTTTATTTTACAGATATATTAATAACTACTTGATACACACAACACCATCTATTGGCATTTATTTGAATTATTCTTAGTTCTTGATGAGATTCAATGGTATGAATTAACTTAATTGTCAATTTTATGAATCTTTATAAGAAACATCATATTATACGTGAAAAAGCTTTTGTACATGCTCTAAGACATGAGATAATATCTCGTAAACCTTTACATCCAAAGATAGACTATACTTCTTAATTTCTTGGCGTAGTTAGAGGTTAGTGACGCCAAAAGTGTTGTTAATACATACACTCAGATGCGAGTAGCACTCAAACAAATTAGTCAATTCTCGTCTCGTGGCAATTACAAATTTCTAGCAACTAATAAATCGATAATAATAATTAGAGCCTGGCTAGTTTAAGTTTACAATTTGCTACAAAAGCGGGAATAGAACTCGCGAACGTGAGATTTTTTGTTTCCAGTATTGTAAGTTTTCTTATATCAATTTATACTTCTATACTACTAGGTATTATTAAGAGAATTTTTTTTTGTATAAACATACAAAAAATTTTTTTTTTGTCTTGGATAAATTAAAAATCCGCTGAATCGATTTAGGTGAAATTTGATATGAAGATTGTTTGAGACCCTAGAAAGGACATAGGGTAGTTTTTATACCGAAAATCATTCCTTAAGGGTGTGGAAATTTTTACGGGGAATCAATCATTTCTCAAGTAAGGGACATAATTTTTTTTTATTTTTTAAAGTATCCACCTACTTTTCTATACCTATATATGTAGCACATAATATAATATATATGTAGTCTATTCTATACTAACCGTTAAAACGATACCTAGGGATGAGCTTGACCGAAGTAATGGTGAGTCGCTAGTATAATAATAGAATATATAGTGGGATTATCAAATGCTATGAAGGTACCGGTCTTGGTGGGCGCGGCGTGCGCGGCGAGGCCAGCGAGGGAGTCGTCGGCGCCGCACGCGCGGCAGGCGCAGCGCGCGGGCGTGGCCACGCGGTGGCGCGCCAGCGACCCGTCCGCGCACTGCAGCTCCACCGCCAGCGCCGCGTACCGCGTGGCCGCGCAGCACTCGCACGCGCTCTCGTGCCGTCCCGTCTCTACATACACGCATACATACACATTTATTTATTTAATTAGAATTACCAATATGGTATACAGTAACAACAAAAATACACAATTAAACTTTAATTAATTAGCTATTTTAGTCTGTAATTTGAAAATGTACAGTTATGAGTAGGTAAGTATGATGTAGACGTACGGTTGTTGTAGAGCGTGCCGGAGTCGCAGCTGCCGCGGCACTCGCGCAGGCCGGGCAGCGCGCGCGTGTTGGCGCACAGGCCGCGCGCGCCCATGTGCACGCGCACCAGCCCCACCGTGTCCGCCGCCGGCAGCGCGCGCGGCACGCACTTGCCTGCACGCACACACATACATGAGTATCTTATATATTAGATATATTAAATTCTAGAAGTAAAGGGAAATCTAGACTTTTATGAATACTGAAGAGAAATTTTATAAGGATGTAAAATTTGTAAGTTTAGTTGTAAGGGCTGATCTCTTGAAATACTAATACGATTGTAAATATTGTTTTATCAGCTTGTGCTGCTTGAAATGAAGCAATAAAATATATGGTAAAAATACACCTAAAGTAGCAAAGATACCTAAGTCGCTAGTACATATATATACATATAATATATAGTGACAATTGGTAGATACAAGATGTATATACAAAATGTGGTACATACTCAGCGAGGCGGGCGGCTCCTGGCACACGGCGCAGCAAGGCCCGCGCACGAGGTGCTCGGGCGCGCACGCCGACACGTCGGGGCACGCCTGGCGCGCCGACGTCACGAACACCTCGCGCTCCATGCTCTCGCACGTGTACTGCGTGCAGTTGTCCGCCGATTGCCACGTGTCTCCTGTAATGTTGGGAGACGAGGGATTATTTGTTTTGTTCGATAGTGAATTTATAAAGAGTTTACTACAAAAATGAATGAAAAAGTCTATATAATATAAGCTTTTACCAGTAACAGACAAAAACTTAACATAACAACACTAAAAAAATAAAACAGCAGCGATATTTGTGCAGCAGCATTTAAAATACAAAGACATATTGTAAGCCTATATTGTGTGTTAATTAAGATTATACACATAGCAGATTAATTAAGAAAAAAATATTCATGAATTAAACAATTCAAAAACACCATTAATTCTTTAAAAACAACACGGAGAATAATAATAAAAACAAAAAAATCCAAGGCTGTTTAACCTACAGCCTTTGCCTCAAAAGGACAAATCAAATTAAAAAAAAAACCACTCACCAACATCCTTCACCTCGTCGCCCACGACGCACTGCACCTGCACGCAGCGGCCGCAGCAGGCGCCGCGCGCGGGCTCGGCGTAGCGCCAGCCGCGCGCGCACGCCGCGTCGCACGCCCGCTCGCGCGGCGCCACCGCCAGCTGCCCGTTCTCGCGGACGCATGTGTAGTTCTTGCACGGGTTGTCCGATGGCCACGTTTGTCCCTCCTGTTTTAACAAGTTGGGTTGAGTTTAACAATTTTAAATTGACTGTTAATAATAATTGATTATAATAAAATACTGATTGCAAAATAGTTAAATGTGTAATTTTTAAAAATATACGCCATACCTACATGATATTTAACGATTGAAAAAAAATATTAAAATAAAGCTGAATATAAACAAGTTTTTGTTTATAAATTTTTTTTTAAACTGACGAAATTGTTTGTTTTCTTGTGTTTGAAACTACATATTATACTCGTAAGTCAATTTTTTAAGTTATTGGTAATTCATTGTTACGATCTTTAGAAAAGCTTTGCCGTACAGAAAAGGATATTATAATAATAATTAACAAATACCTGATAAATCTTATCTCCGACGCGACAAGCGATGGGCTCCCGCTTCGGGCAACACTGTCCCGGCACCTTCTCTTCTTTCAGGACGAACTGCTTCTTTATGGCCTCTGATACTTCTGGACACGACACGTTCTGACTTTGGACTTGCAGCTGCGATGATATTATTAATTTATTATTTATTTAAATAATTAAGTGTCAGCAATAAGGTTTTTAAATTAACAACAAATACATATGTAGATTAAACGGCTTTTTTATGTAATAGCAATTGCTAACTTTAATTTAATGACAGTTATTTAAACTTTACCTACATTGAAAATATAACAATAATTTAGCATTTTATATTAACACTTGATCATTTAGTATACATAAAATTGATGAATTATAATAAATATTATAATACTACAGTACTAATATCATAGCTGGAAAAAGCAAATGATAATAATAATAAAAATAATAATAATATACATATGTATATTATTATGTCCTCACAGAGAGACAGACTACTTTGTCGATTTACTTAACAAACGAAAAAAACATTTTATAATGCGAACAAAACTGGTATCTATACTTAATATGTATTATAAATGCGAAAGCAATTCTGTCTGTTACCTTTTCACGTTTAATTCGCTGAACCGATTTAGATGAAATTTGGTATGAAGGTAGTTTGAGATCCTGGATGGGAAATAGGATAGTTTTATTCCGGAAATCATCCTTTAAGGAGGTGAAAAGGGGGATGGAAGTTTCTCGATGTGTATATAGTCTATTTATTCTATACTAACAGTTAAATAATATAAAAAAACAAAAGCAAGTAGCACTTACAGTCCCATTGAGATCAGCGCAGGTGTAGTTGGCGCAGAAGTCGTCAGAGGTCCAGGAGTCGCCGACGCCGCGCGCCGCGCCGCCCGCCACGCAGGCCACGGCGCGGCACCGCCCGCAGCACTGCGCGCCGCCCGGCGACGGCGTGTACTCGTAGCCCTGGCCGCGGAGGAGCATTGCGGTTAGTGGAATAATATATAGAGGTTTTTGAAGTTATACTTCTTTTGGCACGTTTGGAAAAAAATATGAGAGTACAATTTCTAAGATACGCGCGCGCACCGACAGCCAAAAAGCGACATGGTGAAGCTAGCTGCATTCCTTCTACAAACAGAGAGTTGTGACATACTGGACGAATTCTTTAGCTATTTTTGTTCTGTTACGCCAAAGAAGTAAAACCAAAGTAGTTCAAAAAATATTTAAGTTTGATTTTATATAACTGTTTATGCAGGTCCAAAAATAACGCATAAGATCCTCATTTTAGGCATTTTTATATAAAGCTAAAAAGATCTTTAATGAATATGAATTGACTAAATCTACAAAGACGATTAAAGTCATAGGTAATATTGAATATATATACAACTTACAAGCTGGCAGTCAGTATGACAGCTCTGCACGGTGGTGATCTTCTCTAATTTGCCATCTTCTAATTCCACGCACTGGTACGATTCACATGGGTTGTATGGTGACGTCCAGTTCTCGCCCACCTGGGAGATATTTATTTATTTATTTAGTAAGCACAAAATAGTTGTTACATTATTTTTTACATTTAAAAATGTATATTAATAATAATTTAACACACGTAGACTTAACAAATTAATATGATATTTATGCATAATAGTCTAGGTCCAAAGGCTTGTCTGGATCATACATTTTTAAATCTGCAGTATAGAGGGCTTAGTAGTGCGAAACCGAGTTCCGTACTGGATGACGTACCATGTGGGTTACTCCTGGTACTTTTCTAATAGCAGAGTACTATGAAAGCAATCATCAGATTGTAGTGGTCTACCTCGGTAAGCCAGCCGTCGGGACGTCATGGTTGAGTTAAGTGTTCCGTTGGATTCTAACAGATACTGGTTGTTTTAGTATATTACCCGTTAGTACCAAGAAAAGGTGAATGGTACAATATTGTTTGACCTTGTATATATTGTCGCCGTCTCTGCATGCGACGTAGACGGGCTCGGGGCAGCAGGCGAAGGGCACGGCGCGCGGCTCCAGCACGAACTGCGGCGTGGACAGCACCGGCGCGCAGGCGCGCGCGCTGCACTGCGCCGCGCCGCGCTCGCAGCGGCACGCGCGGCACGGCCCGTCCAGCCACGCCGCGTCCAGCTGCGGACGGACATGTTATTAGGATTTAAAATATTGGACGAGTGCGAGTTGGAAACTGTTGCAGGAAACATTTTTATGTTTCGTTTTAATACTGATTTGTTTATTGATATTTATTTTATTTATAAATTATTATGAGAAACAAAGTTAAATTCTACTACAACTATTCAACGTATCTTCTTCAAAATAATTTTTAAGAGTTCTCGGAAAATTCTATTACATATCTCAATAAAAAAAAAATCAATTAAATTTTCATCCTTCAGTAACAATTGTGAAGTACTCCAAATTTACAAAAACATTAAATGAAATTTGATTAGGATAACTTCTGTAGAGTCCGCTAATAAAAAGTCGCTAGATTATTGCTTTGAATAAAAAATCGCTAGATTGTTATATAAACAATAGCTTAAAATTATTAAGTGTAATTTTTCTTTAAAATTTTTTGTATTGATCGGGCAGTAAATTGGTCTGGTCTGCTTGCGCTTAACAAACTTTGTCATCGTAATATTAACACCATAAGTACATTTCTTTTACAGTTGATTCCAGTCGGATACTCATGTACCTATTGCATAATTTTAAATTACATATTAACTTTAATTTGATTTTAGACTTGTTATAATTAACCTAATAAACTATTTATTTTTTCGCTACAATGCGTTAGACTGATACTTACGTCTTTCAAAACAACTTGTGGGTTGGTTCTCGGCCTTTCCCCGCCCTTGGGCGCGGCCTCCCACTCCAGACGCACCACGCACTTATCTTTCGGCAACTCTGAAAATTTTACATCACTTTTAATGCCAGATCCTCCATATATCCAACATGTATACATCATCAACTTACGTGTTGATAATACATACATAAATAAAGCATTGCATGATGAAATAAATAATAAATACATATGTTGGGACATTAACACACAGTAAGTACCATTTAGTTCCATGGTAAGCTACGAGGCTTGTGTTATGGATACCGGATAGTTGATACACTACACATATATAACTTAAAATACATACATATTATAAATATAAATACCCATGACTGGAGACAAACCCGTCGTAGTAGGGTCACTACAAACTAAGCCAAACAATTTTTTGAGAAAATAATAGTAATATAAATTATAATTAAATGTGGCACTCGGAGACTGCCGCGGTAAAGCTATTGCATAGCATTTTTTATCAACTTATGCAATTATAATTATTTATTTATTTTATTAATGCAGTATTTTTTTCCTTGACTTTCTTCATTAATAAATGCACTTTGTTTATTCATATTTAAAACACTTTGTACACAAATTATACGAGTACAGATATTCACTATTGTACATAGATGATAAATACCTATACACCTATATACTTTCTCACAAACAGATGATTACGGTAGTTTTCCAATACAACCAATGCCACCTAAAGGCGGGTTGCTGAACTAAAGAGATAAGCGTGATATTTCAAAAAGTCATTAAAAGTTCTGGTATTTATCGATAGATGGAAAAACTAAAAAGTATCACCGCTGTGCCGGTCGGAGTGGGGGGTGTCAGGTTTTTTTCGTTACGGAATTTCTGGATTCGGTCCCCACGCTCAAGGCCCGCGATAGAAGCTATGCAATAGCTTAATAATTTAGTAATTTCTGGGCCTCAATCCAACAACTATTAAATACATAAAATCAGCTCCAGTTTTTAGATGGAGTAAAGACAATGTAATAACGTGGTAATACTTCTACAATATTTTAAAATGATAGTTGTAATTATGTAGCGTTTGTCAACCGTTTTTTTTTTTTGGTAGCTATTGACTTTTTGTTTGGCGACCTAAAGGCCATGTTATCAATAAAAAAAATTGAAAACCGTTTGCTTTTTTATATAGATAGGTAAGTTCTATTCATATATGTTTTCCTTAATTTTTCAACAATTTTTATAGTTGAATTTCGACCACTAGGTAGTAGGCAAGTACTAGTTATTAAAAAACTAAAACCCCTTGAGGGAAGAAAGTTGCCAAGCTACTGTAAATTGGAGACCCGTTCAGATGAAAAATATGATGCAAATCTAACTTTATACACAGAATATATCTAAAAACACTCACCACACTTGTGTTCCGGACAGCACTTGCCAGTGACATTGCTAGTTTCCAAGGTGTGGAACTCTGGGCAGTCGGGCGGCTCGGGGCAGCTCTGCACGCGGCACACCAGCTCGGCGCGCGGGCAGCACCCGCTCGTGTCCACGAGCCGCTCCATGCCCGGCTCTAGCATCTCTATTTCACTGTCATCGGGAATCTTCTCGCATTCGTTTTCGGGTTTACATTCTGTAATTTAATTAATTTACTTATAAACCTATATCTATTGTTACGGATTTGGTCGTGGTTTTATTTTGAGTTTTTGTTCTGGGCGTTTCGTATGTTTTACAGCAAACATAATCACGGGAGGGACAAAGGTTTGTAAATCCTGACATCTCAACAATGACTTCAGTGCATACTTCAGACTTATTATGTATAATTACTTATGATTATTTTGGAAAAAAAATTCAACAACTTTTTTTTTATTTATAATCTATTAGTTTTAAGCTTACCGCACGTAAACTCCTTGCATCCGTTGGCTGTGGTCTTTTGTTTAAGAATTTGTCCGAATCCACACTCTATCTTTTTGGGTTCCTCGCAGTGAACGTCCGGCGGTTTTGGTACTAGATATAAGAAATTTATAAAGTTAATAATTACATTTATTGTACTATATCTATCTGTTATTATTTATATAGTCTTAAACAATCTTTTTATTTTTTAAATTATTTTATACTTTACTAGCATTGCCCGCGGCTCCGCCCGCGTTCAGATGACCAAAAACTAAATTCTTAGGTTTTACATATTAGTATCCTCTTACATTGCAGTTTTTGTATTTTTCCTCAGAAATAAGATATTTTCCCGCGGTAAAAAGTATCCTAGGATCGCGCGCTACATCGCCCGGTTTATATAGCTTGAGCAGGCGGTCGAGCGATGCGGGGCAGAGGGGATGGACTCGCCGTAGGCATCTCAATGCTCGCCAAGCATTAAAAATGTTTCGCTACTAATTACTTCTAACAACGATATCTCAAAAACTATTCATCTGATTGATTTAGTGTAAAGAGCAATTTTAATCTGCATTAAATGACTAAGCTAACTAAAATATTCATTTGGATAAGGATTAATACCGAACTAAAGAAAATAACTTTGAAAATAACGTAATGTTTTTAATTAAAAATGTTAACATAAAAGTGGTTATTGTAAGTCAACCGTAAGAGATAGAGATATGCTATCGCGGACTTTTTTGTAGCATTTTTATAGATTTTGAATTCTCTAGTACATTACTTAACTGTATCTTTGCTAGTTTACGCGGCGTTCGCGTGGAAAGTTCCCATTTGGCGAGATTTTTTGCGACCTCTTCAACATTTGTCGCCGTATTTCAGCTAATTTACATAAAAGCATAATAAATTATATACCTAAACCTTCCTCAAGAATTACTCTTTCTATTGTTGAAAACCGTATAAAAATCCGTTCAGTAGTTTTCGAGTTTATCGCGTACAGACAGACAGGAGGACAGACAGGAGGACAGACAGGAGGACAGAAAGACGCGGCCGGGGGACTTATTTTTATAATAAGTATAGATGTCTTTAGCTTAAATTTTTCCACTTTCCTTTACGGAAAGTAAGAGTAAGAAGCCTTTCTTTTTAGTATGTTAATAGAAAACCACTCACTGTCTTGAGTGAAAGAAACGCTTTGCACGCCGGCATTTTGTGCCTTGTATACGAACAGATGTACCAGGGCGACATTGGAGTGTGGAAGGTGGCGGCTAGGTCTCGCATAATTTCAAGATATTCAAAGACGTAATGAAGTGGTATAGGCGCTCACCGCAGACGTAGTCTCGGCAGCAGGCGGCGGCGCGCGCGGGCTTGGCCACGCGGCGCTCGTCGTGCGCGCACACGGGCTCGGCGCAGCGCTGCGTGGTGCACGCCACGTGCGCGTCCCGCTCCGCCGCGCCCTTGCTGCACGTGCAGCGCGTGCACGCGTCCTCCTGCACGACGGGGCAGTGGGGCGATTAGAGAGGCACGATTGCAGTGGAATATTATAAATGATATAATAAATCATATTGGATTGCAGAAACGACTCAATTTTTAGGGATAAAATGTAGCCAGACATTTTTTGGTCCGTAAACTATAATCAAAATTATAAAACATTTTAATTAAATAATAAAAAAAAATTGACATTATTTTATATTTAGCTAGAATATTAAAATATTAATAGAAATTGTAAATTTTTTAGACTAACTTTGTGTAAATGATTATATGACTACAGATACGTATTAATAAGGTATATTTTAGTTAATAGTATGGCAAGTCTCTACTTACTTGCCACTCGTCGCCGGCATAATGCTCCTTGTTGGCGTCGCACGGGAAGCACTTGGTCGGCTCTATGCATGTGTTGTTCACTCGCACCTTTTAGCAAAAAAAAATATTCATATACTCATAAACATATATTTATTTATTTATTAAGATTACCAACAGAAATGACAATAATACAAATATAATTAACATAATACATTAAACACAGTATAATTGTATTTCTTTTTAGAGGTAATCACAACATGCGCAGAAATAAAAGAAAACAATCAGTTAAATAAATGAAAGGATAATAAGAGATTAAAAGCTGAAATACATTATTGGATAAATTAATATAAATAAATGATTGAAAAGAAATAGAATTATTTAAAAGTATTAAATATATTACCATACATTTGAATAACATGGTTTTGGTGCTTTTTTTTTGAATGAAAATCGGATTTTTAATGTGGATGGTAAACTTTTGTCTGTTGTGGCTAATTTCATTTGGAAATCCCTAAACAAATTTCCATTGAACTTTTTTATTATAAAAGCAATTATTATTGTTTTAAATATATAGTTTTTTTCGAGATAGTCTCACGTTGTAGGTTATTAAGAAAAATACAAACTTTTCCTTCAGGACAGAAGCATCCTTCTACCGGATCTTTGTCGCATTTTTTAGGGTTGTCCTTGAGTTCGTCGTAGTTATCACAAGTACGCTCGCAGTCCACGCACGGTCTGTACACGAACGGCGCTTCGCTGTTATAATAAAAGCCTTTATTACTGTTACATAAAACTATTTACTTTAGAACGTTAACATTTCTAGTTTGTATTGTTTTATTACATTAACACATTGTTTACATAACATAAGTGAGAAAATATATTCTAGACGTACGAATAGAAAACACAAGTGTGACAGGAATAAGGAAATACCTAATAATCAGGAGTAGAGAAAAAATTGTACGGGATTAAATGATAGGATTATGATCCGATAAAGCGTTTACGCGTTATTTACTGTCTCGTAAATAACGCGCGTAAAATGCTTATTTAGGTATGCGAATAAACCTAAATCTAATTAGATATACGAGATCTAAGATCAGGTTAAGGTATAAATATGTTGGGACATTAACACACAGATCCATCTAGTTCCATGGTAAGTTTCGTAGCTTAGCAAGACTTGCGTTATTCATACACATATATAACTTTAAATACATACATATTATAAATATAAACATCCATGACTGGAGTATACACAAACGCTTAGGGCAGCGGGATTCGAACCCACGACCGCTGGAACAGTAAGTAGGATCACTAAAAGCTGAGCCAAACGTGTCATCATAGATATATAAAAGGTAGGAAGGATAGGACAGGAGGTAATCGAACCCACCAGGGATAGGGGCAGAGGTCCTCGCGCCAGCGCAGGCACACGCCCTGCGCGCGGCAGTCGGCGGCGTAGCGCGCGAGCGCGGCGCACGCGTCCGTGGCGTTGAGCTCGCACAGCTCCGCCTCGCACTGCGCCTGGTACGGCGCCGGGTCCACCAGCGCGTGGCACTGCGGACGAGTTTGTTGTTGTAAGTTTTTGTGTGTGAAAATATTTTATTGTTTTTAACTTATTTGGATCTCTAAGAAATATTGATTATATAAAAGAAATTTATTCTTTGAAAGAATTTGAATTTTTATATGGTTTTTATCAAATTTGTATTTCTAGTTAGGAAAACTTCATTCTATATGACATTGGTAAACGTAGTAAACCATTAACAAAATAATGTATTTAAGGATAGGTAACTTTACATAGATGATAGATGATTAAAAACTGACTTTAAAGTATATACTGGTGCCAAATGCAAAGATTTTGATAAATTTTTACAGTAAAATAATTTGTGTATCACAAATAAAAAAATTAAAAGCTGTAATTTATAAAAATATACAAGTACATAGTTGAAGTCTGTGGAAATGGTAATGTTTATAATACGTCTATAGCATAAGCTCACGCACAACGGGCATACTTGTCCGAATACGGATAAAGCCGTGCAAGAAGAAGAAAAAGACGTATGTGAGTACTCACAGCGCCGAACTTGTCGACATTGTTGATGTTGTGGCAGGGGTTGTCGTCGGGCGGCGGCGCGCAGGGCGCGGGCGGCGGCGGCTCCTCGCAGCGCGCCTGCGCCGGCACCTCCAGCGCGGACAGCGCCTCGGGGCTGGCTTGCCAGCTCTTGCCGTACTGGGGGTATCGGAGGTGATGTTTACTTTTTGTTTTTTATTGTTAATTTAAGCAGTGAGTATTTATAGTGAAATGCTTAAAACTATAATGTTTTTTTTATAACACTTTATTACTTAACAATTGGTTCTAAGTTTTTATTTGTCTAAATAAAAACGGTAATTCGATTCAATTGTTAAACTGCTAGTTATTAAACAATTCTGTAATATAACTGCATTCTGTAATATAACTGCACACTAAGAAACTTAATGTAAGTGTAACGTGCTAATACATAAGTAGTTTAAAACAAAGGTTGTGGCGACTCATCCTGTATATGTTTACCCGATTCCTTTTAACGACAACATATTTTGTTACAAAAAACATCTATTTATGAGAAGTTTAAACACTAACCTCCTCGAAGTCATCGGTGACGGTGCCGTTGCTGGTGACGAGGTGGTCCTGCGTGCCGGCGCACACGCCGCACAGCCCCTGCGTGCGGCCGCCGTACGTGGCCGACGGCACGCGCACTGCGAACTCCATCTTCGCCTGGGACACGGTCAGCTGAGGGACGGGATTACACTTATGTAATATATGTAGGATTTAAAATTAGCGTGTAATGGAGCGTACAGCATGAACGATTGTGATTGGTTGTATTTCGATAGTAATGGCGTTTTTGGAGTATGGCGGATACGTTCGAATAGTGTAATGAATGCAGCGTTACGAAATTTAATTAAACTTCTCATAAGCGAATCTAGCCTTTTATTTCCATCCCACATACTTATATGATATTGTTTGTGAGTCAATAGGTGTAGGTAGTGTGTGTTTTTGAAGTAAAACTTCTGTACGCACGCTTGACTTGGGGGGTAAGCTGGTGAATGCGTTACGAAAAAATATACGCACGTTTGTTGCCATGGTAACCGTTGTTATTGTCTGACAAATAATATATAATATTATATTCTTTCTTTAAATGATATTCTATAAATATATGATTGTAATATGCCTAATATGCGTTATTTTTAGTATCTCACCTATCCTAATTATTTAAAACTTAAATGGAATTTTATAAAGAGTACCGATAACCTACAGAAGTTTTACTTCTTGCGCGTGTACAAATTCATAGTTCAAACACGCACTCTTTAATTTTTTTATTCATTCAAGCAGTAGGGCTAAATGGCTAAATTTGATACTGTAAAATCCACTTATTGCTACGGGAGACTTCATCTCGCTTTGGTATCTCAATAAAACAACCAGTGATCTGGACATACACAAGACACAGGAGCACAAAAATATGGATGCTACATTTCAACTTAATTAATCAGTAAAAACTAAATAATAGTGTAATTCAAACGACATATACCGCCATCTATTGGTAACAAATGTTAATCACACAAGTGAGTTTATCCAAATACCTTTTTTGTTTTAATATATACTTGACATACGTAGATTAGACACATTGCAGATATTGCACGGTGTTGAAGTGTTAAATGTTTATACATTAAGTATAGTATAATATAGTATAGCATTAGTATAGCGATAGTATAGCATTAAGTCCACTGTAAGCCATACTTTAGTAATGTATCATCATTCACTCATGTATCATCCATATATGGTCAACCACCCATTAAGCTAAGCTTCATTATGATATTCTGATTATTAAATATGTCTCCAACCTAAGAAGACGTTTATCTCTGGAATCTCTAAAACATACCACATTAGAGTCTAAATAGTGTGTAATAATCTATGTATATATGTGTGTAATATTCTATTTAAGTATTTAACAGTGCTTAATCGTTACTTAAATGCGGGTTTAGGTCACGCAGTGCTATAAAAGTAACTTTCGATGAACATTAATGTGTTTTACATATGACAATTTTATTAGCTTTTATTTTATATTTTATTTTTATATTATATTATATATTTATTTATAACCAACAATCTAATTATTATCAAATTTTTTTTTTTTTTATACCACGTCGGTGGCAATCAGGCATGCGGCACGCCTGATGGTAAGCGGTTACCGCAGCCTATGGACGCCTGCAATACCTTGGGCATCACATGCGCGTTGCCGACCCTTTAAAAACTTATTTATTTATAATCATTTAGTATTATTATTTGAACTTACCTCGACATGATCGTCCGGTAGTAGGATACTGACGTCCTGTCCATTGAGGAGAGTGATCTGTGCCCAGTCATTCTTCTGAGGGTATTTAAATATTGGCTTGCCGTTCACTGTTGTTATTAACTGAAACAAATATTATAGTTATTATGATACACTCTGTATATTATAATGTTAAGGTTGTTTAGCCTATTAATTCAACAATAGATGGCGTTACTAGAATCTTTATATTATTTAGAGTTGTAATAATTAAAAAGACAATGAAATGAATGAATAAAATTAAAAATTCCGTTTTAAGAATATTATTATTCATATTGTAAAATAAAAACATTTTATCCAAAAAAGCATATTTACTTCAAAAAAAATTTAAAAGTATCTACTAACAAAAAAAAACTAAAATCAGTTTATAATTATTGGTAAATTGCATGCTACCACCTTTTTTAAAGTAAAAAAAAAACAAAGTAAGTAATCAAACCTTTTTAGTGACCGTATCCTTCGTGACGTGTATGATATTCTTCTCGTGTATGAGATGCACCGCGTGCGTGCACACCGCCGCCGCCGTGTCCTCGCACGGCCCGTTGCTAGCGTACACCTGGCATTTTTAAAGTTAACATTTCATTATCTATATATAGTATTCAGGCCTTTTTTTAAGGTCCCACTTCTGGGCATGGACCTCCCTACAATACGAGGGGGATCAGGCCATAGTCCACCACGATGGCCAAGTGTGTGGTGGACTTCATATGTCTTTCGAAAACTTGCTAGGTTTTATCAGACATGCAGGTTTCCTCACGAAGTATTTATTTACAGTAAAATAAGTGGTAATCATATTGGAAATGATTAGCACATGAAAATAACTTGTTATTTTGTGTATTATGATTGGATGTAATTTTTAGAAGATTTATTTATAATACGTACACAACAAATAAAGTTTTATTTTGTTTACAAAAATTAAAGATATTTATGACAATTAAAATAAGGAAAAGAATACATATTATTTTACAAATAATAAGAAAACAATTTAATTTTATCTTTCACTTCTTTTCAAGTGTTCAATTTTGCCCGTTGAAAAAATCTCATGGGTGTCTCATCAAATCTCACTTAATATCACCAAGGAGGGAGGAGTCTAAATTAAAAAAAACAACAACTAATGTAATAATAATCATGTATGTGAAATTACCTCAAACCTGTGGTGGCCGGTGTGGTTGGCGTCGCGCGCGGCGAGGTAGGTGCAGTTGCCGAGGAAGGGCAGGTCGTCGCCCTCGAACGTCACGTACTTGGCCGGCGCGCCCACGCCCTTGCACGTGCCTGGGATTTGTTGTTTATTAAAACTATATTCTGATTTACTGTTTAGTACAGTATCGCCTTTCATTATTAGTGAAGTAGTCTCTGGTCAACTAGAGCTAGAGTAAATCCAATAATATTTAACAAAATAAACGCCTTTAGGAAGTTTATTTCAAAGTAGCTACTAAAACTAGTCATTTTCCATTCAACATAATCTATCTAATCTCTTAAGTTTAAAGCCTTCAATCCTTGATATGTGAACCAGAAGTAGCCATTGGCTTATTTACTTTATTACGAGGAGGTCCATGACCCAGAGCGGTAGGCAATTACAGTCTTATCGCAACAGCTTCTTTTATAATAATAAACTTTAATGTTATTGCTCAATATGTTTGCTATTGAATTTGTAATGTGTGGGTAATGCCATATTTAACAAAAACTAAAATTCATTGAGTAAATGATGGCGTGGAAACGGCCGTGGCTACCAGCAGTCGCCACAACTCGGAACTAATCGAGATATTTATTTCTACTTCTTTGATTTGTTTTAATTTCATCAATAAGTACAAGGGACGTACAATATAAGTCATGGTAAATACAACATTGTAAATGTCATAAGTAAAATGTATCTCACAATCGAGGCAGTCGGTGGGCGCGACGCAGGTGTCGCCCTTGCGCAGCGTGCCGGGCGGGCAGTAGCAGCCGGGGAAGCAGGCGCGCTCGGCGGGGCAGGCGCCGCGCGCGCCGCACGCCGGCTCGCAGCGCCGCCGGTAGCACTCCGAGTGCACCAGCGGCGCCGGGCACGCCGCCGCTACGTGTGTGCATTGTATACATTAATATATTGTATTTGAAGTTAAACGTAGCGACAAAAAATAAAAGGTAAATAGTTTTAAGTAATTAAGTCGGTTGATAATTATATTAAATTTCTAAATTTCTTGTAATTTACGAAATAAAGATGTCATTTGTAACAACAGTCATGTAATAACCAATTTTATTTAGCAACTAGCATTGCCCGCGGTTCCGCGCGCGTTCAGGTGACCAAAAACCAAATTCTTGGGATTTACATATTAGATTGCTCTTACAATGCAGTTTTAGTATTTTTTTCCAGAAATGACATAGGTATTTTCCCGAGGTAAATATATCCTATATGTTGACCCGGATAACCAGCTATCACCATACCAAATTTCATCAAAATCCCTCCAGTGGTTTTTCTGTGATGCGGTAACAGACAGGCAGACAGACAAAAATTCTAAAAACTATATATTCGGCCTCTGTATCGATAATAATTAATAATGTTTACTTTAATAAGATTTTCCAAAAAAAATAATTTACAGATTCGGCTTAGTTACAATTTTATTATATGTATAGATATTATAATCGGACTACTATTGTAAATGCGAAAGTTTGCATGTGCATGTATCATGTATATGACTTCATGTTTGTTACATCTCGAAGCTGAAATAGCTTGACAGTTTTCCAGCAGAGCAGGCAGCGGCACTGCTCCTCCGTGCGCTTGGTGCCGTTCACCACCAGTTCGGCGCACGAGCAGATCTTCTCCAGGCAGATGCTGCGCCACTTGTCCAGGCTTAGCACCTTAGAGCATTGCGATAGTGGCTCCTCGCTGAAGACAAAATAATTCATCAATTGTCTATATATCTATTCTTTAAGGAGAATCGTAATAATGATTAGGTGACTTGTTTAATACATTTGACAGGCCAAGTGCATGGAGTATTTTACATGTCTTTGGAAAACTTGCTAGGTCTTCTCAGACATGCAGGTTCCCTCACGAAATTTTTATTTATCGTAAGGCAAGTGGTATTCATGTTAGAAATGATTCGCACATGAAAACATCAGAGAGCTTGAACCGGCTTCACTGGTTTTATCATTCCGTTACCATTGGGCTACCACTGCCTTCACCTACAATGTCCTTCAATCTTCCGTAGCTATGTATATATACATCAAAGTGTGTACTCACGTGATGACCTTGCACAGATCCCACACGCGCTTCTGCTCGTCGCGCGGCACGGCGCGCACGCGGCAGGCGTCGGCGCGCAGGCCGGGCTTGGCCCAGGCGCGGCCGAACTCCTGCACGCCGGCGGCCTCGCGCCCGTCGGGCAGCACGCGCTCGCGCCGCGCGTCGCCGTCGTACGCGCCGCACAGCCCGTCCACGCGGCCCTCGTACTTCTTGGATACCTGGCGGTGGATGATACAGCTTATTTGATACTTTTGTGCATTTATATATAATACTAGCGACACACCCTCGCTCAGCTCAGGTTCGTCCCCAGTGAAAATTTAAGTTTGTATGTATTTTTTTAATGCTAAATCATAAAAAAATTAAAATAAAAGATTTGACCATAAAATAAAATAAATATTTTTGGGAGAACCACCTTTATCACTTAGGGGTATGAGAAATAGTTTACATCCTATTCTCAGACCTACTGAATATTTGTTAATACACACAAAATTTCACAAGAATCGGTCAAGCCGTTTCGGTGGAGTTTTGGTAAAATACTTTGGTGGCCTTTTTGAATTTTTGAAATCATTTTCAAAAATTGTGGGTAGGCACTGTTTGTAACAAGTATATAACGCCTATAAACCATTCGAAACGTCGGGAACCAAAAATCTAAATAAATTAATAATCGAAATATTTCGAAAAGATACTTTTATTTAAGAGCTCATTTAGTTTATTCATCAAAGGTACAATATGATTATAACGTATATTAAATCAATCGTGTATAATTAAAGTGATCTCATGATTTTAGTTGAATACTACTTTCTTTTGCCTAACGATAATGAATTATGTTCGTATATTTAACGTGTAGAATTATCGTCTATAATCTATATCGTGAAGATATATTATGTATGTACGTTTAAACTCAGATTTAATTTTCAAATTAAGTATCTAACTAAATTAAAATTTAAGACATAACATGTATAATATTCAAAAATAAAATATTACGCAGCACTCTTCTAAAATCTGAACGGAAATATTTTTTTTACTTTTGTCTAGATAATAATAGGTAAATATTACTAACCCCAATCTTAACGTCCCCATCAGGACTGTAAAACACTGTGAAGTTATATTTCCTGGACTTGATGGAAACCCCGTCTCCAAGCCTGTTGACGTCAAAGCTGTTCCTCTGGAAGCAGATCTTGCTGGTCTGCTCCACGGTGTACTCGTAGTTGTTGTACTCGATCATGAGAGAAGGCTTCACAAGGATCAGTTCGGTGTCTTGTAGCACAAGTAACTGGTTCTGGCAGGTTTTTTCGTCGCATTTCTTGCGTACTTGATGAGGGAAAAATGTTCTTAATATATAAGAAATATGTAGTTATAATAAAATATTATGTAATAAATAAAAAAAATTAAATTGCTCAGAAGTAATAAAGATTATAAAAAAAACTTTTTTTCACCTTTATTTATATCACACGCATATTCCCTATTAAAGCAAAATATAAAGTATACTAACACAGCACAGTCCATTCCCCGAAGCGATTCTCCCGCGCCAGTATGTGGAAGCAGACGTCGTACTTGTACTCGGTGCCGTCGAAGGTGCTGAAGGTGCGGCCGGTGACGCTGCACTGCGCCGGCTGCTCCGGCGGCGGCTCACACGAGTATCTGCATCAGAGTGTGTATGGATAAAGTGATTTTAATCACATAATATTTTATTAGATTTACGCGAAAATTTCACGAAATAAACCGAAAATATAGTTTTATTTAAGATTCCAATCTCGTTTACATTATTTTTAACATGATTACTACTTGCTTTATGATGAAGAAAAACTTCTGAAACCAGCATGTCTATGAGAACCTAACCAAATTTCGAAGGACATGTGACGTCTGCCGATAGACCTTTGGCCAGCGTGATAAATTATGTACCGACCCTCTTCGCATTGAAGGGAGGCCCATGCTTAACAGTGGGAGTGCGCTTTTATCAGCGCTTGATTATAATTCCGGAAACGCGTGACTTATAACCATCCTGCTTGCTTATAATATTTTACTGCACAATCGAAATATCTAAGGCATACTAGAGGGCTAATTTAAAGATGAAATGAAATAAATACTATCAATGTATTTTAACAAAGAAATAGTCTAATGAGGCTGAATACTGACGTCGTCGGTAAGAGTCCAGCAGTACAACCAAATATTAACACGTTTTGGTTTTAACCAAGCACCATGAATCACATCTTTAGATAGAATCTAACAAATAAAATCATAGAACCCGACTCTCTTAGCCTTTTCTGTTTGTCCTTTCAGGATAATAAAAACAATGAAATATGAATGAATACAATACTAAACAAAAACTCACTGAGGGCATTCATTAACACCCAACGGCACGCTGTCTAGCTTCAGCGAGTACTTGTCAGGACATATCGGCGTGGAGCAGACGACGGGCGCGGGCGTGGAGCCCCTGGGCGGGATGGGCGGCAGGTTGGGGATGCACTTGAACTGCGCGCACTCCTGCTTGGCGGCCTCCGGCTTGCTGGCGAGCGACGGCTTGTCTAGTGTGAACGCTTCGTTCTGTTGCGGCCGGGATGGTGGACCTGATGATTTGGTTGCAGAAATATTTAGTTATCTTTAATAAATTAATTTTACCAAATAACATATTTAGATACATTTAAAAGAAAACATTTATTATTTTACTTGAATCATAATATTTTTCAAAGTTAATTGTATTCTACATTCCATAGCCAGCGTTCAATAAATTAATCTTATCGAAGATCCAGCCTTTCTTAGAACCCTTTTAGAACTTAACCCTTAATTCTATTAATAAAAGTTTTATTCAACAAAGTAATCTCACCATAATTACCGCCCTTCGAGAAGCTAGTCTTAGAGAATCCGCCCTTGGCGAAGCTGCGGCCGCCCTTGGAGCCCTTGTAGAACCTCTGGTAGGAGTAGCGCGGGCGCGGCGGCGGCAGCTCGGCGCCGCGGTAGCTGGCGCGCGGCGACACCGGCCGCACCGTGTAGCCCGGCGGGCATTCCACCTTGGGGCACTCTAGTGCTGGAATATTATTAATAATTATAAGCTACGTCTATCTACACGTATTTTTTTAAATAGACAAATAATTTTTGCTTGTACAGTATTGGAAATATTGATATCTCTTTTCGGAAGAAAAATTAAAGCCAATAGTATTTTAGGGTCCATGGAAGAACATGCTAGAATATACATATACATTTTTTTGACAACGTACTTTATTTCTTTTGATTCTTTCTTAGAAATAGAAGGCATTGCCGCAATACGCCTATAATAGATTCTAATATGGTTTGATGTCTCTTTTTTGCGCTCATTGATTCTTTTTATGGGGAAGCTAATAATATTTGTAATTTTGTTTTTACAGGTGTGTTATACATTTATTTATTGTGTTATCAAAATCGATTTAATAGTACTGAAGATGCACCTGGAAACTTAAATGAATGTTTCGTGAAAATGAACTTACGTTTCTCAGTCGTAGAAGCAATCGTGGTGGGGGCGAGCGTGGTCACTGGCGGGGTGTTCGCGACAGTTGGCACCACAGTGGTCACCACGGTTTCTGTTACAGGGGCCCTGGTGGTACATTCCAATTCATCATCAGGGCAGTCTTGGAGGCCGTCGCACCACTTCTCCAGAGGCAGGCAAAGCTTGCTGGTGGGACAGATCTTAGTGTTGTTGGTGCACGGCTCGCAGAGACACTTGCATTCTGGTGTTAGTGTTGGGACTAGATCCTACAAAGACATAATTTATCATTAAAAATATAGACAATTTGATTATGTATGTAAAAATAGTAATTATGCTATCAAATATCAAAGCTGTGTAAAAAAAACTAAATATGTGATGTTACCGGTGCGCAGGCGCAGGGCGCGGCGGGCTGGCAGGAGCTGACGCCGCCCAGCTTGCACAGGCATTCGTCGCACTTGTCACCGCGGAAGCTGGACCCCACTGGGTACCTGCGATTCATATATATAATGTATACCTACATTTAAAGTTACAAACATTTAAGTTTTAAAATTTCATTTGAATTAATAATATACTTGTAACTAAATATATGAAATTATATTTTATAATAGTTAAAAATTAATAAATTTTTAAAAGTATTTCTTTTTAAATTGATTTTGATATTTTCGGTATACCTATAGTATAGGTATGTGGGAAACTAGTTAAAGATCGCCTAACACTATTTATTATACATTAGTAAGCCATTTTTATATCTTTAAATAATCACAGACGCAGTCCCAAATATATTCTGTTAATTGTTTAAAAACGTAGGTATAAATAGTTAGCACTGACGGTTTTAAATAAAACTATTTTTCCTGCTTTTTTCTCGGATTTATTTTAATTTTTGGTTGTCGGCGTTTTCGAAATAATAGTTTTATTTAAAATAACAAATAATCGCCTAAATATAAGAGAGTATTTAGCACTGACGGTATGAATCCCACGAAGCACGGGCACTGGTCGCGGGACACGCAGTTCTCGCCGTCGTAGTACAGCGCGGGCGCGCAGGCGCAGGCGCAGGCGGCGGGCGGCGCGCCGGGGCACAGCGCGCACGGCGCCGGCGCGCGCTCGTCGTGCGCCTGCTCCTCGTGCGCTGGAAGTTGGTGTTGGGTAACATTTAGAATACGTTTTCTAACAATATCTTAAGTTTAGTCAATTTATAATTTCCTTTTGTCTCTAGCGTCGCTTCCCCATACAAACTTTCATCCCCATTTTCACCTCCTTAAGGGATGGGATCTTATGTCCTTCCCAGAGTCTCAAAATATCTTTTTATCAAATTTCATCTAAATCGGTTCAGTAGTTTCGAAGCTTATTCGGTACAAACAAACACACAAAAAATCTTTCCTCTTTATAATATTAGTATAGATGGAAGACGGCTTGCCATTAGTTATACGCCTTTACAACGTTGTCATCAAAGCAAAGGTTACAATTTTATATTTAAACTAGCGACTCACCCTCGCTCCGCTATATACACTCCGTGGGGAATTTCTGCTGTATTAAAAAAGAAAGAAAAAAATATATAGTATAAATATAAGTCACTCACAGCCAGGTAGTTAAAAAATATATACATACATATAAAAAGTCTTATTACATCAGAAATTTTCAAATGAATCATTTATTAAATTATATAGTAAATCTTTGCAAATTGGAAAGCATTTACTTACGATATATCTCATAGCAGCCAATAGGTTCGATTTTCATCTCTATATTATTCTTCCAAGTGATGGGTAAAACCTTCAAATACTGCGCTCTGATGGGGGGTCGGAACTCGTTCACGACCACATTGTTGTTATCAAAATTGGCCGGAATTAGCCTCTGGGCACCACTTTCGTCTAGCACCGGGTTGAAAGTGGAGAGGTCGGAGGTGAAGAGGACGTAGTAGCCGGTGACCCAGCCGCTCGGCCCGCCCGACGTCCGGAGGCCGGTGATGTTGCGAGGCGACGTGAAGTTGAACTGGTGGTGTGAGTATAACACAAAAATAATTATAAAATACAAATAGAATTTCGATACTTTATATGCAAAGGATTACTTTATTAAGAGATCTCTTCCAATAATCCTGGAGTGTTAGAAAAAAAATGGTTGAAAAAAAAATTGATTTTGTGAAATTTGATACGTCATAAGAGTCTTGCAGTTTAAATTTAAATCAATCTAAATTTATTTTAAAATATATCAAAAATAACATTAATAATTGAATTAATAGTATAAAAAATGTTTTAAAACACAACAAAATCGAAAGTGCATAATATTTAACACCATTCAGACAAAGAAAGACAATAGCATTCCCAAGGAGGGTTGACGTCAGGCAGGCGGCCGGTCGTAAAACTTTTGCCAAATCCTATCAGCAGTACACTGAAGATGTACTGCGCCGACCCCAAGTGATTTGGGAAATGGGCAGGGAGAAGAAGAAGAAGAAGAAGAGTCTTGCAGTTTAATATTTCAAAGGGACATTTTAACAATACAAAAAAAGTGAACAGTGGAATCGTAGAAAAATAAGAAAAAATAAAACATAAACACACATTACAGAAGATTGTCCATAAGCATATCGCTTTCTTAATCATCACTAAACTATAAGTTAACTAGCGACTCAATCTCGTTTTGCTCAGATTCGTCCCTAGCTCTGTTTTAACGGTTAGTTTGGCTATTTCATACTCGATCCCTTGCTCTGTGAAAAACAGAAATAAATCTATCCCACACAAACCGTACATTTTTCGTAGATAAAAAGTAACCTATGTGCCATTCTAGACTATAATCTCTGTGCTAAATTTCATCCAGATCCATTCAGCCGTTCTGGCGTGATTGAGTAACGTGAAAACATTCATCCAAACTTGCGCATTTATACTAAGAATGGGATTAATGGGATTATTTCCTCATGGCACCGTCCCACTCACCATGACCCACTCCCCGGGCGTGCTGTAGAGCGGCGTCCAGCCGCGCTCGGCGTCCATGCGCAGCAGCTTGCGCCCGTCGTTGTTGGAGCTGGTCTCGACCAGGTTGATGGGGAGGTTCCCGCCAAGACCTAGGTTGTCTGTGCATGCTATAGGTTCCAGCTGTAGATAAATTATTTGGTCATTAAGTCTTGCTTTTAAGGCTGTCTCTGGGGATCGCGTGTTTGATTCTTGTATGTTGTAAATGTATTGGGTAGTTTAATAAGCCTTCAGGCTATTAATGAGTGACTGAGACTTGATTGATAAGTGAACAAGACACAATAATAAAAAGTACAAGTAGTCTAAGAACGAATAAAATGTGTACTTACAGTAGTAAACAGTGTTGGTCTCGTGCTGCTTTCTGTGGTAGGTTGAGTTGTGGGGTTTGTTTGTGTAGAAGGAACCGTGGGAGTTGTTAAGACAACTGTGGTGGGAGTAGTGGGAGTTGTTACGGTGACAGTAGTGGGAGTGGTAGGTGTGGTAGAAGTGGTGGGAGTAGTAGGTGTAGTGGGAGTGGTAGTAAATTCTTGACAAGCGATCAACTCGAAGCGTACAGCAACTCCATCGTTCCAAGTTTGAGGTTGAATGCGGATGAACTTGGCTTCAATTGGAGGTTTTATCATTTGTTTCATAGGTTTCTCGCGGTCGACCGGGCCACGGAAAATCTATTTAATCAACATGTTTAAATGAGTAAGATTTCACGGTATTTAATATTGTAACAAAAAAGATAACCTTAGTAATATTTAGTGGTGCAAATATTAGAACGGGATATATTGTTATTGATTTTCCTGATATACGAGTAGATTAATTATATGTATACTATAAAAAAAAATATTTCTAAGATATCATAATTTAACACAAGCTTTGAAAAGATTTTAAAAGAAATAAGGTAAAGTACCTTGGGCTTGCCATCAGGTCCGTCAACCGTAGAGAAGATGTGTCCATCATCACCATACATGACGTCGTAGCTCGTGACGTACTGGTCGAAGAGCGGGCTGCCCTGCATGACGACGCCGTATATCGGCTCCTTTTGCGGCAACTCCACTTGAATGTAAGGGTTCGCGTCTGAGGCGTCAGGATTCCAACTTCCAGCTAATAGAAAATTTACACAATTGGAGAACAAACAAAGAAAAAAGTGCTCATTTTAAGAATTCAAGGTAATATATGAAATAAACAAATGTTATATAGTAATAACACTACAGGACTAAAGTCTAAAACACGTGAATTGGTAAGTGGGTATATACATATATTATTCTCGATGTTTCGACTGGGTTGCACAAGTGTGGTCGTGGGCAGACAGTCTGCCACTTATGAGTTCACGCATTTAAGTTCCGTAGTGTAATTATATAATTATGGAACGAGAAAATTTAAAAAAGTTATATAAACAAATTTTATAGTAACTTGAAGAAAATCAAGAGCAGCAATCGCATAACCTTTTCTTGTATTAGGTATAACTTCTAAGTATAATTTTTTTCAAAGAAAGCTTATTAATTATTTATCAGTATGTATATTTAATAACACTAAACGAAGTGTGTGTACCACTGTATGCCGTCGGCCGCCCGCCCAGCTTCGTGTACTGCGGCTGGAACAGGTCGCTGGCGGCGGAGCTCGCCGAGAACGCCGACGCCGGCAGCGGCTCGCCGCTCCACAGCAGGTTCTTGTAGCTGGCACGAGTGAAAAAGAAAACAATATTATAATAATATTTCTGTTATATTAAATCGAAAATAATAGTGAATTTCTCAAAAAAATCATTATCAAATTCATCATCATCATAATTTATTTTTATTTGCTTCAGAAAATTATTTGTTATAATTTTTTTACTTTAATTTTATTTCAATTTTAGCAATTCGTCTTATGTAAGCATAACAACATTACAATTCTATACTGATATTATAAAAAGACAGTCTTTGTTTGTTTTTTGAACGCACTAATCTCAGTAACTACTAATCCGATTTGAAAAATTGTTTATGCATTATATAACCCGTTTATTGAGGAAGGCTATATTATATCATCATGCTACTATTCAAGGGAGCGAAGTAATAATCATAAATGTCAACAAATTGGTAAGACTTCTATACATTATTACTAATAGCATAAAACCAAAAAGTTTTTTTGTAGTTTTAGTGCGAGCGAAGCCGCAGGTTCTGCTAGAATTGATAATATATTATTAAAAGACTGATGTTTTTCTATACTAACTTGGCAGGGTTACACTCCGGTGGGGGTGAGACGGTAGTTTTAATAATTAGCGTTTCTGTTGTAGACATGGTTGTGACTGTTGTAGGCTCTGTTGTGACTGTTGTAGATTGAGTTGTGACTGTTGTAAATGCTTCGGTTGTTGCGTTTGTTGCAGCGATGGTGACTGTCGTAGTGAGGAGGGTAGTGGTAGGGGTAGTGGAGGGGGTAGTGGGGGCGGGGAGGATGAAGGAGGCATGTGTTGATCCTTTCTTTGGTACTTCCACTGAGACACACTTGGAGAAGTCGCAGTGTAGAGCGTTGTCCAGACACTGACATGTTTGGCATCCATCTACTATCACTCCGCCCGGCTGTGAATATGAGGTTAACAAGTTATATATCTAATCTCAACCACGTACAAAAGATTTTTTTTATTTCCATTATTAATTATAAAACTATTTGATAACATAAGACTGTCAACAACTATGACCAAAAAAAAAGAAAAAAGGGGAAATGAACTCTGTTAAAATTAACTTGTCACAACAATATTCTAATTACGAAACATATTAAATTATATTAATAATGTATAGATATAAATAGTATCAGAAAAACAAAATGAGCTTACTTTGACAAGCAATCCGTCTCTATCGCAAGTGCAGTCTTTCAGCGGCACGCAGGTCTTGGCGTCGCGCCACCGCGACCCGAACTCGCACTTGATGTTCGCGACCGACTCCTCCACGCAACTCGACACGCAATTCTGGATACATATACATTGGGCTTAATAACTGTTATATTTATTTGATTTAAATAAATATTCAATAATTGGTGACAATGAACTTTACATATGTCTAAAACTGTCTAGTAGACACATATTATAAAAACCACTTACAAATACCAATATATAAAATGATCAGCGCCACCTATTAGCAAAATTTATTACTAGCAGTACCTAATGTGTTATTCTAGGTCACATAATATATGTATACTAAGTTTCATTCAAATTCGTTCAGCAACTTTAATGTTAAGGAAGAAACAAACACACACACATACACAAAACAAAGTCTACCTGAGGCGAATTTGTACATTAAATATTTTCAACCGACTTCAAAAAGGAGGAGGTTCTCAATTCGACTGTATTTTTTTTATGTTTGTTACCTCAGAACTCCGTCATTTATTAACCGATTTGGACAATTTTTGTGTTGTTTGAAAGTGTATATTTCCAGATTGGTCCCATTTGAATTTCAAAAAAAAAAATACCACACCTAAGTGGAAAAATAGCTGATGATGAATTTAACCTACTTCTAATTGTCATATTGACTTGAAACTTTGCATGTGTTTCTATTTCCATTGATAGTACAGTGGTTCGGTATTATTGACCTGATTTGATGGTAAGGCCAGAAGGTGGATAGGTGGAACTCTTCAACGGCTAATAGTAGATACTTTGAGTTTAGGTTTATTTTGTTTGATTTGACAAGCCTAACACGTTAGAATTCTTACTTTGCTACTACTGTCTACACTAAAAAGAGAAAAATAAAAACTTTAACAAAAAAATAAAAACCGACTTCAAACAAAAGCACTAAAAAGTAAAAAATAACTGATTGGTAGTTTTCATTTACTATACATACCTAATCAAATATTTTCGAAGTCGGTGGGCGTTGGCTAAGTAACTAAAGCCTACCTATTATATTAAATACATACCTAATCAAATATTTTCGAAATCGGTGGTTTTGGAAAATCTTATTGAAATAGCCATTATTATCGATACAGAGGCCAAATCTATAGTTTTTGGAATTTTTATCTGTCTGGGACCGCATCACGAGAAAACCACTATATAGATTTTGATGAAATTTATGGGTCAACATTTAGGATATTTTTTACTGCGGGAAAATATCTCATTTTTGAGAAATCTATACTAACCTTAAAACATAGAAATGACCCCGAGCGGAGCGAGAGTGAGTCTGATGTATAATATTATAAAGAGGTAAAGTTTGTGAGTTTGTGAGGTTGTAGAGCGTAATCTCTGAATCTACTGCACCGATTTAGGTGACATTTGGTTAGAAGATAGTTTGAGACCCTGGGAACGACATAGGATACTTTTTATCCCGGAAATCATCCCTTAAGGGGGTAAAAATGGGGATGAAAGTTTGTATGGCGAAACAACCTAGGGACGAACCCGAGCAAAGCGAGGGTGAGTCGCTAGTCTAATATAATATCAAAAAAATGATGTCCTATAAGGTAAAAATATAGGTACAATACCTGTCCCGGTAAGCATTCATTTTTACTATGCAAGACTTGTTTGAAATGATCGCAAAGCTTGTCGCACGGGAATGCGCACTCCTTGAACACTTGTCCGGGGGGACAGCGACTGGTTGTTGTTTCTGAAACACGCATTTAAATAACAAATGTACACTCATTCATGTCTTAATAATATTTTCTTACATTAATGCGAATAATTGACATTTTAAATTAAAACAATCTTTACGGAATTTGTCGCGGTTCTATTTTGAGTTTCTATTCCAAAAGCTTTACAACAAATATGGTCACGGGAAAGACTAATGATTTTGACGTCTGAAAAGCTCATATATTATAATATAATATAATTATTACTGTTATTACAGATGGTGTTTACGCACAAAATGTATATTTGAATATTGTTTAATTCATATGTGTCTTCAACAAACCTGGAACGGAGGTAGTTGTTGTGGTGGTGGTAGGCAATTCTTCTAGTTCTTCTGAAAAGATTTTGTCCATATTTAATATTATATGCACAATTGACTAAGATAAAAAAAAAGATGTGATCAATTAGAGTGTAGTTTTTGTTTTGGTTAAGTTTTGCGCTATATATATTTTTATAGATTTTATTAAATCAACAGATTTTATAGACTATGATGTGTTATGATGAGTAGTCTCATATAAATAAACTTGTAAACTAATAAGCCTGCGGAACCGCTAGTAATAAATAAAAATCGCTGCACATTGGACAATTTACAATTATGAAATAATATTTTGATTTTAATAATAAATAAGATAATTATTAATTACCCCTAGGAGGTACTGGTGCCAACATTGGTGGTGTCCATAATTCTGTAACAAGTTAAATTATTCTAAAGAAAATATTGTTTTAAGATGCTAATAAATCGTTAGATAATAGCTTGTAGGTAAGTATGTTTATTGGACATGCAGACCCTACCTGTTGTGCCAGCGGTCGCGGGTTCGAGGCCCGCTGGAGGCATTCATTTGTGTGATGAGCTCGAATGTTTGTACTCCACTCATGGGTGTTTATATTTATAAGTTTGTATTTAAAGTTATAAATGTGTAGTGTATCAACTATCTGGTATCCATAACACAAAAATAGCTTACCATGGAACCAGATGGTGATGTGTATTAATGTCCCAACTTATTTATGTTAAGAACTAGTTGGATCTCCACAGACATGTAGGTGTAAACGATGCTTTTCTTCACCGTCAGGAAAGTGATAAATAAGTTCAAACAGATTTAGACAAGATTAGAACGGTGAGATTCACGGTTTATACTCATATGATTTAGTTTTCCAGGTGGGCGCATTATTATTGAACTACCACTGCCTACTTATAATAAAAGTAAATATTACGTATAATTACATACACATTAAAATACAATTATAGTAAATAAATACAAAACTTTACTAATAGCGATAACGGTTTTATGTCGTAGGCGTACCAGTAGATACAGATAGATAGGGTGTTAAATCTTACTAATAGTAGTGGTGGCGGTGGTAAAGGTTCTAGTAGACACAGTGGTAGGTGACAGCATCTTACCAGTAGTAGAAGTGACGGTGGTAGAGGTGGTGGTGGTAGAGGTGGTGGTGGTGGGTGTGGTGGTAGTGGCGGCGGCGCACTCGGGGCGCAGCAGCGCGACGGCGGCGGGCCAGTCGCACACCATGGCGGCGGGGTTGTACTGCAGGCCCGGCGCGCAGCTCTTGAGCACGGCGTGCGTGCCGCCCGGCGTGCACTCGTAGAACTGGCTGCAGTCCGTGGGGTGCGCCCGGCTCGGGTGCGCCGCGTCCAGGCATTGGAACGGCTCTGGTGTACAGAATATAGTCAGGTATATCTTTGTATTGTATTTAGTTAACTATATCAATTATCTAGTGCTGTGCACGTATAGCTAAAGATCGTGACTGCTTGGATTCAAGTCTCGGGTCGGGCCTAAATATTTACAGAGTTTTTCTTTTTAATCGGTTACTACTTAATGTTGGGAAATTGACAACAATCTGTAGTATCCGGCTTCTAATCTCTCACCGATTGTATCAAGTTATCGACGTGAACGCAATTTTGTGTCCAATAGTAAATCCTGCGCACCTAGCCATTACCAAAATCGGTTAGATGAAGAGTATTGTATTTTTATTAAGTTTTAAAATAGTTACATATATAATTAAACACATTCAAAAGAAAATATTAAATTAAAAATGTGAAAGTTCATTTTTATAAAAAAAAGTCCAATAATAATTATAATTAATCAGGTGCCTACAACAACAACAAAAAATATTATTTACCTTCACACTCGCAGTATACTCTTATCTCGAAGTCAGGGCAAGTCTTCTCCGCCTCCAAGCATACGAGACCTTTCTCCAAACTGCATTCAACATTAAGTCCAGTTTCTTTAGGAGTTTTGTAGTCGCTGACCGTACGACATTCGATTTTGGTCATCATTTCCTTTTTACACATTGGAGATCCGATTGTCTATAAAGATAAAAAGATCAAGATTTAAAAAAATCTATTTAAAAGAAGACAATGGTTGATGGAATAAAAAAATCATACTTCAAAATAATTATTACTTGTTAACTTAAACTAATTCTATACTACTTAAGAAAAGTAAACAAACTTTTTTTCATAAACGTATTTTTTTTAACGCGTAGCAGTAGCCCAGTTACAACGCGTTCGCTTGGGAAATTGAGTGACAGGGGTTCAAACTCGAGTAAACCCCTGTTATTTTCAAGAATCATTTTTAAATTGATTACCACTTGTATTACTGCGAGGAAAAACATTGTAAGAAAACCCGTATGTTAGAGAACCTAGCAAGTTTTCAAAAGACATGTCAAATCTGCCAACCTACACTTGGCCAGCGTGGTGGACTATTCCCTGTTACCCAGCAGTAGGATGTTAAAATGGGGCTGAAGATGTATGTATTCAGCCCTTTTTTAACATCACATACTTATAATGTAAAGTACTTACAAGTTCATTAGACAAAGGCAGAGGTTCGTTGTCCACGGAGGCGCCGTCAGAGCTGATCTCTGGCGCGCCGCGGCTGAGCCACTCCGTCCAGCCCGACTTGCACGTGAGCGGCTGGTCGTGCGGCGTCGTCTCCGGGGGCAGCGGCGACCCCGTCGTCTAGGCAGAGAATAAGTACCCGTATAGATGTTTTGTTTTGTTAAAGTTGTAAATAAACTCTTGTCAGTATGTGAAGAAGTTATCATAAGTTAACTTCTTTGTAATATAAATTTCTAACTACTTATCCTCGTTTCGTATACGTCTGTCCCTAAGTGCCTAATCCTAGCCTATTTGTTGCTCCAACTTAAAGTCTTTCTGTGTACTTAATTTCAACCCAACAAACATACACACATCCACATGAACATACATATGAACTTTTGCATATAAGTATATATAAGTAATCCGATTGCACCTGCTGTTAAAAAGTTAGAAATCTAACAAATATAGCCTAATATAAAACTCAATATATTTACAGGGTCCAAATAACAAAAAATGTTTTCTTCCAAACTCGCAGTCCATAAATTACCATTTAATCAAATCTCAATATGTAAATCTGCAGTATGTAGGTTACCTCAGTGGCGCAGGGCTGCCCGGTGCAGACGCGCTCGCCCTTGGAGCAGCGGCAGGAGTGGCACGCGTCCTCCTCCAGCAGCTCGCCCTCGGCCACCTCGCGCGCGCCCACCACCATGCAGGGGCGGCGGCAGCGCGCGCGCGGCACGCACTCAGACAGGCTGCTGTTCGAGTACACTGTGCCCTCTGGACACGTCTTGTTTGGTTTGCAGCCTAAATATTTGAATACGTATTATGTAAAACTTATCTTCGGTCTTTTCTGAAACTATTATCCTTTATGTTTGTAAGATTCATGCGAATATTTGACGATTTTATTTTAACGTTGGTTTCGGGTGTCTTGATTGCGCCTCCCTGGCACCTGGTGGACTAACATGATCCGAACCATAAATCAGGCTAATATAGACATAGGGACAATCCAGGACAGAACTGCCTGGCGCAAAATAATTAAGAGAGCCGACTCCACCTAAAGTGGGAAAAGACAAAGAGAGAGAAGATGGAGAAGGTTTCGGGTGGCTTGAATGCTTTACACTATACAGCAAACATGGTTACGGATGACCAAGTTGATTATCTTCCAAAAGTATAATAAAACCTCGAAAAAAATCGGATAAAATATTTCTATCATCCTTACTTAGTTACGCCAAAAGTATTAAAGAGATTTATTTATTTCTTTTCTTATTTTGATACTATAAATATGCTAATTCTTTAGACTTTGTGTTAACATATATTTATCGAAATAAATTTATCATGTCGGGTGAGAAACTTGTATGATTAATGGGGTATTTTTTTTTGTAATTATGATATAACCACTTTTGTTCACGATTTCGTTTACTTAGGTATATGGATAAAAGGTAACACTTCATACAATCTCTTACTTACAGCATTTACATTAATAATATTAGAGTACTTAAAACATACAAATTGCAATTATTAATATAACCTATATACCTTCCACACAAGTGTCCTTCTCGCAGGTCTGCTTGATCTCTTGGTAGTCGAGCGTGTTGTCGCAGGTCTCCGGCGGGCACGCGGGGATGCACTCGTTGTAGTTCTCGCATTCGCCGTCGCATTGCATCGCTGTTGTCAAATAATTTTATCATTATAATCAGATAAAGTTTGTAAGTTTGGCTGTGGGAGGTAATATCTGAAAGTACTGATCTGATTCTATATAAAAAATATATATAATTAAAAATAGTAAATTATATTTTCTTTTCATCAATACTACATTAACACCGAGTACGTTGAATTTTTATTCCGTGTTTTCTGTTAGAAATCAAAATAGCTTTAATTGTAACTACTTTAGTTGTAAAGTTGGGAAAAACCAAACATAACTCGATTTATATTAATGTGCTATTTGTAGGTACGGTTTGAAATAAAACAATAATTAGTAAGTATAGCAAAAAGACATCAATGGATGTAGATAAGGTAGGTAGGTTGGTGTTCATATACATATATTAAGGAAGGCGCAGCACGCGGTCATATTTTATGAGTACATGTATATGTACTCATACATACATACATTTATTTCACTAGGTTAGTATATTTATGTATTTGCTCAGTTTAGGGCTAAAAAGAAAATATCAATCGGATAACAGGTAAGTGACACTCACGGCACAGGTCCGGCGTGCGCCACTTGAAGGTGACGCCGCGCGCGGCGCAGGCGTGCGCGTAGGCGGCGAGCGCGGCGCAGGCGCAGGCGCAGTCGGCGCCGGCGTCGCAGGCGCAGGCGTCGGCCGCGCAGCGCGCCGCGTGCGCCGCCACCGGCACCTCGCTGTGGCACAGCGAGAACGGGTGCCGCTTCAGCGCGCTGCACGTGCTCGCCGCCCACTCCACGCGCTGGGGACGCTCCTTGCAGTGGTCCTGCGGTGCACGTTATATTATGTTATTTAATCATTCCTTTTTATTTATACGTCTGCATTTTTATACTAAACTAGACTAACAGACGCCGTCCTGTCTCAATTTTAATAAATTATTTATAATCTGAAAACTTGTATAAGTTCCGAACTTTCATATTACAACACCTTAAGTGATGCTTCCATCAACGAACAACATTCCTATTTTATTATATAGATAATGCGGGCCTATAATTAAGATTTCAAAACAACCTAATTACGCCAATAGTAATGTTGCATGAAAATATTTTAAAAATAACAGTGCTCACAGTGACTTCAGTAGGCTTAGGACATGTTGGTTTGAGTTTCCAGGAGTCAGCGAATATGAGTGGTGAGGTTTCTGCGAAGCCACCGCCAGATGGCGTTTGGAAGTCATCGCGCATGTCTCCGTTGAAGTTACCGCAGAGTCCTTTTATCTATAAAATTTGATAAACCATTTTTAATTATCACAATTCTTATTCTTAATAGTAAATTTACCTTTCAATGGCCTCAGTGTACTATGAAATTTTTTATGGCCTATTAAATATTTGATTGTTATTTTAATTGTATAACGCTACGTGCGTAATTGTTACACTTTTTCAGTTTCCAGCGTAAGGAACATAGCTATAAATAAGTTTTGATGTTAAAGTGCTCTACTAAAATATCTACTCATTTAAATAATGTACACAAAAATGTAGACTTGCCCTGTTCCGCCACATGGAGTCGACCTTGACGTAGACGCGCAGCTCGCGGTCCCACTGCAGGCTGACGCCCAGCGACGGCACGTCCAGGAACACGTACGCGCCCGCCACGCGCTTCTTTATACTGACCGACATATCCAACATTCATGTTTATTTATTAACAAATTCTAACCAAATATTATTTATGCTGTGTAGATATTGTGTTTTAAGACAGTATTAGCAATTCCTTCGACAATAACGGTTGAAAATAAGAATTTTTTTTTTGATTTCTCTTAACCAAATTCTAATATTTAATTCATTTTTTAAATTTTATTACAACTATAGGTAGCGTGTTTAATGTTATTTATAGTAATATTTATATACAAAATTTTTGTACCAATTTAAAGTATGAAGTGTTGAATAGTTTTAATAAAAGCAGATATAATCGAATCTTAAAAAATCAATAGCTCTAAAAGAAACAGATATAAATATAACTTCACATGAATATAATAAAAATGAATATGTTACCGCTTCAAACTCGAAGTATCGGGCAGAGGAGCATTCCTAGTGAGGGCGACGGTCTCGTCGGCCGCGCCGCCGCCGCCGACGCGGAGCGTCACCGACTTGGAGCAGGTCGCGCCCGTTGTTCCGCACGGCTCGTTCTATCATGATATAAAATGCATACGTGTGTTTACATGTTTTTACGAGACAGTATTATATAAACGATGTCGTTAATAACGAAATTAATTATTTGTACATATCCATTATGATGATGACGATGTCCTCCCGACCAATTTGGACCGCGGCGCCCAATCTCACTGAGATTAAACAACCGCGCAGTAGTTAACCGAAAGCCTCAATATCTAAACTTGGCCCGACCTGGGACTCGAACCCAGGACCTCCGGATGTGCAGCCGTACTTGCTAGCCACTACAACGCCAAGGCGGTTAGTTGCCACTATTCAGATGGTAGAGCGCTCGCTTAGCATGCGAGAGGTACCGAGATCGATACCCGGCGCCTCCAACATGTTTTTAATGAAAAACAAATTCAGTTTTTTTTACTCCATAAATATTAACTTTTACCTGACTTAGCGTTAATTACTTAATTTATTAAATATTTAACATTTTCAGTAAATAGATCCTTTAAAGAATGACATACGAGTATTTAGCTATGTATTTTGTTCAATGGTTTGAACGAGTATTATCCGTCAAAACGAATATAATTACACTTAATTAAGTCCCACCTGTATCTCGACACTAAAGCCATCTTTTCCGTCAGTAGTGCCCTTAGCAAGTAGATAAGTGCAGACGCCCTCGAAGTCGTAGAGCTGTCCGTCGAAGGTGGTGATGTGGGAGTCGCCCCACGCGCCGCACACGCCCGCGCACTGCTTCTCCGTGCACGTCCACTTGCCGCCTTTGCACTCGCTGGACATAGAAAAGATAAATGTGTTAAGTGCCAAAATATTCCTTTATTTTCTTTCTTTTATATTATAGCTAATTCGTAAAAAGTAAGTTAATATAAATAAATACGAGTAATAATGTAAATCTATACACATAAATAAAATGAAAGTGTCTGTTTGTAAACTCAAAATAACACCTTTTTACTATATGCATATGAAATTATATATACGATACTTATAAGAAAAACACAACTTTTAAAGTTTTTGTCTGTCTGTCGCTGTGTCTGTTTGTTCCGGTTAATAATACATGACATAAATTATATAAATACATTTGATTTATTTTAAGTAGAGTCAGTACCCTGACTTATAAGATTTTGTTACAAATACAAAAAAGAATGGGTTTGGAATGTCTGTACTTTTATGAATGCCGATAAGTGAAAGGCTCGGCCATTGCTAAGTACACATACAGAGTTGTGTTTTTCAATTCCAAATATACTATAATTTAAGTTTAAGTATCAACGGGGGCGTAGCTCAGATGGTAGAGCGCTCGCTTAGCATGCGAGAGGTACCGGGATCGATACCCGGCGCCTCCAAACCATTTTTATTGCAATTACAGATTGGAACAAAAAACCACATAATTGAACGACATGTCAACGTACGCTATCACTTTGCTGATATATAATACCTTTTTTATTTTCATTATATAAACCCGTCATTTTTGAAGTCAAACTTCTTTAGAATAGTTGTGATTTGAAACTCGATGAAACGGAAATGAAACAGAAATGCGATACTAAAAAGAGACAAATACATAAATATATAGAATTAAGCTGACGAGCGAATGAGATAGAATACATTGCCACGTTGCCATGGTAACCGTCGTTATGGTCTGACAAATATATAGGTAATATTAAGTTTCACTTCTACCATGTGTAAATTACACACACACGCATTTATTTTTATAATATATTTATTTACAGCTTTTTAAGTATTTTTAAGTAGGAAAATTAGCAAGAATGGTTGTTAACCAACTTTAAATCATTATACATATATTTTAAACTGTTATTTAAAATTAAAAAAATGAAAGAAACCTAAAAAAGTTTTTTAAAGACCTATTCAACGATAAATTATATAAATAAATTTGATTTGACACTTGACATATTTCGTCGAATTTAATTTTTTTCTTTTTCACACTATGGCGCCCAAAAAAAATGGGCATTTTAATTTCCCCAAATTTTTATGCTTTCTATAGCATATGCGCCGTCATAACGAATCAAACGACGTGTCATTTATCAAAATCTGTCTACGCGTTTTATCTAAATAGTGCCACAAGGGTACAAACCCACATACATACATACATAGGCTGATAAACACATTACCCCCTTTTGCGTCGCAAACAGTCGGCAGTCGGGTAAAAAGCAATCACTAGAGTGGAGTAGAGGTATTATCAAGCGGTTTGCAACACCAAAATGAAGACCACGACCGGTCTATTTAAGACTGAAACGATACAGAGAAACTTTAGTTTGTTCCCAATAAGACGTTTAACTTACCAAGTGTTGCACTCCTCCTGCATGGTGTGTCCGTCGGGGTAGCTGCGGCCGCCGTGGTGGCAGGGGCAGTCGCGCGGCGCCACGCAGCGCGCCGTCGCCGCGTCCAGCACGAAGCCGCGCCTGCACTGGCAGCCGGGACGGCACTCTTGCGACGTCACTGTCTGCGCTAGGTGCATGTTCTGGAGGAAACGGGATGAAATATATTACATTGTATTTATTAAAAAAGCTTAAATTCGTTCATTTATTCATTGATAGACAGCAATCTAAACAACGTAGTCACCTGGCTCTAGAAGCATGACATTTTGTAGAGAACATTCTTTAATAACATCAGGTAAGAACTAAAGAGCCTTTGTATATTTATATTCTTTCTTTTTTTATCTTTTCACACATTTTCTTAATATAAATATATCTATGTTAACTACCACCGCATAATGTAAACAATCATTATAAAGTAGCGACTAATAAACAAATATAAATCTATCTCACGGGAACTGTACATTTATCCAGGATAAACAGACTCCTGTGCTATTCCAGACTATAAACTATCTCTGTGCCAAATTTCTTTCAGATCGGTTCCGCCGTTCTGGTGTAATTGAGTAACAAACATCCATCCATCGAAACTTTACCATTTATAATATTATTAATATAATAATATCGATGAGTCCGATAATTATTAATATAACTAATATTTTATAAAAAGTAACGTCACTACAATAGGTATCTAATGCGCCCACCTTGCAAGTGAGCGGCTCTGCCAGCTCACAGGTGGTGAACTCCTTGTTCTGCGCGGCGCTGCAGTTGCTGCGCAGGTCCTCGGCCGGCGGGTACGCGGCCACCTGCGCCGGCGTGGCGGGCGCACACTCCCACCGCGCCCCCACGCATGTACTGGCCGAAACATACACAAATAATATGTTAATACACCATATAAGCTATCGCCACTTCTAATATCGTTAAAATCCCTTAAATCAATCAATTGACGACACATTTGGCTCAGTTTTTAATGACCCTATTTGTTGTGCTAGCGGTCACGGATTTGAGTCCCGCTGGAGACATTCATTTGTGTGATGCGCACGAATATTTGTACTCCGATCATATTTATAATTATATTTATAATATGTATTTCAAGTTATATATGTGTAGTGTATCAACTATCTAGTATCCACAACACAGGCCTCGTAGCATATGGAACTAGATGATGCTGTGTGTTGATGTTCCAACATTTTTATTTAACTACACTACTGAACAAAAACTACTAAAACTACAAAAGCCTCTCCCAAAGAGCGTCAACCAGAACCAACGGACCATCGGCAATGTAAATAAGTACATATAGTCCGATTGCTGAGTGAATACGTTCCTGACGACCGGGTCATCTATACTTTCGACCGACTTCACAAAGGAGGATGTATACAAATTAGCAATTTTTTTGTTTATATGTTACGCGGTTTGCTTATTTTTTTTAATGATTATATTATACACGTCTTTAAGGGATCACATATTATAATTTACAATATAAATTCTACTCCTATGGGCAAAATAATTAATTGTCAACTTATTTTAAAGTAAGTGTGCTATTTTTAACCCACTTCCAAAAAGGAGTAGGTTCTCAATTAGTCGGAATCTTTTATTTATATATCACCGATTACTCGAAGACGCCTGAACCGATTTGGATTTTTTTTTGTTTCAAAGGGTATACTTCCCAGGTGGTCCCATATAAATTTGATCGAAATCGGTCAACGGGTTTTTTTTTAAATCAACAAATATTTTTTTTAAATAAATTGCTTAATCGAACATGTTACTAAAAAACGTTCTTTTAACAAATTACCTGCTTATTACGTCTACACTAAAAATGGACAAATAAAAACTTAAAAAAAACCGACTTCCAGGCATTAAAATGTAAAAAATAACTAAACGGGGGTTTTCACTTAGAATAGATACATAATCAGATATTTTCGAAGTCGGTGCCAGCCGATGCAAAGCAAATCTAATATATTTCGATACGTAAAACCAGTGCCGGATTAAGCAAGCGTGGGGCCCGTAGCAAATTCTTTTGAAGAGCCCTTGATCTGCTATGGCTTTTAAGTATAAAGTGGTAAAAACAAAACAATTCAATACTCAATACCTCAGGCCTCAATACGTTTATTTGCCATCTATAGGTTACAATTTTGTGAGTGATTAATAGTACATTAGATTCCTATAGGCTCTGTTAGGCTCTAACAAGTACAAAAAGCCAGAGATGAGAATTCCTGGCAATTTAGTATGAATTTGATAAGAAACTAACAATTGAAAGTGACGATACTGCACCATTTTTTTTAATATATATTTCTAAATTCTAATACTTTTAAACGACTAATTTTTGTTTATTTATACCGGCGATCTCGGAAACGGCTCTAACGATTTTGCTGAAGTTTGGCATGTGGGGTTTTCGGGGGCAATAAATCGATCTAGATTAGACTTATGTCTAGGAAAGCGCGTGTTTTCGAGTTTTCATGCGGTTTTCTTTCGCATTATTCCACGCAAAATATGGTCGCTAATTTCGCACGCTCAGGTATAAGCATCGTGGTCAAGCAGCCAAGGCGCAAGATTGAAAATCACAGGTGTCCCAAATCGATTCGAATTTAAATCCCGGTCGGATACAAAGCTTTTACTTTTGTTTTATTTTTGTAGTTTTTAGGTTTTTTTTTAAAATGTACTTTTGGCCAAAAACTCCGAGCGAAGCGCAAAGACCCAAGGTATTTATATTTAATACAAAGTACATTATATTTTTAGAAATAGCTAATTTTATATTTTTAGACCAATCGGAATCCGCTTATTTTTAAGAGAAAAAAAAAATATTGAAAAACTGAAGTTTATGATTTTAAAATGTTAGCAGGTATATAGGGAATTCAAATTCGTAAATGCCCCCTATGGTCAGCTACCCCCGAGAAATGACGGGACGCAAAGCGCTGAAAAATAGTTTTTTTTTTCAATTTCCGCTTTACTGTGACGTTCTATCGAAAAATGTTTTGTACAAAAGTTGTAGGTTTAGTAGAAATCTACAACTTTTATAAATAACACTTTTTACAATAATCTCAAAGTTTCGAGATATTTGCAAAAAACTCGCTTTTTGACTTTTTCTTGGTTTGTTATTTTTAAGTTCTAGAATAATCTTTTGATTTACATGAAACTTAGGGAATAGAAATGAATTGCACGATTTTTTTTTAAATGTAAACGCCCACTTGAAGTTGGGGGTGATTTTCAGCCTCTCGAGACCATAAAACATACTTTTCTTGGAAATGGCTAAACATTTCAATTTCATTTTTTTATTTATTATATGTATTTCGAAGATTACAGTTTCATGGAAATCAAAAGATTATTCTAGAAATTAAAAGAAAAACAAGAAAAAGTTAAAAACCGAGTTTTTGCAAATATCTCGAAAACTTTGAGATTATTGTAAAAAGTGTTATTTATAAAAATTCTAGATTTCTACTAAACCTACAATTTTTGGACAAAACATTTTTTAATAGAACGTCACAGTAAAGCGGAAATTGAAAAAAAAAAACTATTTTTCAACGCTTTGCGTCCTCCCATTTTTCGGGTGTAGCTGGACGGAGGGGGCATTTTAAAATTATAAAACTGCAGGTTTTCAATATATATTTTTTCTCTTAAAAATAAGCGGATTCCGATTGGTCTATTAGTAGGAAAAGGTGTGACGTTTCACGCTTTGTGACATTAAAAAATTCAATATACCACGTCTTAATAAGTTTCACTTAAAAAATCACGCCCAGGCAGAGATGATCGTGTTTAAATATGCGGGGCCCCCTTTTGCGCGGGGCCCGTAGCAGTTGCTACTCTTGCTACGTGGTTAATCCGGCACTGCGTAAAACACATATTTACCTATTAGATATTCATATCTTAAAATATTGTCGGCTAGCACCGACTTCGAAAATATCTGATTATTACAATAGAACGCTTGATTGCTTTATCGATAACTATCGGATTAATTTGTTTTCTATTAGCAGTTATAAAAGTTTAACATGGCTAAGCCTTCTAGTATATCTACGATACAAAATTTTGTAAAAGATCTTATACTGAAATTCGGGTCAAGTATCAACGGGGGCGTAGCTCAGATGGTAGAGCGCTCGCTTAGCATGCGAGAGGTACCGGGATCGATACCCGGCGCCTCCAATTCAATATTTTTTGAGTTACAAAATAGATTATCATACTATTATTATGTGACATATAACCGTTTTTAAATGACAATAAAACAAGATTCAGTGAATGTAGATAGCATGTGCCCAATAAGTTGGTAGAAATATCTGTGTGCAAATATAATAATTATAATTCAGTAAATTAAAAAAAATGATATTGTCTTACCAAAGTTCTCGCTCACGTTTTCCAGCTCTAACCTCCTTGTAGCCGGGCTTGAACTCCATACCCTTGTGGAAGCATGGGCACAGCGCTACTGGTACGCACACGTTGTTATCGTTGAGAAGCTAAAATAAGAAACTTATTTTAATTTTAAATTTACAATGGATATATTTTATAATTAATAAAGGTTTCATATGTGAGCTTAGCTGTACGAGTATAATTTGAATAATTATTCATTCATATAAATCTCAAAAAAAACCAGCTCAAAGAGGACAATAATTATATTTGACGTAATTATTAAACAATCTATGTTTTGTCTTTATGATGTGAAATGAGATATGTATATGTACCACGGATATAACCGTGACCATGGCGTTTATAACAGTGTTAAAATATCGTAAATTCATCAAATTAATGTGAAAAAATAAAATATCCCGTTTAGCATCTCATAGACACTGTCATGTCACGAAAGCCAAAAAACTTGAATCTATGATTTAATTTCAAGGACATAAATGATTTCATGAATGATCATAGCACCTGTCCCGCGGGGCAGGCGCAGCCCTCCACGCAGGCGGGGCGGCACGGCGCGCCGGCCGCCGCCGCGTCGCCGCACGAGCGCAGGCAGCTGTCCGCGCACACCGTGTACTGCTGCCCGCCCGTGCACTGCACCTCTGCACCATACCCATATATTACATTAAAGTATCATACATTTTTAGCAACAAAGTAAAAAATAAAGCAAAATATATAGCAGTTATTGTAATAGTAAATTTTCTTTCGAACTTTATACTCAGTCGTATTCACGTGAAGTTTTTTTGGATTTATGATAGTAATTTTACGTTCAATAAACATGTAATAAACTTTATTTATACTATACTTAATTGCACTTAAAAATAAATACAGTGATTAAAATACAATTTTTGTTTGCAAATTTTATATTGAATAAAGAATGTTGAGTTCTAACAGTGTATCGGTGTATAGTGTGTAATGTAATAATAAATATAGCGTAGCGCCACCGACCGCACTCCTTGACGCTGTAGCGCCAGTGCACGAGCACGGCGGCGCGCGCGCAGGCGTCGGCGTAGGCGCCCAGCACGGGGCACAGGCAGCGCGCCGCGTCGCCGGCGCACGCGCACATGTCGTACACGCAGTCCTCGTAGTACGCCTGCACGTCCACGTACTCGTGGCACGCTGCGCGCACACACAGACACACGGGCATTAATGTACAAAGTAATATCATAATATGCTAGTAATCTTAAAGCTTAGATAAAATGTTATTTGACAATCGTTGAAGAATGGGAATTTTAAAATTATACGGGAACAACGTATCATTTTTAAATAACGAATCATTTAAATTTGATTTTCCTTTCTATTCTGCAACGATTACACCTAAATTAACGATATTAGTTGATTCTGTTGATCATAAAATAATTCTATTATGAAAATTTCATTTGTATGGCGATTTTAGAACAACATTTTTGAATAAGATTTTTCTGTCTCGTTCTGTTTTGAAGTGACGAAGTTAATACATATATGAATAAAACATTGTTTTTTGGTGCAACAAATTTGGTGTGGTAATAGCTGATTATACAGGTCAACATATACTTTTTACTGCGGGAAAATATCTCATTTCTGAGAAAAACTACATAAACTGCAGAGTATACTAATATGTAAAACCCAAGAATTTGATTTTTGGTCATCTGAATGCGGGCAGACCCGCGGGTAATACTAGTGTATTATATAGTAAGTATATAAATACAATGGAATGACAAGGAATACATACTTAGAGCAGAAAGTATTATATAATAGGAAATATGACCAATTCTTTTCTAATAAGTAATAGTTAATAAAAAATATATATGTATAAGTAATCTATTCAAATCTAAGATAGCTCACATTCAAACAGCTTGCTCTTGAGATGACTGCAATATTTCTCAGCGGCCTCCTTATTCTGAATATTGACCGTGCAAGGGTGCTCGGGCTCGGTGGCGGCGATGTCGTCGCAGAACTCCCTGGTCTTCCACTTGTTGGCGAAGGCCAGCGCTGACTGTTCCACGTCACCTTCAGGAGTCAGGAAGTCATCTTTTTGGTTCATGTTGAAAGTGCCGCAGAGACCCTGGTAGTATAAAGTAACCATTTATATATTTGTTAAACACCACTCTTTGATATATAACAGTTTGTATGTTCTACGAATTTGAGTATTATTTTTATGGACACGAATTTTAATAATACTTTTTAAAATATATATAAATTTGAATTGATATTTAATTGTAAATGATTCAACACCAACAAAACCATATTCATTTTTGGTGAAGTGTTCAATAGTTAACGCGATAAATACCGAAGTCTGTCCCTCGAAGGAGGGCGGCACGTCCACGAACACTCTAGTGTTGCCGTCCCACCACAGGTCTACTTTGATAGGCAGTTGGACTGAAACAAACATTTCATAATAACGCTATGTAATACTACGAGTATTACTTATCTTAAAAAAGTTGATTTAACTGAAGATATTTCTATGCAAAATATATCAAAATATGCATTAGCATAACCCATTTTCATTTTATAGCCGATCAAGTGGATAAAATAATACAAAATTATACGAGAAAAAATAACGCATGACTTTAATTAAGACTACACTTACTTAAACAAGTACTCACCAATAATGAAAAGTGACGAAGCAGCCCTGATCCTGATATTTCCAACGGATACGGGTAGAGTGTTGACTTCCTTCCCATTGACGAGTATGAAGCCGCCCTGCTTCAGGTGTATGCTGGCGCCGCCGTACTGCAGGCTCACGGCCTTGGTGCAGGACGGCTTGCCTTCGCCCTTGTATGGGGTCAGGTTCATGGCCTGATGGAAATTAGACAGATAAAAGATTTTTGGAATTAAGTTCCTTATCGCGTGTTACTCGACACACTTAGCGAACAAGAGCTAGATGGAAAAATGTGTAATATTTTTACCGTCATGACACTTTTTAATCAGTCGATCAATCACCTAAAAAGGAGGAATTATTATTTACTAAGAGCACTCCATGTGACATCATAATGTTAGGTACTACATAGCTCTTCTGGCTTTTTGGCTTCTCCATAGTCGCGTAAAAAGAGTAATATCATTAGAGCAACATTTACCGCCAAGAAAAAAGTCCTAAACTCAGCATCAACTAGCTATTTACATATAGACATACCTCAGAGATGGAACCGGCGCAGGCCACATTCTCCACGTCTATAGTGAGGTTGTTGGCGCGCAGCATGGTGTAGGAGCAGTGGCCCATGAAGTCGTAGCGGCGGCCGTCGAAGGTGGTGTAGTGCGGGTCGCCCACCGCGCCGCAGCGCGCGCCGCACGCCGCCGCCGTGCACACCCACTGCCCCGCCGAGCACGTGCTGTATACCAACGAGTACTTAGCGGACTATGTTCTTAGTAACTTAAAATGGGGGGGGGGTTGTTTGCTTCCCCCCCCCCTGGGTCCACCTTGTTGTGGTGGGGGCTCATTAGCGTTCGGCAGCCCAGCCGGGCGTGAAGCCAAGAGACACATTGAGATGGCCCACTTTGGTGGGTGGTATATCATGCGGGTTGCTCCTGGTACTTCTCTAACAGTTCCCAGAGTGGACCGTGGGAGCAACCCCTTGGTTGTGTGATCTGCTTTGGCAGACCTGCCGTCATAGTGGAGTACGTAAGCGATTCTGCGACGCCCAATAAGACGAGGGAGGTTCTGTTGGGTTTTCTTGGGTAATACTGGCTTCTCTAGCCGGTGAGTCCTACATAACGACCTGCATGTATATAGGTGGTATGCATTTCCCAATATTTAACAAAAAAATTGAGTCAGTAAAATCTATTTTTTTTTTATAAGTGTCCCATATTCTTTGCTGTAAAATGTCATGGGTATTATAAAAACAATTATTTCGAGAGTATTTGAACATTGTAATATTTTTGCCTTACCAAGTGTTGCATCTTTTAGGGATGACCGCTCCGGGCGGATAGCTCTTGTTCCTCACTCGGCACGGACACTTGCTCTTCTCCACACAGCGACCGCTCTCCAACAACATCCCTATGAAATGTTATAAATTAGTAATATGTAACTAATTTAATTCCTGATTAAAGCAAATTACACTAATATTACAAATGTGAAAGATTTTGAACGTATGTGTTTGTTACGTCTTCATGTGTAATATTCGGAATGTACGAGTAGATAGTTTATACCTTGAAATACGACAAAGAATACCAATTATCTTATATCTGTCACGATATTTGCGACGAGTGAGAACTAAGAAAAACTACTTTGGATATATTTCCCATACACTTATATATACATATCTCTATATTTATATCGTATATGTACCAATTGTACCATGTATATATTTAATATTTATAATGTTATACATTGTCGAAATAAACGTAAATATTAAATTTCTATGATTCAACATAATCATACATCAAAAAATTGGATTCCATATAGATTATAAAATATTTAAAATCACAAATAATATGGCGCAAGCCAACCTTCAGGACAGAAGCACCCCTCCACGCAGGTGGAGTTCTCGCCGCGCGGCGCGTCGGGCAGCGCGCAGCTCGGCGGCGCGGCGGGCCCGCACGACGCGTACACCTTGCCGTCTGGACACTTCATTGCTGGAATACATTCATTATTATTCTATGAAATTTTTATTTGCTTTCTTTATTTTAACATTTATCTATGTTATAGATACTAGTATGTGTACATAACACTATGTATTGAATCTGCAAAAAGTAATAGTAGGCGCACAAGGTAAATTGGACATAAAAGGTCTTAAGTGGCAAGAATACGATCCAAGTCACCAGAATCCACTAGTTACAGATGGCTTAAGTCCTAGATCAGAAGTCTTGGGCAAAGCTTATGACTACGACATCTTGAAATTGAGAGAATAAAGAGTTTTCTAATGAATAATAAACTTACGGCAGGTATCGGAATCCCTCCACGCCCTCATCTCCTCTACGCCATGTCGGAGGCATTCCTTCGCGTACACGGAGACAGTTTTACACGCGCACTCTTCTGGACCTATTACAATAAAAATACTAATGAAGGTTTTTGGACTTAATATATTTATCTATCTAAATATTAGGTTAACTTGACTAAATCCTTTTTTTTAATATTTATTTAAATTATTACAGTTTATCAAAAAGTTTAAAAAAATATTAAAACGATCTACTTACTTAAACTTTTAATACACGCGCAGTAGTCCCATTGGCAGACATCTAAAAGTTGTGAGACGTCCATTACCTAAAACAGGGAACATAGATATCATTATTATCATTTAACACAGATTTTTCTGTTTAATATAGAAAAAAAAACTATGATGTTTTAATTTTAAGAATCAAACTTTGCGAATTGCAAAAAGACGTAACGAAAATATCTCGTTAATACGCAGCCAAAAGTTCCCAAACTCGAAGTTTTTACTAGTAGTAACTGAAAAGTTTGACTATATTGGCTACATCATTAGATTTGGTTCGATTGTCAAGATATTCTGCAGTACGACGGTCGATCTTGCACCTGGTCTCTCTTACCAATTTTTGTGAATGAAGGTATTGAGAGTGCACAATGTATGTTCGCACACATCAGCACACGCCTACACTATAATATCTGCTGCCAGATTGCTAGTTTTAGTGTAATCATTATTTAGTAAAAATAGAGCAAAAGTATCATTTTCATTAATATTCTTTATTATAAGTACAAAATTGTGTATTCGTGAGTTATTTTTCAAATAGTAACAGAACAACTGTTCGACATGACTTTTTGTTGGTACATTGCCCTGTAATATAATATTGCCTTATAGTATAAATCCTTTAGATAAATGAATAAACAAAGCATTACCTTAGAGCACTTGCGGAACTTGTCCTTGCTGAAGACGCTGGAGCAGAAGCGCTGGGCGCCGCGCACGTCGGCGTCGGCCTGCGAGCTGCACGCGCTCACGTCCTCGGGGCTGCTGTCGCATATGTCTGCGGGATATTTGCACTGTTTGGTAATTATGGCTTTGGGGATAATCATTGATCAAAATAGTACTAGATAATAGATACACAATCCCGTGCAAAAGTTCTCTTAAAACTTTCATAAATTGTGTTAGGTAATTATTCTAGTTGAAATAATAATACAACAATGTAAATTGAACCTTAAATGTTCGCTTTAAGGTTCAATTTAGAAAGTAGTATTCACAAAAAAAATAATTAAATGCGTATTCAAATGTTCAAATGATTAATTCAATCGGTGAGGACATTTTTTGTCGCTGATTGTGTACTTAGTACTTTTGATCGATGGGGATAATGGATACAAAAGCCCTTTGAAGTGAGTTTGTTAACGGTTTTATAATTTATCCGCCCTAATTTTAATTAAAAATATTTTTTAATAAAAATACGTTTAGCTTATATTTATTGAAAAATTTATAATATCTACAAAAAAGCTAATCAAATTAAAAACATACCACCAATTTCCTTGAGTTCCCAAGACGCGATCATGACAGACTTGGTAGGCGCGAGGGAGCCCTCCCTAGTCGTCATGTCGTTCTCCGGGTTACCATCGAGAGTGCCACAGAGACCTTCCGTGTTATTCCACAGGAGGACCGATCCTTCGACTATTACCATATTCTGAAAATATTACTAATTTAAGAAAACCCATTCTTTGAATCTGACTATGGACTTTTTTTCTACGAGCAAGTTTGTTAAAGCAAATACAAAACTAACAAATAACACATCGTTATTTTATAATAATATTTAAAAGATAGCACCGTCAGTCTTAATAGTAGGGTTAATACTAAATGAACAGCGAAAATAAGTCTTTACAGCGTCCAGTTACGCTAGCTTGCATGGGTTACACCCGTTAACTGTAATTTTTGATGTCATCTCTAAAAAACCTAAAACGTATGTGAAAAATATTACATCGTTTTGTAATCGAAACAGATGGGTCCCGCAACTCGCAAGGCATAAAACGAGTGAACACTCTTTAATTTGCCTATCCCAAACAAAGAGATGCCATTCCACCACCACCTCCTGCCAGCCACACTTCGCAAGACCATAAGGCAGCTCACATTAGTGTCCCACTTCAAGGAGAGCCCGAAGTCCAGGTCGACGAGCACGAGGTCGCCGGGCATGGCCACGCGGATGCCGGGCAGCGACGCCGGCATCGGCAGCAAGCGCCGAGTGCTGCGGAACTCCACCGACCCGTCCTCTGCGGACATTACCGTTTATTAGGTTTATTTTTGTATCATTGCTCTGCACTTTTAATTGAGATGCTATGTAGCCTAGATTTAATCTTATCTTGAGACTGCAAGATATGAAAAAAATTTTTTTCAAATTTCACTAGTTTTTTCGATCGTTCCGATTTTCAAAGAATAACTCGTTCAATCAAACATAAGAAAATCATTCTTTCATATTAATAATATTAATATAACTAAAAGAAAATCACGACGAAATATAACCAAAACTCAAAAAATGAACGGATAGAATATATGTGATTTTTACATACTCATAAAAAAAGAAAAAATGATAAATACATAATATATTATTATGGTATCATTGGAATTCGACGCTTATTACATTGCTATCTATCTCATTCCACATATCCCTTAAACACAGTTTTCTTAAAATATACTGAAAAGACAACCACGATTCATATTACTAATACATAAAATAACAATTCCTTCAATGTACCGATTGCTTTTTTTAAATTTCGATGTTGCGGCTATATGTATCATTTGGACCATTTCTCGTCTATCGCCCCAGAACAACCCACTAAGCCCTACTACTATAATAAATTGTAGGATTTGTTTAGAGGTTTACTCCATAAAGAGCAACTTTTGAGTTTCTCGCCGGTTCTTCTCAGCAGAACAGCTTTCCGAGCCGGTGGTAGATTCCTCACGGACTGACTAAACTGACATTTAATTTTAATTTAAAATGTAAAATTGACGATTCAAAAGTGTTTGTAAAAGTCTATTTGAATAAAGTAAAATTTGATTTGATTTGAAATACTAATAGCTTACCAGCAACACTAAGCTTGTACAGCTTGTCCTGCACGTACACGAGCAGCTCGGAGGGGCAGTAGGCGGCGCGCGCGCACGCCGGGTGCCGCACCGCCACCGTGTACTTGTGCGCCGTCGCGTCGCGCACCAGGATGTGCTTGCAGGGGGACTGGAAGCTGGGATATGACGAATTATATATTTAATTGACGATTTTATTAATTAAGATGATTTTAAAGTACTGTTTCTATACTGTAACTTAAGTAATAATAAAAATAAAATCTTTAATAAACACGCAAAAAGAAAATAAAATATACAAAATATAAGAGAATGTACAAGAGGCGGCCTTATCGCTAAAATAGCGATTTCTTCCAGGCAACCTTTAAGGTAAAGTAAGGTGTAGGAAATAGTTTGTGAGTTTATGAGTTTGTGAGATTGTGAGTTTGTGACGTTGTAGGGGGTAATCTTTGGATCTACTGAACCGATTTAGGTGATATTTGGTAAGAAGATAGTTTGAAACTCTGGGTAATACATAGGATACTTTTTATCCCAGAAATCATGCCTTAAGGGGGTAAAAATGGGGATGAAAGTTTGTATTGGTAATCAAGGTATGGACGAAGGAGGTCGAGTCGCTAGTAATTGATAAATAGAGTAGAAAACGTATACAAAGTAGATGAAGTTGATAAAGCTATAATTTATGATGTACTTAGTGACCACCTATACCATTGGTTCATTGTCTATGATTGAATCAAAAATTGACGTTAGCTTCGTGGCATGAGTCGAAAATATTTGTTTATGATTTAACACCTCCAGGTAAATTTCTAAGAAATTAATTAAATGTCAAAGAAATCTATTGTTAACTGTAACGCCGGCGTGTCCGCCGTTGAGGGATTAATCACGTTAATGTTTGCTTCGTGTTATAACAATATAGTAACAGTATAGGAGGGTCCAAAAAACGTTGGAAGCAAATATAGACGGTTTTGCTATTTGATATAAATAAACTTAACCAATTTTGTTGATTAGCGTAACAATGGAAAATAAATTAGAAAAACACTCTCGCCTTTAAGAAATGCAATTATATATCATTTAAGAATTTAGAAAAGAGAAAGAGAAATACTTGCCATTAAAAGTTTCATACACGAAATGAGTAGGCAATTTTTGCTAAACACTAATAATAATAATTATTAATTATATGAAAATTATATACCTGTATATTTTCCCATCAAACGTCTTATAGTGAACTCCGGCCCACGTCAAGCAACTGCCGCCTTTAGGTGTAAAGTCTTGTATGACGATGGTGACGGGTTTGCTTCCCTGGCTGTACTTGCCGGCACCCAGTGTGGTGTGCTCGTACGCCGTGGTGTCAGATGTATTCGAATACAATGAGTGCGATTGCGACTAAAATGTATGTATAATAATATTAATAAATATCTCTTGAATAATTATACGAAGTAAATTTATTGTTTGATTATATACTAGATGGTGTCAATACCATATAAGTAAGTATAGCTAAAGAGGTATAGGCTGTACTATCCGTTGACAACACCGGTTTTTTCTGGGACGAGCTGTTGACAATATCAGGCTGCCCTCGTTAACACTTTTAACACACACACGGTGGGTTCACATGGCATTGTCCTGCACGAGTTTTTTGTATTTGATTTTAAACGTACAATCAGCCAGGTTTTCACACGGTAGATTTTCTTTCGTGTAAAAACGAATATCCACAGTTCTCACATGTTGTCATAGTGAGAAGACGTCAATGATGGACTTACGCTTGGTTGTACTTTCATATTGATATTTGATATCGAAGAGGCCAACGGTTGCTATTCGATTAAAAACGTATGGCATCGTGACGTGTGAAAGAGACAGAGCTAAACTATGCGCCACTGCAGACCGAATACGTCAAAGTTCATTCGATTTGCTTGACGAGTCTGGCGAGTATTCGGTTAAACGTATAAACGGTGTACGTTTTTTTGCAGTACAAAAGACGTGTGAACGGTTCTATATACAATGTATGTGCCACTATGTATTCGTTAAGACGTATACTGCAAAAAAGTGCAGGACAATGCCGTGTGAACCCAGTGTCATGATGTACCTATAGACGCGTGGGGGAATGAATCTTTGTATGTATGTATGTAGGGATAATTACTCATATGGTCAACACTCCAAAGCTATCATAGATTGGGTATAATAATATAGTATCCCTGTGGCCTTATTAGTCATCTATACATATACGAGTAATAAAATTGTAACTAAGCCGAATTTGTACATTAAATATTTTTTGGAAAATCTTATTGAAATATATTATCGATATAGAGACGGAATGAATAGTTTTTAGAATTTTTATCTGTCTGTCTGTGACCATATCACGAGAAAACCACTGGACAGATTTTGATGAAATTTGGTATGATGAATAGCTGGTTATTCGTATCAATATATAGGACACTTTTTTCTGCATGCATAATGTGCCAAAGCAACTTACCATGCTTGGGCGATGATTAGATGGTGTGATCACAATCACTTCAGCTGAAATACAGATTTTGAATTAGTTCTTTTTAAAGTCTTTATAGGACAAATATTCGGTACCTTTTGATAGTAATAGTCAAGTCCGAATAGTAGTTACAGATAATAATCATTTACTGTGACAGACGGACAGTCACACACCTTTGGAGTGCGGAAAACTAAAACAAAATATTATAGTTAAAGCATAATAAGAGCAATACTAACTGAAAACACAATGCGGTATCGGTTGTGGCTCGAACACTCCAGTGGAGTACAGGCAGGTGTAGTCGTCGGCGCGCGGCACGCTGAACGCGGCGCCGCTGGGGCACGACAGCTGGCACGAGAACTTCTCCATGTCGCCCTGGCAGCTGTAGCCGCCGTTGAAGGCGAGCTTGCGGACGTCGCACACACTCGCAGCTGTAAAAATATTCATGTATATTTATTTATTTATGTACCATAAAATATGTATATGTTATCTATACTAATATTATAAAGAGGTAAAGTTTGTGATATTGTGAGTCTGTGATAATACCCGATTTAGAGGTAAGAAGATAGTATCCCTTAAGGGGGTCAAAATGGGGATGAAAGTTTGTATGGGGAAGCAAGCTAGGGACAAACCCGAGCGAAGCGAGGATGAGTCGCTAGTACCAAATAAAGCAATAGAATGTTGATAACGGATAACTTAACTCTTTAAGAGATTTCTTCCAGAAACCCTTCAGATGTGTGAAAATAAGTTAATTTAGTGCGGTATAAGTTAGTAATATAGTTGCGTAACTCTCCCTGATGCGGTCCATGTGTCATATTGGAAGAAAATAAAAAAAAAGACGAAGAAATGGTTGCTGTTCTCTTAATGAAGAATGGCAGAGGTGTTTTTGCATTGTACGTAGTGTAGTGCCTTATGATTTCAGTCGTAGTAAATATTTTATTACTAATTTAAAAAAAAACTCTAGATAAAATTAACAACCCTTTACATATTTTTTCTTTCTTTCACACATCAATATAATTTTTAATATAGCAGATATTTATATGTCAGAGAGCATATATTACCTACTTTTATAGCAGGATATTTAAACACCCTGTTACTGTAGAATCTGCTCCAAGTAAAGACTCACTAAATGCTTTGAAACTCTATAATAAAATTCTTAATGGTCTACTATAAAGAAATGAACATACCATACTGGCACTGTGGGCCTCTATAATCTGCAGGGCACTGACACGTGTTCACTGAGAGACACACGCCGCCGTTCAGACAAGGCGGCTTGCACTCGGGCTGGCAGTCCGGAATCGAGGTGAGGTCGGCCCGGGAAGGCTGCCACTGGCCATCGACACAACGCATGTTAGCCGCTGAAGTTCCGTCTGGGAATATGTGCCCTTCTGCACATGTTACTGTACAACTGTGGAATATATTTATAGTTTAAGCTACTACAATTCAGTGGTAAAACGTAGGTACCTACAAAAAAAGTCTGTCACAAATATTAGGCATGAAATTCTGACAAATTTCTCTCAGAATTCTCCATTATACGTGACTTTGGCGAAGTAGGTAATCTGTGCTCTTCTTGAGTACAGATTACTTTACTCAACAAGGAAATTGAATTGAATTGAATGAAATTCTGAATTTGACATCAATAGCTGGTAAAATATATTAAGCTTTACGCTCTTTCCCCCGTAGATAGAAAAAGAAAACATCTGTTAACATCAGTCATCATTAAGGTACAATACAAGATGAAATTGTTGAACCCAACTCAAACGCTGTGCTCTGGTCTACTAGAGAATTGTACATCAAGCATGTTTTTAGCATCATATCTTATTACATTAACTGCTGTTTTCGTATTATTTCATGACTAGTGTGTGCCCGCGGCTCCGTCCGCGTACTTTATTTATACATTACTAAATATTTATAGGTAATTCAAATGTGTTTCCTGATTTTAATGCTATAGAACAGTTTCATCAATATCTGTTCAGTAGTTTTTGCATGAAACAATAACAAACATTCATCCTCAAATTAATATTACTAGCAGGATATTACTTACTCATACCCACCCTCGGAGCATCTTCGGCGAGAATTCATAGGCAATGGTGGAAAGGCAAGGCAAGGTTTATTGTCGAGCTCGCAGTACTTGCCCGTGAAGTTTGGCGGACACAGGCATGTGTTTACATCCACACAGAAACCGTTGTTTTTGCAACTAATCTCGCATTTATCTGCGAATATATCGATTATGTTAACGAATATTAATATATTAAACATCGTATTTTTATCACGTTAAACGAACATGGAAAAATATATAATTAGACTTTAGTTACGTTTTAGCGTTTAGTATAGATTTCTCAAAGATAAGATATTTTCCCGTAGTAAAAATTTCTATATATTGACTTGGTTAACCAGCTATACTCATACCAAATTTCATCAAAATCTGTCCAGTGATTTTCTCGTGTTGTTTTCCCAGACACATAGACAGATAAAAATTCTAAAAACTATAGATTCGGCCCCTGTATCGATAATAATGTCTATTTCAATAAGATTTTCCAAAAAATATTTAATGTAATTCGACTAAGAATTTTATATGTATAGATGTATTAAGGAATTTTCATAATAACGTAAAAACATTTTGCGAATAATGAAATTTTGCGAAGTTTTGGATAACATAATTAAAAAATATATTTGTTCTGGTATTGTTGTTGTTTTACTTAAATAATTCACGCAATGTGTTATGAAAAAAAAAACAAGAAAAATTATGTATTAGTATGTACCTACTTACTGTAATTTAAAAAGTATCGAGTAAGTCCGAATAACAGTCAATTAAATATGTATAGGTACCTGTAGAGCATACTGTAGAGTTGATATTTTTTAACTTCGATCCGAATTAGCAAAGTCATATCAAATAATAAAGATGAATTATTTCGTCTGTTAGCAATCACTAATCTCAATACTTTATCAGAAAGCTAGCAGAAATATTTTAACTATATATTTGTAAAGTTTATTTTTCAAATAATATAATATGCCTATAAGCTATTTTCGTCTCGACCGTGAACATAAACATTAAAATATATAATAATCTATTATATTATTATTATATTTGGGTTGCAAAGTGCTTTGGGCATATTTATAATTTCCGTCACTGCATAGATAGCTCCCACGCCGCTTGATTGTGTAGACCTAATTATTTAGGTTCTAATTTAAGTACTAACATCGCCCGATAAGTCGACAAGGTTAAAGTTAATAAAAATCTATACTAATATTATAAAGCTGAACAATTTGTTTTTTTTTGTTCGTTTGGTTGAACGCGCTAATCTCAAGAACTACTAATCCGATTTGAAAAATTCTTTTTGCATTAGATAGTCTGTTAACTGAGGAAGGCTATAGGCTATATTATCCCGGAAAAATGTAAGGTTCCCGTGGGATAGATTTGTTTTTGTCTAGGGACGTATATTTTTTTTATTACTAACGGTTACAATAAGAATAATATTTGAACATTGAATTGTCATTATAAGTGAAGATAGTCATTTGACATGATATGTAACAGAAAGAAAATTAAAATACTATTATGTTTTTAAATATGCATTTCGAATTATATTATGTCAAATGTTAATAAATACCCACGCTTTAAGAAAACCAATAACCAATTATTAGCGGGTTAATTATAACTCCTTATCTATCAAAACAAATTACCCATTCAAATAAGCTAATTACAATAATAATTATACCATTTTACTTATCTATCTATTTGTTTTGAGATGGAGATACCTAACTAGATCTTTCTATTACATCGGTGATCACTTTTAGCCTACAAAAAACGGCTAAGAAAAATTGGCTTAAAATTGTTATTTGTGGTATTAATGGCTATTAGACATTATCTCATAGCATTAATATCTATTTATAAAGGTTAGCACAATATATATTATCGACAAAAAATGATCTCTATATCAGAATGTCACATCACTATTTTTTTAAATAGTTTTATGTATCTCTAATGCTACTAAAATAAAATAAAATTATAAACTAAAGATTTGATAGAATAGTAATGAAAAATAATCAGTATATTAAAAATGAACAGCTTATCAAATTCATTCGGAGCATCCTGTTTTAATGCCTATGGGTACTAAGTTTAGCTAATCTATACAGATAAATAAAAATGTCAAAATAACAGCTTTTTACTAAATGCGTAATAAAAGTACCTATATACTATACTTAAAGGAAAACAACATTTTTTTTAATTTTTTATCTGTCTGTCTGTTCCTGCTAATCTCCGAAATTGGCGGATAGCTGATATTATAAGGAGTAACTTAGGCTACTTTTATTTTTTTAAACAATCATAGTTATGCGCAAAAAACCATGAAATTGTCTGTAATCCGCGTACCTAGGGACGCACCCGAGCGAACCGACAGCAAAGTCGCTAGTTCTAAAATAATATAATTTAATATTCTCGCTAGTCCTAATAACGCTATTATTTATTGTAAGTTATCACTACATAGTATATAATAAAGTCACTTCCCGCTGTCTGTCTGTCCCTATGTAGATATGCTTACATCTTTAAAACTACGCAAGGGATTTTGATGCGGTTTTTTTAATAAATAGAGTGATTCAAAAGAAAGATTTTAGTATATAATTTGTTAAGTTTTTGTATAGATTGGCTAAAATATAACGATATTTGTTGGAAAAATATAAGCCGTCTGGGAGCTTTCAACGAAAACACTGCCTAAGGCCTTTGAGATAGGTATAACAAAATAATGTATGGTGGAATTGTGTATCTTGTATAGGTCTACAAAAAATCTCCGATGGCATATGTCTATCTTTTAAGGATAAAATACTATATCCATTTTAATTTAAAACGAACCTAGCAACGAACCCGAGCGAAGCGAGGGTGAGTCGCTAGTATAATTGTAATTTGTAAATATTTTATACAAAATAGCTGAACTACATACATACATATGTACGCCTACACACGCGCTAAGCGCCGCGCTGGCTAAACTTTAAGAAATACAATAAAACAATGCACTAGAAAATTATAGGTCTTAAAAACGCCTATAGAAAAGTGCGCGATAGCATGGGATGCATCCGAACGAAGCAAGGGTAAATCGATAGTATCAATAAAATAAATATTGCTAAAACAAAAGAATAGCACACAATTTTTATGATAAGACAAATTAGTTTTAAAAAGTCTATGAATTTTATTTCATGTTGGTCGGGCTCCGCCCACGTGTTTCTACTTTACATTAACTAATTCAAGAAACCCAAAATTGATTTGGGGGTGTTTTAAATGGAGAGTTCAAACATTATACTAAATTCTTTATTAGACCTTAACTTTGAAATATGTCGAAATATGAACAAATTCAGAAAAACGAATTTAGCCCACTTTTAGGACCTAGTGCTGAGCACAGGTCAATACGAGGGGAACAAATCCATAGTACATGACGCTGGCCAAATTCGGGTTGGCTGAATTTGCACAACCAGCTATTAGAACTAGCTAGGTTCTCTCAAACATGCAAGTTTCCTCACAATAATTGCAAATGTTAATCTTATTGAAAGAAGAATAAAAGAAGGTCAGATTAAAGGTCTGATTACTCCCCGATGAGCTCTCTGCCTACCCCGCATGGGATATAGCTTGAAGTTATGTATGTCCTTGTATGTAATCATATTGAAAATGACTCGCGCGCGGACTTGAACATACGTCACTTGATCTTTCGAGTGAGCACGTTACCAATGAGATACCACTGTCTACCGAACTCATTAAAATGAAATTTAGTTAGTTCAAAATCTTCTTAAATTTCATCCAATTACATATTAATGATGATCGGTCTTAAACATAGACAGATTACCTAATCTGAAATTTCCATAGCATAAATATATGTATGTAGGTGTAATGAAGAATTGTGAAGATATATTAATAAAATGCCAAAATGTATAATTATATTATAACTTATATAATAAAAACTTAAAAAAACAAAATTAAACCGACTTCCAGGCACTAAAATATAAAAAATAACTAAAAGGGGGGTTTTCATTCAGAATATCCATTCTGCACCGACTTCGAAAATATCTGATTAGGTATCTACCTAATCAGATATTTTCGAAGTCGGTGCCCGCCGATGCAAGGCAAGTCTAATATATTTCGATACGTAAAATACATAACAAATTGATGTATAATATTTTAACATTAAAATTAGAGTTCATACATAATCATATTTACCTATTAGATATTCATATCTTAAAATATTTTATTGCTGATTTTTTTTTAAAACCGCTCGACCGATTTCGATAAAATTTAAATGGGATCACCAGGGAAGTGTACCTTTCGAAACAAAAAAAGAATCCAAATCGGTCAGACGTCTTCGACTAATCGGTGAACATACATTAAAAAAAAGATTCCAACGAATTGAGAACCTCTTTCTTTTTGGAAGTCAGTTAAAAATAAATAAATAAATTACAAAATTAAATATACAAAAAACGAATTCAATTATACTATATTAATAAAAATAAAATAACAAAATGGTAGCTTACTCGAGTACGGCTGATTGACGTTTTTGGTGAAGGAACTGTATATTGACCTGTAAGAATTTTAATTTAATTAATTACCAATTGTTTTTAAGGCTATTTGACATAATCAAATTAAAAAATTAAAAAAAAAGTTTTTGGATGATATTGTTCGATTGAAACACAAAAAATAGACCTTTATAATTTTACTTAGAAAAAAACAATAAATTATGTTTTTTACGTTATGTTTGGCTAACTCTCAAGATGGAATGGCTTTAGAATGAATTGTAAATCCTATAAATATCGGTAATACCTTATGCACGTGATTTGGAATTAAAACAAACAGGCAGTCGAAAATTATAAGAATCGTTTATTTTAACAAAAGGAAAATATTTTAAACGAAATGATTTTTGTTAAAATATTTTCCATATTTTAAATATAATTTCATAATTACCCCATTCCTGAAGAATCCCAATGTCGCCCTTCACCGTATGCGTTTTTAGTTCCAGTGTAACCACTTTTGGTACCACCATAACCAGTTTTGGTACCGCCATAACTCGTTTTGGTGCCCCCATAGCTAGTTTTCGTGCCACCGTAGCCAGTTTTAGTACCGCCATAACCTGTCTTTGTGCCGGCATACTTCGAATATCCCTTTCGTAGAGTATAATGTCTCATGTCAACGGGTATATACGCTGGTGCTTCAACATCGGATTGCCTAATAATTTCCATAAAAACATTATTAAAGTACTTAATAAGTATAATGAAGACTTTCAAGCCAATATTTTAAATACATACAAATTATGTTATAATTCTAGAGATTTTTCGATAATATAATATTTTATATAGATACAGGTGTAGTTTACAGCTATTACAAACCTTACTAGTTGACTTGTGCTATTTCTACATAATACTCGTATGTAATGCTATTTAAAGAATAACTTTACATAAACAAATTGTTGTAGCGAAGGTGCGAAAGTATAATAATAAAAGACATGAAATATGGTGTATGAACCTTCGTAAAACCTATAAGTTAGTGCGTACTATAAGTACTATACGTAGATACTTTACTTATATAAAACACCTATAATCTACCTAGATACTCTACTTAAGCATATCTATTATATCTACTCTACTTAAGCATATCTATTTAAAATGAGAAATTTGCTAGAACTTTGAACATATTTAATATTTTTTTATGAATAAAATAATTAATGAAAAATCAAAAACTAAATATAAAATAAAAAATCTCCTAAAGAAATTATTAACAACACTAAAAACAACTTGCGAGTGTAGATTACATTCACATTATTAATATTAAATACAGCTATCATAGTTTAAAGAATACTCTGAATGACCCTGAATTTTAACCATGTCAATTCACGAAAGCGATATAAAGTAGTTTCTGCACAAAAAAGAAATTTTCAAACTTTATTTAATATTTTCGATTTTTAGGTATGGATGAGGATATAAGATACACTGAAAATTGTTTTAACGATTAAGTAATTTCACAACAAACTCAATTTAGTAATTGTTGTCTAAAGAAAGAATTTTCATAAAATTATCTTTTATTTTCCCGGGAAAAACCTTCAATTTTCGGGATGAAAAACATAGAAAAACTAGTATTTGAAAAAATTTGAAAAAAAAAACAAATTGAATTACAAAAAAAGTAAAAAAAGCGCGAAATCTATAAATATCTTTTTCAAACGTACTTGGACAATGATCACACGTTGTAAAGCCTCTATTAAATACTCTACAAATTAAAAAAAGAACATTTTTTTTTTGCTTTACTTGGATACTAAAATACTCACGCAATATATCCGGGCGTGCCATAACCAGCTTCACAAATATATACTCCAAATATTAAAATAAAAACACTTGTGAATAATTTCATCATAATTTTTTATTTAATCCATGGAATATAATTATTAATTAATACTTTATATTATGACTGTTAGCTTGTAGATCACAAGCTATACTGATTTGAAAACATTTAATTTATAATGCATCACTTATCTCCTGTTCCATAAAAAAGGAAATTCATACACTGAATCCTCCTGATAACTGAATTTATCTGCCAATGCAGGATTTGCGAAGAATTCACTTTAATTTTAATATTATTTATATAAAAATAAATTTGTGGTAATTTTAATTTTCCTATATGTATTTTTTGTGTCAATGTTTCATAAATTAAAAAAAAATAATGGCGCCAAAATTAATAAATTACAATTTATATAGGTACCTACATAAAATTGTTACTGGATAAATGTTAAATTAGTCTTTATTAGCTGTAACATGTCTTCTAAAAAGATTAATAAGAAAAAAGAGCTTATTCAACAGGTATTTAAATTTTTATCTTCTAAATCACTGCGAGTATGTCTGTGTAATATTATATTATTGTTTCCCAATCTACACTAATATTAAATGAGGAAAGATTTGTATTTTTGTATGTTTGTAACGAATAAACTCGAAAACTATAGGACCGATTTAGATGAAATTTGGTAAGAAGGTAGTTTGAGACCCTGGGAAGGACGTAGAATATTTTTTATTCCGGAACTCATCCCTTAAGGGGCTGAATATAGGGATGAAAGTGTGGGTAATCAACCTAGGGACGAAGCCGAGCAAAGCGAGGGTGAGTCGCTAGTTTTATATAGAGCTACATAGGAGCTAGATACCTTGACGTGACCTCTAAAGTCCTTTTTTAAAATTTGATGAGTTTTCTATAAATCCATATAAAAATGAAATGCTGTTCGTTAGTAAGATCATCATTTGAGAACGGCTGGACTGATTTTTTTTAATTGTTCGTATCTAATGGTTTGAATAAGATTTTATTGGTAAAGTTGGGATAAACGGCAGAAATTAAAAGTACTGTTTTGTTATAAAAGTAATCTGCATGAACTCAAAATAATAATACCACAAATAAATTTATTGATTGGTACAGTACAAGTCTGTTGAATCAGCTATCAATTATCATTTGAAATATAACAGGCATTTTAGGGATCATTTTTATAATTTTTTAATTAACAACTTGTACGAATAATAAAATGAAATAAATTTTATAGAAAAAAATAATAGCTTCTAAGCTTTTGAAAATTAGTCTAAAATTGGACGATTACATTTACAAGAACAGCCCAATTTCCATACAAGAAGCTAAAACTTACGCACAAGAAATCGCTCAACTAAAACTAAAATGTACTGATGTAAGATCTCTCCAGGTAATTTAATTTTACTTGTAATATAGAAATAATTAGCTGTTTTGTATGCATTATAAGTCGAATTTCTTTCTTCTTTCCATTTAAATCAATCGACGACATTCCGTTGTTATCATTAAAACTAGCGGTTTCCGTTTAAAAGGACAGATAAATAAGCTTAAATCGTACTTTGTGATCTATTATATTAGTTGTGAATATTGTTTTAATAATAATTGCTTGGGAAAACGAGTGAAGCGGGTTCAAATCCCGGGTCTCGCATCTCTGATATTTTCATGTGCGAATCATTTCGAACATTACCATTTGCCTTACGGTGAAGGAAAACATCATGAGAAAATATGCATGTCTAAGAAAAATTAGAAAGTTTTCGAAAGACATGTGAAGCTAAACCACGTTAGGCTCAGTTTATAATGACCCTACTTGCTGTGCCAGCGGTTGCGGGTTTGAGTCCCGCTGGAGGCATTTATTTGTTCGATGAGCATGAATGTTTATACTCCCGTCATGGGTGTTTATAATATGTATGTATTTAATGTTATATATGTGTAGTGTATCAACTACCTAGTATCCATATATAACACAAGTCTCGTAGCTTACCGTGGAACTAGTTGGTGCTGTGTGTTAATGTCCTAACAACATATATAAACCGCACTTGGCCAGCGTGGTGGACTATCGTCTGATCCCCCTCGTATTGCAGGGATGCCGTGCCCAGCAGTAGAACTTTAAAAAGGGTTGAATATATACATACAATAATAAATTCTAGAATAACAGCTTTCGTATGCATATAATAGGTAGGTATATTACCATACTTGATTTTCATAAATTGTACTCGTTTTTAATCACAGGTTACAGAAAAGCTTACTTCAATAGTAAAAAGTATAATCGCTGAACAATCTTCAAATGACGTCACTAGTACTGAAGATACGAATACTCCTTTACTATTGCATAAAGATTCAGAAAGTATTAATGAAACACACCAAAGCAATTACGTAAGAGATCACACTATCAATATTGAAAACGTTCCTCAATCTGACAAAGGGCATGAAATTAACGAAACGTCTTCAAATTTAAATATTTCAAAAGACGTTGATAATACGGCAGTGGCTCTAAATGATGTTAAAGCTGAAAACGTTATTGTTGAAACTAATACAGAAAACCTAAGTGATAACCATCATGTAAGTACACCGATTAACAATGAGTCGAAAGATATGCAAAGTGAGCAAATGGTTATTGAGAAGAATAATAATAAAATAAATCTTAATGAAATGGACGTAAATCCTTGTATACCTATCGAAGACGAAACAATAAATAATAATATAAAAGAATCTGATAAAATAAATATCAATTCAACTATTAAAAATATTAACGATAAAATTAATAAGCCCATTTGTAATATTAAAAGTAAGCCTTCCGAAAAGAAACACCAAGAAATGATTAACCAAAATCTCAAACCTAAAAAGAATACTGTTCGTAAAAACAACAACAAAATGGCGACGAACATTAAATGCTCCAATAAAGCTTTAAATGGAAAAATCAACAAAAATATCACAAAAGCAAATACGAATTTTAAAGCACCTACAACAAAAGCCAAGAAGAAAAAAGAAATAGTGGACCTATCTTGGATTGAGAACATCAAATACGTTAGAGAAATAAATGCAGACGAACATATCGTAACTAATCTGCAGGAATCTTTTTGGAGTAATCTAACTATGCCTGCAGATCCCAATTTTGATTTTGATGCAGAATTTATATATTAAAAAAAATAAAAAAAACACGTTTATTTTTAAATATGAAAATTTTATTCGTTTTAACATTAAGCTAAAGTCTAAAATAGATGCATTCAAAGCAAACATTAAAAGGTAAGTATGTCGAAGTGACGATATTTCAATTTTCACATAAATAAATAGGCCGTCTTTTCTTGTTACCGCACACTACAATTAAGACAGATTTAAAAAAAAAACATATTATTATAAAGTATATAAATCGAATTAAAATCGATTACTTATTATTAATTAATATCAATGATCAAAATTTAATTTCTTTTTAAATTGCTTGACACTGAGTAAAAATGTCGATTATATTTCGAAGAAACATCGTAATAACTCCGTTACTAAAATATAATTTATATGAATACATTTTACTACATAAATAGTGTAAAACAGAGAGAAATAGAACAGCGGATTTTCCTCGTAGATAAAAACATCTATCATTAATTCTAGGAACAAATGAATAAACTTTATCGTAATAAGATTTCCCCAAACCCATCCTTTAAAGGATTAAACCCCATGCAAAAGCTACAATAGTATATTATATATTTGATTTTTACAATAATTAATCTAATTTTTGTCATACTCTACGTAACAACGTACTAATCACACTGAATGAAACAGTAATAGAAATGAGTACCTCTTCCTCTTCGAAGTCGGTTTAATAATAACTTCGTCATCTATACAGGTCAATAAAATTGAAGTGTCTGTTTGTAATGTCAATATAACCGAAATTATATACGGTACTTAAAAGAATACACAGCTTTTAAAATGTTTGTCTGTCTGTTTATTCCTGCTAATCTACGAAACGGCTGGACTGATTTTGACGGGACTTTCACCGATATATGGCTGATGTTATAAGGAGTAACTTAGGCTACTTTTATATTAGAAAAATAATTAGGGTTCCGCTCAAAAAAAAATAAAACATACCTAGGGACGAACCCAAGCGAAGCGAGGGTAAGTCACTTATGTTGATTAAATGTCTAACATTAAAGTCAAAGTTATATGTATATAAGAAAAGAACACATATTTTAAATATAATATACTGTACTTATTACGTGTACCTTATTATGCAAACTTGTAACGTAAGAATCAACTTATTTATACTATAAGAAATACTTTAGGCCATATTTAGTATTTTTGGCCACAATTTATTTATTTTCATAACAATATAACGTTGTCTTTATATATGTATTATAATTATTATAGAAATCACCACAACGTAGTAACACGAAAATAATAAATAGCTTTAAAAGCTAAATTATTTATTTAATACATTTTGCTTATATTAATTTCAACCCACACTTATGTTATCAAAATGTGATTAATACGTCACCATTCAGTACACAATTTGATTAATAAAGAGCTGTAATGAAAAATGATTCTAAACTTTGGTTTTAATCATACTAAAACAATATTTTTAATATTCAACTAGAACTATTAATACTGAAAAAAAATATATATGTGAAAATAGACATTTGACTTTTGACGATTATCTTGCTGTTTGAATGACGTTTTTTTTAAAAACTACTGGAGTTCTTAATAAATAACTAACTATAATAAGTAAATTGTTTCCCTCTTAAATACAACGAATATAACATTATGAGTATATTACGAATTTATAACTTGTAACAATTGATCAAAAAAGTACTAGATACACTGCAGAAGTTCTCTCAAAACTGTCACCAAATGTGTTTAGGTAATTATTCTAGTTAAAATAAATATACAACAATGTAAATTGTACCAATGCTTAAAGTTGTTTTCAAAAAAAAACATTTAAATTAAAAGCGCGCTCAAATGTTCCAATGAGCGCTCATTTGGTGAGGACATTTTGTTATCACTGATTGTGTATCTAGTTCTTTTTTGATCGATGCTTTAAACATATAGAATCATATTTAATGATTTACAACGACAATATATAATATTATTTAAAATTGCCAACATTAAAAACTATTTTAAGTTGAGAATAATAATTATAAATAACACTTCATAATAAGATGACTAACGCAACCCCTTGTCATTCTAAGCATTTACCCCACACGGGAATCAAACCCGCGACTTTCCATGTCTCTTCGACTAATGAAAATATATCAACGACAATCGTCTATTGTCATGAACTAAAAGACAAAATTAATTTAATTATATGTATATATAAGTATACATACAACCAACTTTAGTTCTAATAACAAATATATATCACAAATGAAAGAACACTTCCACTCACTAACATATAACATTAACAATAATTAATATTTATATCTATAAGTAACTATATAATATAATGACATACAGATGGTCAAACATTTCACGTTTTATTTTACATAAATATCTAATATGTATGTTTTAGATCAATTTAATTAAAATCATAATATTATCTAAAAGTTCTTTGAATTATTCATTTTAAATTATTAAACAATTCAATTTATCAAACCCTCCATCTTTAGCTACAATATAAATAAAAAAATAAACAACTTTATATTATAATAACCTTATTTTATTTATGTAACTAAATACTAAAATAACGAAACGCACCCTTAAATATTAAAAAATATTGCACTCAAGTATAATAAATATACATTTTCACTTCTTTAGTAAGACTTCACATTTTTTTAAATATTTTATTGGCTTTTATACCTAAGATTTAACAATAACATGGAGTTTAGAGTTACATCTATATCTTATAATGTTTGTCATTTCAAATAAAACAAACTGATTTAGAACTAAAATCAAAATACTTGTTGTTATATTACATAGTCTTAATATTGAAAAATCTAATTTTTATTAGACCAAAGGATATATTATACACAAACTATAATCAACCAAAGATATTGGCCAAGGTTTTTATTACAAATGCCTTTAGGAATGATTTTTCATGTTAATAAAATAATTAATTAAGTCCCATCTTTTGCCGTCCGCTATGTCCAGACAACTAACAAAAGAGATGGAGAATGGTAAAACATTGCCATCTTTATTTAACCTTATTTATTAAAAAGGGATAGAGAGATTACGTTTATTTTTGCCTAGATGTCCAATGTAAGTAATATTATTAATTACAAATGCATTCGCTGACAACATTTTCTCTAAAGATTTAAATAAAAACGTAACTAACGCACATTTAATTAACTTTAAGAGATTTTTTTTAAAGAATTTCAATTATTTTTTACACAGTGAGCACAGATAGTAGATATCCCATTAAAAACTGAACTTCCCTCTGACCTTGAAGAACCCCATGCTTGTTTTGTTATGGAATAGCGATGTGAGACCCACATAGCTCTGTATGACTATAGGGGCATGGTGTATGCAACACGATGAAGCCATAGTCTCTATGGCCCTTTGAAGTTTTTGAGCAAATATTTCCATGTCGTAAGTAGCCCGCTCTTCTACTGTTCCGTCTGTAACAAAAAGAAATTATGTAGTTAGTTTTAATACATGAACAATTTCCAAAATTTTAGGTTAACATTTACCTAAAATAGGGACACTAATATTATAAATGTTAATTTGTTTTCTTCTCAAGCACAGCGATGAATTATCATCGACATCATTTTTTACATACATATGTATATGAGTAAAAAAATATATTAGAGAAGGCTTTTGCTAAGAGATAGATTATACATAGAGATATTCTCTACAAGTGCAAAATTGTTTAAATTAACTATTAACAGTTTTAGCCATATTGTATTGCACTTGTAATGTGTTGGCTGGGGAGTTATAAAGCCTATTGTTTATTTTTAACTTAAAACCTTATATGTTCTCTGTAAGAATCAATTGATTTTTGAGCATATTGTGTTTAGCTTAAAATAGATTTACAATTACTAACGTATATTTCACTTGTATATGTAACTCATAAAATGTGTATAATATGAGAATATAATAATATATGTGTATGTGAATGCTAACCTTTATGCCAATATATAGGATGAGAGGCGAATGTAATAAATGGTATGTCTTGACTGAATGGGTTCCATACAGTTTTTAGTGGCAGCGGCTCTCCTTTATTCCACATCATACGAACTCCTCGAAGATTCCGTTCTCTGAAATCATCATATTCTAATTATAATAATACATATGTATTTAAAAAAACAACAAATTTAACTTCAAAATACTTAAAATATTTTTTTAGGGCTGGTTGTTTTTTGAGATACATATTTTTCAAATATATATGTCATCCCTGAGGTATAAATTATGCATTAAAAATAAAATCGGTCAAGTGCGATTCGAATTAACACACGAAGGGTTCCGTACCATCGTACATGTACTTTTTATTAATATGACTTTTAATATATGTATGTAGTATATTAACGTACGTAACGATGATCGATTACGAACGTTAAAAATGTTTCTTCTATTTTTATTTATTTTATTATTTGTTGTTATAGCATCAATAGAAATTTATACTCTGTGAAAATTTCAACTCTCTACCTATTAAACCGTTCATGAGATACAGCGCTCTGACAGACGGAGGGACAGCAGCTGAGTTAGCTCTTCTTTAAAGTCTGGCAAAAATGGCATCTGCTTTGTTTTTTTTTTGAAATTTCATTTCCCAACTTTGGCAGATGGTTAACAATATTTACATCACATTACTTTTCTCTATTTTAACTTTTATTATAATAGTTAGTAATCTTATAAACGACCCTGAGTAATCAAAGGCGTAAAATATCCACTTCATACATTTACACTAAATAATTTTAATATATACAATATAACTTACTGTTATTTATATTATAAAAGAACTTAATGAAACTAAACTACAGGTGCACGCCATTAATTGTTATGTGCATTACGTTAGATATATAGGATACTATATCCCTTAGCTGAGTCGTTGTGTAAAAACACTTTCATTTAGATACTACTTTAATGATATGAAGCTTAATATGTTAATATTTTAGCCAAGTTCAATGAAATACAATATGTACTATAATAAAAGTTAATTTATTTACTAATAACTAATATTAATTTATATTTTATAAATGCAAGCTTATAAATTAAAGCATACCATGCATTATAAGAAATCATAAAAAGCACACTAGCTCTTATACTACATGTCTTCGTGTAAATTCTGATTAGGATGCAAATGCTGTTACTAAACAAAATAAAACATGACAACAGCGTCTACAGCAACAGAAAGTACCTAGGTTCAAAATACTTGGGATCGAACAGTTTAGCTTCATCTGGGGTACTGGGCCTTCTGCACAGGCGGTCTATTACACAGTCTTTGACGACAGTGGTAACGCCAGTTGCGATACCGTTTAAACGTCTATAATAATAAAAATTCATTGAAATTATAGATTTATACGGTTTTGCTTCATTTTAATATATAATATTCCTTAATAGAAATAGTTTTACGCTATTGAAATTGACAAAAAATGTTTCGCCGTATAGCAGAATATTTTAGTCCCTTCATGATCTTCTTTCGACACTGTGTATTAAAAAGTATTATCATATGATATATATAATAGTTGTATTATATTATAATTTTATTTCTAAATTACATCAATGCTTATTTTCATATAAATATTTTTTTGAAACCAGTTATACTTTATTTAAATAAATATATTTTTTTCATTTATATGTGCATTAAGTAATATATTAAAGTTATACATTAAAAATATTTAAAGTAATAATAAATTTTTAATAATCAAAATGTTATAGTTTCACTCACGGCACAAGAGAAGATGGTGGGTACACTAACTCCCCGATGACAATGGTGTCCAAATCATCCAAATATGTCTTTTTAAAGTCCAATTGCTTCATCGCAATGAAATCATACTTTATAGTCATTACCAGCCTTGAGGTTAAAAGTACAATTCTTTCTTTCTCATTATCCCATAAAGTTATTCTGTAAGTATTTTCAATATAATATAATAACATTAACAGAAAATTGATTTAATAAGGTGATAAGCATGTACCATGACATTTTTATTGCTTCAATATTTAACATTGTAAATAAGTATGTATATATATTTTAATTTTAAAAACTAGCAGAGCCCACAGCTTTTTTCCTGCTAAAACTATAAAAAAAATTTTTGGCTTTATGGGTAGGAGCATGATTATATATACCCTATGGCCTTCCTCAATAAACGGGCTATTTAATGCAAAAGAATTTTTCAATTCGGATTAGTAGTTCCTGAGATTAACGTGTTTAATCAAACAAATAAACAAACTCTGCCTATTTATAATATTAGTATAAATAAAATTATAAGACTATTATGATTTTTTGTAAAATTTATGGAGTAAGCTTTTTAGGAAGTATTATCAATCAATACCTATATTTTATTAAAATAGGATAACAGATTAAAAAAGACGAGTCTCCTTTATCTTATTTTATCATGTTTATTGTATTCATTATTATGTAAATAAATAAAAATGATTGGAATTTAAAATTTAAATACTTACTCAGTCAATAACCAAGATCCTAAATATTCTCCATCTTCAGGAAATAATAGTGCTGTTATACACTCTTGTATGGCATTTTCGACAACACCTTTACGAAATGTGAAGAAGTCCTTAATATTTTCTTTGTTAAATGGAACATCATATCTAGGATATACAGTCTGTACTGGCTCTTCTGCTGCTTCCTGTTGCACATTTGGAGCAGCATTTGTTCTAGCATCTATAATATAAAAATAGTTACAAAATATATATTTTTGATATTACCCATTAGCATTCTATACAGATGACAGCACTAGCTTAATTTATTATTATCATGGCAAACAGTGTAATTTTTTTATGCCTGTCCCTTTTATAAATTCAAATTCTTTATGCAATGTACTGCATGTAGAAACTTAACTTGCAATTCAAAAAATAAAGCCTGCAGTCCTAAAAAGAACTGACAAAGGAAACTAGGCAGATCTATAGATCCCTTGTAAACTATTGTAAACTATTATTTTAATAAAAAAATAATATATGGATTACTATTATAAACAATACATACAGCAAAAAGTAGCTTTAATATATTTTATAGTTTTATCATTTATTGTACTTGAGTTGTAATAATCACAGTGGTTTTATTTTTTACCATCATTTAGATCAGTACCAAATCATGTTTTTTATTCACATTGCTAATTTTACCTTTAAAATGATACCAACTACCATCTATTCTTCAACATTTCAAAGCTTCAACTTTTATGTTTTTGTATATGTTACACAAGATCTATGCTAATTAGGAATTTATATGCAAATTATTATTTGATAATATTATGTAGGTATTGTTTTTTTTAACAAATCAGTTATATTAATCATTAATCCTTTCATTATTTTACTTTCAATAATTAAATATATATTTTACCTGCAAATGAAGACGAAGAAGAAGTCAAGGAATCAGCGCCAGACAAAACTGAAGGATTTGGTTGTGGGCTTTTATTTGCAGTGCCCGATGGTTTTTCTCTTCGATTACCAGGACTTTCCCCACGTACATTTTCTGAAGACAGCTGCAGAGTACCGCCGCGGAATTCTAAATCATCATCTAACAGATCGCCCATCTTAATTTGCTTAATATTTATTATTTACCTTTTTGCCACTTCTTCACACTTACTTGTATGCGTAAATAATCGACCGGCTGATAATGAACTGTCAAATCAGTGTTGCCATTACTATTAAAATATTGTTCCATTGAGGATATTGCTTTAATGTCTTCGCATCTATTAAATTATAGATAATATTTAAATAATTTATAATTACTACTGTAAATAAACTTACTTTTATTTTATTTTATTTTTATTTTTTTTATATGTTGGAACATTAACACACAACACCATCTAGTTCCATGGTAAGCTACGAGGCCTGTGTTATGGATACCAGATAGTTGATACACTACACATATATAACTAACTTTAAATAAATACATATTATAAATATAAACACCCATAACTGGAGTACAGACATTCGTGCTCATCACACAAACGAATGCCCCCAGCGGGACTCGGACCCGCGACCGCTGGCACAGCAAGTAGGGTCACTACACACTAAGCCAAACGTATCGTCAAATATTTCGTTATATTTCGTTATTCATAAATAATTTACTAATATTTATCAATAATAATATAAAAATTTCTAACTTCTACTCGTGTAATTCAATTAAAATTCAGCATCATAGGTCACGAGACTTTAATTTTTTTGAACTTTAAGTATGTACCAATTTCTTTAATTGTACGTTATATACAGTTTTACTTGTAATTATATTATGATTCATATTATTTTCGAGGTATTAAATATCAATGACATTATTTGTTATTAAGGATAATTATTATGATAACTTCATCATCTTAGCTAAGTTCAAATGCCTTTTTTTTTAACGTTGGGAAATTAATTTACGCACGAGGTGTGGGACTCACCAGCAAAGCCCGTACTACCCACTAAAACCCAACAAAGCCTTCCCCCGTCTTAATGGGGCGTCGCAGGATCGCTTACGCATTCAACTACGACGCCCCGACGGCAGGTCTGCCGAAGCAGACCACAACAACCACTGGGTTGCTCCAAGGTCCACTCTGCTATCAGAGAAGTACCAGGAGCAACCCGCATGGTACACCGCTCTCCGAAGAGGGCCGCCTCCCACCGCCCACCGAAGTGGGCCACCTCCCTGTGCGTTTCTTGGCTTCGCGCCCGGTTGGGTTGCCGGACACTATTGAGCCCCCCCCCCCACCACGACAAGGTGAACGCACGTTAGGGGGGAAGTTGCCAATTCCTATTGCCTAATATTCAATATGCACTGCCAGCGAGCCGCTAGGGCTCGCAGCTCACTTTCGCTTCGCTCGGGTTTGTCCCTACGTTTTAACGGTGAGTATGAAGTAGATAGACTATATAATATCCCTAATGAAAAACTCCAATAGGATCTCACCAAAAGCGACAAAAGCCACATAGAAACCAATAAAACCTACATAGAAAAGTTATTATTGCTAAGCTACCTTAGGTCGTAGCATGATGATATAATATAGCCGGTAGCCTTCCTCAATAAACGGACTATCTAATGCAAAAATAATTTTTCAAATCGGACCTGTAGTTCGTGAGATTAGTGCGTTCAATCAAACAAACAAAAAAGCTGCCTATTTATAATATTAGTCTATACTAACAAATAGTCTAAATTAACATTTTGAATTGGTTAGTTTTCATAACTACTGCTTTGAACTTCTGAACTTCTCATTATTCATTATTTTCATATTATGTTATTATTATTTTGTTCATGCTAGTTAACAACCTTGTATCTTCGCGGGGTAGTAAATTAATATGTAACAAGATTATTATTAAAATATTTATTGTAATATTGTACAAAAGATCTTAATAGGTACCTACTTGCAGCACCAATTTTAATCAGCATAGTAAGTACATAGCAGATAAAATCCTTCTTACTAAGATTAGGAATAATATATACATCTGTACAAGATACGATCGACGGTCAAAGTACAAATTAAGTATTACAACATCGATCATATTAATAATAGGTAATAAACCTGAAATTGCTTTTTCCAATACATTAATTTTCATCAACGAATGAATTTTTCAAAATAATATATTATACATCAAATAAATCATTTTATTATAATTACATATTTTTTATAAAGGAACGGTATAATATCTGTTTTATTTTTAATTTGGTATTTATAATTATTAATTATACATATTTCAGCGATTACCACTCCACACTTCATTATATAAGAAATTGATTTATTTGTAAGGATTCGTACAACCAGTTTCAATACTAAATTCAGATTATATAATTTTTAAAATATACATTATATCTATATGTAGTGCGTACCTATCTCTTTTTATGATAGTACAAATTTAAATTCAATTAATTTTCATTTTCGACAGAATTTCATGTTTGATTTATAGGTATAAATCAATCAATTATAAGTTTCTATGTAAATTAAATAGCAATCAACTGTCAACTGTTTATCTTTATATATATAATTCTTCTGTGAGTGTGTATGTCACTGAACTTCTCTCAAACGACTGGACCGATTTTGATGAAATTTTTTGTGTGTGTTCAAGGGGATTTGGGAATGGTTTAGATTCACAATTTGAATAATAATTTTCATCAAAAAAATTATTAAAAAAAGTTTGAAATTTTCAAATTAAAGACGTGTAGACAGGACAACGTCTGTCGGGTCCGCTAGTATCTAATAAAGTAATAGTTAAGTATGGTAATCACAACGTCATAGATAGGATCTAACATAAAGATTTCCCATAATTTCTTTCCTTCAGTATTTAAATGACACGAGGATATCTCAGTATTTTTTATATGAATATTACATAATATAGATTGAAAGATAAAGGCATAATTGTAAGACAAAGGTATGCAACGATCCCATCTACAAAAAAAATACACCTATGGATGTTTCTATATAAATACAAATTTTCAACTAAAAATAAATAATTGTATAATAAATTGACAAATAAAACATATATTAATATTTTATACTTTTCAAATCATATGAGGGTATTGCCGAAAATTAAAAAAAAAACATCCATCGTTGAAGGAATACGGTTGTTCTAGTAACAGCGGCATCTGTTCTTGGGACAGCGAGGCGGATACACGATACATTGGTCCATGCAGTATACGTCGGCACCTTCACGACCTTCCAACTCTCCGATCGCTTCGCAGACTTGTCTAAAAATTGAACAAATATTTTTTACAACGGTTAAGATAATGGCTTATGCTTCAAAAAGTGACTTCGCATAAAGCTATACGTGAGAAACTTATTTTTTTTTAAATAGTTAATTTGACACACTACTCGTTGGTTTTTTAGCTAATAATAATGGCCTTTGAATCAATCATTGCTTTAGATTATATAAAAGCCACATCACCAATGGTCCACAATCTATAGCGTGGAGCTTTTTCAGAATATATGTTATTAAGGCCTTAAAAAATAAAGTGTAACTTGATTATTTCAGTAGTATCATCTATTAAAAAATATATTAAATAATATTATTTTGTTAAATATTTTTATTCCAGTTATATACAACACTGGTACTTACGGGCAGTGACAAAGATTTTCCGGACAGTTAGGAGGGTACCGTAAGCAATTAGTCTCACACCAGCTCAACATGCCGGGAATCACGCGGTAACCGTCAGTTGGTACGCATACTTGATCTCTGAAAACGTTATAATATAATATGAGAAAACGTATTATATATATATATATATATATATATATATATATATATATTCTTGCAATTGTAATAGTTTTTCTTTTTTTTTTCCAAATAATTTATAATACAGAAGAATTGAAAATTGCTTTTATACAAGATATTTTTTCCCCTTCATCATATTTGTGTACTAATAACAAGACCTGAGGCAAAGTCATAATATCCCCTAGAAAATCATTATTTTATTGACGGTATATTTAAGAAAGACATATGGGAAAAAAAGAAATAAGTCTACAATACTTTATACAAAAGTCAGAAACATCATACGAAGATTAGAAACTACATTATAACACAGAGAAACCAGAAACATCAAAAAGCAGTGCTGGATTTACACTAGGGGCACTCGGGGCTAGTGCCCAGGGCGGCAATATTTTAGGGGCGGCAAAATTCGGAGGACGAGAAAAAAAATTTTCGCGTTATCGAAAATGCTTTTTTTAGTTTGCAAAAAATGAGAAATAAAAAAGAAACTGGTAGGTACATTTTTCGAAAAATTGATATCATTTATAATTTTTTTTTGCATTTTTCAAAAAATTAATAATGAAAATATTTTAAACTTTCAACATTTTGTTCAAAATTTCGATAATAGGGCGGCATTTTTTATAGTGCCCAGGGGCGGCGCTAAGGTTAAATCCGGCACTGTCAACAAGAGCAACAAAAATGTACAAAAAGTCAAGTCAGGTTTAAAAAGAGAATACAGATGTTAGTCACACATTATTATAATACAGTGGAGTAAACACAGAAAGATAAATTATTCACAAAAGTCCCGTCCCAAGGTACAATGTTCCACACCTCTGCCCAATCCCAAACTGAAAACACAAAACAAATACCTAATGACGAGTGGACCTACGTCTGCCTCACTTTCAGTATCAGATATATCATTGCTGAAAGAAAATCAGTTATTATTGTATACAGTGCAACTCAATATACGTATATATATAAACAAATTACGTTATTGTGTATGTGTTACCTAATAACACGAAATTCCTCTTTCTCTAGACCCCAGTGTTTATATCTGGAATATTAAGCGCATAATATATGGGCGATATATAAATATATAAATATTGCTAAATAGCTATATACAAGAGTACATGGAATAATTTATATGTATTTATGATAAATATACTATATTTCAGCTATATAATATATTTTTAAATATATAAATATTGAATTACCTTACGATTAGAAACACTAATTTATTCTAATATAAAACCCCCATTTTTTCGGTCATAATTCATAGACTAAATTGTTTGTAGTTTCAAAAGTAACGGCAAAAGAAATGTAAATCAACCACCTACCTGACAACAAGTGGATAGACATTTTGTGGCATACTATAGTCTCTATAGTAGAGTAAGAAGGGATTGTCACGGCGGAGGTCTCCGGCGAAGGCAGGAGGAAGCCCACCGGTGCTGGTCACAACACTCACGTCGGCACAATTCCTGAAGGTTTCTGAACGACCACAACCGACCGCTTCCGTACCATTTGGACATATACCCCACATGTTTCCTTTTATTGATATGAAAATTAAAAAATAATCAATATTTCTTAAAGTAATAGAATTAGCAACATATTATTAAATTTAAAGCATCATTACAATATGTAACATTCGAGTATTTTTATTAAAATAATTTAAAATGATTAATTCAGCAAGTCACAGCTCAAATTTATCATATTCACATTTTTTTCATCAAAAGCGCTAAATACTCCTATACCATTCGAAATAAAAATTATAAATATAAAGAAGTATAGAGTAAAAAATATGAACCCAGTCGCTCACCAGTATAATATGTCCATTGTAAAACGCATTGGGTGCAGGTAACATATGCTGGCAATCTCACCCTGTATCTGAATGTATCCTTCTTCGCCGTATCAAGAGGAATCAGGAATCTATCCTCACGAGTACCAGAAATGTATAACGGATACCTATAGAAACAAAAGTTTAATATCTAAAATAGTTTTTTAAGCGTGAATATAACTTTGAAATAAATATCTGATTTATTGTAAAAAATATTTCTCCATTATCTCTATTTAATTATTAACGTACTAGCAGAACCCGCGGCTTCGCTCGCGCTAAAACTACAAAAAAATCTCTAAAATGGGGGTTTCATACAAACTTTCATCCGCTATTTTACCCCCATAAGGGATGAATTTCGAAAAATGCTAAAACACTTATTTAATTAATTGTATTGAAGAGCATTTATACCAAGTTTCAAGTCATTCTGATCCTAAATATTTTTTTTGGATTGTATTATAACGTGTTTTCCCGTGGGAAAGAGATTATCTCCCACGATAAAAAGTAGCCTATGTCACTTTCCAGCCCTCCAACTATATCCCCACAAAAAATCACGCCAATCCGCCAAGCCGTTTCGACGTGAAAGAAAGACAAACAAACACACTTTCACATTTTTAATATTAGTATGGAAGGTACATATGTAGAAACAACATTTTCGTTAATACACTCCTAAATCAAATGTATAGCCTTCTTTTTGCTACCAAAATTTGATTGAATAGTAATTAATAGTAAACACGTGTTCAATAATAGATTTTTTTGTCTCACCTGTCAAAACACTCTTGAGTGGCCTCTTGCTTGGGGTTATTGTTCGGACACAGCTTCATCACAAAAGTTCCGAGATGATTCGCCGTTAATTCTATTTCTACTTCTATTTCCTGCAAAAAATTAAATAATTTTAATTTTAGATTAAAAAGCAAGTCATTAGCTTTTTGTCCTTGCCTGACCTACGCCTTTGGGCGCCTAATTTGTTGAAAGTATCTTACATTCGATCTGCAACTAAATAAAGAAGTAAAACCAGTACTGGTTTTAGTTAAGTTTTATTTATTTTTAAAATCAAGAATCTTGTTTAAATTCCTCCAAAATCTTTAACGAAAGAATATAAAGAAAAATAAAATAACTTGTAAATAATAGTTATATATGCTTAAAATCTAAATGCATATAATAATAATAAATTATTGAAGCGCATGAGGCATCCAAACTATGAAAAGCTCAGAATGCAGTTAGGTACAGTGGTTAATATTTAACGACATTTTGCCCGTGTAGTGGACTATAGCCTCATCCTATAAAGGAGGCTCGTACCCAGCAGCAAAAAGAGTTGAATAATTATTATTTTATTTCTCTTTCTCTCTCTCTCTCTCTCTCTCTCATTCATTTATAACCCCCTTCAAAGCTAATTGAGTGATCTCATACATACAAGTTTCCACGCAAGATTTTTCTTCACCGTAACCTTTGCTGAAAATAACTCTCACATGAAAATTATAACAGATTCGACTTAGGATTTGAGCCCACTTCTTTTGATTTTCCAAACAAACGCATTACCACTAGACTACAACTGCTCACCTTTTTTATCAAGAAATATTATATTTATTTCAAACCTGTCCAACACTGTAATGCCTGGTGATGATGCCCTTTCCATACATGCCGCCAGCCTCGTGTGGGCGCGGCACGTTGAGATTCTCCGCGTCACCGCACACACCGCATCGTCCCCCGTTCTGCTCCCACTGGACTGAACACACTCTTCATTGGTTTACGTCGTAACACGGTAGAAATTAAAAATCTTTAAATTCCTATAAGCTTACTCCCTGTCTATACGGTGCACATCAAAACAAATTTAGCAACATTTGAAAAATGTGTTTTTGTTTTATATTTATTGAATGCTATAAAACATATCTAAAGATTAGTATTTTTTTTAGAATAGTTATTACATAGCTCTAGCAGAAATTAAGTTTATTATACAATTGTATGTTATAATAATATAATCGAATAAAACAAAAAGAATATCAAAATAGTTACTACTTAAAGTTAAATTCAACTATAATATATAAATAAAATAGGAACTTTAAAATCTAGGTGATTTTATTCCATAATTAATAAATAATACTCAAAAACATTAAATATAACGTTAATCTAAAATATTTTTAGAATTTTTGTCTGTCTGTCTGTCTGTTACCACATCACAGAAAAACCACTGGAGGGATTTTGATGAAATTTGCCGGGTCAACATATAGGATACTTTTTACCGCGGGAAAATATCTCATTTCTGAGAAAAAATACAAAAACTGCAATGTAAGAATATACTAATATGTAGAACCTAAGAATTTGATTTTTGATCATCTGAACGCGAGCGGAACCGCGGCCAATGCTATTAATATATAAAAATGATAAAAGCCTTTTGAATCGTAAACACGTAAAGATAATTAATCAAAATGAGTAATGTAGAGTTCACTAAACTTGATAGTAGTTCTGTGCATTAGTTTAAAGTAACCACAAAATTGTTTGCAAATACTCAAAATTCAAGAAACGTCGGAACGAGAATATCATAAGAAAATGACGTAAGGTGCCTCGAGTTGACCGCACAAGTGTTTGTGTCTCGTCTCGTCTATATATACGAAAATTACAAAGACCATTAGAATTAAGTTGAAAGTTTGATTGTATGATTTGAAAAAAACGTAATTGGCCATTGCCATTTTCGTGCACCTTTTATATGGTATCATATTATTTTTTTCCTACTTTTCGTCTGTGTTGAGAATTGAACATGGCGGTGAATTCAACGATTTCTAGAGATATTTGAAATGGTAACCTCCGACCTCCGTAGCAAAGAGAAATGCTAGTCTAACACATCCTGCTACACCACTAACATTTTCCAAAAAAAAATATACATTTAAAAATAAAAATAAAAGATTTGGTATAGATTCTGACCGGCATATCCTCCGCAGAACAGCTCGTTGTCGTTATAGTTAACAGGGTTGGGGAAACCGAACCGCCACATAGAGTTGCGTGCAGGGGGGTCCATGAGACGGCCGTGTCCCTCTGCACCGTGACGCGCACTTCCTAACATCTAAAACAAAGAAACAAAATATTTAAATAACTAATAAAAGTAATAAGGCTCTTTTAAATAATGACATCTCTGCTAACGTACTATCCATACTAACATAATAAAAGTGAGTGTGTTTGTTTGTTTGTCCTTCGTTAACGTCGAAACAGAGTGACGGATTGGCGTGAGTTTTTGTGTGAGATAGTTGGAGAGTGACATAAGCTACTTTCATGGGAAAACACGGTATAATACAACTCAAAAAAAAATTTTTTTTAGGTCAGAATTATTTAAGTTGGTATTAATTCTCTTCAATACAAATAAAGAAATTTTAGCATTTTTCGTAATTCATCCGATAAGGGGGTATAATAGGGGATGAAATTTGGTATGTAAACTATCTTTTTAGAGTTATTTTTGTAGTTTTACCGTTTTATATTTATTGTTTTTAACTTAGTAATAGATGTTAGATATGAAAAGCATATCATAAACATCCTTTTATTGACTATAATACGACTTATCTTTCATGCTAATTTAAAAGCCTAATATTTAAATAACTAATATGCTAAAAAATCTATTTACACATTTATCAAATATAAACTTGTGCAAATAAATGTAGTACATTAGAACATGTGCCATTTTGTTTAGATATGTTTACTTGGAAAACAACATAGATTATTGAGAGGAATATTTAATTATATATCAATATCGGTTACATCTGTTAATAAAAAATTTAAAAAATAAATAAAAAGAACAATTGTTGTAAATCAAACACGAAACTATTTATTTACAAAAACTACAAAAATATCATATATAAAAACTCTATCTTATAATAATAATAAAAAAAAATGACTCAACAGATTGATTGCACTTACTTGCAGCAAAAATATCCAATATGTGAGAAATGATGGACCACCGCGTCTTTGGATCTCCATCTGAAACGGAACAAAGCGTTATTCATTTTTGTTCTTGATTAACTATTGTATTGCAGCATAATATATTCAAGATAAATCCCTATATATAAAAATCAATTGCCGTACGTTAGTCTTGCTAAAACTCAAAAACAACTGGACCGATTTGAATAATTCTTTTTACGTTTCGTTAGGGGTGTGTCAGTAGTATGTTAAGTATAAAAAAATAGGGGAAACCCAAAAAACAGATGGAAAATCGAAAAGTTTTTATTTCATTCCTATATATATATTATATAATATATACTCGTATATCTAATAGTCTACCTATTCCATACTAAGCGTTAAAACGTACCTAGGGATGAACCTGAGCGAAGCGAGTTGAGTCGCTAGTGATATATTAAATTATTTAAAGTAACCACAATATATTTATTTTCTTTAATATTCAAATACTATTTCTACTATCTATACTTTATTGATTCGAAACACCTAATAATCATGCACAGATTCAGGTGAACTTAAAGCTTTTAGACTTTTTTGAATAGCTTTTCCGACAGTCATTTTTAAAGAATAAATGAATAAAAAGGACAAATAATTCGTACTCGAAAAAAATTTTTAGAACTAACATAAGCGCAAGGACCAAAAAGTTAACTTAGCATCTGCATAGAACCGAACCTATGACCGCGTCTACAGTAATTATTTTTAGGATATAAAAATTTTATTCACCTTTGCTCAAGCGGTATGTACAAACAGATGACAAGTTCATTCTTCATAGTAAAGAGCGATATTTAATTATTTTCAAACCATAAAAATAAAACTGGTCAGAAGACATCAGTATAAATTTGGTTACGATATCAAGGTTTTTGAAATGTAAGAAACATACATACTTTAAATAATCCTTTTAATCGGCATTTATCAGATTTTATAGCCCTTAATGCTGACATCTACAGTTTTTAAGTAACTTTATATGTTCAATGAACAGTGATAATTTTTTAATTGAAACAGTTGCTCAATTACTTAGTATAAATAAAAATAAGTTTTGTATGAAAATTTAAATAAAAAGATCCATCTGTGTTACGTATATGAATGCAACCATAAATATAACATGAATGTATGTATGTCACAGTAGACAATAATACCACGGTAACGTATATGTAATATTACCGTGATAATACGTAGTACAAGTAAGTTATTCTCTATGAATGGTCTGATGCAGTACTCGCGCTTCGTAAAGTAATTATTGTGCAAGTGCTTTGTCATATAATCTTTTTTATTAATACATTAAAAAAAATGAATTTTTTTTTTAAGCCAAATAATGAATCATTATTTGAATATTCATTCATCCTTTCAATATTTCGTGAGACAAATATTTTAAAAGCATTAACAATAATATTTAAAAAGGTTTGGTATTTATTTATTTTATGTGAAAGCCACAGGTTTAACTTAGTCACGTCCAAACAGATGAGGCCATTATAAGAAAAGTTCAATGCTAAGAGGCGGACGCGATAATATTTCAGCCACTGTGCTTTACTTCATGCACACTTCAATCTAGATATGTGATTATACTTCATTTATAAATTCATATTATCGATATACTTAAATATTTTTATTCAAATTAAGATACAATAAGTGCGTTGTAATTAACGATGTCAAGTAAATTTACGTGATGGGATACTAGGATAGTAAATTTTCGTACGACAAATGTAATAAGTATGTATTATATTCAGCCCTTTTAAACGTCCCACAGCTGGGCACGGGCCTCCCTTCAATACGAGGGGGATCAGGCCATAGTCCACCACGCTGGCCAAGTGTGGGTTGGCGGACTTCACATGTCTTTTTGAAAACTTGCTATGTTCTCTCAGACATGCAGGTTTCCTCACGATGTTTTCCTTCACCGTTAAGACAAGTGGTAATCATGTTGAAATGATTCGCACATGAAAATATCAGAGGTGCGACACCCGGGATTTGAACCCGCTTCACTCGGTTTCCCAAGCGAGCGCGTTACCACTGGGCTACCACTGCCTAAGTATGTATTGTACATGTTTTATTATAAAAGTTTATTTACTAAACTAGCACTACCCTCGGCTCCACCCGCGTTCGGATGACCAAAAACCAAATTCTTAAGTTTTGCATATTAGTATACTCTTACATTGGAGTTTTTGTATTTTTTCTCCTTTGAGATATTTTATATATACATACATATAGGGTTTTATATATACATATAGGATATTATTATGTTGACCCGGATAACTAGCTATCTCCATACCAAATTTCATCAAAATCCCTGCAGTGGTTTTTCTGTGATGCGGTAACAGACAGACAAAAATTCTAAAAACTATAGATTCGGCCTCTGTATCGATAATAATGTTTATTTCAATAAAATTTTCCAAAAAAATATTTAATGTACAGATTCGGCTTAGATACAATTTTATTATATGTATATATATATATATATATATATATATATATATATATATATATATATATATATATGTATATGTATTAGCAAGTAATTTTTAAGGATAAATCGCAGTATCTACGTCATTTACTTTAATTTATTCAGATGCTGCTTTTACATTATGTTTCTTTTTTTATTTTACTGTGATATTTAAGTTCTTATTATTTATTTAAATAGTGAATACATTGTCCGTCCAAATTTAGGCATCCATTTAGCAAGCATTCACTAAACAACAAATCAGACATAAAAAATCCTGACATATCTCACCTCTGCTATGACTCATATAATATCAAGCTTATACTAAACGATTCCCGCAACCCATTTGCATAGAATGACAAACATCATCGTAACATCTCAATAATATATTTTACTTGTACCAAATTAAAAAATGTGTCTTTGTTGTTTGTTGAGATCCTGAGCTTAATTAATCACTAACTTGAGCTTTCGATTTAAAAACTTTTTGATACAATAATTATTTTCTACATAAAAATGGTAACTGACTTCAAACATTTTTTAACTGTAATTGATACACTAAGTTTAGATGTTATACAAAAATTTATGACTACCATGTGTGAACTATTTAACTATTATTTAAAAAATAATCATAAAATCCGTTTACCATCTACCATAACACATTCATCTCCATTCAATTCTCTTGTTAATGTCTTCAAAGTGTTCCAGTTGAGCACAGATTACTTTGTCTGTGTCACGTAGAATGGAGAAGACACGAAGGAGGTAGATCTGTCATTCATCTCTTTTGTTATAGATCAGTTAATTTATGATGAAAGTGTCATGAACTTTCTCTGCCTACCTTAAACTTGGCTCCTAACATTAGATATCTCTCGTTATATCATATGAGAATCCTGTACCAATATCTTATTTTCAATGATAAATATTATTATAACAACTAAAAACCAAACAAATAACGCTGATTTACATTTAAGTATTTAATTTAGATTATATATATATATATACGTTTATTTTTTATATAACATTTCACCAACACGTTAAATCTACGGTAAAATTGGTTTAGATACGATACCGGTATTGATAAGATCTGGCCATCATTTATTTTATAACATAATTAGGCTAGAATATCATCAATTTATAAAACTAAACTGTTTCCTATATCCTATTTGCATAAATAAGTAAGAGAAAACGCATTCGTTTTTTTAATTTTGTTAGAATTTCCAGTGACCGATAGATAATAAATAAAATTATATTTCATAGGGAATTCCTCATATATATATATATATATATATATATATATATATATACTAGCGGCTCACCCTCGCTTCGCTCGGGTTCGTCGCTAGGTACGTTTTAAATAGATATAAAAAGTTATTAGCCAGCGTAAGCCATATAAATTTTAATTTTTTTTCGTTAATTATTCTGATGTTTTAATACTTACCTATTCCGGACTAAGAGAAATCCAAAAATTAAAATATCATAAAAATTGGAACGCGGTCGAACGGGATAAAAAGTATCCTATGTCCGTCTCTGGGTTCTAAGCTACCTTCCCGCCAATTTTCAGCCAAATCGGTTCAGCCGTTCTGGAGTTATAAATAGTGTAACTAACACGACTTTCTTTTATATATATATATATATATTGCATTATATTTTGGCCATTCAAGGTCGGCTGTTGACTTACACGCCTACTAACTGTCAGTCATCACTGTCAACGCTCGAAGTTAAAGTTCAATCACTGAGATGATTAAAATAATGTAGAGCCTGCTTAAAAAATAATTAACTTCGAGTAATGATGAATCATAAGTTAAGCAAGTTAGTTGCTACTTTTATTTTATAGTGTTTTATTGATAATATTGCCGTAATACTTGTCATATTCGTAAGTATTAAATTATTGTGTACAGTATAAAAAAATTATGAATGAATAATGTTTAAGTCAAACTTGCACTCTTAGGCTATAAAAATAAGATAAAATATCTTGATTATATAAATTTTGATTTTTGGTTTGAGACCCAAAAAATTAAAGTAAATCTGCGAAAAATTCCGAAAAGATAGTTTTATTTAAGATGTCTTTATCGCGTAAATATACTAAAGTATTATATATAAATAATTCTATATAAAATTTTTAGTACCTACGTGCTCTTGGCCGGAAACTGAATTCGCTATCTTTGGCCCACATGGTTATTCCAACGGACAGCTATTATCAAGGATATTAAAAATTCTTTCCGATTTAAAATAATCGTCACTATCAATGTTGCCAATAAACATTATTCATGTCGCGTATATATCATTTTTAATGTTCTTGTTATTTTCAGAATGCCAGAAACCATTTAAATTTGAAAAATGGTGAATTTTATTTTATTTATTTAACATTTTTATGCAGCATATAACTGTTTGGCCATTAACAAAACTACCAGCGTTTTGAGGTTATGATAATTTATCTTTTGAAGGTTTGATGATTAGATTTATATTAGATCTATCTATTCATAATGAATTCAATTCTTTAGTTTCGTGGCTTTTAGGAGTGCCTGTGGGCACAATTTACAATGTTACGTAGAATTCATAATCAATACTTCAACGGTGATTATCTGTTAGGCAGGAA